TCTTATAACTCCTGGATTAATAGTAGTATTATACTATTCTTTACTATAATACTATTTAGGTATCTATAATCTATATAAAGTTATAGTCTACTATCAGGTTTAGATATATAGAATACTAGATATCTTATAGGAGACTTAGACTCTTCAATAAAACCTCTTTTTAGGTTTTCATCTAAGTACTTATCTAGTACTTCTCTTTGGTCTGCCCTAAGTAGGTAGATACCAAACCTTTTTAATTAGGATCCCTTTTTTAGCACTATTTCATAATTGAACGGCTGGTGCGGTAGCAAGGCTTCTTCTAAAGCCTCCTTCTCAAAAAGTTCCGCAAATTCCTTATACTCCGGAGGAATTTGGAACGCTATCTTCTGCTCCCCTTAGAGCTGATAAACAGCTACCGCCTCTACATCTTATATATTCTGCCATATAAGCTTTTTTATCTGCCCTCCAGTATGCTTCCTGGCCTAGGCAGGATATCAATCCTTAACTAGAGATATAGTTAAGGTTAACCAGTCAATGTGCGGTCTCTCATCCTAAAGCTATAATAATCTAAGGATGATATCCAAATCCCCAATATTAGTAACATTAAACATCCTACTAACCTTTTTATCTAATATTATTATGTTAACGGTTGTCTTATACTTAACTATACCTTAATCTAAAGTAATTAGGGTTCTATCAGCAGTAATAAGTGGATATGGATCCTTTTTCTTATTCAAAGGTAAATTCCATTCTCTTGCGTACCGACTGCTCAAGAAGTCTGCTGTAGCTCCTAAATCAATTATAGTCATAATAGAATTACCTATAATCTTAACTTCTACTATCAGCTTACTTTCCCCTAACTTATTAAGGCTTTAAGGTTCCTTTTAAGAGTTAACTATTACACCCCTTAATAGTTAACCTCCTTATTTCCTAAGAGGTAAGGATACTCGCTTTCACTGTTATCAAGCGTTTCTTCGCCTAACTCCCATTCCTCAGAACTTCCATCCGGGTTAGACATTATCTTGGTTACTTACAGGTTCAGTCAATATAACTTCTGCGGATCTTCAGAGTCTGGATCTGCATTCATCTGAAGTCCAATTCGATACAGGTCCTTAGGCAAAATCCATATAATAGCCCTTCTTGTTGAGTCATCTGTCATATAGATAAGCTTTATGATATATTTATAAATATTTTCTATTATTTTATTTTCTTTAGGGTCAAAATTTCTAATCACACTTTAGATTCCTTATTATAATAGTCTAATATCAATTAATATATGGTTATTATTTATGGTTCCCTATTATATCACTGGTATATAGTATCTCAGATATTAATAACTCTAAGCCGTGCAAAGATTGACTGGAAGATACTCATAGTATATATAACGATTATTACCCTTAATACCCTCAATCTGGAGTATTTATTATACCTATATGAAAGAAACCTTAGGTGGTCCATAAGGATATTCCTATGATAATTCTCCTGGATCCTTATTCTTACTATACTCCTAGAATCCATAATCTTAGACTTTATAATGACTAATTAGTAGTGCCCAATAGAACTTATAAGCTATATTTATCTGAATATTAGAATACCATTCTAAGATTCCGTGAATCATAGTCTCATCCCGTAGTCCTATATTTTGGTTTGGTCCCCATCAGTAAATATTATAAGAGCCTTTCTTAAATATAGTAATCTTCTGTGCTTGCACGCCTGTTTCCAGAGTCTTAATTAATTATTTCTTAGGCTTTGAATAATTTTGAGCAAAATATCCTGATTAGCCACACTTAAAATAATTTCCCGTGTTTTTCTTGAAATTCTTGGGCTTTCTTAGGGCTTGATCGCCCTTCTGGAGTTTATCTATCTCTATAAGCTGTGGTTTATAGTAATTGGTAGAGCATTATAATCTCCTATAATTAGATTAATATTTAGGTATCTTTCCTTACTTATCAAGCTTATTTTCAAATAGGATGGAATTAATCCTAATTACTGATTCAATAAGTTCTATAAAGGTAGATATCTCCTTCTCCTTAAGCTATAACTGGGCTTTGACTTCTGGCTTAAGTCCTGTGAAAAACTTGGTGTGAAGTATATCATCATTCTATTTTAAAATTACCGCCTATTTCTCAAATTTGACCGCGTAGGAACTCACGTCTGACTTCTAGTATAGTTCTAATAATTTCTTTTTAGCTAAGTGAGCCTCATCAACTTACTGAAAGTACTAATCTATTTCTCCTATAAATACTGAATAACTCTAGAAGATTCTCTTAATATTATGTGGAACATCTCCTTTCTTTAGGATATATTAATTAACTTACCTTTAGATCCAAGTATATATATTTCCCCTTAAGTAAGAAATAGTATATATAACTTTCTTTTCTTCAGTATTAAGCTTATCCTGGTTCCAATAAATATAAATTCCAAGCTAAGACCTGAAGGCTTTATATTTGGATCATTCCCCTTTAAAAGGTTTAAGTAGATTAACTTTTGATTGAGCCATATTATTATTAAAGAGATTCTTGCTTCCAGAATCAGAGTTTAAGTTGGATAAATCAGAGTCGTCAAATAATTGAGCGTCTGGTAAGACTTCCGGATCTCTTAGTGGTGGAGGTGGTGGTGGTACTACTATTCTATATATTAATAGCCCGGTAGTACCAGTAGTTAAAGTAACCTTAACCTTCTTCTTTAGTGGACCAGACTATTATTGACTTCCGCTACTTCTCTTAAAGATAGTAGACATAAGATATTATTCTTTACCCTATCCAATGATTCAGTGATTTAACTTTTGTTAGGAATACTTTCCTAATACTGACTAGCTTTACTAATATAAGCCACTTTGGAAGGGTTTAGCTTCCTAAAGCAGAGGAATAATGTATAATAAGAGCTTATTATGGAAGGAATATAATAAGATAGTTATATTTATGACTTAGAGTAGTCTGAGCTTCAAGAGTATAAGAATATATTTAAACTAACTACTAGTTATGCTAGACAGTTAAATCACAGCCTCTAAATAAGAGAATTCCTCCTTCCTTTATAGACCTGGAATATGAACGATCACTCTGATCATCCCATGATCAAGATGATCGCTCCTGCAAATCCTATTCGCTTATCCTTGGTGAACCAATAACACTTTCTGGCTAATGCAAGCTGATCATTCTGATCATCCCATGATCGAACTGATCACTTCTCTTACGTGACTTGTTACTTCGTAACACAATAGTGATAGTAACAGTAATAGCGGTAGTATGCAAATATAGAATAATTAAAAGGCAGTCTAATCAATTAATCTATAGTAAGGCTATAATAGATTGAGATCACTAAGACTAAGGGGGTGTGTCGCAAATCACATAAGCCTAACTTAGCAGATATTCTAGCTTATCTATAAGTTGCTTTAGGATTGAAACCTAACAATAACAATCTAATCCATCATACAATCAATACAACCTTTTGCACGATAATCACTTCCTTTTTCCTTCTTATGCGCTGCATAACAGCGATTCCTTTGCATGGCTTAGCTTAGCTAGGCACCCAAATGCAACACTTGATATCGCTCACGTGTGTCAAGGGAGTTATGGCTTTCTAACCTTACTCCTTCTCTGTGCAAGACTTTGTTTACAGGGCAATAACTACTCGAATTCTCCTTTCACGCTTTTCCATTGGTCGATTATACCGTTGTTGTGGACAGCTGTACTTCGGTGTCCTCTCATAGCTCGTTTCACGTCGGGGTGAATGCGCCTCTAGGCTCGTTACTATTCAGCAAATGCTCACTTGTCACGAGAGCACTTTCCAGATGATAGCTTTCAAAATTAAAGACATTTATTTGAGCGAATGGAGCATGTATGGGTAGTAGAAATATCCAAAGCTGCGGTACCTTCGTTTGGGTTTGCAAAGTGCACAGTGAGGGAGAAGATTGATCAAAAATATCTAGCCCATCATCGCCTTTGGAGGGCCAATTCGCGCTGCTAGCCTATCATCCAAGATCATCATCATATTGGGTGCTTTTATAATCGCAGTTTTCATACTTGAATGTTTCATCCAATGCAGTCTTTGGCTGGGAGGTCAACAGTTGATTAATAATATGTTCCTTGTCATCATGTACGAGATAAGTTGATCATTTACACCTATAATCCACTTCAGCCAGCTCGCGCTCTCAGATAATGCTTGACCATATTAGGCGATTTGCATTTTAAAGCAAATGATTTCTCCAAAATAAGTCCAAGAGCATCAACCTAGTACCAAATCGGCTCATCACAGCTACCAACATCTTACCCACCCATTGCCTCCTGTGCCAGATCGTCATCAGTAGCCTCACTGCGTTTATGAACAAGACGCATCGCGATCTCTCATGTCCACAAAATGTAATCATGAAGAATTATTGCGACCGGCAAAAATTCGATGTCGTTGATGAAATGCTGAAGGCGGAGTCTCGTGATGCGTGCGAGGTTGGACTTCAAAACTGATCGGACCTTGAATACCTCGTTCACAAAATGAATGTAATTCATATTCAGCTTCTTTATGATCAGATCTTTAGTCTATATTCGATGTGGTAGTTGCAAACATTGACATCAACAAACAGGAGACCATAATTGTTCGCAGTCCAGTTTGCCACGCAAGATTCAGGGCATTTACTACGTAAAACTTGATCTTCTTTGACACCGTGACACAACTACAAAAAGCTAAGCCCTCCTTCGCACAATTACATATTCAGAACTGCCCCTAAGACCTAGGTGTCGAAAGAAACTGTCCCACGTCTTCCTAGCTCTTCTTCGCTTTATGTCCTCTGTGAGCTCCCTATATGTCAAGGCAACAGTGGTGCTGTCTCTTGAGGACCTCGCATCACCGGAATCTCTTTTTCCAAGACATGAACGTCGAACGCTGTTACTAATTTCAGAGTGTGTCTTATACTGCTGATTTACGTTTAAAACTAACGGTGGTGATTTTGGCCTGTACACATTGTTACGTTTAGTCAACTGACTTCTGCCACTGGCACCAGATTTGGAAAATGGATTAGAATCCTGATCTTACCTTGCTTTTGATAAATTGCTTGCGGCTATATTTTCTAGCACTGAAGTTTGTTGCTGCAATTCTTCTAACTCTTCTTGCTCGGCCAGCAGCTCTTGTCTCTCTTTCTCCTGCCGTTTCAAGAGCTCGGAAGTCAAGATGTTACCCGCTGTCGTCTCTTCAAGAGGCATTCCTTGCAATAACTCGTTTATAATGTGTAAATTTGAGGCGTTTTGGTAGCGATCATGTAGTTCAAGAATTTCTGACGCAGTGTAAGTGCTCGTCAGTTCTCGACGTTCATCCCATCGAAAGTACGCAGCGCCCTTTGCACGCAAAGGCTTCCACACGCTTTCAGATTCAAGAAAGTCTCTTTCACGGTGTATTGCAAATTCAAACTCCTCCTCCGCTAATCTGTTCCACATACTAGTGATAAGAATTACACTAGGATAGAAGTCTTCACCCGCAATGGCACGAAGCAACTGCAAATTGATTCGACTTGAACCAGTCAATCGCCGGGAGTTGATCGTCTGAAAGTAAATTATCGCAATAACTCGAAGTTCCTCGGCTATCACAAAGCCAATGATCCGTTCCAGTATTTCCATATCAGATCGACTGGTGTCATTGAAGCCAGGTGTGTCGACTAGCACAAATTTTGCACCGTGTGCAGTAGTGTATTCCATGCCTTGTGGTTCAACAGTACCTTGACATTGTATAAGCCTCGAATTACCAATGGTTGAGTGAAGTTTCTCCAGTAGCTGAATTCGGCAACACGAAAAAAAAGACAGCTTTGCGCATTAAGCGCGCATTGTGCTATCAGGCAACTAAGCGTAGACGCCTCTCTTTCGAGAAAATAATTAGATAGACTTACACGACTGCAGACCATGACCAACTTTTGCTGGTAGACCTAGAGAGGCTAGAAAACTGGACTTCCCAGATCCAGTTGCTCCCAGCAACAAGATCGCAGTCTGGTCCGTATTTGCCATAGATATGTTCAAATAGAGTCAGAATAAAATGTCTTTTCTAAAAGAATTATCGTAAGCTCACGCTGATGTGGATTCTTTTTCGAAGACGTAGTGCGTGAAAGATCAGAAAGACAAACCAAGGCAGTGTCGATAGATAAGGTAATGGGATGTCTTTCCGATTAAGTGAATAACTTCCAACTTCACTGTTTCCTAAACATTCAAGGTTTCGATTTTCGACTCTCCAGGGCTGGACAGCAAAGTTTTGACGTTGACTGTGGCGAGCCCATCATGGTCCGGCTCAGAGAATTATGCAGAAATCGTAAATTGACGCGTACTCGTGATGACGAGGCGAAACGATCACACGCCTTCTAACCGGTCAGTACTGGACCAGATTCCAAACTAGTCATCCTTTGATGCATAATGAGCGGATTTTACCAGTGGAAGGCATCAAAACTGATTGCCACACCCTGTCCATTGGAGTGTGAGTCAAACGGGAGCGAAAGCAAATAGTCCACTAAGTTTTGTGAGTTGTCACACAGCCTGACCATTAACTAGGATGACCTTGCGTTTTCCTAGCGCTAATGTTCAGCTCATGCACGAATGCACGGCAAGGCTGTGATATCACGTGACCCTTGAAGCATTCGTCTGGGCTTTAAATTAATCAGCTTACCTGTCGGCGGCCTAGCTGGGAAAATAATGCTAAAAAAATTTAATGCTATCTGTTGGAATAGGAAATAACGCGACTCTTCATGCAGGTCGATGGGGCAGAACGATGTGGATATACGAAGGCTAACCCCAATTTCGGAACTTTCCATGAGAGAAGAAAGGACCTAAAGCAGCTGAAGCTTTGGAGTAATGCGACATGAACGCTCTCAAGCCGCCTCGTTTAATTTGTGGCTTGGTGCGGCTTATCATATGACTGAGGGAGCTCATGTTAAACGCCGGATCTGTCGAGACCGGTAGAGATGAGGCCGCGGCATAGCCCACGAATGGAGCGGACAAGGCTGGATTGTATTAAGACACAAGACTCTGAAGAGTATTAGCATGCTCCCAGGCCTTTATCAGGTCACCCATCGCCTTTTGCCTTCAGAAATCTCGTCTCAACAGTGGCCTTGGCTTTGACGCAGCTTTCTCGATTACGTCCACGAGCCCAGCCACAAAGAGCCTTTGCAGCTCCTGTCGCCACTAGCAAGCAAAATCCAAGCCCAAATGGCATCGCAATATTCGATTGGCAGAGTTCGTGCATCTTCAAGAGCGAGATGTCGTTCGAACGATGATCCAATCCTAATTGCTGTTATTGGTGTGACGGGGGCTGGAAAATCTACATTCATAAATCGCGCCGCGGGAAGAAACATTCTACAAGTTGGACATACCTTTGACTCATGTATGTTAATGAGAAACAAATTAGCAATGAATTGAAGCTAAATATAGGGGGAAAGGCACTCAATCTGTGAATTGCGTACGGACGGAGATTGACGGAAGAGAGGTCTTCTTGATCGATACCCCCGGATTTGACGATTCCCAGAGGACAGATGCGGAGGTACTCGAAGAGATATCCGATTGGCTAACCACAACGTTTTGGGAAGGGATATACCTGAACGGAATCATCCTCTTACAGCCCGTCGAAGGATGTCGCGGATTGGGATCTGAACGTCGACGTACTCGCTTGTTCCAGAAAATCTGTGGACCCGACGCTTATAGCCATGTCGTTATTGGAACTACCATGTGGGGCAAGATCCGCAATCGAGTAGACGGCGAAAATATGGTTCGACAGCGAAGAGATTCGGAAGAGTTTTGGGCAGCGCTTATTCGCAGGGGTGCAGAGGTCGTCGAGCACGAGGACACCCGGGAGTCAGCTCTTAACATCATCCGAAAGGTTATGTTTAAGAATAAGACCATTTTACAGCTGCAACAAGAGCTCGCGGAATGCGATGGAATTCTTCATAGGACTGCGGCGGGCAGACAGCTCGATCAAGACCTCGGCCAAAGCAGCGAGAGGAGAAGGCGTGAATTGGACGCAATCATCTCGGAGAGAGACGCGTTTCGAAAGTCGACACAAGAACTCGAAGAAAGAATCATGGAGCTCATATCGTTGATAGAATCGATAGAAGACCAGAGAACCAAACTGCAAAACACCGAGGTTTGTGCTCCCGACTTTGTTTCATTCGTCATGCTTACGTGCCTAGGTGAGAGCGTCATCTTCCAAGCCACAATGGATTCAAGCATTTGCGGCTTTGGGTACTTTGGGTGTTGGGGCAGCCACAGCGGCCATTCCACTGGCAACGGGTGGTTCATGCACAATTCTTTAACCTGAAAAATCCCGAACTACGCACTGGACAAGTGCTGATACAAGTAATTGCCTAGGATGAACCATCGGCGAAAAAAAAATGAAAATCCGGTTGTATTGTTCAATGAGATTGAGGAGAAGCCTGATAAGATGCTTAACATCATCGAAGACCCCACAAGACGTCGAAAGTTAACAGGACAAAGCATAGCCTTTATGTCTTTGATCGAAACACCAAGTTCGCGAATGGAGATTTCTCCGAGTTGAGCTCCTGATCTTTAGCAGACTCGGATTTTTTTGAGCGACATTGTCCTTGGCCAGCATCTAGCCCAGACATGTAAAATTCAATCACCTCCATGATGTCCTGATATTGGGTACTGTCCTTGCCAAGTGTTGCTTCGGCATTTCTGAGGTTTATTTCAAGCTGCTCCTTGTCAGGATTTTTTTTCGATATGTCAGCAGTGGGCAAGCCTACAACTCTTAGCATTTCAGCATTGGTCGTCATTTTGAGGGAACCAGAACGTTCATTCAAGAATCCGCAGATTGAACAAATGAAGTCAGCCAAGTCATTCAAATCAGTTCGAGGTGGCCTGCTGCTAAGATTGAAATAGAGATCTGCGAATTCAGCCAATGAGTTGTACTTTTACCCCACCAAGGTGCATCTGACAGTTTTGATGGAGGTTCAGAAGTGCTAGCTAAAGGTTACGTTGTTGAGCTTGCGTGAGCAGGTCCAGTTGACGAGAAGGCGTAGTTCTTTCGCGCTAGTCAAGCCCACTTCTCTTTTAGACCAAAGCCAAGCCATGTAGAACCGAAGGCGTTGATTGAGCACGGCCTGCGCCTTTTTGTATTTTCCCCTTTGGTCTTCAAGATAACTAAGCTCACTTATCGCCACTCCAAGATGCAACTCCCGTCGGGCTTTGAAAATGTAGTGTATAAATGCACAAGTTTTTCCAACAGTCTTGTGAACATTCCGTACCTTGTTCTCTGTTCGGCTTAAAGTCATCGACGCCAAATTCAACTTCACTCGCTTCGTTCCAATAGTCATGGCATTTGAACCAAAAAAAAAAAAAAAAAAAAAATCAAAGGACTATTCTTCGACATATACGCTACCTTAATCAACTGGGAAGATGGATTGTGTGCGCATCTTCTTCGCTTGACCATGCTTCCAGACCTTCCGGAAAACAGGACCAAGCTTCTTCGCCTGCATGCCACAATCGAGAAATCTGTCGAGCATGAGCATCCCTCTTTGAAGTATCCACTTGTCCTTGAAGAGGTGTACGCGCGTATCGCCAACGAACTCGGCATTTCGTTCGACCGAGACCAGCAGATTTCTTACGGTCGTCAGATTGGTGACTGGCCCGCCTTCCCAGATACAGTAGAAGCGATGAAAATACTTGCAAATCACTACAAGTTGTTTGTTTTGAGCAACGTCGATGAGGATTCTTTCAGGCGCACATGTTCGGGGCCTTTGAAAGGTGTGCATTGGGATGGCATTATACTGCCGAACACATCGGATCATATAAATCTGATCCGAGAACTTATGAATAAATAGTCGAACGCTTTCAGGAAATAGGCATTTCGAAGGAGGGCGTGGTAATGGTGGCTCAGAGCTTGGATCTCGATCACATGTCATGCAAGACTCTTGGTTTTCCGCCAGGAGTATGGATTGCAAGAAAGGGAGCTATCATGGGAGGTGATAGAAAAGAACTTGAAGACCAAGGCCGCATAGAGCTAGGAGCAGTCTACGAAACTTTGGGTGAATTTGCCGCCGCTGTTCAAACGGCCTTTATGGAGTGACGTCTTCTCTGTGAATGTTATTCGATAGTACTCATATCCAAATTAACATCATCTTCGTGCCTTCATTTTTGAGAGTAATTCTCGAACCTGGCAGATAAGGCACCTGTCTTACTGCAATCAGCACCATGTCGTTGAGCAGCCGGACTAGATTAGGCTCCAACGCATACGTAACGTGTCTCCTATGCACTTCAGGCAGGAGTAAGTTAGAGCAATTTGAAGCGGTTGAGTAATCCTGTACGACCTTATAGGGTGTCAGACCAAACCTTCAGCTGCTGAGCTCAAAAAGTCTGCGGACTTGGACAACATTTTAAAGGGACTGGGATCCAATTAGCATAATGCAATTTCTTATTAATGTCATATTCTTGCGAAGAGAATCGCGCCGCAAAAGCTCTAACGAATATGATCAACTGTTATGGTCACTTTGCTTAAAAAAAAAAAAAACATAGGCTTGGCACGAGTAAATATATAGGAGAATAGAGCTACGACCGTGGTACACCACGCCACTCGAAATATAGCGATTGAATTCAATGATTCGGTGGCCTTGAACATTCTAGGGGTTCGGGAGTAAATTCTAGATTGTGAATTGGTCTAAAGTCTTTACAAGTTGAAATGTTGATAAAAGCTGAGTAATCGATTCCTTCGACTTCGTCCATGTTGCTAGAATAGGAAATCGTTCCCTTTGCTGTTTTCGGCATAGCGTTGGTTCAAGAAGTAGTTATTTAGATTGAGCTTACCAATGCATGAGTGATCATATCTACATGAAGTGTTGACCTAAGGATTGCAAAATATAAGGGTTTCTATCTTGGACATGACATGATTAGTATTCTAGTTTCCAGATCTGACATAGAACATATGCATACTATGGAAAGTATAAGCGCTCAGCGCTGTAAACAACACCCAAGATGCAAAAAATCATTCCGGTTATCGAACCACCAGATTTATCCAGTACATGAAACTTGGAGCAATAGCTAGCAAGATCTGCAGAAGGTGATTAGTATTCTTCATCCCAAATCGAGCACACCACAACTCCGCTCTTCGGAGATCGACAACAGTACTCATCATAAACATCGAACCAAGTTCAAGAATAGCACCACTAGCTGAGCCATTACGAATGGGAAGTATTTAAAGGATGAGATCAAGCAGAGCCAAATCAGTTCATTTCTTCCATCCTGTAACTCCTTTGAACTGCACACGGCTTGACATCCGTTGAGCACCGCTGTACTACGTCTTATCTCACAGTATGGACGCAACAAACCTTACCGGAACTGAATACCCAGCCTATCGAGGCATTGAAGGCAAAATAACTGCAACTCCAGCAAAGATTCCCGCTCTTGGCTCAAAGGATGTACTTGTGAAATTGACTCATACAGGGGTGTGCTATACTGACCGCGAGTATTACCGTCTCGGCGCTCCATTGGCTCTAGGTCACGAAGGAGTTGGTGAAGTTGTCGCCGTGGGATCCGGAGTTACCTCCATCAAACCAGGCGACCGTGTTGGCGGTGGTTTTCACAAGAACTCGTGTGGAAACTGCCAGTACTGCCTTTCTGGAGATGATATCCACTGTTACGAGCGTACAATCTTCGGCGAAGGGGATTATGACAATGGTACCTTTGCGCCGTACTACATTGGGAAAGAAACTTTTGTACACAAGGTCCCGGATGGTCTCGCAAGCGAGCACGCCGCACCTCTCCAATGCGCGGGAGCAACAACATACAACGCGCTCGTGAACACGATGAAGGCAGGTGATAGGGTCGGTATCGTGGGTATTGGAGGCTTGGGGCATCTAGCCATTCAGTTCGCCTCACACATGGGTGCAGAGGTCGTTGTCTTCAGCACGAGCGTGGATAAAGAAGAGGAGGCAAAGGGTTTCGGTGCCAAAGAGTTTGTTCTCCTGGACGAGCCTCACAAAATTAGTGCCCCTTTGCAGGTCCTTATCGTTTCAGCTAATCGGTATCCAGATTGGCCCAAGTAAGACTATAAGCTCCCAATCAATGAACAAAGATATCATCTAACACGCAATGTAGGTTCCTGACTAAAGATGTTTTGGCTCGAGGAGGCACGGTTGTGCCCCTACCTGCCCCCACTTCCGGTCCACTTACTCTTCCAGCGGACAGGATGTTTTGGGATGGCTACCGGATCCATTCATCTCTTGTTGCGTCCAGAGCTCGACACGAAGAGATGCTCCAATTTGCAGCATCGCATGGTATAAAGCCAATGGTTGAAGTCAGCAAACATACAGGTGCGGAGAGTGTCTCTAAAGCTATTGAACGACTTGAATCCGGCAAAGTACGCTATAGAATGGTCCTAGCATTTTAGTGGCGTGTATCTCAGCAACGCCAAAGGTGCAGTCGGACAAAAATTTAAAGAGCAGTCAAATTAAAGTAGGCAAACAAATCTCAGTTCAATGCACGAAAATGGATGGGCTCGACTCAGCACTGTGATGTGGAAGTATGATGCATAAAAATAGTCAAAGATTGTTTACTACATGCCATGCCTCATTATACCATCTATTGTCTTTGAAGTGCTCGTCTCTACTCAGTCATCGTCGTAATCATTCCAACCCAACACGTCATAGATAGATTGCTCTTTCATCTCTTCCCGATATGGATCACGTGAAGGGTTTTTTTTAGGGGTAGTATCCAGAACTTCCGGTGAACGAGGCGGAATTGTAGGCTTGCATTTAACAGGAGTCGAAGGAATTGCAGACGGCTGTACTGATTTGGGTACGGCCAAAGTATGTGCAGATTTGCCTTTCATCGGCGTACTAGGTGCTGACATGCGTGACTTTTGCGAATACTTGACCTCTTGGAGAGACGAATTCGATGGCACACGGCCAGTACTAATGCTTTTAAGTTGCCGACTCTGTTTCATCTCAGGTGACGGTCCGAGTTTATCAGGCTCCAACTCATCAACCGCCACAGCTTTCGCTGATTTTTTTGAAGGTGTCGCAGATATCGTTGGCCCCATATTCGAAGGCATTGAGCGTGAAACAACTGGGGTTGCATCAACAACATCAGCATTTGCAGCCCTATAGCCAGATGATGGTATAACATAGTCCCCAGAGGATGGAGCGTTTTGCTCCTCTAAACCGTCTTCCTGAGTGAGTTGATCATGACCGAGAGTCCTAATCGTTCTTTGGTGCTTGGGGGTTGCCGTCACTTGAACATTTCGCACATTTTGCAACACCTTTCGGACAGGACGCATCGTCCTTTTCCGCATGCTTGCACTACCTAAGCTCCGCTGATCAGCTGCATCAACAAGTTCGCGAACTGCCTGGCCACGATTGGGCTTCTTAAGGGTGTTAATGGCGTCCTTGAGCTCCTGCTCAATCTTTGCTTTTTGCTTCAGCTTGGCCTCCGTAGCCGTGGAGATAGCTGTCAAGTCCACTGTGCGCTGCTGCAGATGCCTGAGTTGGCTCATTGAGTCACGACGAGACGGCTGAGCGAGCGGAACATCTAGAAGAGAGAGCTCGCTCGCCTCGCGTTTAATCCGCGGGATGGCTTGAATATCCGTAAGTGATCTTGACAGTGACGGTTTCCTGGACCGCATCAAAGCGTTTACATCTGATAGAGTCTTTTGTAACGGTCTGCGAGGCCGTTTCTCTCCTGGTTTAACAAGCGTCTTCCCTAACTTTTGAGCTTTCAACTCCTCAGGCTTCGCTGGTGAAACCGTGACAGGTCCTCCAAGCTTTTTGTTGACGAGAGAAGCTTGCGAAGGTATCCGACTCTTGTAGAAGGGAATGACAACATCAGTACAGAAGCCAGCAAGGAGATCTTGCTCGTAAAGCTTCTCGGTGTTCTCCGCTGAGCTATCTTGCTTCTTATCTATACTTTCGCCTATATCTTGCTCGATTGACTGCCAGATAGAGAGTTTGTCTAGAAGAAGATCAAGCAGCAAATCAAGATCTTGCTGCTTCTTACCCTTGGCCTTCGTTTTCTTTGTTCCAGCTGATTTTCCATCGTCCACATCCTGCTTTTCGGTAGCTTCCCCCGTCTCGGATTCTTTGGTCATAGTATGTGCTTCTTTGAATTCGGTTTGAGCCTCTAGTGCCAGTAGCTCCAAAATAAGAACGATTTGGGCAAGGGTTTCTCTTCTTCGCAGATCGCCCACTCTGCGGCGCACCAACTGCTCGAAAGTTTCATCTTGTCGTGCTCTTGAAGTCGCCGAATGATTGTCCAGCCACCAGCGTCTACAGAAGTCCTCCTCAATAGGATAGAATCCTTCCCTGGAAAGCTTAGGTGATTTTTTTGACCTCCTCTTCTTAGCTGGCATAGACCCGTTGAGCTCATCATCTGACAATACCTGCACTGGGAAACTCTTGATGACCTCTGGCAGCTTCTCACGATATTTCTTGTCCATCTGCGTCATCGAAAGGAGCATTGCTCTGAGATGTGTCGTGAATGTGATCAACGCAGTGCCATTTGTATTTGCCGCAACCGTGTTTCTAGCCCGAGAGAGTGGGCCCTTCACGAAGAATGCAAGCGATGTTTTTGATATGTAAAGCGCCTCCAAATACTGACGTATTAAGCCTTCAAACATCTCGTCAGGTTTGGGACTTTCCATTACGGGAGCAATGATGGCATCCTGTGAGAAAGCGGCCTCGCTTGAGTCTTTCGATAACACAAGAGCAGGAGTTGGGTTGGTAATGTTTTCGGGTGCTTCCTGGGCGTATTTTGACGGTGGTGCCATGCTAAGCTTGACACGTTTATTCGAAGCCGGGGTTCCTTCAGACCTCATTTTGATAACAGCGGAACTCCACCACTTTTTATTACCATGACTGTCTTCGACGTGTTGTAACGCATGTCCTGAGCCTTCTTCGATATATCCTATCTTGACCCAGGCGGACAATTTACACAAAGCATAAACCCTTGGCTTCACTCGTTCTACGGCAACCAGATCCGTTGACTTGGTCAGATTAGCAATGAGCAGGAGCCCGTCAGATGAACCAGCATTGTTGTGTTCCAAAGATTCAATATTTGCCGTGAATAAACGGGAAGGAGACAATAAAGAGCCAGCAGCTGAAGTATCCAGGAAAGACAGTGGTAATCGTGAGCGGGGTACAAGGCGTAAAGGTCGAAGTAGGATTGGCTTGTCGTAGATGGAACCTGGATACATCTGCGAAAAGAGTTAGATATCACGCTAATATAGAGAGCGGAGAGACTATACACGTATGTGGATATCTTCTACGGCCACTGGATCGGTTTCGCCTTCATCTCGTTTCCTCTTCTGCGAACATGGTGATTGTAAGCGCATACTGCCACTCGCGGTGTGGACATGATTCGGCGCCGAGAGTGCTGGAGTTTGCACCTCAGCCGCGATATTGGTCATGACCACATGTATGGATCATAAGGTCGAGGCACAAAGCTTGCCTCATAAGAATGCCTTGAGCTAACAATTCAAGCACGCAAATGCCGAGACCAGAGGTAACGCTTCTCTGGAGAAAACCGGTCGCGTTGAGGCGCGTCGAGCCTGAGGCATCAAATTGTTGGCACCTCACAAACTCAGCCTGAGCACGTGCATCCAGCACCCACTTCTCTTAACCCAGTGACTCATTTGCAATGGATGTTCTTGACCTCCTTCTAGAGAGCTCCTCGGACTCGGTGAAACGATGGAAGCCAGCTGCGTCTGATATCGTTTTTGTCCGCGATGTCCAAATCCAGGCACGTGTAGGGTCAGATGCTTGGGAGCGCGACAAGGCACAGCCAGTCATTGTTTCCGCGAGGTTGCCGTTTTCAATCTCGCAAGCCGGAAAGACTGATGACATATCTCATACTCTCGATTATCGTACCATTTACAAGACCATCCGATTTTTTGACACGGGAGAAAGCGCAAGCTCCACTCAACATGGAGGGCTAATAAGTCTTACTGAGACAATTGCGGACGCGCTTAAGGTTGAACAAGGGGCACAGCTCGTCGTCGAGGCACCTAAAGCATTCTTACATTCAGATGGTGTCATTGTTAAATTACATTGCCTAGACTCTGACCGCACACGTCTTGCTGCTTTGGCTATAAAACAACTACATATACCCTGCATCATTGGAATAGGTGCACACGAGAGACTGCAAAAACAGCCCGTCATCGTTGACTTAGCTGTTCCGGCAAGCGAAATCAAGAGCAGTCATTCCTTACCCAATCTGCTTCGCAATGTCTTTACGGTAATGGTAATCCACCGCGTGCACGACTTCCTTCTATGCTAACGTAGCTTAGAAGTTCGAAAGCTCAACTTTTCTTACTTTGGAAGCTTTTGCTACAGCTCTTGCTCGGTACATTGTTATGGACCTCCCCTTTACCAAAGTAGCAGTGAGCGCATACAAGCCAAGCGTTTTTAGCATGGCTGAAGGCCCTGGAGTTCAGATATTGCGCAATGCAGAATATTTTGAGACAGAGAACGCTTAATTTACATCTACGTCAGAATTAAATTTCATTGGCAAGACCTCGTAATTCATTTTTTGTTCATCGCTATATCGTCTGGTCTCTCAGTATTACTGCTGAAGGATATCTAGATAATCCAACGAGCGTCGGCTCTTCAGGTGGGTCAAGCGGGCTTACTGTTTGTTCTCCATCAAAGTTGTATCTGGCTACCTCAGAGCTGGGTAAATGATATACTTCTCCATTCCTTGGTAGTACCATCGGTAAGTTTGGATTCAGCAAAGGATTGAGTGTCAGTGAATTGCTGTCATTGTACCCGGGAGCTAGATGACGGTCATAACTGCATTCAGATATATCCATCGATGTACTCGCGAATGAAGGCGGTCGTTGATGATGTGATACGGCATGCTCAACTGAAGGAGGCGATGAAGAACGGCTCGGGATTTCTGAACTTGTTGGCGAAGTTATTGCAGGACTAGATTGCTTTGCATCATGTGCCCACATGCTGATCCGGCTGGCAGGCATCGATGCCGTGCCATTAACGAGCGACAGTTGGCTAGTAGTGTTTCTAGTCCCCCGTGCACCACCTCTTATTTTTCTTTTCTTTCCGATGATCGTGGGAAAGAAGGTCCGTCCGTATTTACCAGCATCTGAGTCGATTGACAGGGTCGGCGGAGGTTGTCGTGCATGCACAGTGCACCAACATGTTAGAAGAATGATGGCAAGAAGTGCGAATAAGCCGATCCCTATGAATGCGGCAATCTGGCCTGCTTGTTTAGCCCTCTCGAGCTGGTGGATTTGTGTAGCGTTCAGTGTGGCTTGAGGCGTTCCAGTAACGGTGAGAGTGACTGTGATGAAGCTTGGAGAAACTTGCGACATCTTGAGACACAACTTTGATTGTTGCAGTATAGAAGCGCAAACAGTGTTTTTTAAATTTCCTCTCTGTTCGTATAATTCGTATTCGTCGTATTTACCTGGCAAAGTGTAGAGGGAGCGCAGAGAGACGTGTAGAGGCGAATGTCTAGCTAGTGTCCTATCACATATCTAGATCGAATCAAAAGTGAATATGTGATTGTATTCGTGGATATTTCTTGTAGACTTTCGCAAATCTACGAGCGGGTCGGCTTTATTGTATACGGCACGTCGAAATCACACTTCAGAGTCTCAGCCTGGCTGGCACAGCAATAGGCTTGGTTTCCAAATCATGTATAACTAGTAACCACAGAGCAGCGGCAGACATAAAAATTACGAATAGGGTAAAAATAGGTCTCATCCAAGTGAGGCTGCAGCTAGAGGCTTCGTTCAAAAGAACAAAACGTGGCATTGCGCTTCCGGATAGAGCAAAACCGCATGCAGGACATGAAGGGAGAGGCGAATGAGAAGCTGGGTATTCGGCAAGCAAGCAACTGGAGAGACAGTTCCGGGCGGATAAAGCCGTTGCAGCTGAAGAGTCGTGCATATATGGAGTGAATACCAACAAGTGCACAGCCTTGGCAGGATTGCCCGCCTAGAACCAGAATGTGTCAATCTTGGAAATACTCTCACGGTACGAGAGTAGATCTAATACCTAATTCGACATGCGACAGAAGCTGCGCAAGAAGCTGTGGGGGTTTGATACACTGAACGGCTTTAGATGATCCAGAGTTCGCAATCCAGAACGAGCGTTTCTCCACGACGGATGGATGCATACGTTCTATTGTAAATCTTGTAATCGAGACAGACGGCACGATCGCGTTTAAACGAGATAACGGATCATCGCGGTCGGCGCTGACGATATGCAAAGCCGTGGTATAACCTCATTCTAAAAAAAGGTCAAGTGGTGAATGCTGCGCCTCGGTCTCCCTCCCTCGTTTCATCAAGCGCGCCCACACGCATGAGATTAGAACTAGTTCTAGCGTTTACGCATCATGAAAAACTTGAGATGAGAACGCTGCTTATTTCACCTGATAGTGGAGGCACCAGGTCGTCTCCCAGATCGCACACTTCCTTTCCAGAGTCAGATATGCTAAATAAGACTGACAAGTTAATTTCCAGAAGATCGTGGGACCAAGCCAACGACCGTATAATTTACATGCTGTGTGGCTCTTAACACTTAGACCCAGTGCAGCAAATATATGCAGCACTTCTGGATTTCCCATACGCTGCTTATGAAATTTCCTTATGTTACGCCCAAAACGCGATAAGAATGCGGCAAAGTGCTGCTGACAAGGCTACTGTGAACCAGAATTGTGACGTGAGCTTTGTGGTTTCCACACAGGGCCAAAGCCAAAGGCGTGTTTAATCTTTAGCACGCATCAGCTCCATAAGGTTCTCTGCCATATTGCCAACTCATTGTACTCACATACCCCGCAGCCTTGCAGATGGACTAGCTAAGCGAGAGAGGCCGTCGAGCATAAGGCAGCACCGGCCCATCCTGAACAACCCGCATGAAGGAATGGGAAGAGAAGAATGACCCGCTGTTTCCGATGCAGAAAACAGCACATCTCATGCAAGCCATCATCTGATAGGAGTACTAGGGAGCTTATGAAAGGCGAGCTTTCGAGCGCGTAGAAGCTCTATATGAAACTTGTTCAGCCTGACGCAAGCATCCTTGCAGTGGTCCCAGCATGCAGTTCTGTCTCAAATAACCTCTCCTCTGCTGGCCGCAGTGCATATCAGGCTCCCTACGACGGAAGAAGAAATTCCTTCACATGTTGCAGGTCAAGTGCAAAGTCGTTGCCCACCAAAAGTCAAAGCCTATGATCAAAAATTAGCCCACGTAACATCACAGTCAGCATTGTTCGGTTGCACGGTAAAAGGGTACCATTGTCTAACCCTCTCCACGATGTGAAGGACAGGCGCGAAGAGCGTTGGCAGTGTGCTTTCGAAGCAAACAGTCTCGAAAGCCTTTTTAAACAGAAAAAAAAACCTTCGCAAGCTTACCGGCTTGAAGGTTCAAGTCGCAAGACCAATCCACGATAGTCCTCGCCCTTGGAGTTGAAAATAGGCTATTGGAATGTTCTCAGCCGAAGCCTAAACATATGACAGTAACGATCGCTTATTCTGGATCAAAAGATGAGTAGCATGGTATTTTAATAAGGCCTATATCAAGAATATCCTCAAGAGGATGAACCGACTAAGCAGTACGTTAAATGCTGCTCTTGAGATAGTGCGTGGCTCGTACTGCAAGTCCATCTGGGAATGAGAGCAATATTCGAAAAAAAAAAATTTCTAGCATTTATCAAAGATGGCACCACGGTTAACCACGAGGCTCTACCCCTCTTTCATGTGGATGGCATCAAATGTGAGGCTTCGTTACCTCGCTCAAGCTATGATGGCATCGATGAAGGACACCCAAGTAGTCATTTAGACGCCGGGAAAAAACCAGAGCTTAGCATAGTGGCTCTCAACCATTGATTTTGCGCCTGGGAATACCACTTACTATCGCACGAGGTGTACGTAACTGGACTTCGGACTTTAGAGTCGGCAGCTAGGAGAAAGCCAAGACGCTCTTTCGTCCTAGTGTTCCCGATTCTTCTACATAGGGCCTTACTAGGACATATGAGAAGAGAATCTGGCACTGTATACCCATTCCTCAATTATAAGGCCAGATTGTGCAGTCGCCTTTAAAGCTGCTTCAAACGATACCCACGTGGATGAAATGGAGATGACCTAAAGTGAGCTCTTCAGCTCATGGGATGTACAGAAAGCAGCATAAAGAGACCCCCATTTCCCTTCGCTGATTAGAGTTATCAGAGCACTTTGGGAAGGGTATTCCAACAGCTATGTCCCTGTAGATTTGTTGGACGAAATGCTCTGACCAGGGCTAGACAAGGAGCAAGCGTATTCACGTACCTCACGAGACGCAGTAGAGATATTACACAGACAACTAGTGATGACATCACGGTTAGCACCTGGTGCCAGAGAAGAGCTGAAACCCGATCTCGAGCGTGAAGCGCTCGCCAGCGATCATGAAATTAGATAGTATATGCTAGATCATCTACTCGTTACTTATCACGATGTGTTTGGTACGAGAACGAGCTGAAAAGGGATGTATAGCTTCAGATTCCAGATATTCTCAAAAGGGTATAGGTGGAGGCTGATTGCTCCAAGCGCTTATAAAGGATTGCTTAGAGGAGCTTATTAGTTACCCGAACAACACGATCATCCCATCGGCGTTCCCATCCATGGTACGAAAGAAAATATGACCAGTTGTGCTGTAAGTCACACTCGCAAGGTGAACAGCACATTTCACTAACCAGCCAACCGAGCCATTCGTAGTTTGGGCAAGCCTCAAGCTCAAAGTCTGACATCTCAACATGACTTCGTTCCCTACATAACAAATCCTGGCATCATACCTAGACTCTTTCTGTCGTGGGAAGAGCAGATGGTCCTAGGTTTCCAATCATGTGCGAACAAAAGTGAAGGAGAAAAAAAACGGTGGTTGAAATATGTTGGATCCTCATCCACAGGGTTCCAGGCAAGCCCAACTAAAGGGACTAGCCGGATGCTCGCCTTTTGACAGCCTCAATTCGAGTATGTTGCGTATACGCACTTTGTCAATGTCGAGCGGGGGCCCGCAAACTATAATTCCGGTCTCCCATGATCCGACCGCGAAGATCTCCGGCGCGACGGGACGTTCGTGAGTTGTAAGGGATCTGGACCGGTCGCGAGGAGACGACGTCCTCCGCCCGTTTCAAGAAGCGTACATCTGCACGGTTCTTCCCCTCTGCCCTCGCTGGCGTTCCTCCGCATGCGCCAGCTCCTGTGATTCATCAGACACTCCAGCGAAACGACGCATCTCATTTGCCCGCATCGTAGCGGCCGGCGAATTTATCAAGTTGCAAAATCAACGGGAACGAAGCCGAAGCGGGTTTTTTCAAGCGCGGTCTCTACCGCCGTGTTCATCGTCACAGGCCGCAAGGTAGACAAGACACGCGCGTGTTGACAGAGACGGAGTTTCCGGAGCAGCAGCCGGAATTCTGTGCGGTATCCCGCTTCCGGGGACGGAGCACGACGTTGGTTTGAGCGTCGGCCGTGGACGTCGTCACCGCTGCCAATGACGCGAGGGTAAGGCCATGGGGCACATGTTCCTCTGCGGCGACGACAGGAAGATCCGCGTTGGGCAAGAGTTCCGCCTGATGGGCGTCTCGGGCAGACAGCACTGCAGCGACGCGATCGTTGCTGCTGGCTGGACCTCGAGATGGAGGCGAGCTGGAATAAGGTGGGCGCCAGACCGTCGGCTCGTGGCCGACGTCCAGCCGCAGGAGGGGAAAGGGCCGGACGGCCTTGATGAGAACGAAGGCGACGACGACCGCCAACGTGGTCTGATACATCATGGACGACGCTTTCTCGATGCAGCAGCGTGACAAGGAGGCGAAAGAAGAGCGCAGCTGCAGGAAGACTGTGAGAGAACCGAGCGGGCGTCACTTGACGCAGCGCTTGTCCCTCCTTTTAACGTTCCCTCCCGCGAAAGGCTTCATTCTGTCTGACCGCGTGCACGACGAAGCCAGCGCCTCCCAAGTGGTTGCCTAGTTTTCCGCATCTCGAGCGCGCAAGGGCTGAGGCGAAATGCGACAAAGCATTCTCAGTGAGGCTATACACAACGGTGTACACCCCGACGGTAGGCTAAAGACAGCCCACCGACATGTGGCACTGTTTCGGGGCGTAAACACTGTCTGCTGCACAAGACTCCGCCACCATAATTAAATTGAGGTACGTGCTAATAGGCCGAATCGCCTCGGAGGCCAGTGTCCTCAAACTTTTCCGCGCAAACGGACTGAACAGGAAGAAAAGTACTAAAATAGGCTGAATTCAGTAGAGCGTGTCACGCGGCGAACTTGGAGATCGTAAGCTCAAGTACAGTGATCAAATTACGCCAGCAAACAAGCGTCTTCTACCAGACACATGTCGCAATTTCTTTTAGGTCCTTTGAATTTTCCCCATTTGACATTCAAATCCATTCCATGTTCTGTACAATGAAGACTGTGAGCAAAACACCGAAAGACGCTCCGTCGTCTTTGAGCAGAGACGATTTCTAGAAACGGAGAGCTTCGGCGTGAATGTTGATGCATGTATGCGCCTAGTGTTTGTGCGAGTAAATAAGCGTCCATGACTTGGATATACCCACGACCCAAGCGCGCCCGTAAATAGCTAATGATAATGACGTTGCACTGTCTCCTTGCAAAACGCTTGTCAACGCATAAAGCAGAGTAAATGATGATGCCAATGACGTCGCCTTTGTCGATGTGGAACAAACCATCGCACCTGCTCGAAGCTTCCAGATACACAACGTCCCCTTTAACAAGTGTGCTCTGAAGCGGCAGCTGTCAACAAACGGTGTGTCCCAGAAGGCAGGACGACATGACTTCTGAACTCCCCAGTAATGAAAATCAAAGCTTGCAGATGTAGAGAACAACAGATCCTTCGATACGCCAGCCATGATAAGCCATCGTCGATGCAGGAGATTTTCTGTGAGAGGGAAAAAGAGAACGATGAAAGTTGGAAAATATGGTATCATGAACGCATGCAGGAGTCTGAGAAACATAAAGCAGTCTTGGGCAAACGCAGGAGGAAGCACGATCGGCTGCTGACGGGTGGGTAGGAACGTGTGCTTCGACTTCGGCGGGAGCAACTTGAAGACCTTGCAGAAAGTAGAGGGACTCAAGAGGGCGCAGCAGCAGCGGGAGGTAATGTCTCGACACTGACTCCGTTGCTTTCTTCCTTCTTCGTAACAGTCATAGTGGTGGAGGTGGCAGTGATAGACGAACCATTCTCTTTTCCGATAGTGCCGTCCTTCGAAACCTCCTTTGGCCTGGCCGCTCGCTCTGCCGCCATCTTTGCGTAGATCTCGCGCATACTTTTCGCAGAGCTTCCGTTGAAGCAGCGATGACCCAGATAGTCCCAGAAGCGCTCCTGGCCTTCCAAACCGCCGGGCTGATCTTTGATCCAGTCACCGATGCGTAGTGTGTTCGTCTTGATGCGCTTAACCTTTTCTTTCTTGTCCAGCGTTTGATCGCGCGTGGATTCTGTCAGGTTCGCAAGGTACGGCATGACGGGCGCCATAAGCTCTTGTGTGCGCTTGTCCGTAAGCTCATCGCGTGGAACCTTCTTCTTAGGCACATGTGTACTGGATGACTGCTGTTGGTCGCGGTCATGCTTGGAGCGTGATGTCGTGCCGTTAAGTTCGCTGGATGTGCGGGGACGCTTGCTGTGCTCGTGATGGCCATCCTCATGGCGGCGCTTGAGACCGTGGTGATCGCTGTGTCGATGCGATGATTCGGGCCGATGGCTCTTGTGGCCATGAGAATGTGACTTGTGCTTGTCATGCCGTATATCTGGAGTACCTGTACGGTCTCGCGGTGTAGACTGGTGTCTTCGATCCACGCTGTGCCGCCCGTCCGCATTGCTATGGGCGCGATGACGAGGCTTCTCCGCTTTACGGGGCATGCCCGGTACGTGGGCACCGTCCGGAATCATGGCCTTCTTGATGTTGCGGTGGTGGTTTTCCAGGGAGTCTAGGTCACCAGACGCCTTAGCTTTGAGGACGCTGACTAGGTAGTTGGCGCGGCGATTGAGATGCACCTGCGTCGGTTTGCGAGCTTTGGTTTCTGTGTCGCCTCCCTCCTTGCGGGCGTCCTTGTTCGCGGTGCGCTGCTCCTCCAGGAAGCACTTATCCTTCATGTCTAGCTCAGGGTCGTCACGAATCTCCCACCAAGCACCCCAACCATACTTGGCAATGCCAACCATGAGCATGCCATCCTCGCGGGGGCCCCAGTTGCAAGTGAAATCCTGAGCGGGTTTCATGGCCTCCGGGATGCGGAAGTTCTTCTTCTCGTGCACTTGTCCGACTGTGGCACGAATGAGGCTCATCTCGCCAGGTCGCTCGACCATCGTTGTGGCGTTGTTGCGCTTAACTTTATTATATTCGATTAGCACCTCCTTACGCTCCTTTTTCGTCACCGCCTTTGTATTATTCTTCTCCATTTCTTCGAGACGCTTCTGCTCCTCAGCTATTGCGTTGCGGCTGATTTCCACAATTTCATCAATCGTCGCTCGGATGAGCTCCGGATCGCGCTTCGAGAGCTTCGCCGTCTCGATGATCTTGTCCTGCATCTCATCGAATGAACCCCACTGCTGGTATGCCTTGAGCAACCTGCGTGTCTCGCTTTCGCTGAGAGGCCTCTTCGGATCCAACTCTTCGTCGTCTGATTCCTCAATCTCAGCAGCTGCCTCGCGTTGCGCGTCGCGCGCCCGCTTTTTCGCCGCACGGTGGTTACGCTCCTCGATTGAGTTATCACCGGGCTTTTTACGTTGCCGAGGCCCATCACCAGCGAGAGTCTTGATCATCTCTTGAGTCTTGCGCTCGTTCTCCTCGTCCTGGATGCGCTTGACCTCCTCCTGTGGGACGATCTCGTCCCAGCCTAAGTCATCTAGCTTCACGTCTGTAACCTCAAATGCCTTCAAGAAGTCGTCGTTATCGTCAACAACGTCATCTGGGCCTGTGGGCAGCTCGGTGTTGTGCTCCTCAGCAGATGCAAGCACAGCGTCGATGTCTAGCGACTCGAGCTTCTTCTGATTGTCTGAGCTTGGTTGGAATAGCTTGGTGGCGCCAAACTTTAGAATGCGAGCCATATCCTCCCGGCTGGGCCCTTTCTCGCCACCGACGATGACACCCTTCTTTGCGGCCTGTTCCTGGATCTCGGACTCCTTGCCACCCTTCTGAATTGTTACATACTCTAATACAAGCTTGTTCTTTGCCGCCTCTAGAATCTTCTCCTCAATTGAGTCCGCAGAAACAAGGCGGTAAATGGTGACTGGTTTGGTCTGCCCTATACGGTGCGCGCGGCCCATGGCTTGCAGGTCAGCATGCGGGTTCCAATCCGAATCAAAAAGGATGACGGTATCAGCGGTCATGAGATTGATACCTAGACCACCTGCTCTCGTTGACAAGAGAAAGCAAAAGTCCTCGCTGTCTTTCGCGTTGTACCTGTCGATGGCAGCCCTGCGGGCACTCGCTGCTGTCGTGCCGTCTAGTTGCTGAAACTTGTGTCCTCTCAGCCGCAAGTATTCGGCCAAAATGTTCAACACCATGACCATCTGGCTGAAGATGAGCACTCGGTGGCCCTCGCGTTTCAAGCGCTCGAGTAACTTATCCAACAGCATCATTTTGCCACTAGTAACGACCAGATCGCGCAAGCGCTCCTCTTTGCTCTTTTCATGCTCTGTCCAGAAGCGTTCCTCCGCGGCCGGGAATAGAAACGGATGATTGCTGGCCTTCTTAAGCTCCATGAGTATGTTGGAGAGCGAGACCTTCTGGCCCTGAACGCCCTTGTTGAGAGCCTCGTAGTTACGCAACGTAATGTTCTTACAGTACTCTTGCTGCAAATCCGAGAGATCAACGCGCAGCACCTTCTCTGTCTTGGGCGGTAGCTCTTTCATGACCTGCGCCTTAGTGCGGCGGATCATGTATCTATTGATGTCCGAGCGAAGCTGACCAAGTTGCTCAGCGGCGCCTTCGATGTCGGTCAGATCGATCTTTGGGTCGACCTGGATGACGCCCGGCATGAGAAAGTCCATCAAGGACTTAAGCTCAAGCAGATTGTTCTGCATGGGTGTTCCTGTGATGAGCAGTTTAGCGTCAAATGACATCGACTGCAGCGTCTCGTATAATTGAGATTCGGAGTTCTTGAGCCGGTGTGCCTCATCGACGGCTAGGTACTGCCACTTAAACTGGCGCAAGAAGTTTACGTTGCGATTCACAATCTCATACGTTGTCAGAAGAACGTTAAAACGAGGCTTGCCGTCTTTAAGCAGCTCGTACTCCTGGATGATCTCCAGTGACGCCTTATTGCCGTGGTATGTGATGTAGTTCAAGTCGGGCGTCCAATTATCAAACGTCTCTGCCCATGCAGGCATGGTCGAGAGTGGTACGACGACCAAGAAAGGTCCCTGTTGGTTGCGGTCGTGGCGCAAGAAATTCAGAAATGAGACTGTTTGTACCGTCTTACCCAGGCCCATCTCATCCGCAAGCATGATGTTGTGGTAACCAGTCCAGTGCAGGCACAGCCGGTTCAGGCCATCGAGCTGGAAGTCTCGCAACTTCCCGTACTTGATGTATTCCGGTTGCTCGGTAAAGCGCTTGAACTGCGGACGTTGCGTCAGCCTGGTCGATTTGGGAATGTTCTGGCTGCGCTCGATGAAAGCATCAATGGCTTTTTGATACAGCTGCTGCACCTCCTCGGGTTGACTAGACATCGCATCCTCCGTCTCCCACGAGCATTGATCATATTCCTGACCTCGCCACTTGACGTAATAGTGCGTGACTCCGTCAATGACTTGCGAACCGATGACACGTTCCGGCTTGTTCTCGGCCGCGATCTTCTCGGCCAGCAGCTCATAGTGCACGAGGTAACTCTCTCGTTCGTCGATCGGCACGTTTTTGCCAGTCTGCAGCCTGATGTGTAAATTCACGCCTGTCTTCTCATGTACGGCGTAATTCTGAACCTTCTTGAAGCCACGAGTGGTCTTCAGCGTTTCCCACTTCTCCCACGTGGCATGTATGGAACTCTGACCTTGCCACTTGATAAGGTACTCGAAGTCGGTCTTATTCAAGTCCTCCTTGGTCCATTCAACGCCCTCGGGGAGTCGGTGGTACAGGACCCGATCCACATATGGCGAGTTGTCCTCGTACCATTCCTGCACGGCGTCTTCGTCTATCAGGTCTTCGTCGAAAGCGTCCTCGTCATCATTGTAGTTTGTGACCGCATTTCGCTGCCGTGTCGAAAAGCGTACTTCAGCAACGGTAGGAGGCGCGTTACCATTGAGCACATCTCGTCGTCGCTGTTTCTGCTTTTTGCTGAGCACGTCACGGCGGCGGCCGACGTATGCCTCGGAATCGGAATCAGAGTCGCTTGCGACAGCTGGGGTAACTGGTTTCGATGCTGTGCGACAGGTCAGACGGGAGAAAGAGATATTACCTTAGATCGTAACGTACATTTTGGTGGTGAGCGTGGCTTCCGACGTCGCCGATTTCGTGGAGCGACGTCTGAGGTTGAATCGTCATCGTCTTCGCTGCTCTCCACCTTATGTGCAAGTTAGCCTACAATTGCCCTCTGCTTGTGAGAAAAATCCATGGACGTGAGAGAACTTACCACTCGTCTAGGTACTATGCGGGAGCGGACCTGTGGAATAACGGTCTTGTCAGCTGGAGTCGTGGTGGTAGTGGAGACGCGTAGTCGTTCAGGCTGGTGATGGGGTTTTGGAAAGACAACTTACACTGCGACGAATGCCATACAGTTCCGGATTCGCTGCTATAGCCTCGTCCATATCCTCGTCACTGAACTTGCGTTTTCGCGACTGCGGGTCCGGAGACGATGACGGTCGTGATGAAGGGCTGTGAGACGAGCGGGCGGTAGCCGAAGGCCCGAGGTCATATTCGTCATCAGCGGAACCTTCGGCATCCTCGTCCGAGCCTGATTGCGAGCTCTGCGCGTCCTTCTCATTTGCGGCGTCGGATTCGGCCTCGCTCTCGACACTGGTTGATGGAGACTCGATGGCAGATGGTAGCTGCGGCTCCGAGAGCTCGCTCTCGGGTTGTGAGGATAGAGCGGCGTCAGTGTTGGGCATGTCAGACGGCATAGGAGACAGATTGCCGTTCGTGTGAGGTGGAAGGGAGGGAGTATCAGGCCCCGCGGGCACTTGTAGAGACGCGGCTGAGACGGTCAGTTAGCGATTGCGTGAGAACAGTGTGGCAGGGGATTGCGGAAGCGAAATGGGGACGCAGCGACAAGCGAGGCGACCTCAAAATACAGTATTGCGACGCACAGCGGGACGAGGGGAGCGAATGATGGCCATCCGATGTTGGAATTCACCTCCGGTGGATGAGTGTGAGATGGGTGACGACCGAGTGGGCGTACGGCGAGACGCGGGGAGGCGGCCACGACGGCAGAGGCCAGCAAGCAACACGACGCGACCAGGACCAGCGTGAATAGTCACGTCTCGAGCGGAGAAGAGCAGAATTGGCGGAAAGCGAGGAGAGCGGGTGTGTACCCAAGGCAGGGCGGAGGACTGGCGGCAGGCGGGCTGAGGTAGTTCGGGCGGCTTGGGAGCAACACCGGGGGGAAATAAGCAGATAAACTTACATTCCATGATGCATGAAATCCGCGGAGCAAGTGCCAGGCAGAGGGAGGTTGTGAGAGAGGAGAGGGCGGTGGTGGTGGTCGGGTCGTTTTGGTAGCAAAAGTGAGGCCTCACGAGCGAACGGGAACTCAGACGTCGTTTGCAAGGCCCTGGCGAGCGCTCACACGCACACACACGAGGAGATCCGCGGTCGGGCAGATGGCGGCCTTGGCGCCTGGGGCGGGCAATCACGGTGATCAGGCCCGAGGCGTGAGCACAGCACGGCACGGCACAGCGGCGTAGATCCAGTCACGCAAAGAAACTGCGAAAAGAGCGTGGAAGCACGAAGAAATCCTGCACGCGGCCCGCCTTCCGCAGCGTCTTCCAGAGCTCACGACGACTGTTAGACTATGTAGCGTGGTACTATGTAGCGTAGCATGATCAACCTGGATGAGAGTTCTCGTTTGTCCAATACAGAGTATCACAGTACTTTGCGTGGCGTGCATACGACGGTGCTCATGGAAAGGGACAATTCAACATGGAGCCCTACACTATAGTGGACTCACACACTCATGAGTCCTGAGCTGCTGTCCGTACAGCGGACTCTGGCCCACGCTTGCCGCGGGCTCGTTTTGGGGAGAAACACGCCCACCAATCAGGGCCAGCCAAATTGTCGTTACTAACCAACCACAGCAAACCACAGCGCACACAGCACACACACCCACAGTCGGCTTGGAATTCACAACAACCAAAAAGATCCTGCTGCGCTTCGAGCACGCGTTCTGACCAAGTCTGACTTCCTCCTCCTCTGCCTTGTACAGCTTCTCCCTCGTGAACGAAGAGTTCGCTCTCAGTACTGGACTGGCCATTCGGTTGGCCTCGTCGCTGCGGCACGCCAACAGCGAGGTAGTGCTGCCTTTCCCGCCAGCCCAGCCTAGCCCAGTGTCCCTGCCTTACCCACCCTTACGTACCCGTACTTACCCCCCATCCCACTTTTTCGAAATTGTGCTCTGTCACCCACCGTACCACCAACACCCTCCGACAGTGACGAGCAGCACTTTGAGCTTGCAGTCAAAATGGCGGACAAACTTACCAGAATCGCTGTATGTCTAGGCACTCTGCACCTCCGCCAAAATGGCTGCTGTTCTCCCAAGTCTGACTCTCATCTCTACAATTTAGATCGTCAACAGCGACAAGTGCAAACCTAAAAAATGTCAGTCAGAACCCCTTCTGCATATGTATCGCCAGAGTCCCAGGGCTGACCGACGTGCTGCTCTTAGGTCGTCAAGAATGCAAGAAATCATGCGTACGTTCTGGGCTTTTAATTCCACATATGATCCCGCCTTCCTACCAACCATGCTCGCTTCATGCCAGATCCAACTCGTCACCTTACAAGGCCTGCACAGAGTGATCAGGCGGCAGAGCTGAAGCCCTGTCTCGCCAGTGTATCGACGAGAAGACTAGAACATGACAATATCTGTGTTCAGGTTGTGCTTGTGCTATGACGAGGCAGGAACCGAGCATGGTCGGAAGATGAACTACACCACGCTCAAAATCTCTGCGCACACACGTGCATACTAACATTTTTCCCAATTCTAGCCTGTCGTCCGCACAGGAAAGCTGTGCATTGAGGTAACGGCAGACTCAAAGATCGCCTTTATAAGCGAGTCCCTCTGCATCGGTTGCGGTATCTGCCCAAAGAAGTGTCCCTTTGATGCTATCACCATCATCAACCTGCCCACGAACCTTGAGTAAGTCTTCTTGCCCTTCGCGGGATGAAATCTGTATCAGAGCAAGAATTTACCAGTCTCTCCGCACTAGGTCCCAGGTCACACACAGATACAGCGCCAACTCGTTCAAGCTGCATAGACTGCCGACCCCACGACCGGGCCAAGTCCTTGGCTTAGTCGGTACGAACGGTATTGGCAAGTCTACCGCCTTGAAGATTCTGTCCGGCAAGCTCAAGCCCAACTTGGGTCGGTACGACAATCCGCCCGACTGGCAGGAGATTCTGAGATGTAAGCACGACCAAACTCTTACCTCGCAATAACGCAACCTTTTGTGTCAAGAAGAGCTCAGTAGATCCGGCACACTAACTTTGCACGTGCAAATAGATTTCCGTGGTAACGAGCTTCAGAACTACTTCACCAAGGTGCTCGAGGACAATTTGCATGCCGTTGTGAAGCCACAGTATGTGGATCAGATCCCCAAGGCTATCAAGGGGCCTGTGACTGCCGTAGGCGAGCTTGTCAAGAGCCGCTCTGCGAACGATAACTTTGACGAGATCATCGACGTGCTTGAACTTCGCCATGTAAGCATCACATCACCCTCAAACACACACACCAATAATTTTGCAACGATGAACTGACATGGTTGTTCCAGCTCTACGACCGAGATGTCAAGCTCCTATCCGGTGGAGAGCTGCAACGTTTTGCCATCGGCACCGTATGTGTCCAGAAAGCCGACGTCTATATGTTCGACGAGCCCTCGTCCTTCTTGGATGTCAAACAACGTCTCAATGCCGGCCGCATGATCCGCAGCCTGTTGCATCCTGATGACTATGTCATTGTCGTCGAACACGACTTGTCCATTCTAGATTACCTTTCTGACTTTGTTTGCGTGCTGTACGGCAAGCCGGCCGTATACGGTGTTGTATCGCTGCCTGCCTCTGTCCGAGAAGGCATCAACATCTTCCTCGACGGTCACATTCCTACCGAGAATCTGCGCTTCCGTGAGGAGTCTTTGCAGTTCCGCATCGGCGAGGCTGGAGAAGAATACGCCGTTGACGCGTCGCGCGCCTACTCGTATCCGACACTAGAGAAGACTCTTGGCGACTTCCATCTCAAAGTTGAGAAGGGTGAATTCACCAATTCGGAGATCATTGTCATGATGGGTGAAAATGGAACAGGCAAGACGACGTTCTGTCGCATGCTTGCTGGTGCCGAAAAACCCGATGGCACCAAAAAGATGCCTCCGCTTAACATTAGCATGAAGCCTCAGAAGATCAACCCCAAATTCCAGGGCACCGTTCGCCAGCTGTTCTTCAAGAAGATCAAGGCTTCGTTCCTGTCGCCCCAGTTCCAGACCGACGTGTATAAGCCGCTCAAGATCGATGACTTCATCGATCAGGAGGTGCAAAACTTGTCTGGCGGTGAATTGCAGCGTGTTGCCATCGTGCTTGCTTTGGGCATGCCTGCAGACATCTACGTTATTGACGAACCTTCGGCCTACCTTGACTCAGAACAGCGTATCATCGCCGCACGCGTGATCAAGCGCTTCATCATGCACGCCAAGAAAACCGCTTTCGTCGTCGAACACGACTTCATCATGGCTACATACCTTGCAGACCGCGTCATCGTGTTCGATGGCCAACCCGGCAAGGACGCCCGCGCCAACTCGCCCGAGAGCCTGCAGACAGGTTGTAACCGTTTCCTGAAGAACTTGGATGTCACCTTCCGCCGCGATCCGGTCTCGTACCGGCCACGCATTAACAAGTTGAACTCGCAGCTGGATCAGGAGCAGAAGTTGAACGGCAACTTCTTCTTCTTGGAAGATGAAAGTTGAGGTTATTTTTGTTAACGCCAAGGGTGAACGCAACGATGGAAACGGTCATGGCAAATATGATAGGGAGAAGAAAAGGGACCGCCGCCGACGCCGTCAACAACATGGGAAGAGACGGGCTCCTAACCTGCTCGGTATGAGCTTGGGCGGTGCAGCCGCTCGACCTCGCCGCCAAGCTGGGCTTCCCGACGAGGAGGCCGTCGCTGCGGAAGACGACGACGAAGATGACAAGGGAGAAGTGTGGCGCGTCTACCTCCTGTCGCAGCGAACATCTTCTGCCGTCCGATGGTTTTCGAGGACACAGACCAAGAAGAGCTGTGCGCTGAACGGGTCAAGATAAGGTGATCGCCACAGCAGTCATCACGTCTCACGATCAGACAAAAAAATATCAAGGACGGATCTGGACCCCGTCTGTTTGCCATCTGAACGGACCGCAAGTAGATAGAAAAACAGAATCTCATCTCGCACCCTGCGAGGACTAACATTAAAATTGAACAAGTCTAGTTATTTGCACCCTCTCCGCCGAAATGCCACGCAGATATGCTAGGGCGGTCGCGGTGTGACCCTCTTAGCGACCTGGTCTTGAAAACCGGTGTTTCTCTCCTTACTCCCCGCAGAGAAAAAGAATGTAGTAGCACATTGATAACCCTTTAGCGCTCACGCTGCGCGTCACGTGTAAATGCATGAAAGGAAGCCTCTTGCTTGCGGAGGTCTTAAACAGACAGGACCTGGCTGGACCTTTGGAGCAGTTCCCGGGTCCTGCTGGTGGCTGCACCTGAGCAAGAGAGATGATAAATGCTGGATGTTCGGACACTAGCTTGTACCGCATAGCGACGTTCCGCTGTGAGCACGCAGCAGACATGACTTGTCGCAGCGGTCGAGTGCTGACGTGACGGAGCGCCTCTGGGGCTGCTAGGCCAGCGAGATAACGGGATTGGTTCTCTACACACACTCACACGCACGCACGCGATGCACGCGAAATTCAAACTCAGGCAGCACGAACAAACGAATTCAAACTTTTCTGCATGCTAAGAAGAATGGAAAGCTACATACCGCAAGATAAACCAGATGGGAGGGCAAGCACCACGCCTTCACTTTTTCCCTTGCCGCTGCTTGCCTTTGCCAGTCATTCATCGGATAAAAAAAGGAGTTAAAAGAGTCTATTAGCCATAATGTCCTCGAATCAAGGCAAGGGGCGTACATAGTGCGGTCAAAATCTCCTCTCGATTCTGTCTGAAATGTCCTTGTGCGTCACGCACCACGTCTAGTCTTCTTCTATTTCGCCCTCCTCGCTGCCCGAGTGGTACCCCGCATCCGGCTCTGGCGCCTTAACAGGCGTCCTTGACCTCCTCGAGTCACGCGACTCGCGTGGGCTGAGCGTATCGCGATCGTACCGCTTGAGGCGCTGAACTGGGCTCAGTCTCCCATCGTCGTAGTCTTCATAGTGCAACCTTGGTCGCTTGTACGGATTGATGCTACTGACCTTACTGCTACGCGTGCTGTCCTGATCGCTGTCCCTTCTGCGCCGCGAGCCGCTGCTCGGACGCTCATCGAGGTCGTAGTCGAGCACTGCGGTTCGGTCTTTCGGATCCGCACGGCTGAGATACAAGCGTTCTCGTTCGGCTTCGCGATCGCGCCTGTCACGCTCGTAGTGGTTGCCACTTACCTTGCGGCTCTCGCGCCCTTCACGTCCGTCGTAGCGATCACCGTCCCAGTCTCTGCTTCGAGGAGGGGGTGAAACACCGGGGATAGTTCGCTTGTTGTAACTACGCTCACGGAGTGCCTGCGCTTTGCGCCGCTCCGCCTCGTAAGCATCTACTTCTGGCGTGGCTGTACGATGACGCTTTGAGTGGCCATTTCGATGATCCCTTTCCCTCTCCCTCTTGTCATCTTCCTCCCGTTCCTTCAAGCGGCGAATGAACTTGTCAAATGCAGAGCGGCGCAAGTCGTCTGAGTCTAGAGCCTTATACTCGTCATATTTCTCAAGTCGCGGACGTACCTGCTCCCAAGAGTCGTCGACACGCACAGGTGGATCAAGTCGCTTTAAACGCGAGCGTAGATCATCCATCTCGCGACGGTAATGACGCTCATTCTTGTGACGCTCTTTCTCCTCCCGCTCCTGCACTTTGGCAATCAAGCGATCATAAATCATACGAAGGGTGTCCTTATCATAGGACGCTGTAGTTGAATCAGCTTGCATTACGGACCTGAATTCATCGAAAGAGGTCTTGGTGGTCATTTCATATCGTTCAGCCTGGAAATAATTAACGACCATTCGCAACGGGTAGTATCGAGCGTTCTACATACCTCGAGCACGTCATAGACAACATTGCGCTTAGCACGTAATTCACGGTCTTCTTCCTCCACAACATCCCAAAACAATTCTAGAGGAGTAGAACCACTCTGGCCGAGCATAGCATCATAGCGAGGATCGTCCTCAATCAAGGGTTGGATGTCGGACCACTTTGTGTTAGCTTTGATCTTGCCGGCATTTCGGAGCTCACGAAGAAGACCGTTGTAGGCATCTCGATTTTGACGCTCACGGCGCGCCTTTGCAAATCTCTCCTCCTGTCGCTGCTCGTGTAGAGCGCGCTCAGCCTCCTTTTGGAAGGACTCAAAAGCCTTGATCAGTTCGAGCTTGGGAAGTCCGCGAAGTTGCTCGTCATTCTCAAAAGCTTCACTTGATGTAATAAGACCTTGTGCTTCAGACCAACGAGTAAGTGGTGTGATGTTCAGTTTTGGCAGCAATTCACTCAGCTTGTTGAGAGCGGCCTTGCGGCTGGCTGTCTCCTTCTCCATGTGTTCCTTGTACGCTTCAGCTCTAAACTCGTTGAACAGCTGTATACGCTCGTCTTCATGTTTTGCAGCTTTGAAAACCATCTCTTCTTCGATCATGGGACGAGCCGTAGACCATCGAGTGTAGTAAGTAATCTCGGGATGTGATTTCAGCATCTCGAGGAACTCTTCGCGTAGTTTCGCTTGTCTCTCTTTCTCGCGCTCCTGTTCTTCGGCACGTGCTTGCGCAATATACTTGTCAAACGCAGCTTTACGATCCTTGGCATCTTGAATGGCTCGGTATGCTGGATCTCTTACTGCGGCTTTAACGGCCTGCTCCCATGACCAATGCGACTCGACTCCGATACGTTTGAGAAGCTTGAAAAATACGGATTCTGCTTCTTGCAGAGTTGCATATTGCTCCTCCTTACCTGCCGCAGCGGTCCCAAAACCTGCCACACGTTCAGTCATGCTCCGTTCAGGCTGTCTGTACTCGTTAGATTCATTCTTTGTAGTAGCGGCACCAGCGATGAAAGTACTATCATACGTTAGCATACAAGATTGCAATTCATGGAAAGAAAACGTACGGAGCTTGAGCACGAGAAGTCTGCGCATGCGGCTGGGTGCCAGCTTGCTTGAGCACTTCCGGCATTTCCCACTGAGTCTTCTTATTGATTGTGTCTTCATAATATTTGCGTCCATCAGGCGCAGTATGAACTCTCCATGCACTCGCAGGCGTAGGGATAACTTGGCCCTAATGATATCATGTTAGTTTAAGATGTTAAAGCTCCGCGTGCAAACTACTGACCATTTCGGCCGGCTTCTCCCACGTGGTCGCATTAGTTTGCACATTGTAGTAGTATGTGCGACCATCTGGCGCCTTCGCCTCTCTCCATAGCCCTGCGGCACTCATCTTGTAGAAACTGTGTTATCGTAGAGACTAATTGAGTCGCATGCGGAAGTGAGATGCGGCGAAGCTAAAAGACGAAGATCGACCGAAAAGTGATTGGGCCACAAGGCACCAATGCTTGGCATTGTTCTGTCCCTAAACGAGGTAGCAGAAGATCCGTAAGCAGAACTTAAATCAGCAAACTAGATGTGAAAAGCTTGATCCAGAAATGGCTGCTGCTGATCAAGATTCCCGCAGCAGGACCAGTAGCGACTTTGTGGATGACACAATTCTCGAGGCCTTTGTCCCAGCTGCATCTCAAGTCAACGTTCAGGAGCTTCTCGAGACGTGGGATGGGGAGATTTTAGAAGACAAGAACACTATCGTGCCATTTATTGAGCAGAGGCAGTTTCTTCTTCTAGGTAGTCTCGCATGATACATGTCTAAATAGTATACGAGCTCATTGTTCGACGTAGATGAAGAAGTGCCTGTCCATGTGGTGTTACGAACGAGGCTCCTCGATGAAAAAACTCTGGAGGCGTTTCTCGCTCGCCTGGCTATAACGCTCGAAGCGCGAGCCTATGGTACTCTCCACGTCAAGCCAGGAGAGAACGAGAAGCCATCGCCTGTGAACGAGCTCCTCTTTCAAGGCGCCATTGATCAAGGTGAAGAGCCAACGATATGTGCTACGGAAGTACAGCGCGAAGGTCACGAGGGCCCAATCCAGTATCTTTATATATTCTGGAAGATTACGGTTCCTATATGTAAGTTCTGCCTCCTGTATCATCCGCCAAGCAGGTTTACTCATGCCATCCAAGCTCGACCAAAATCAAAAATCAATAAACTCTCCGTGTACTTTACGCCCATCGCATCGCTTAAGCCTGTCGAGAACACGAAGCTTGTGGCTGTGGACGATGAATACCTAACAAGCGGAGTGCTGCAACCTATCAACCTGCTTGCTCCGCTGGCAGGCGATCCCGCGTTGAAGGGCGTAAAGCCAAAACTGCTGATATCAGGCATGTACCGAAACCCGACGACTCCTGCGGTCAGCGAACTTCAAAGAAAATTGCGAAGCGGCTCTAGAAGGTTGTTCCGTTCAGCGCCGGCATTCTTGTGGAGGCTGAGGTTTACAAATTCCCCAGCGATTACGGAGCGAAGAGCCACCATTGTGTCGCTGGATCTGGAAATCACACCCTTCGCTGGAAGCGATGTATGTCTCGAGCATGTGCGGCTCGACCTGCAGAAAGGCAAGGTCGAAACGATGTGTTCACCTCTTCCTATGCAATGCAAGCCTGGCGATCAGGTCACTCTACTATACAAACTCTGGCCAGGCAGCAAGGAGGATCTCTCTTCGTTAGGGGGAAACCTACCTACTCTCAATGTCGAGATCGCTGGGACAGTCCTTGTGTCCGAGATGTGCATTCCAAAGATAAGATTCACTTGGGCCACTCCAATCGAACTGCCCTCCACGCGGCCAAGCTCACGAGCGGGTGCAAATAGAGATCCTCCAAAACCCCTAGGACCAGATTCCTTCGTAACTCCCCCAGAGCAATATACAGCAAACGACACGACAGCAATTACAAATGGCGTAGTCATCTCAATCACTGGTCCACCTAAAGTCACTGTTGGCAAGCACTTCACGTGGGAATTGTTCGTAATAAATCGGTCCGAGAAAATGCAACGGCTTGCATTCACAGCTGTGCCGAAGCGAAGACCTTGGGCAAAGCATAGGCAGAAGGACTCCGGGTCATCTATTCAAACTAGCGAGCAGCCTGATTCGTCTACGAAAAAATCTTTAGCGGAGCCGGTACTCGATGAACGGCTTATCTATATTGAACAGCGCAATGCAGTGCAGGAACCTACGTCGCTGATATGCTTGAGTCCAGATGTGCGTACAGGGTAAGTGGTTGTCTCGCTCACGGCAATTTTGCGCCGAATTTTTCCTAACTGGTGTTTCAGACCTTTGGCACCTGGTGCTTGTTTCATGACAGAGATGAAGTTTGTGGCTCTTGCAGTCGGAGTGCTCAACTTGGAAGCATTGCGTGTTGTGAATCTAACCTCCCAGACACAGGATACAGTGGACGTGCGGGATTTACCAGATATATACGTCGTGGAGTGAGGACTGCTCGAAGGGTGAGAGTAGGAAGTCATAGTTGCGACGGTTGACAAGGCCGCAGTGATGAAGACTAGAGACCTTTCAGAGATACCTCGTATGATTAGAATACTAAACACATAATTTGTCAAAGGAGAATACATTCCCTCATGTCCCGTTTGACCTCGTGTGCTTTTTGTGGTCCACTTTACAACAAGGCGACCTGCGTGACCAATCGCATATTGTACCATCCGACGCTGAGGCGGAGACAAGCGACGATCCTGGACCGTACACCCTCCCTCACAAGCCTCTGCTGACTTCTCCCCTTCTGCCTTCGCTCTCTCCTAAGTCACCGTAACTAACCCCTCTCGATATTCAAAGGGATATCATAAACCAGGTTTCGCGATACTGAAACCGACGCCGCAGAACAACACCGGCGTGCTTTGATACGCTTCCCAGCGCCTGCCCTTGGCGCCGCCTCTTCCGCTCTACGTCACAAAACGCTCATAGCAGCCGCAGGGCTTGCAACCCGATTCTGCACCCCTTGGACATCATGATAACTATGTTTGAGTCGCAACGACGCCGCCTGCTGTGGACTCTGAATTCGCGTTACATCTACGGAACAGTGGTATGTCTCTTCCGCCTGTGGTGGGGGCAATCGACGCGATGGAGACAAGTCAGGCTAACGACTTCTCGGACCCCTAGCCACTCCTTCATACGCTCATTTTCCTAATCGAGATCGCCATGGTGACGGTGATAACCAGGAAGTTTAATTCTTATTATGCGGCGAGGCCAGGTACAGAATGCTGGCACATTTGAAGGACGGGGATTTGTGCTTACTGGAAGTCACAGTGTTGACGACGATGATCACGAACGCCGTACGTACTTCACGCGCCGAACCACGATACCTACCCTCACCCATGCACCCACGGCTCTACGCATTCAAAGGTACTAATGTAGCATATGACAGATCCTCGGTGGCATCGCAGACACGACCGCTCAGGGCATAACGGCGATACGTCAACGGGCAGTCCGAAAACCTGGCGGCCCCAGCGCTCAAGAAGACTACGTCGCCATCGAGATCCACGAACTGGATCGCAAGAATCCTCTGGGACCTTCAGAACTCATCCCTGACTCGCCTAGACTACCGCCTCCCTTCGACTTCGAGCGTCTGGCTCGCTTCATTGCCTATCCTTTCCTCATGACGCCGCTGCAGCACCAGTGGTACTCCTTCCTGTCGCGGACATTCCCATTAGTCAAGGGCAAGGGCATGAGCGTAGCGTTCAAGAGGGTGGCATTTGATCAGTTTCTGTTCGCGCCCGTGGGATTGGCATGCTTCTTCACTTTCATGACTTTCGCCGAGGGAGGTGGACGCAGCGCGCTGCTGAAGAAGTTCCAGGACGTGTACGTACCTACTCTGAAGGCCAACTATGTCGTGTGGCCGGCGGTGCAGATGTTGAACTTCAGAGTCATGCCGCTACAATTCCAGATTGTAAGTTGTACCCGTCGCTTTCGTCGCTTATCAGGGCTCCGCCGCTGACAGTGATGCCAGCCATTCGTGTCTCTTGTTGGAATCGCGTGGACGGCATATCTTTCCCTCACGAATGCCAGCGAAGAAACCTAAGTCAGCGGTTCTATTTTTCCTTTTTACGACTCCTTACGAACACTGTTTATCACGCTGGGCTTGGAAAACGCATGGGTCGGAGTACTGCTCTTTTTTTATAACGTGTCAAAGCAAGTCTTGAAAGGAAAACGGACTGCTGCATGTTAAACTATTTTGACGTCCTCAACCTGCAGGTGAACCTAGCAGATGCAATGAATATAGCAGAACACTTTTCCTGATACATTTGTATCACGATGTAATCCACATGAGCGTGTCCCTTCTATTCAACTCTAGTCGTGTAGCCATGCTTGACTGCGATCCACCAAACAAGGTTTCCCTTTTTTCCCCTTCTTATATCATAACTCATCCCACATCAAAGTAGCATCAGCTGATCTCGAAAATTTACGCCTCCGTCTGAGGAGCTGAGGGCGGATCGTTCACGCTTGGCTGCACACCCGCCTCCCGCAAGGGCAGTTCGGCATTCTCCTCCGCTTTCTTCGCTCCCGGATAGCCGGTTCCCTTGTTCTTCACCTTCTTCACCTTCTTGACGATCTCTGGAGGCGGATAGGCCCTCGCATCGCATTCTTTCCATTCCTTGTCGGCCTCAAACTTTTTACGTATGGGTTCTAGGATCTCGTTTAGACCCTTGGTGACGGCCTGTTTGAGCAGTTGTGGGGTGAGAATGTCAGCGGCGTAGTCATCGTTCCTGGGACCGAGGTCAGCAGATGAATGAAAAGGAGAAAAGAATGCATGCAGGAGGTCGTCCGGCAGATAATGTCTGCAATTTCAGGCACGTACATTTGCTTGATGTCTGTGTAGACGAGCGGCTCGAGGTTGTCCCGTGATCTGTCGACGATAAACTCCTTCTTTCTGCCGCCAATGCCTGATGCTGGCAGCAGCACATATTCAGTGAATGCGAGTAATGCCTGTAGATCAAAATCATCAGACTTGAAGGGGTAGGTTAAGTGAGACTAGCACTCACATTGCCCTGCGGCTGCTTAGGCACAGCGAGAGCCTTCTTGATTTTCCTAGCGACCGTAGCCTCGTCATCGAGCAAATCGATCTTTCTGCACCTGGTCAATGTGGTCGTCATGCGTGTGTAACGAAGAACAGCCTTACGAGTTCTCATCGCTTGAGCTCATCTTGCCAGATTCGCCTGTTCCACATTAGTGTCGCGCGTTCTTCAAAGTCCCCCCCAAGAATACATGCCTAGACCGGGAATCAACGGGTTCAATAGGTGCGCTCGCTGCTTGTAGCCGAGCTTCGGCAGCCATTCGATGGCGGCTGTGAAGAGTTTGCGTTGATCAACACCTCCAAATTGTATGTCTACTCCCAAGTGTTCCTCATCGAGAACTTGTAATAGCGGGTAGAGGAGACCACTCAGCGGGGCGTTGTCAGACTGTTTGACAACCTGCAGGAAGGTCAGTCAAATGTCAGATTTTGTAAGATTCTGAGACCCGCACCTCTGCGCCCGCTTTCTTTGCGTCATGCTCCGACGTAAGTGCGGCCAGCTTGTAAACGTCCCTGGTGTACTGATCAGCTAAATGGGCAGTCCACGGGCAAAAGTTGTACGCACATGACATATTTCTCCGTTTTCTGGTAGGAGCTTCCAAGCACGAACTCTAGCTTCTCTGTGGGTACGCCGACTGCCTCAAGCATCGCCGTTATGGTGTGCTTGTAGTACTGCGCTCGCGCTTCGACGAGCGGAAGCGGCGCCTTCAAGCTGTCAAGGAAGCCATGGCTGTAGAAAGTTAGAAGGCACGTTCGTAGAAAAGAGGCTGTATCACACGCACATGTCCGCAAGCAGTATTTTCACGTGGCAGCCCGCCTCGAGGAATTGAGCGCTGACAAAAGAGTTAGTATGCTGACGCCGCAAGAGATAATATTGGGATGTGCTTGCATTTTTATCGCAGGTACCTATTCCTGAGTTAGTTCTCTAGCCATTTCACCATGGGACTCGTCACATACGAAGTAGCCACAGTGAGGTCGACCAGTTGTTGCCGTTCCCCTAAATCAGTTAGTTGGGACGTTTCTTCCTTCAACATCTGCAAAGGATCTGATAAGTGCTCTCAAAAAAAATTCAATAATATGCAGTGTAGTGAATCCCTAGGTTTTCGAGAATGTGAAGCTCATAATATCATTTTTGAACCGCACAGAGGACCAGAACCAAGACAAGCAATAGTTCGACCATTTCTTTAAGACAACCAGGACATGAACGTTTAACTCTTTCCAAACACGTTAGCGAAGTCTGGCAAGTCAATCAAAGCCGTCTCCATCGGGAACAAAAAACTCACAACCAGTATATCACAGGATCGCGCCCTTCAGCGTAGACCGCATCGATGATTTCCGGGTTTAGCACCTCGGCAAGATTTTCCTTAATCAAGGCTAGCTTCTGCTCGGTGTTCATATCTTTTTTTCGTTCTTTTCCCCGTATTTTATTTTGTAGGCCTCCGTTGTTCTGTGTCTTTGCGCCAGCAATCTTCTTTTTTTCTTCTTTCGAACGCAGCGTTAAATCCCATGCCCAGAAAAAATGATAGCTTCAAATCGGTGTGTTAAAGCAGACTCGAGAGAGTGAGTCAGACCGAGTCAACTTTAACGCGCCGGAACCCTCATTTTTTTTTCTACTTCACTTTCAGGCAGGACGTCCTGTGGGAAACTGATACTGCTGCAACGAGCGTTTCTTTCTCAGCTACATCTCTTGCAATGGGCTCATCCTGTTTCAACCAATGGCGCAAAGTAAAACTATGATCAGAAGCAGAACTATACAGGTTCGATTTCTAGTCTATCACGCGCAGACTTCATTCTATACACAGCGCCGAAATTTAAAAAAGATACGTCATGTCAATATTTTGAAAAAGCCCGATCTCTGCATCCTTCAGACTAAGATGTGTCCCATGACTGCCATCTTTCAGAGCCCGTTCTGATTCTATGCAACTGCGGAAGGTGATGGCCCACGAATGTCCGTGTTGTCGCGTGTACGCGTGAGCAAAACGTAAGCGGTGCGGACGAGGTACGTACATCGAGGCGACGAGCGAAATAGGCGGCAAAAAAATTTAGTCTGCTCAAGAGGAGATTCGATTGGCAGACGGCACACCTTCATGATCAGTGAACACGTCTTGCCACCTCGTCTTGAGCTCATATGAACAGCAAGAGCTATTCATTGGCGCCCTTATCATGCAGGTCTTCAACTTAAAACTCTACGTGAGCTACCCTCTCATATCAAAGTAGGCAAACAGAGGCCGCACGACTTTGTAGTCTCGGAGCTCTCCGTGCTGCCTACCGTTATGTGTTCAATCCAAAGTGTAGTTAAGCGAGCCATGTAGACCTTTGGGAAAGAAGCACGCCCGGCAATCAGGAAACACTCCAACCATGGATCCATTGTCAATTATTGCTTCAAGTATAGCGATTGCGACGCCTTTAACGGCCGCTCTGCAGAAGATCCGCGCCGCAAGACATGCGAAGGCGTCGTTGCTCCTCCTAAATAACGATGTGACTGAAGTGACTCTCTTGCTCCAAAATCTGGAGCGAGAGTTACGCGCTGCTCACAATAGCGGCATAACAGCGCGGCCAGATCATACGCTGCTGCAGGTTCTCGACATGACCTGTGCTAAGTTGTCTCAACTCGCCGCGCAAATAGCCGCTTGGGAATCCCCGTCTACTGCCACAAAGGACACCAAGAGCAAGGTCATTCGTTGGGTAAACATTAGTTCCAAAGTTACCGCTTTCCACAATGAATTTCGACGTCTTCGCGAGCAGCTGTCAATGTCGTTAGCTGCATTTGGGATGTCAGTGCTACAGTGACTTAGTCTTGATCTATGCTGAGCAACTCCAGGTCGAGCTCCACTCGTATGCAAATGCGACTGGAAGATATCTTTCTGCTGGCTCAAGACAGTATGCAGGCTGGGGCGGCCGTGAGGGAAACTGTACACACAGTCCTGGAGAATCAACGGTCCATGCAAAATATGCTTCTGCAGTCTCCTTCCGCCATCGGTTCCTCGGCTGCTGTATCAACTACTACTGTAACGCCAAACGATATCGTAGAAGCTGATGATAGCTACGCAAACCACGTACGGGCTTTTCATCACAACGGGGCCATTTTGTTCGATTCCGCACAGCTTACTGCAGTTGCGGCCGTGGGCATTCGCACGGCACAGTTCCCCCGCACTGCTTGCACACCATGGTGCAGTTGCATATGTCATCAAGAGACGCGACTCCGGACCCCCAAGATGCTCGAGAAGCTTATCGGCGCTCTTTTCATCAACTGCTCCGGCATTCCCCTGCTTCAGACGCCGTGCAACGAACGGAGTTGTCACATGAGGGCGCTTCCGCTGGCTCATGTTACTTATTTCTTCCCACCTTGGCTTGTATCAAAGGTAGTGTCCTTCATGATGACCGTCACGCCGCTGTCAGGGCCTGTAGCTTCGCTCAAAGTGTCAAGAACCGTTCCAGGGAGCGCCGACATATTTACCTTTGCTAAAGTCGGGGACGTCGAAGGCATGAAGAGGCTTTTCCAGCGTGGGCTTGCGTCGCCACACGACGTTCACTTCGAGTCTGGAGTCACGCCGCTGCATGTACCACTCTCCATGTCTCTTATTTGTCGGCTGGGATGGCTAATTGCTCGATCCAGATTGCAATCAATCATCAACACATCCAGGCGTGCAAGCTTTTACTTCAGACGAATGCCGATCCATTTCTGGGGGACTACTCTCAATGGTACGTGACGTTCCCAAAAAGCAAAGAAATACTAATGTTGAGGTCACAAAGCACGGCTGCGGACACTGCCTGGACGAAGATCTTGTCGAGGACGCTGAACGCCAGCGATGAATTGTCCCTGAGAGAGCTATTCTCGGAAACAGAATGCATCGAACGCCGCGACCTGACGGTGCTACACAAAATCGTTCTGGGTCTGTCCAAGTTGGATCTCGCACAGCAACTAGCCGAGTCGACCGCCGACGTCAATGCACAAGACAGCATCGGCCGCACCGCCTTGTCCATGGCAGTCGAACGATCTGACCCCGTATCTGCGAGGCTTCTTTTGGACGCCGGTGCAGATCCCACAATTGCCTCCTATTCTCAGCTTGGTCCTCTGCACTACGCGAGCATGGCCAAGGATCCCGCTTGCATCGAGCTACTGGTCTCCTTGAAGACTACGCAGGTCGACAGTATGTCCAATTGGCAGCAAACACCACTGGTCCATGCAGTTGCGTACGTAAAAGACGAGCGGCATAGCAGATTGCTGCTCATGGCCGGTGCGGATCCAAACCGCCGTGACAGGGACGGATTCACGCCTCTCGCTTGGGCTGCGATCGCCAACAATCTGGCGGCAGCGAAGGTGCTGCTCGAGTACAAAGCGCGTGCCGACATCATCGACCTCTATGGCACTAGCTTGCTTCATCACTGCGTTGTTTCAAATCGCCATGAGATCCTGGACATCTTGGCTCCGCTGTCGATGGAGGTTCGGTCATGTTTATCTCCCAACACCGACGTTTGGCATTTGATAACCTCACATGCCAACTCGTCGACTATGCACAAGCTCAAGGATCTCAATTGGGAAGGCATGTCAACCCCATCGACTGATCCTGAGGTCACCTACTTATTGCAGTTGCTCAAAGAGCGTGCGGACTACAGTGCCGATCTTGCGGCTGCTTGGTCGTCGCTAGTCAATCAGGTCAATGACCTGCTGTCAGATGTTACTTCCATCTGCAGTGAAGACGAGGACTCGCAGGAATACTTCGACGCCAGCGAGCACTTGTGAGTTGTGGGCAAGCGGCAGATATCTCCGTCTTGGTTGCTTCAACTTTTGCATTCACGGAACATCGAAACGTCACGACGCTGTTGCGACCCGCCACCTGCGTCAATCCGCTCAGCTCGTCTCCTGTCTGGCCACACGCCGTGATGAATCGGAAGGATTTTCAAATACGGGGAAACGGCGCGTGGCAAGCGTCACCCGCAGTTCAGCAAGTACAGCCTCTCATGAATAACAAAACGGTGCTCGTGGCAGGCACAAAAACCACAAAGCCCGTGCCTCCCCAGATGGCGAACGAACAACCTCGCCGCAGCGGCACGTTCCCGACGATCATCGATAACAACGGGCGTACTTTTTTTTTGTCCGTCCACACAACGCGTGAGCGGCGTGTGACTGGTCTACGAGTGCGGGTGCCAAAAAAAGCCAAAGTCTCGTATCTTTCTAAATGATCGGGAGGCCGTTGGGTGCCTCGAAACCCCCCTCCCCCCGGCACTTGTACATCTATTCTGGGGGCGTGAGAGGGTTGTTCGAAAATAGAAACAACGCACGATAACAAAGAGAGGAGTCAAGACTTCAGAACCGTTTGTGTGAAACGTCTTCGCGAGCGCGGCTTGGCTTCAGAGCGGTCGACTTTTCTTTCGACCGCGTGTACGGAGGATTTTGGATGCCTCGCCTAAACGGGGGCGAGGAGGCATCCCATGGAGAGACCATCGCCGTCGAACCTGACATGGCGGTTGCCTGCTCTGGCCTGGAAAGTCATCACCTGTGGTGAGATCGTGTTCTCCTTTCGCTGTGCTGAATCCTCGCTACGCATGGGTCGCCAGCACTCTCAGTCTCTGATTGGCGTATTCCGCAGCGTGATTTTTTTTTCCCTTTTTTAATTTGGGGTGCTGAGGAAACTGCGGAGAATTTTAATTGTCTCCCTCGCTGCATGTCGTGGTGGCTTGTCCAGCTTCTTGTCACGCCCTTTTCCACCCTCCCCCTTCCCTCCAGCCTAAGGAGAAGGGAAACGTGATGATCGAGACCGGTGGGGTTTTGCACGCCATGGCTGAACTTTGTGATTTGGGTTCATCTCTGGAGAATTGTGATGTGTGCTTGGGGCGTGGTCCGCCTTTTCGATTCGGTGTGCTCGGCTGGATGGGGTCCTGGTCGGGGCTGGTCTTCTTGCACCAACGGGGCACGCACTAAAGTTTGATTGGGAGACTTGGAGGAAGCAGCAGTGACTAAATCTACTAGCACGATACATTATTGGTACTTTGCTGCTTTTGCAGGCTGCGACTCTTCACATATTGTTATTGGGACAAGGAGTTCGGTAGCAGAGAAGGCGATTCGTTGGACTGCGAACGGCGGCATGATGACAGCACAGCAATGCAACGACGCATGTGCGGGAATGTGGGAAGGCAGGTGTGCGATGTTCCTGATTTTTTTTCTCAAGAGTCGAACAGCCAGTCGTTCGTCACACTCTAGCTGGCGGCAAAACGCGTGGCAAGGTTGCGATTCGCTACGTCAAGTTGCTTCGCATGGCCAGCCAAACATCGATTTTCACCCTCAAATATTGACCAGGCGGACGTACACATTCGGTGACCAGGCCTGTCGCCGAAGTGAAGTGCCGAGGAAGCCGTGCGGCCGAAGAGACGTGCAGCAGCATTGGGAAGGGCAGGAAAGGGAAGTCCTCTTTTTGCAGCTCTCATGTCATCAGCATCAGCATCATGACCATGTTCCGTATCATCAATACGATCGTCGGCACCATCAGCAGTCCCACAGTAGAAGAGCTTCTAGACGATCCGCCGGAGCAGCGTTCCCATCCCGAGAAGACGGGAGACGGGAAGGCCACAGCTAGCATGGATGGGCACCAGTCTAGAAGCAGCCTTGCGGGAGGGGGGAGCTGTCAAGATGCAACGAGCACCCATCGCACGACTCGTCCTCCTTCTGAGCACGTAAGGGAGCACACCTCACCAAAGCGGTTGCATCGCGAACATGGACAGGAATCAAAGTGGCAGAGAGGGAAGAAACCGGACGTGTGTCCGCCTTTGTGAGCATGTGTCGCACATCATGTTGTGCGGACGAAACGAAACGGGGGGGGCGGTGGGAGGGAGATTTTCCACCCTAGGGGTAAGGAAAAGCAAGACAAAACGAGGGTTACCGGGGCAGACATTTGTGACAATAGGGATGTTCGGAAGAGCCGCTGGACAGAAGCAGGGGGGGAAGAGGCGGTAATCTAACCGGGCCGGTGCTAAACTAGTTGCTGTGAACGATTCAGGAACGAGATGACGCTGGGAGGAGCAGGAGGAGGCCGAGTGGGGAGGAAGAGCTGGACGGAAACCGGGACACGGGACTAGCCCCGTTGGAGTCGTCGGCACTCCGCTGGCAATCAGGGGTTCGCCGCTTCGAGAGCGCATGCTCCGAGTCTGACGTGGTCGTTTGTCGCCTGGCCGTGATAAGCCTGTTTCTCTTCCTTGCCGTCTCCAGCAGCCTGCTGTTGGTCCATGGCCAGTAAGTACTGTAGTGTCGAGGGCAGTAGAAGTGCGCCAGTCCTCGCCGGGACGCGCCTGACGTCGCCGCGCAAAGTGTGCGTGTCGTGAGCAAGAGTACGGTGGCCAAGGTCCACAACACGCGGCATTGCCATCGCAACCAGCACCACCGCCGTCGCTTGGGCTTCCCTTGGTACAAGGCAGCGGCCGCGGCCGGGTGGAAAGAGACGAACGAGAACCGTCAGGTTTCATCAGCAAAATGAGGGCTCTTTCACCACTCCTTTTCCCCAAAGTTATTTTTTCTTTTTTTCTTCCTGCTCTTTTTCCACACCCCAGCAACCCCTTCCCGCCGTAGAACGTGGGATCGCAAATGAGAACGTAGTTGAAGAAGCGGATGATTGCCAGTGCTCGAAACCTATGTTTAGCTCGGGCAATGCCGCCAGCTGCTCCCGTGCTGTGCGTACAGTACCAGACAGCACGCTGGACGAGCAGCACACCGTGGCACGGCCGACCCTCGGCCCCTTCTGCTGATGCTCAAAGAAGAACGACGAGAACGACCATCGTGAATCAATTTTTCAACGACTATGTTCTCCATCCATGGGCGTCCTTTGCCCCTTACCGTGCGTCTGACTAGCCTCCATCACGCATCGTTTCGCGTCGGATCGCCAGCCCGACGACTGCCGAGCAAGTCACTTTTTTTTCTTTTGCTTAACTTCCCCGATCCGGGCCTTGGCCCGTGAGTGGTGAGGAACTGCGTGAGGGAGCGACAGAAGTTGGTGAAGTGACAGTAGCGCGAGAAGAGAGAGGGGTGGCGTGTGTCGATTGAACCAGTGTGCGTGTGTGTGTTGTGTGTGTGGATAAGTGAAGGGTGCGTGTGGCGTCCGGCAAAGCTCACGCCAGGGCCCCGACCTAGATCGCTTTCGGGCCTCCCCTTTTGGCGTGCTAATTTCACGTTTCTGAACGCGGCCGTCATCAGCGCCAATCTCTCCCTCTCTTCCTCCGCCTGAGAGAGCGGTTTTTTTGTTATTTTTTTAATTATCGCCTCGCTCAGGGTCAGCAGTAGCCGGCCTCGTTTCTTTACGCCGGAACAAGGGTGCGCGGAACAAGACCAGACAGCCAGGAGACATGCTCAGCTGCTGTCGCCGGTGCCTCCTTCCGCCGTCGAATTCTGCTCCTGCTGCCACTGCTCCTTCCGCCGGCTTTGTCAGTCCTCGGTGCAGTGCCGCCTTCCTCAGCTTCTCGCCGTGGTAGCGCCTGCCAAAAGCCCGCCAGCATCTGCGTTCTGCTGCCTCGTCACCTCGCGCTTCGTCCGCGTCGCGACACATCGCAACGCTAAACCCGCTCCCGACCACGCAAACACGCGACGCTGCATGCACCACGTCTACACCGCATCGTCGCGAAGGGAGAAAACCCAGCTCTGCTCCGCTTCCCAGCCCCAGCGATAGCGAAGCAGACCTGCTCTCTTGTCATCCTGCCCTTTCCGGTATCCGCCTGCCCTCTCCTTGGACTCCCTTCTTCGTTTCGCACGTTGACAGATCCACCTGCGCACGGGGTTCCAAGCCACTCCCTATCCCGCGGGTCTGGCGCTCACCTCGTTCATCTTGCCTATTCCTTTTTCTATCCCTCTTTAATTCGATCCACTCGACTCTGCCGCATCTTTTCCACTCGCTTGGAGCTCTACGTTGACCAATACACCTCTTTCCACCTCGTCAACACAGCAACAACAACCACGACACAACCGCCGCCACCCTTTGCACCTACGCTCATTTCCTTCACCCAAGAGATCGTGCGTGTGAAAGAGTGAAAAAAAAGAAAGCACAAGAGAGATCGCCCTGGACCGTTCACTACCTCACACCACTCCGAACACGACGCTCGTTGACATGTCCACCACGGCCCGTTCCTGAACATCGCGAGGTTCATATTCGGGAGGAACCATTCTATCCTCTTCAAGGACTGGAGCGCTGTTCGTCCACGAAGATCTCGAGAACACCCCATTTCGCCCGGCCAAACCCAATCCTCCTCTCCCCAAAGGCACCGAGGCGTGACTTGAAGATGACCGTCCTGTACGACGTTTCTCAGAGGCAGTGGCCCGCCTCGAATGCGTCCTTGTGTCTCGAGGACAAGTTCGAGATTATGAAAGAGATTGGAGATGGTAGCTTTGGAAGTGTTGCACTGGCTCGAGTGCGGAGCGCTGGCGCTCAGATCGCACGACGCGGTACATTGGTACGTAGCACACGATCTCGCCGTGTAACTGTGGAGAATGAGCCACCCTCAAGCTTACCTGTTTTGTTCAGATTGCCATCAAGACGATGAAGAAGACGTTCGACTCATTCAACCAATGTCTTGAGCTAAGGGAAGTTATCTTCCTGCGGTCGCTCCCTAATCACCCCCATCTTGTGCCGGCCCTGGACATCTTCCTAGACCCCGTCACGAAGAAGCTCCATATCGCTATGGAGTACATGGACGGCAACCTGTACCAGCTCATGAAGGCCAGGGATCACAAGTGTTTCGACGCTGCTACCGTAAAGAGCATTCTGTTCCAAATCATAGCTGGTCTCGAGCACATCCACGACCACCACTTTTTCCACCGTGACATCAAGCCTGAAAACATTCTGGTTTCGACGTCCGCGCCTCACGACTCGGCTAGTACTTTTAGGAGATACTCCGCACTCGTGACGCCGCCTTCGACTCCGCCGGCATACACCATCAAGATTGCTGACTTTGGCCTCGCCCGGGAAACGCACTCAAAGCTACCTTATACCACCTACGTCTCAACGCGATGGTACCGCGCACCTGAAGTACTCTTGCGATCCGGCGAGTACTCAGCCCCTGTGGATATTTGGGCCGTGGGTGCCATGGCAGTTGAGATTGCCACATTGAAGCCCCTCTTCCCCGGCGCAAACGAAGTCGAGCAGGTATGGCGAATCTGCGAGATTATGGGCAGCCCAGGCGCTTGGGTGAAGAAGCACGGACAGAAGGTCGGAGGTGGTGAGTGGAAAGACGGTGTGAAGCTCGCTCAAAAGCTGGGCTTTACCTTCCCTAAGGTCAGTAACAGCAGTTTGTTTTTCGATCGCCCTTCAGACTTTTGTTGACAAATCACAGATGGCGCCTCATTCTCTCGATACCATTCTCCGACCGCCTCAGTGGCCCCAGAGTCTGAGTGATTTCGTCACGTGGTGCTTGCTCTGGGATCCAAAGGCCAGACCAACGTCAAGTCAGGCCCTCAACCACGAATATTTCCGCGATGCTGTAGACCCACTCAGGCCCAAGTCGTCCTCCAAGCTTCTTGGACGCAAACAGTCGAATCTCAGCACACACGATTCCCTCGGTCCTACGGACTCCACGCCAAGCTTGACGTCCAAAACGTCCAGCTGGTTCAGGAAGTCACTTATCCAGCGCGAGTCTAGTGCGCCAGTTGTCCCACAGCAGACGACTCCTCAGGCAGCTGTTTCGGCTCGACCTGCACCTCCAGCACAGTCTGTGTCGGAATCTGCAACGACGACTCAGAGTCGTACGAATGCTGGCAAGCGTGCGACATGGGCCAATGGGCTGCCCTCAAATGCTGCCCCCATTCCCATTCTTCCTTCGATACGGCCAGTTTCTCCTTTGTCGAGCGCAGTAAATGCTCAACCATCGGTTGGCACCGAGAAGAAGAAGATTGGAAGACAGCTTTCCGTGACCTCGAATGGCAACCATTACGCGGATATCCACAGACAAGAAGCCGAACGCGCCCTCAATGGGCAAACCGGATTGGCTTCGCCTACGAGTGGGCACAAGGAAAGTTTCTTCTCGCACCTGAGAAAGCGTGCGAGGAGATTCTCGGGCCGATACCAAACACCGTCGTCGCCAAGTCCAGAGGATGTCGAGGCGAACGCAGGCTGTGCGCCATGGTCTGGTAGCAATAGGCAGTCGATGGTCATCGACAACATATCTGCAATTGCCAACCCTGTCAATGGTAACGATCTTGCTGATATCGACAAGGCCTTGCAGAACGTGCGAAACAGTCTAGAGGCAACCCAAAACGGAAAGACCGGATACCTAAAGAGAAACAATTCTGTTCCACGAAGCCACGAGTATAAGACCACATCTGCAAACTTGACCACCACTCCAATCCGGTCGCGAAAGCTGGCCAACAAGTCTGCGTCAAATCTGCATTACGACACGCCTGACGAGGAAGAGGAGCTGCTCGATGAAGCTCTCGCAAACGCTCGCAAGGCGGCGAAAAAGCTTGATAACCAAACCCAGCCGGCATACCATACGCCAGCGAACGCTGCGCGCACTCAGATGGCATATCTAACCCCTTCCTCATCGGCACACCAACATAGCGTTGCATACGCGGAGGCAGGCTGCACGTCCAAACCGTTGGACATTGCCAAACCACGACAGGAGACCAAAGATTACATATCGCAGTGGCCCACTCCACCTTATGAGGAGAGTGAGTGGGCCGCGGCAGCTTCGGCAAGCATCTTTGCAGCTCAAGCTGCTTACCGATGATTTGCTTACTTTTCATTTTCATGTCGCCACTCTCGAATGAATCTTGTTCTCGGCGGCATTTGTCACGGCCTTGTCTTCCGGCGTTCTGAGACGCGTCCACGCGATCTGCATCTGGTTTGGTGTTCCAGGAGTCACTCGTTCACTGCCAAGCTTTTCCTACTCTTCTTTTTTTATTTTCTGTACTTGCATTTCGCAGGCTCAATGACAGAAAGTCTATTGGGCTGACCTGGGGGAGTGGCTGATGGTTTATCACTTGTGATACTGCGTTCGGACATCTGCTTTCTTCGCACATTACAGCGACACCCCTTCTCTCCGTCACATAACTTTTCTAGCTTTTTGCCCTTCTTCTGTCATATTCTGCTTCATACCCCAAAGTGTGTGGCACCTGCTCATGGAAGCGTGCCTCTCACGTTGCTCTCATATGCTGATTGTAGTTTGATCTTTTGTTCATTACTCATCTAGACTGTTTTTTTCCTTGGGGAGGAACTTTATCGATCTTGCTTGATATCAAAATCTGCAGGTCCTTGGCCCATGTTTTACTCGGGGACAAAAAGAGGGGGTGCTGGAGCAACTACTGCTGTTTGAGGATACATCTCGATCGCTTAGCTTTTTCTTTACTATGTTTTTTAAGGACCTGTTAGACCTTACACACGCCACAAGAAGGGCTATGCAAACATAAAAGAGTTGCACAACTACGTTTGCTTGCTGTACACTCGTTGGGAAAGGCAAACAGTCATAATCTCATATGTCTATATGGCGCATGGACTTCTTCGGTGCCTGGGTTCTTACCTTTGGTGTTCAAAAATTGGGTCTCGCCACATACTTGTGATACAGAGAGACCATCAATAATGTACTAATGTTTTGCCCCCTCGTCAGACGAGGATCTGCAGTTGGGAGATGCGACCTGTATGCGAACTGCAATATTTGCCCTGTATATACATTCGCTTCGGCAGGATTGCGTCAGCGCTTTCGATGACAATATTTTAGAATTCCCAATTCACCACTTTGTGCATTCACATTCTTGACTCAAATCGCATTCGTCATGAGCGTCGTGGTAGCGTATGTGCTCGTGCCATTAGACCGAGGAAGAGTATGACAACACGATCTACATTGACGTCTGCGAACAATTCGTCATCTACAGAAAGTGCTCTTCGAATGATTCTCGGGTTGTGCAGATATATCTTTTTTTATTCTCATCTCAGAACATATCTATCATGCAAAGACGAACCGCTCCTAACCAATCTCATCCCTCGTCAACATGCCTGAAGGAGGGGAGGTTTTAAAAAAAAAAAAAAAAGAGAGAGAGATGGATGATAAGTTTTAGAGAACAAAAACGAAATGCGTACAACTTCACCCTCCGTAGACTCCCCGCCCCCGCCTTCTCTCGCCACTGAACAGAAGAGAGAAGAGAAGGCAAAACAAAAAAAGGGCCCAACCGGCGGCAAAGACACGTGCGAACTAAAAAGAAATAATAATGGAGGTATCTCTCTCGGTCTTTTGAGCGCGGCAGGTTGTGAAATGAAGAAAAAAAAAAAAAAAAAAGGAGAGGCTGGAATAACGAGAAAAAACCGAAAAACAGAGACGAAAGCGAGCAAGAAAAAGCAGGACACGCTTTCCAGGACGCCGCCCCCCCCCCCCTCCCCCCTCTTTGGAACTGCTTTTCCCGCAAGACTGATGATGATTATGGATGTATGGGGGCACGGCGCGGAGAGAGGGTGGAAGAGGGAAGGAGAGAGAGAGAGTCTGTACACAGAGAAGCCTCCTTATTCTCGCCTCTAATTCCCGGAGCCCATCCCGAGATAGTTAAAGAGATCGGGTTGGTATCCCGAGTGCAGGAAAATAAAACATATTAGACCCTGGGACCAGGTAGGACCGTGGGTGGTGAGGGAACATCGCCGCCGCGCATACTATAGACACATACATATAAGGGACAAGAAGCTCTCTTTCTTTTCTTTTGAAAACATTTCCGGGATCCAACGCCGCGCGGCGCAGCTTTTCTCTCCTTTTTTTATTCCGATCTTGATGGCGGTGATCGTTGTCAGTGGTAAATGCTGTTGGTGGTGATAGTGACGATGATCATGTATAAAATATATGTATATATGTTTGAGATTGGGTATGTATATGCGCTCGTACCCTGAAGGGTTGACCGAGACGGTCGGTGCGTTACTCGACAAAACGCGGGAATACAGAAAAGGCGCGGACAACAGCTCGCGATCGCCATGCTCGGGTCACGGGTCAGGAGGAGCCGTTCGAGTAGAGATTCCCTGAGCATTCGAATCTCTCAGCTCTAGATACCCTGACTTCATGGCCCGAGCGGGTCTAAAGGGCGGCTCGAGTCGTAGGATTTCGGCTCGCCATCGTAGCCACCATCACCTGCTGATCTTTCGTCGTCGTCGTCCATGGTCTTGACTTCGCGGGCAAGTTCGACGTAGTCGTACTGGATGGGTTGGTCAGTGGGATGCCTTGTTAAGGAGTACAGGTGAGATCGTTTAACTTACAGCGAACTCGCCAATTTCCACGTCGTCGATGCCGAGGATTTCTTCTTCCTCTGAGGCGCGTAGCTTGAAGATTGGCATATACTTGCCGAGGAAGTCAAGAACCGCCAGAATGATGCAGGTCCCACCGAAAGAGTATGCACCGCCCGAGACAGAATCAGCTAGCTGGTACGCAAGCTGGATCCAGTGGTGCTCGAGCCAACCACCTGGAAGGTCGCTCACACCGTCCAGGTGGATGATGTACTTGGCTGCGAAGAAGGCGGTCAAAATGTTGCCTACGAAACCGCCGACGCCGTGGACTGCGAAAATGTCCAGTGCGTCGTCACATCGCAGGAAGTACTTGAGCTTTGTGGCATAGTTGCACGCCGCGCCGCCAACGACGCCGAAAATGATCGCGGACCAAGCCGGCACATAACCAGAGCCTGGTGTGATGGCGACCAGGCCTGCGATGACGCCGGAGCAAAATCCGACAGTGGACCACTTGCGCTCCAGACGGTAGTCCACCAAGCACCAAGTGATGCCGCCCGTGCAAGCGGCGAGATGGGTAACGACAGCGGCCATGACGGAGCGAAGGTTGGCACCTAGAGCTGAACCAGCGTTGAAACCAAACCAACCGACCCAAAGGAACACGGTACCGATCACAATGTGAGTGACATTGTGCGGTCTGTAGTTCAGTTCTTGGGTGCCATGACCCCTTCTCTTTCCGAGCATGTACGAGTAGGCCAGCGCGGCACAGCCTGACGAAATATGCACTGGAGTGCCGCCGGCAAAGTCAAGGCCGCCCATCTGGTAAACCCAGCCACTGGGGTTCCACGTCCAGCAGGCAATCGGGTCATAGACGATTGTAGACCATACAAACATGTAGATAAGAGCCGGAAGCATTCTACCGCGTTCTGCCACAGCGCCGATGGCAAGGACAACGCTGAAACAATTAGCTGACTGCATAGAGCACTCGGCGAGGACATCTTCCACTCACGTGATAGCGGCAAACATGCCCTGGTAGACAGCAAAGAGAAGATCTGGGATGTTTGAGCTGCCTACCGAGGGAGCTCCAAGCACGTTCATGAATCCAAAATTGTCCAGGGCTCCGATGTAGTTGCCAGCCTGATGCGAGAAAGCTAATGAATATCCCCAGAAGAACCATTGGAACGAGACGACAGCCGTGCCCATGACCGACAGCCATAGCAATGACAAGGCCGATTTTCTTCTAGCAAGACCGGAATAGAAAAACCTGCATACGTGTCTAAGTAAAATGGATGTCTACACGTCCGTGGTCATACATACCCTACGCCCGGAATCATGAGCAACACGAGTGCAGTGGACGTTATCATCCAGGCAATGTTTCCGGTCTGGTCAAGACATTAGCACACATTCAAAGCCCAATCTATTTCACCCGCATACTTCGTAGTAAGCGCTCAGATTCTGTGTCTCTGAGTCACCACCGGTAGCAGGCGCGCTGCCGGACGGATATGGCACGAGCGGCACATAGGGCAAACCTGTTGTCGCCGACATGGTCGCAAGTAGAACTGAACAGCACGAGGACTTTCGCTAGATCTCCTCGAATAGGATCATTCAGCAGTCCTCAGCTTGGGCGAAAGACTTGCCGATGGGCTGCGATCGAATGGCCGGATCGTGCGAATCGGTGGTAAGAAAACGTTCCTTTACCAACCCGGCAGCGACGAGGCGGAAGCTCGATAAAAGGACAAGACTTCTTTACGCTTGATGATGTTATGCAAGCGCGGAAAGGAAGGTCGGAATGAAATGTATGCGGCCGAAGTGCGAGACAGAAACTCGACCAGCGTGAGGAAAGACGTGCTGAAAGTCAGACAAGATAAGGAGCTGTTCTGAGGGCGTCTGTATCTTTTGCCAGGCGGGTCTGCGATTTCGCACTCGTGCTTATTGCGACATCAGAGCCGAGAAACTTTCACAACTCCGGGCGCGAGACAACGGGTGTGTGAAGCAGAACAAGCAGACGATGAAAGAAGAAACCCGACAGTGCACTTTCGACCGGCGGCGACGTGAAAAGGCTGCAGCGACGGCGAGCTTTGAATGAAAGAATGTGTTCCATTGCGCACCCACGAGACTTCATATTTGGGGATGGGCTTTGCTGGGATCATGATAGTGGCTTGCAGCTAACATCCAGGCTGGCCAATGTAAGCACATCGAAGCGGGATGCCAACGGCTAGTATCAATCGGGCCTCTGACCTGCATTGTGGAGCGAAGGCGAGGAGAGGCGAAGCCCATCTCCGCCCTGGCCGCAGCAAATCGCACGCTCCCCACCACCGTCACGTTCGGCGTGGACCCGGCCCGCACAAGGCCGTGACACGAAGCCGCGTCGGCTGGCAGGTTCGCGCGCAGGTCGCACGAGAGACGCAGAGAGAAGCGTGAGACCTCAGCCAGGCTCCTGGCGCCGTGGAGCGTGGGCATCCCTAGCTGAGCGACGAGCGTCGACGACGACTGGACCGTCCGGGACGTTTCGAGGTGTCGTGGACGCTCGACTGGACCGTCGCAAGCCCGCGGGCCCGGCGTTGAGCTTATCAGTGAATGATTAGCACAATCGCTGACAAGCTGCGTGCGGCGCGCATGTGGCCGGCCAATCACCGCCGGCTGCGCTGGGCGCTTAATCGCCATTAGCGCGCCGGTGCAGCCCGACCGACTCCCGCCGCGCTCGTGGTTGACGGTTCCCACGGGGGTGAGCGCAAAGGTGTTGCAGAAAAACAAACGTCCATCGTTGAGCCCTTCGCTACACCATCCTCGGCGGGAGGGGAGAGCCAGGCACAGAAGACGCTCGCGTGCATCCTCCACAGCCATCGTGGGTGCTTGTACGTTGCTGCAGCCGCCACAGCGTTGGCTCTTGGCACGAAGCAGAGGAAGCAGAAGCAGCAGCAGCAGCAGCAGGAGCAGTAGCAGTGGCTCGCACTACGAGCACATGTACGCCAAAGTTCCTCAGAAAGTGATGTCCCGAGTCGACCAAGCCCTTGTAGCAAGTCGAGCGTGGGATGTGAAGAGAATCCAGCAGCCTCCCAAAGTGCTCAAAGCAGAGGACATCATCTTCCATGCGCTTGGATCCCACTGCTCGTTTGAGGCTCTGACCCAAACATCGACCTATCGCATTGACAGATCTTGGACTTGGAGTGGCATGTGTCATTGTGCGCATCCTGCCCGTTCGACGTGTTGATCGGCACGTCAGACACCTGTCTTCAGACGTGATGAAGACTGGGCGCTGTGGACTTGTCTTTCCGGTGGCGAGATCGTCAGAGCCCGTATGGTTCCCCCCGAATAAAACAACTTAACAAAGCAAGTGCTGTTGCCACTTTGCAGCCGCAAATAGGAAAGACAGGAGATCCCAGAGGCTTGGATCCTCCTTGGAACGAAATGAGTACGGGCGCATCGTCTTACAGCTCGCATGAAATGCATGGACCCCTATCCTGTCAACACAGTCTCTCTGTTTTGAACTAGTGTCGGGCCCTTTGCGGGAGAGGAAATAACAGTGCGTGCGATGTTCAAATGAAAATTACCCGTCAAAGTCTTATCAGAACGGGTCCCGCTCGCGTTGACATACTGTTTCACGTCGCCTTTAAGCTCGCGAGTCCCACCGCCCGTAGGGCAAAGATCGTGAGCTCCCAAAGGGGGAGCGGGGGTGTTAGATCTCTGCTTGATGCTTGTTCCATGCTGAGCTGCCGTCCACGTCCTGAACAAACTTTGTCCCGGCTCCTCATCCTTTTCCAGCGCCGTGTTCTGCAGAGGACAGTCGCCGGACATCCCAGGTGAATTGCTACTCATCGCCAATGGTAACATTCCTCGTCCCCACAGAGCAACATCTGCTCCTCCGCCTCCGCGCCTTCTCGCGTGATGAAAACCCACCACGCTTCACAAACACGCGGAGCAAACACGATCAACGTTCTGATAAGGCCCAAGGGGGTCCTGCGTTGACGAATCCGGAACACGTGGGAGGCGAGCCAGAGTCGCCTGCAAAGACGCTGTCCTTTTCGGACGGAAGTGACCCTAGCCGATATCAACGGTCCGCGTGCTGCTGCGCAATAGTTTCGTCCCCACAAAGCTTGGTGCCCTCAGCTCAGGCGTGTGGAATAAATCAGGTGCTACGAATGCACTGTGCAGCAGTCGGCTGCTCGCCGACGGATGCAACATGGCTCGGACATGCTCCTCCGTCTGCACATGCTTGTGCCTCCAATCCTCCCAGGCCGTCCACCTAACGAATCAGGAAGGCAACTAGAAGTTTTTCGGGGGGGGCCGCCGCCGCGCCTGGAAACGTGCGTATGCGTAGAAGGTTCATGATAAGCGCCTTGCACGCCCAAAAGAATGCAAGGCCCGCTTGCGATCGTACCATTGTGTGATGGTGCTTCGTTGGCGAACTGACGGCGTCGCGCACGCAAATCTCACATCTCGCGAAGACGCTGTGGCGAGATCAGCCTCGTTACGAAATCGGTCGTTCAGTACATCGTCTTATCCTCTTCTAGCACCAGTCGATGCTGCTACTGCATGTACTGTGGGTCCAGCCTTAACGCTTTCATATTGTACATATGCCTAGCCTTCTCTTTTTGTAATGAATTTTGGTTGTGCGTCGAGAGGACAGGTCATTAGGGCCGTGAAATTACATTGACTTTACTAGTCGGTCGCCTAAATTCATTGCATCAAAAGCACCCCAAGGGCCCTGTTACTTAGCACTATCCACACGTAGATAACGTCGAACAACAATTAGGCCAATGAGAGCGAAATTTGAATCTGAAGATCTTGCAATATGCCATCCACTGTCTAGCGTTACAATCCCTTTGACAATGATATCCACGAGAGGGCGTACATGTGGATGCTATCCTACGAGCCCTTTACTTTCCTTTGTTGTGGGCAAAACTATCATATTTTCTAGTCGGTCCTCAAAATCGTCCAATGATTTGTAATACATTTCCCACTTCAGATCCTTAACCCATCTGGGTACAGCATTCTCATTCCCACCAATTCGAAGATTCAAAGTTGGAAACGCGACAATACTTTCAGCTCCCGGGGTTCTTGGGTTGGAAGCCTCAAGAAGTTGCTCTAGCGGGGAGAGGCGTTGTAGATAGGTATCGAAGTCGCTTGATCGCTGTACGATTATGGGAAGCCACCAACGGAGACGATATGGCCCTAGTGAGTCTAAGATAGTGTTCAAATTTCTTGGAGATCCAAGCGGGTCATTGACATCTCTGATATGGATCTCTCCTGATTTTAATCGCTGCAAAAGACTCCTTAGGTCCTCAAGATACATGTAGCGTAAGGCCAGTGTCGTGTCGTCTGAAGGGTTCTCTACACGAACCCACCAACGTCCATCGAAGTCTTTGTAGCGGCTTTGGTCCGGTGACAGAACATATGGATAACGAATACATGCGTGCTCGAGTCGAGTTTTATGCAAGCCATTTGCCCTCATCGGTTGACTCGACGCAATCCAGCGATTATTTGAAAGCGGTTCGAAGAGCGCATGACTGAACGTAAAGGACTTGAGTTCTTTTGGAGAGCCAAAAAGATGGCTCAATTTTCCTGAGTAGACGGCTTGATGGGCTTCGTCCTTATGACTAACGAGTGACGCTATACTTCGCAAGTATGTCCCGATCACCCACGACAAAGTCGCTGTGGAGGGTTGCAAGGATGGGAACCCGGACACATGAAGCATTGTTTCTACCGTCTCAAGCGTAGGCAGCGTCGCTACTACCGACCCTGTCCGAACATCCAGCTTAAGATCCGTCCCTTGAAGGATCTTCTTGGAGATGGAATGCACAGCTGCAGTCCTCCTTCCCACATGCCTGGCCATTTCTAGGAGAGAGCTTTGTGAAAGAGCGCCGGGAAGTGCGTGTTTTCGAACAATGTGGCGGACAGCGTTTCTGGGTGTCAACTTTCGATCTGCGTTGCTTTCATCCTCGACCCATGGTATGTTAGCAGCATGACAGGTAGCAATCAGTCGCTCCTTTGAGAAATTTAACAGTGGCCGCCTCAAAGATATGCGAAGATTGGGAATCCCTAGAACGCCAAAGCACTCAACGCTTTTGGGACTGGGCACGCTCCAACCACAGCGTAGACTCTCTTTCGCGAAGTGATTCAAGCTCCGTGGTGCTTGAGAAATTTCGCGGACATGAAATGAAGAGCCAGCCATGGCCAACCTCATTAAAATGGTTTCGTACTGATCACCAAGGTGATGGGCAGTCATAATATCTCTGATATCCTCCGATCTACAGCATTCCACCAAAGCGTTGTATCGCCATAGCCTTGCTTTCGTCTCAAGCGCTTTCAAATCTCGTCCTTGTTTTTCAAGTGTAAGAACATGCGACCTGATACCTTACATGGGTCAATTTACCACGATCTAGGACTAAATGTGAGAACAAACCTAGTCGTGACGTTAAAACTTTACTTGTCTGGCTAGCCTCTTGACTACTCGTAGGACGCAGCCCATGATCTACGATCAAAGCATGAAGCTCTAAGCGGTCACGTGGGAGATATTCGCAACACATGAACGCTAACGCCATTGAATCCACGCCACCGCTAACGGCGAGGCCTACAAATGTTAGAATCGCCATAAAGCATGTTGTGTCTTCTGCAGTAATGGAGAATCGTACCAAGTTTCTTTGGCCCATCCTGCAACGCTTGAGGGTATACGCGGGTGAAAGCATCTAGAAATTCAGCTTTGCTGATCTGCAGCGACGCTTGATAAAATCTCAAGCTGGCCCTCAGCATTACCAATCATTTCAATGATTGGAATAAAGCATAAGCTTTGTTGATGGTGGAAGTCATCGGTTGTCGTGTTAGTCAACCCAGGAGCCACCCCCGTTCTGAGGGTCGTCCTGTATGTCTTGGCATGCTTTCCCCGACGTCGTTCTTTCCCATTCTAGAACCTCGTCAACTTTTTTATCCGACGAACACAATTCCTAGACTCTATATCCCACGGTGCATTCGACCTCGACATCATCAGAACCTGATATCTCCAATTTCCATCCATCCGGCATTTCATCAACCCCTAATTCTAAAATGGTACGTAGTTGTAGGCCTCAATTGAACTGCAGCGCGTTCGCCGCGTGATTGTGCTTGTTGCAGTTCCACCTTTGTTGATGATCATCAGCACCAAAAGTGCATGTGCTAACCTGCCGACGCACCGTAGGCTCTCGCAATCAAGTCCATCAAAAACCTCGTCCCCCTGATGGATCGTATCCTCATTCAGCGGGTCAAAGCAGAAACACGGACAGCTGGCGGTATCCTCCTGCCCGAAGCCTCCGTCAAAGAGCTCAACGAGGCGAAGGTGCTCGCAGTCGGCCCTGGTGCATTGGATAAGGATGGAAAGAGGATAGCACCTTCTGTGAAGCCAGGCGACAAGGTCATCATTCCGCAGGTGAGTTGCGAGTCGATGCACAGAATTATGGAGCGTTGCTCACTGGGCCTTCGTGTAGTACGGCGGTGTCGCCATTCAAGTCGGTGACGAGACATACAGCCTGTATCGCGACTCCGAGATCCTCGCTAAACTGAATGAGTAAGAGCCTTGACGAAGACGGCGAGTGCGAATGTAATGTACTGTATCATTATCGACAACGAGCATCGTGTACCATCACCAACCCGACAAAAGATTAGTCAATGCTTTAAACTAGGCGTGGCGTATGCGCAGGCGGCTGGTGATTATCGTCATCAAATCAAAAAATTTGGGTTATTGCATCTGCATGGAGCGTTTCATGAGCTGAGGAGAGATGTGGGGGAGACTTCTGGTGGACATTCAATTGTTTTCTGTATCTAGAAAGCCTTGGACGCAATGTTTGGAAAGCTAAGAATTATACAGCCTCTCTGCTCTCAACCGCTCTCCCACCTAGCATTTCGTTACCTTACTGTTGACCGTGACATCGTGTAGGAAATTTGAAGGCTTAGTACTGGCCATACGGACCAGGAGGCGGTTGGCTGTAGTAGCCTTCTTGGTACCCGGGACCACCGGCCTGCTGATAATGCCCTCCTACATACCCATATCCAGAACTTCCGCCAGCCTCGCCGTACGGGCTAGGTGCATTGTGTGCTGCTGCCGGCGCGGGCGGCGGACCGCCATAACCAGGCCCATCATGATATCCCTGATGATAGTTCGTGGGCATTTCATAGGCGCCGTGGTCATAATCCAGGTTTTGTGGCGCCTGTTGCATCTGTGCAAAGCTTTGATTTTCATAGCCACCAGGCTGCCACGGACTTGCAGCTGGCTGTGGCGAATGCATCTTCTGCTGTTGCAGCGGTGGACCGCCTGTAAACGGGGAGGAAGAGTCAATTCGCGTCCACAGGCTTGAAGCGGCAGCAGGTGTCCAATCAGCAGCATCAACATTGTGCGTTTGCAAACACTTGTACGTTGCGCCGTTGAAAGAAACCATCGTGCCAGAGGTGTACTGACCTTGTGGTTGCCACTCTTGCGTAGCGGCCGCCCCAGAGGGCGCAACATCGTCGAACTCGCCGAGCGCGCGCTTGCGATTGAACATCTCGAAAGGCGAGCCGCTGACTTTGCTATGGCTTCCAAAGCCAGGGATGGACGGTATACCAGATGGCATGCCCGGAAGCGTGCTGAAGCCGCCGCCATGAGAATGTGCCCCTCCATGGCTACTGCTTCCATGAGCGTGTATTTCACCCTTGTGGTTCCTACCTGCCTTCACACTATCGGAGCTAAGTATGTCATTAATGCTGTTCCCGTGGTCGGGGAGCTCTCGGACCCAGTGTTCCACGGCCTGGAACATGTTCCTGTGGATCTCAAGATTCGGATCTCTGAGTGCTGGATGGTGGAAGGCGCGGACAACATCGTTAAGAACCTGTTCGACGGGTACGTCAGGGTGATCCCAGGCGTAAAAAACCCGTGGAGCAGTGTACTGTAAAATCGCAGTTGCAACTTGGCCAGCTGGTGGGTTCAGGTAATTTGAGAAGTGGTCTTTGCTTAGCAGCGAGTGTGTCGGGTCGCTGGAATGAGGATTCTCCCAGACCTCATATTGATGCTTGCCCGAGCTGTCAACTACAGCAGTGCTGCCATTCTTGAGCTGCTTGCTTGCGGCTGCGATAATAGGCTTGAGATATGGCGCAAGGAGACTAAAGATGAACAGGGTAACTCGCTCGGTAATAGTGTCGATGAGTTTCTCCAAGCCAGGTATCTTGGAAATGATGCCGCTAATTGTTCTGACTACGTTATCGCGGAAGACTAGAATGGGATAAATTTTCGCAACAACGGCTTGAGGGTCCATGTTGGGATCCAAGCCTGGGATGCCTGGCCCTGGCGGTCCACCTATAGAGCCGGGAGGAGCCTGGAAAGATGGTGTTTGCATAGGCGGATCTGCTCTGCTAGCGCTATAACTGTAGCTGTCATCAACGACGCCACGATAACCCGAAGCGTTAGCCTGTGCCTGGGCATTCGAAGCCGCCTGTAGTCGATGAGCTTCCTCCATAAGATGGCTTGTACCAGGAACTTTGGACAGTAAGTCACCCAAGAGACCAAGCTGGTTGGCACTTCCTCCAGAGCCTTTCGTGCCTGAACCAGAACCTGCAGCTAAACCAAGAGCATCGTCCATTTCATCCAGCTCAGATTGTGTAACGTGATCCGTGGCCTCGCCAATGACCGAATGCAAGAAGTCCACGCCGCCGAATGTACCGGTCACGACAGGCCAAACATACTTTCCACGCACATTGACACGCGTAGCAGTACCTACATGTGGGAAGACGTTATGATAGCCCATCTCGATCAACGCCAACTCCGTGTAGTTGCTGTGAGCACCAAAGTCCTCCATTGTATGCAGGGCCTGTCCAAGACACCGCAGTGCTTCGCACAAGTCCTCAGTTCGACCTTTTGTAGAACTGCTCGTGTACATTCGGCCAAAGTGGATCGACCGTGCAAGGCTGTGCTTCACGTAACCAGAGCTAGTTGCCCATCCACCGGTTTCATTAGCTATGTAGTTCTTCATACCTGCGTCACGATCAATAGATCTTTCGAGAAACTTTCCGAACCCTTCACGTACCAGTATTCATATCAATTTGTAGCTCTACATCCTGAACCGGTGGTCGTAGTCTGGGGTCATACTTTCTTGCATCTTCGTTGTCCGCATAATCCTTCGGGTTGTCAATGTGCTCCTCTGGCCGATAGACACCGAGCCTTTCTTCAGTGACTTCAAATTCCTGCGTCGCATAACCAAAGCTCATGAAACCAAGGATCCAGACCAAAATTCGAATGGTACCTGCTTGGACTCCTTTCAGTGTGCCTACATCAACAGCTTGAGAATAGTCTCGCAGCCAGTTTCCGAAGTAGACGCGCTTGATCATCATGGAAGTCCATTTGTGGCCTCGAATGAAAGCCACCGTCTTTAGCATATCTTCAATATCGCCATGCCGCCAATTTTTGCCTTCGATTTTCGAGAGTGAAGCAATATTACCAGCGCCGAATGCATACGCTGGCGTAGAATACAATAGAACCACTGCAAGCAGCAGAAGCAGGATCGACGACTTCAGGGCCGCCATACCGGGTTTGAGTCACCTATTCAGGTGTAGAGGAAGAGCAATAACGAAAACGATTTCAAGCTCGGTGTGATAGGAATGATTCACAACGTCCAGCTGGGTTCGACTTATGGCGGGACTCTTGCTGACCTGCGCCACAATTCGCAGGAAGATGCCAGCTGAGCTTGCACCAATCAGAAATACGTCACAATGTGATCGTATGCAAGGTGTGATTCTTTCGCCAAGATTGTGTGGCTGTGAAGTCAACTAGAACTAGTCTGCACCAACGAAGGATCCGAGAAAACGTAATGGATAACTGCGTGCCAGACCTCACACCTCCTCAGTTGCGGCCTTTTGCAACGCTGAAATTGCTCGACATGTGTTGTTAGTGTCGTATTATCTGAATCATCTAGAGGAATACGGGGAAGGCTTAAGTATCAACACACTGAGGACTTTGTGACGAAGAATCTTGTGAAGCAATCCTGGTGAGCTTATGGAGGGAGGTGAGCAATTTTAGAACACATTTCAAATTAAAGCAATACTATTCAATGTGGAATATTGTGAGCAAATTGTGGGAATAAATATCAAATGTGTACAACCGGTTCATAGTTCTATAGCACTTCAGTCTTGAAATCTAAGCTTTTTCTAAGCAATATAGATTTCGTCAAAGAAAAGCAAAAGAATTCGGATAACGTATCATAATTAATTTCAGTTGCCCGAAATGCAATGATAGCGGATCAATAAGTCATCTTATTCAGTTCATTCGCTTCTATGTGGGCACTGTACATGCTGAATCAATATCACGTGACGATTTCTTGGTTTCTTTCACGATGCACTAGTGTTCCACTGCCACATTGGGACCACGATGTCTTGAAACGTTGTTCAGAAAATCTCTGTTTGTGGCCAATATCACGCTCTCTAAGGGAGAATAATACTTTGTGCAAGCATTTTTGCAATTGATCGCAGAGAGGTTCATCCTGACGACCCCAGCGATTGTCGTGTCTGCTATTCCGGTCACTCACTTTCTAGGCGAATTATGACACAAATCTCGTTAGCCCCTTATTGCAAAACAGTATCGGCATTTTCCCCTTTTCTTTGATCCAATTTCGTTGGAAGAGTGAAACCTGTGACCGGTCGAAGTGTTGACTTAAGGCTGAAAATCTGGATACATGAGTGGCTAGGCGCTTCTTTCGGCGGCCGCCACAGCCTGATCATGGCACATCCTGTTGGAACTCTCCTTAAAGAAGCTTGTGATCAGATTTCTGCTACTTCTATTTTTTTAATTTGTGATAAGTTTTCTTGTTTTTTGCTTTCGCTCTCACTTACCGATCGGTTATGCCACTACGCCGTCGATTATCCGGCCTTGTTAAGGGTCGAGACGATCGAAGGAGTTCGAATTTAGTGGGAGGCGGAGACGGTAGCCTAAGCGTCAATCTTACATCTGTTGAAGAACAAGAAGAAGACGGTGATCTAGCAGCTGCGCTTACAGCGTCTTTCCAGGATGAACTATCTCGACTTAGATGCGATCTTGCCCAAGCCCTCCTCAACGCAAAGGATAGCCAACAAGAGATCATTGCGTTGAAACGATCATGCGAGGATCAAATTGCGCACATGGAAGAGGAAGCAGTACAAATGCGAGCCCGTTTGACCAGCCTTGAGTTTTCGAACAAATTGTATGGTAGCAAAAACGAGGAACAAGCAGAAATGATAGCAAAATTGAAAGAGGAGAATTTAGGTCTGCTGAACATGTTGGAAACTCGTGATAGAATACACGCGGATGAGATGCGCGCGTTGCAGTACCAACATGGGCAGACGATACAAGAGATGCACAATTCCGCAAAAGAGCTGAACCAAAATCCCGACCTTGTTGCACAAGAAATTCGGGGTCGCAAAGTGAACGCCGCCGAAAAACGTGAGCAATTTGAACTTCAGTTGGCTAAGTATGTGAAACGCTGCGAGGGCCTTTTAACAGACTAAAGAGAGCTGACGAAGGCCTTGAATAGGAGTACGGCTCGAATTTCCGAACTTTCTTCTCAGCTCCAAGACCGTACGGCCGAGCTTGAGACCTTAAGAGGCTTGTTAGACATGGCCATGACGGAGAATCGTTTGACTTCAGCAGCCTTGGTCGAACTACAAAGTTTCTTCGGCGGAAACACGACGCCCAGACTTGTCTTGACGATAGAGCATTTTCGAAGGTTGTACGCTGCCGAGGTCTTATCAACTTCGGCAGAGAATGAACGATATCTTAGAGATTCCAGCAATCAGCTTGTCATCAATACTCGCATCGACATGCCCATGAGCATAGAGGAGCTTGGCCGATTCATTCGGGGATTAAGAAATGAAGAAGCTAGCTTCCCGCAAATTGTGATTGAGACTTGTGCAGTTTGTGAAAGACACAAATTTGCAGCTGCAAATAGCTCAGTGACTCCCAAGGAACTGAATGAGTTTCTTCCCGAATTTCGGGATTCGGTGTGTTGCGGAAGGTCGATTTGTAGTGCTTGTCTGAAAGAGAGCGTATTAAGGGCGATTCAAGAAGGTTGGTGGCATTCGCTTGATTCACAACAATGGATCAGGTGTCCAGTCGAAGATTGCAATGGCAGCCTAATAAATGCGCATGAGGGCTCTCTAATAAGTCTACTCAATAAGCTACAAGTTCCCAACGCAGATTTCCACTTGACGAGGTAAGTTAGCTGAAGAGATCAAGAACAAGTATTAATCTTGAAACTCAGATACAAAAGGGCTAATAGTCTTCGTGCTTCGCTCCTTACACTCGATCCCAGGCCGTCTCAAGATGCCCTTACTGCAGCAGCGAATCTTCACAATCAGCTGATTGACAACGGCATAATGTTTGACCTTTTTGATCCTCAATTCGAGCCAAATCAGCCGGATGAATCCGGACGGATTCCTCCTTTTAGCCCAGGCAAGATTATTATATGCGAAACCGATATGGAAAGTCTTTGCCTCCCTGTCTTTGTCAAATTTTTCCGTCGAAAGCAGACACCTAGAGAATGTATAATCTGCTGCGAATCATATTATGATGTTGACGTAGGCACGGCCGAAGAATGGCAATCATCCACCTGTGGGTTCCATGGCCCCTGGATGTGGGACATTTCCATATTCCCAATGTCTCCGATGTTGAGATGTGAACATGAGTACGACTTTTGTAAAAGTTGTTTCAGTAGTCATTTGAGCACGCAACTGGAACAACATGGTAGGCATGGATGCGATCGATTAACATGTCCAAAAGCGTGTGGACGGACGCTTTCAACAGAAGAGGTCTTGCTTTTTGCCTCACCAGACACACGGCAAAAGTATTTCCATACGCTTGTATACAAATTGAAAGTATCAGGCAAGCTGACCACTTCGTGATAGATTCAACCATTACATCTTCCTGAATTACATCTCTTCTCAACCAAATTTCCGTTGGTGCCTTCGCGACGGTTGCGAAAGTGGACAACTCTACGATATAGATGACGAGACTGGCGAAATCCACGATCCACTTATTGTTTGTGAGAACTGCGCGTTTGCGATGTGTTTTACGCACCAGCTCCCTTGGCACGAAGGCTTGAGTTGTGAACAATTCAACAATCAACGTGAACACGGCGACCCGGATTATGCCGACACTCAAGAGTACATTCGTGCGAATACTAAAACATGCCCGGGTGCAAATTGTGGAATGAACGTCCTGAAGGATGGCGGTTGTTTTCACATGACCTGTAAGGCTACTATTGTGACCACAGTATAGACAATTCTTGCTGACGTTGTCCCTGAGGTCGATCTTGTGGCCACGAGTTTTGCTGGGAATGTCTTGCAGACTGGAGATTGATAAGCCCTGAAGATGGCGAATATAACCGTGTCGCCCACAATGATGGATGCTGGTTTTTATCACACAACACCCAGCCAACTCAGATAGCCGGCAACACTATTGAAGCTGCTTTGAGGAGAAGGCGATAGTGACAGCGAGTACGTTGGGATACCCCGTGCTGAGGTGTATTAAATCAACTAGGCATGAATTAAGTCATAACTTTTGCTTTATATTTAAACGAATGAATGACACTTGAATTTCGAACACCCTGCTGCGAGGCCGTCATTAAAATTAGTGGCGCTATGAACATCTAGCGTCCAAATGTGAACAATTTTTGGCGGTAAAAATACCTGCGAAGAGTAGTAGGATAATCCTCCGTGAATAAAAAGAAGCATAATAATGCAACAATACATGGTATCCTCTTGTGTCTATACTTTTCCGCATAAGTGCTTTTCATAGTCAGAGTCTATGACTGAATCAGTTCTCGAAGCTCAAAGTTACGCTCTTTGTGTGGTTTTGTTGGCACAGATTTTCCATGCTGGAAACTGCCATGTTCGACAACATTTCGTAAAATCACTTCCAAAAATGGTAGAGACCTCGCTGAAGAACAAGTAGCGACGCTACCACGTAGTTCTGTACGAACTCCGAGAAGTAGCAATACCCCCCTGGAGGACGGTCTTCAGTATTCAGTAGTCGCCAGTCCATGTTCGTCTTAAAGCATCGCCTGTAGCCTACCTTCTGCTGGTGCAGAATAGGTTTGATTTAAGCCTCGGATCTTCGGAACTTGGCGAGAAGCAAGCTCCTCGGCGTCAAGCGAGTAAACAGATTGCTGGAGATGCTCTCACATTGTGGCAAGATCGGTGCAAATGAGTTCCTAAGATGTGTTTGCTCATCTCCAGCCTCCAACTCTGCCTTCATCCCATCTTTCCTTTCTCTCTTGTCTCAAGTACGCTATCTTCCTTGCCTCTTTCAGCCTCTTCACGAAGACCTCAATCTCCCTTTCGTTCGCCTTCCCGCTCTCGTCTTCCAGGAAGCTCTCCTCAAGGCCTCTGCACAGACTTTCTTGCTCTGCGATAGCACTCACTAGTTTCTGATATAGTGCTGGGGCACTGAAATCTCGCAACGCGGTCTCTTGCTCTGCTTGCTTAGCCCGAAATTGGCGTTCCAAAGCGCGCAAGGAGAGGAGACGTTGTTGTGTGGCGGCGCGTTGCGATTGAATCTGTGCCTCTAGGACTTTGAGGTTAGAGGCGAGAGCGATGTTGGATTCTAGAAGGGACTTCAGAGGCTCTGTTGAAGCGGCTATAGAGGGATGCGACGTCTTTGGGTCATGTAGGAGGGCTTGCTGGAGGGCGGTGTCGGAAAGAAGAGACTGAAGGTCGATTGTACTATAATGTTTTAGCTTCAACGGTGAAGTTTCCAAGCAACTCAGGTCGTGCAATACATACCTCTTGTCCTTTACTATGTCCGGAAGCCAACCTTCCGGCGGTGGCTCCACATCTGGCGCGTATTGTATGTACGTTACAGACTGTCCAGGCTGATATTGACCATGCTGTTGGTATTCTTCTCCCCCTGGTGACTGACCGGCCGGAGGAGGTCGTGGAGGACCAGCCAGAGGTGTGGCTGTCCCACTGGAATGTGCCGATGGTTTGGGAGGGGGAAGAGGTGGTGATGCGGGATTGTACGCGAACTGGCCCTGGGAAGAACTTGGCGAATTGTATGACATGATCTTGATGTGTCTTGCATGAGATCAACTTCTGGAAGATACCAGCGTGGGAATGAAGTCACTCCGAGGTGGAGGCTTTTTACGGAGCTAGCTCCTTGCACTGTTTCATGCAGCCGTGCAACTTCGCTCACAACAACCTTTGTGTCTTCACAACGAGTCGCAAACAACGAGCTTCTTTTGAAAAGACATATCTTGCTTTGTGGTAAGCCTGCTATGGCCTGTCTAAAAACCTTCAGGCAGCAATCCTACCCGAGGGAAGCGTGCGCTCAAGCTCACCGGCCTGGCGCAGGTTCTTCCAAGGAACTTCAGTCCAACTTTGTAGCCATGCCTGCAAGGCCACAAGCTGACTGCTCATTGGCATAAATAGACGACAAGCAGCATTTTTAAGTCTCGAGGAGAGGTCTGCACTTACCAATGGCGGGAGTACGAAGCTTTCCGCAAAGTAAAGACGAATTCCAGACAGATGATCGAATATCATACTACGAAGAAGACGACAAGTGGATCCTAGAGGATGAAGATGGTGTAGAATGGGAGTGGGTAGAGTCGACCGGCAAATGGGCTCCAGTGGTGCGTCCTCTTTCCCAAGGTAGTTTCTGTTCTACTAAGAATAAGTAGCTCGACGACAAAGTCATCGCACAACACCAGCAGGCATATGCTCACACGAGCACGAATGACACAGAAACAGCCGAAGAACAGTTTAAGCAAAAAAAGCGCAAGTTGCTCGAAAAGGTAAACATTTTCGAGCTAATGCATGCTTCACTGAGCGTTAGACTAACGGGCTGTAGGCGAAGCAGGAATCCAACAAAAAACCGAGAGCTGAGAAGCAGAACTCAGCCGTTTATGTCACATCACTCCCACTCGATGTCACAGTAGATGAAGTTTACGAGGTATTCTCCAAGTACGGCATAATTGCAGAGGAGATCGACAGTAATAAGCCTCGCATCAAACTCTACACAGACGAGGAAGGCAAGCCCAAAGGGGATGCATTGATTGTATACTTCAGACCCGAATCGGTACAACTAGCTATACAAATGCTTGACGAAACGGACTTTCGGTGGGGAGTCAAAGGCCCTGATGGTCCGATGCGCGTCAGAGTCGCGGACACATCGTACAAGCGTACGCAGAATGGTAACAATGGGGACGATCAGTCAACCTCAAAACGAGGCAAGCCAGGCGACAAGCAGAAGATTATTGAGAAGACGCAGAAGCTCAATCAGCGACTGGCGGATTGGAGTGACGATGAGGATGGCACTGCTTTGCTCGATAAAGAGGTCAAGAAAGACGCCAAAAGGCATTCAAAGTGGGACAAAGTTGTGGTGCTCAAGCATATGTTTACTCCTGAAGGTCTGGCTAAGGAGATGGAGGAAGATCCGACCGTCAAAGAAGATCTTCTAGAGGACGTCAAAGAGCAATGCGAGCAGTCCGGTGACGTGCTGGACATGTTCTTATTCGATCTTGAGGCCGACGGTGTCATTACCGTTCGTTTCGCAGATGCAGACGCCGCACAGAATTGTGTGCAGCGACTGAACGGCAGGATGTTTGACGGACGCACAGTGGAAGCGTATATATCAAAGGGTGAGCGCTTCAAGAAGTCAAAGCTCTCAGATATCGACGAGGAGGCTGAGAGAAAACGCTTGGAAGCGTTTGGCGAGCTCCTTGAGAAAATGCCAGATGCGTGATGTGAGTCCGATGATTTAGTAGAATGGCGTAGCTCAAAGGGAACAATGTTGGGGGGGGGGGGGCCAACCCATGCAGCGGCTTTTGCCATGTCTAATTTGAGTTTATCGCACCTGTGCGTGACATGTGGCCATCAGTTTCAGACAAATTCAGCGCAGGCAAAGGCGTAGCCGACGCGAATAAAGAGCTTGGGGGCTTGCAGAAACATGCGTCGGCTCGCGATTCTGACGGCCAAAGCGATGCCTTTGATCGTGGGCTATGGGCGGAAGCGTCACTAGGCGGCTCTGCCTCGAAGCTCAGCCTCGCTTGGCCTTGCGCCAACGGTCTGACAGGACACTCCGTACACTAAAGCGAATAGAGAAAGTGCCAGCGCGTCTCTATATCGTGCTCGCACCGCCTCGAATTGAAAATCATTCTTGCCAATATTTTGCACGTATCCGATCGACTTGGAACCACTCCTCTGAGCATTACTGTCTTGGCTTTCACAGACACATTAATAGCCTCGCTGGGCACGTCGGCTCATGCTACCCACAGCATGAGCCTTACAGCAGCATCGACGACGGATGGGGCGAGAAAGGCCCCCGTGCTGACGCTGTCAGCGCGAGACTATTTCCACTCAACGCCGGAATCTAGATTTTTTTCTATACCACTCGAGATACGGCAACAGATCTACAGATATGTCTTTTATACGCCAAATACCGCTTTTCAAAGGACGATAAAAGGATGGCGCGAGACTCCGCATGTGTCTGATCTCACATACGGTGTGAACAACACGGCTCTCAACGCAGTGAGTCGGCGCATTCGTGCTGAAGCACTTCCTATCATGTACGGTGAAACCAAGTTCCGGATTGAGGGGCCAACTATGTTTCGACGCTTGTTGTACGTAGCTGATTTGAGCGATTGCAAACATATGTACATTCGCAAAGTCAGCCTAGTGGCGTGGAAGAAGGTTCTCAATCAGGGGCATTTGCGCTCCTCAGCACTTGCAAGACAGGGTTCTATTCTGGTGTCTATCCTTGCGGAACTACCGTGCCTCAAAGAAGTGGAACTGAGCAGCGGGCACTTGCCTGCAACAAAGGAGGACTACAATGACGAGTACTGGATAGCGCTGATGTATACCCTGCGTGCGAATACGGGCGTTCTACGTATTGTCGCTGCCACCATAAAGTCCAATAGCTGGTGGTTCGATTGGAGCCTCGTTGGGGGTCACAACTACTCGTGGCAGGAACGCGTGCTGGTGAAGACCTGTCAAGAAGTTCGAGACTGGAACGAGCTAGTCAATGCAAATCTCGGCGCCTTCGAATTCTCAAATGTATTCGAGGAAGCCATGCGCGAAAGCTGGATGCACGGCCCGTTCAAGCACGTTGCCATCGAGCACGAAGGCAAGACGTATGCAGTCAAGTTCTGGGGCGTGCCGGAAAATGTGAGGATGTCGGAGTAAAGAAGGATCGCACGCAAGGACGCGAAGAAATTGTACGAGGAACAGAGGAGTAATGAGCGGGTCAAGGCACCACGCATACGACTCGCTGAATCCGACGACGAGGGGTTTGACCACGCCGAACTGAGAAGCAGGAAGACGGTCACAAGGGAAGAGGCAAGGACCAAAAGGATGCAAAGGCAGCGAAGTCGTTGAAGGGATGCGCGCACACTGTATCATACTCTTTTGCAACTTTGCTAAAACCTACCTCAGCACTCTGTGCCGCTACACCACCTGCTTTTGGGACCACAGGTGCGTCTTTGCTACGACTTGAGCAGGAAAACGGCCAAGAAAGCAAAAACTCAGTGAGAAATTTGTTTGAAACAGGCGTACCCGTCGTAGACACTGAGTCATTGACGCAGCGACAAAAGTCTCAATATTTTTTTTAAAAAAAAATTTTTTTTCTCTTTATCCTGGAAGGTTATTGCCGTGACTACTTCTCATGCTCTCTCTTCCTTTTTTTTTTCTTCTTTTTGTTTGGACGGGCTGGAACTGTTTAAGGCTAATGTGTCGTATTACACCACGAAAAAGTATATCGAGTCGATCCTACGGCACACGCTGTGTTTTGTGACTCTCTCGCCCGCTGTGTGTGGTTTTTTGTTCCGCGTCGCGAAGCGAGCGTTTTGTGCTTTGCGTGTTTGTGTCTTTGGACGGTGTTATTAACCCCTCCCCCGGGAGAGGAACGAAAACCGGCTGTCCACTCACAATCAATGCCAAAAATGCTTTCTTTGTATTCATGCATGAACGAAGAGTGTTGAGGATACGGGCTTTCTTAATCGCGCTGAGCGTGCAGCCTGTGTTTGTGAAACTAACCAGGAAGTTTCCGCATGTTTATATCGTTCCGGCTTATTGCTGCAGTACTGTGTGCCGTGTGTGTGTGTATGACACCAACTTTCGCGAGATAGGGAGAAGGGATGTGGGGGCAGTTCAAATCTGCGTACTAGTCGGTTGGTAGTTTGGGCATAATGCTCTGGATAAACAAGGACACAATTGGAAGCAACGTGGACGGTTGAATCCGTTCCAATGCCTGAGACTGTTGTCTTTTCTCCATCGGTCTTCATGCACGACCAGGTGAGCACGACATTGATGAACGACAAGTATAGATGTGGGTGCATGCTTCGACTGGTTTGGGTCTCAGACGAATGATCGTCGGATAGGACATGCTTTCACGTCAAATAGTCCACAGAAATCATCAATCTTTGGGATCGAGAGGCCATTTTGTGAAATTTCGACACCAGCGCGTCAGGCGTCCAAATGCCCACAGGTGTTCGAAATGCGCTGCGTAGAAGCTGATGCATCCTACATGTTTCAAACGCAGTCAAGACGGTTGGAAATTGCGCGTTGTGATGCGTTGACTTGGCCACGCACGTTGGATGAGAGGCCTATTTGTGTCTAGCCCGGTGGTGGTACACGGTCTCTACGTGATCTGGTGTTGCAACACGCGAAAACGCGCAATACGATCTTTCGAAAAAGCCTTGTCGGCGGCGCGAAGTCGTGCAGATGGAGCGCAAAAAACTTACACAGGACTACCGGGTTTTGACATGAGACCCGATTGACGGACTGCGATGGAGCCTCATAGCCGTTCGAGTCAGACACGATTGGGAAAGAAAAGTTTTATTTTTCTCTCCTTCTTTCCCTCCGCTGAATGCGGACGGCTGCTGAGCGAAGTGAAAATGTGATTCATCAGATTGTGAAGTTTTGCAGATTACTTTTTTACACGCGAGACAACGTTGTCTCACATAGAAGACAGAAAACGGTGCATTGGCTTTTGTCTCGGAGCGGCCTGCCCTAGGTCGTATGTGATAGCGCTTGGCGCACTGTTGTCTCACCATCGGCAAAGTAGGACTGGTGAACAGGGACGTGTAAATTTTCTTTATTTCCAGAGTTCACAGTAGGGAACGTCGTGAATAATAGCTACTCGTCGTGCAGCTCCATTGGAGGCGCTCGTCTTCACGCTAACACGAGATAAGACTATATCATAGCTTCAACTGTATTTTCAAGCGATCTTCGTTGAGTACCGTGCCCCTGGTCAGCACCTAAGCTCACTCTATTGAAAAACCCCACGGACATCCTGGCTCTGTATGCGGAGAGTGATTCCTTTCGCGTGGGTTTCCTCCCGTTTCGGGCTGAGAAAGCGGACAAATCCAGCAAACTTGGCTTGATGACCTATACCATGGGTTGGAATTGCTTTTCCAAGCCGATTGGGTTCGTGCGCGACTCGCGTCGCCAGCCCCGGGTTTGGTTCTGAAACGAGCACCCAGTGCTCAGGGCAGGGTAAGCTGTGGCAACGCAAATCATCGGAACTAGCGTGGGCTAGATCTTCAACTTTTCATGTCACGCTCAAGTGTGGCTAGGAGAGTGGAAGGATTTGGTATTGCTGTGTCGGAGTCGTTATCGATGGCGTGTGATTGTGATGAATTGCGATTTCCAGCCGTGGGATCGGAATCGATGGCGACCTCACCTTCCTCCTGCATGAGCTGCTCCATCTCGTGAGCTTCTTTCTTGAACCTGGCCAAGTACTCGTCTTCCGTGACGAAACCAGCTGGGAGTGCATCTGGACTGGAGGGCAGAACCTGGATGCTCGGAAACTCGAGGACGGTTTGGTTTCGCAAGCAGGTTAGCAGAGTGTCGGTTGGTGACAGCGGTACGAGAACGTGTTCCGAACCACTTGTTCTCGGCTTCACCAGGTAGTAGTACAGACCAAGGTCGTCCGACGAGCCAGTCGGTAATGGCTCCAATTGGCGTTGGCCTATTTTGCCTTTGACGACTGCATCGTCGTGCTCGGGGCCGGGCTCCACCGTCGCACTAGCCTGGGCAGAATCAGTGTCGGCGACGACAGGAGCAGCAGGCAAAGGTGCAGTCGAGCTGTCTGCTGCTGGCGTTGTCAACGGTTCCCTGGCGTCGACATCCTCGTGGCTTCGTTTCAACGTCGAATTTTCGATCAATTCTTTCGCAGACACAAGGTTGCCAGTTGGGGGAGGGGTCCTGTCTTGAATACGATCCAGCATGTCCCTGCTCGTCGAAGGTCCCCCGTCACGCTTTCTTTTTCTTCCGAGAGAGCCTGCTCGCTTCAGATAGACAGGCCTGTATCCCCTGTAGAGCTCTTCATCGTCGAAGATGGAGGCTACGGTAGAAATGCTGTTTTCGTCAATCCATTCAACGGTCCAGTTGATGCGCTTGGACTTTTCAGATGTGGGAGATCAGCGGGGGGGCAACGTAAGGACGGACAGCGCAACAGCGTACCTGCGTCAGTCTGGTCTGGTTGAGCTTCTGGCGGCTCATGCCCAGAGGTGCATACTCGATGTGAACACGAGCCAACTGGAGCCGGCTGCGAAAGGCTGGGTGGTTAAGCCTCGTAGATCGACCGTCTGCGGTGTGGATAGATCGCCCCTGCAGCAGCTCGTCCGCACGATCACGGGATCTCTCCAGGCCAGAGATGAAGTTGTAGTCGTGGTCTATGCCGGCCGGCGTCGCGAGCTGGCTCTTCTTGACGTACGAGGTGGGATCACGCTTGCCAGAGCAGCCGCGAGCCTTGTGTCTCTGCACGCACTCGAGGCAGCATGTCCGCGTCGAACAGGCAGGGCAGCGGTACTTTGGAGCGGATGTGTGACTGCGCCGTCCGTCAGAACTCGATGGGATTTCTGCAGCTGTAGGGTGAGACGGCGTGCAGGCCAACGCACCAGATACTGCAAAGGTCGCTTAGTAGGGGCTGCATGACGGCGGATGCCAGATCGAAAACTTCCGCTACGCGACGCTGGGCAGAGGTGTTTGTTCCCCTCTGTCTCACCTCTGCCTGTACAGGATCCAGACAGCGTCCCTGCGGCACGTGCAGCTGCAGAGACCAGACGGCCCGTTGATCGCGCTGATTTTGCCGTGCGGACAGCGACAGCCTTTGGCCTGACAGCGGATTCCGGCCCACGCGGCGCAGTCGGCCAGGAGTGCAGATGCAGCTTGCCGCGCTGACAGCGTACGACTGTGGTTTTGTAGCCTCTGCAGATGCTGAGATGGCGGACGAGGGGAGCGACGTGGGAGCGACACGGCGCGACAGGAAGAAGGCAAAGATGAAGCCGGGCCAGGACGAATTTTTCTTTTTGCTTTAGTTTTCTCTTCGTGCGCGATCCCGACATCGTCCACTGGCGACCGCCGGCGACCGGCGTAGTCGAGCTCCCGTCACACACGCTCAGCGCATGCACACGCCCAGAACACGCCCAGAACACGCCCGGCAAACGCAGCGCTCGCTCTCACGGACTGGTCACGACGTGTGCTTTTGACGATATTCGTGCGACGAGAATGCGATATGACGACATTTCGCTGGCCTGCTGGACCGATGCTCACGACCGCCCGACCGTCTGTTCTCGCCGTGGTGCTGAAACAGAAGGCCCGGCGATCGATTCCAACCAACCACGATATCGGTGGCGATGGCTGTGACCTCCACTATCGCGGCGCGATTCCTCAGGCAAGCGGTCACAGGGCATGCCTTTTCTTTGGACGACAGCACGAGGCTCGCGGCGTGGAAGGCGGTCGTGCCTCTTGCGGGCGAACGACGGCGCAGTGTTGGCCATCAGCCTGAACTTTCTGCCGTAGCCAACCACTTGCACCATCCCACAACACGAAGGGAAACCTCCGCTCGCTTCTTGCGTGCGCATGCCGCGACGGGCGTGAATTACCTGGGGACCGCAGTTGCAGAGTGAGCATCGCTCGCGCAAAAGCAAGCACTGCATCGCGCTCTTTGCCGACCAGTCTTTCAGGCCCGTGGTGGTTGCAGCGGGGTGTCCACGACCGAGACCACGCTCTGTAACCCGTGCATTGCCATCGAGCTTCGTGATGCAAGCCGCCGCTGAAACAAAACGAACAAAAAGGATTCCATCCAGCTCGACTCCTTGCCGTCGGTGGGCCCACAGCGTTCAACGTGCCGTTCCTGAGGCCTGGTCCAATAGGGGCTTTTCCCTCGCCTAGCAACTCTGTCAAGGCCCGTCACGGCAAATGCTACAGTGCGAAACTGTAATTTCGTCGACGCTCAAAAGCTCCGCTCGGCTAGTCCGCCGCCAGCTATCCGCCCCATGCCGTTCCTTGCAGAGCCGTATCGGACAGAGACTGTCTGCCGTCCTCCACCGCCGTACGCTTCTCCAGTGCGTTGCGTCGAACAGAGCCCACGGGGCCGGCCAGTCGACTCGGCACCTCCCCTGGATGCTGCAGATGAAGAACCCACCGGGTCAATAATGACATTCTTATCCCGACCTGCAGCTCGGCTTCGACCTCCGCATCCTCACCCCTGCTTGGGCTCCTCCTGATCGCTGGCGCTAGCTCTTCATCAGCGCTAGCGCAGAGGACTTGTGAAGCCACCGCTTGTGCCCTTCGGGACAGTGGACGCCAGGGCCTGAAGGCCCGAGTTCCTTTAACAATCTTATCCTTCGCCTCTCCTTTGGTGAGCGGCCGTTCGACGCGAGAATTGCTGTCTATCGGACGGCGAGGTTTGTGAAACTCCAAGATACTCGTGGCCTGGAGCTGCTATTCGCCCTCAGCTGAAGAGCGAACTCTCCAGCTTTTGATGTTTTGGCTTTTCTCGATTCCTTCCCTCGTTTTGGATTCACAGCCTTGGACAGCTTCTTCCCCTTCTTCTCTTCGGGCTCGATTCCCCTCGACCTCACGTCTCTTCTAGCTACGCGGAGATGGCACCCTCTCTCAGTCTCCGTCCCAGGACGGGCGAACGCCCCCCGACTCGCGATCAAAATGACAACAGCCTGGTGATCCCCAGCCGGACATCTTCGCTGCATTCCCGCATCACGCAGCCATTGGCCTCGACGTTGAATGTCAAGCCCGGTGCGCGTACGCCGAAAACTCTCACACATGCGTACATGGTCTGTGGTGTCGGCAGGGAGCCTTCACAATGGGTTCGAGCACCAGCACCGAGCCAAGGCAAGATTGGACACATGAAGGGAGCCGTTGGTCAGTTCTGGCTGCCAGAGATCTTGGGAAGCAGCCCACGACTCGAGCAGGACAACGAAATCGCACGCTCCCTGCATGCGGCGATGCGCGTAAGTTCCTCACAGATCCTCAATCACAGACGAGGTTCCCACTAACGCTCATCAAACAGGCTTGCTTCCCTCACGACGTCGAAATCTGCACCGGTCGCAGCCAGCCACACTGTGTTCACCATGCATTCGTTCTTCAGCAAGACTCCAGCCACACCTTGTACGGTATTGCCCTCCGCGTCTGGTCGCGCGCCGACGAGAAGCGTGCAGAGACCATTCGTGACCTGAGAAAGCGTACCGAGTCGGACTACTATGAGCAGCCCGACGAGACGTATTGGATTCCTTACTGCTTGAGCTTCCTCTCCCGGTATCCTCTGTACAACTTGCTCGGGGATTATCTTCGAGGCATGTGGATCCACTGGAACAAGGCGACGAACCTCTTCCACGCGGAAGAGGTGTCTCGCATCCTCAGTTTCCCAGCACCCCGTCTCAACGATCTTGTCCGCATTGACATGAAAGATTACGCATTGTGCTACCAGTTCCCATCCTCGCCAACAGGCTTCCAGAACTTCTCCATGTGGCCTCTTTTCACTTGCTTGTCAATCCCCAACATTGTCGGTGTCATTGAGGCTGCCGTGTCCCCAACACGCAGAATTATTTTCACCAGCCACTACCCTGCTATGCTCACCATCGCTGCCGAGACTATTCGATTCTGCGTCCGGGTTTATGAGTGGAGTGGATTGTACGTTCCTGTCGTTCACGCTCGCCACGTCAAGGAGCTTGTCCAGGAGCCAGGTCCATACATCCTCGGTGTCACAGCCGAGTGCAGGACACTCTTCACTGCGCCGCCCGATGCACTTGTTGTGGATCTTGACAGAAACTTCGTGCTTACATCCAGCCCACCAACTGCCCTTACTCCGGGCCAGCGAACCAAGATGATCAATCGGTTGACACAGGCTTTGAACGGTGAGGTCGCGCCGTCTGGCGTTCCTCAGCACCTTCGATCTGCCTATGGCGGCGGCAAGCTGATCCCCGCTGGCCAGATCATCGTGATGAGAGGAGAGGTTGAAAGCATCCAAGATCCGGATTGGTGGAATCAGGACGCTGTCATGAGCGTGATGGATCACGTCTGTGAGAAGCTTGTAAGTTCATGGCGCCAGGTCGAAATTGAGTGCCGCGAGACTAACGCGTTGACGTAGGGTCGTAACACTGGACTCAAGGCCATGTTTGGAGGCTCCGTCAAGAAGCCGCTCATGACCAAGGTTTCCATGCGTCATCTGAACGAGATTGTCCGCGAACGTAACCAATACTCGCGCGATGCGATGGAAGCATGGCAGGACTTTATCAATCTCAAGACCAGAATGGATTCCGAGCTCGCCAAAGTTACCAAGCGCAACAACTTCCTCGTCGAGGAACTTGAGAGCTGGAAGCAGCAATTCCTCAAGTTCCAGGCCTTCGCGGAGCAACTCACGAAGGAAACTCAGGATCTCAAGGTCAAAATTGAAAACCACAAACGCGAGAATCGCCGTCTCACCAACCTTATCGAACAGCAGAAGGATGACGCTGCTCGTCTTACTCTGCGCCTGTCTGGCACCGAGAAGCAGCGCGATGATGCTTTGGAGGCTCTTGTCCTTCAGCAAGAGATTGCCGAGGAGCTCGAGCGTGAGCGAAAGCGAAACAAGAAGGAGCTGGCAGCTTTGCAGCATACCAACGCTACCTTGTTGCGCCAGCGCGATGAGGCACAACGTGTTGTTCTGCATCTCCGCGCTCTCATCGATGGACAGGCTCATCACATGGAACACATCGTCAAGTCTTTGTCCACCGCACCAGAGCTCTCTGAGTATATTGAGGAGGGCTACGATGACGAGGAGGAGGACGAGGTATCACAAAAAGAAGACACGGTGGCTGCTCGTACTCACACACCAAGACCCGTTAACAAGCGTGCTTCCCTGAGGACTTTCAGCCGCGCTAGCACGGTAGACTCTAAGCACTTGGACGGTGAGGAGGTCTCTCCGGATATGGAAGAGCGTCTCATCAGCAACCCATCTCGCAAGCGATTCTCGCAGCTCAGCATGGCAGACGTTGCCGACAGACACTTGCGCGATAAGACTGACGCCATTGCATACATTATCCGCAACATCTCTGAGCAGTGTGCAGCTGCCGTTGAAGGTCTGCAACTCGCCCAGCGTGCCGACACGGACGACGACGACCAGAGCACCAAGGGAGGCAAGGCGCCATCCGAAAGCGGTCAAGCCTCAACTGCCCAGGGCAGCGACTACGGCGACGACCGCTCTGACTACCTCCAGCCATCTGAGCGTCAATCCAGCATCCCTCCAACACCGGACCTCGTTCACAACCGCTCCAGCACATCCATGTCCATCGCGAGTGCGTCGACCACGCCGGAGCGAAACAGTCTCGGCCATTTCAAGAACCACGACGCTCCAGATGTCCCCACTCGCATCGTCGAGGACCATGACGACTACAATAATATCCCCGAGGTCGAGCCGATGAAGTACGCCCAAGAGGTGCGGCGCCCCAACACTACCCGCCTAGGCGGCCTCGGCTCGGTTTAGACAAGACGGTTTTTCCAAATGTCTTTTTAAGAAGAAGAAAGAAAATGGCTTCTCGCGCTGTTCCACCTCCAAAATCCCTCTCATATGTGCTGTCAGCATATCATTCTCAAGGCCGGTTACGAAAGCTCCTTATTATCCGCTACTATTGATCAGTTACCTTGCTATCCTTTTTTTTTTATTAATTTTCCATTGATACCTCAGCGGCGGCGGCGTTGGCGGGCTCTCCGATATTACCGATATTGTGTTGGAGCAAGTGTTTGTATTGTCTTTCACGCTGTGGCTTCCGAGCAAACGCCTGGACATTTTTTTGTATGTATGCGTGTCTGTGTGTGTGTGTGTGTGTGTGTGTGTGTGTGCGTGTGTGCGTAGAAGTTCATCTCGCTGAAATCTGTCTTAATCTGGAAGCAAATGGGACTTTTTTTTCAGGATGATTTAAGAATAACAAAACACGCGGACCGGGCTGGCTTTTGCACGAGAAAGCTCGGTGTGAGAAGTTGATTTTTATGTTTTTTTTTATATTTATTTTTTTTTTTTTCATCTACTTTCGCGCTTGTGGCGACGAGGGGAGCAGAGACGGCTTCAATTTCTAGCTAGCACCAATCTTATACTCTTCTTGAACCCTCTCTTGCCTGCGTCCTCTAATTCACACATGTGTCTCACCGCCCCCGCGTGCGTATTCCCCATGTCTTCTTTCCTCCTTTGCGATCTCGTCGACGCGTTCAGATTTGAGTTCTGCTTTTTGAGAAAGGAGAGGTGAAAAAAAGAGGGGGGGCGGAAGGGCGGAGGTGCGTGCAGGCTTTAGGAGTCGAAGTTGAGCAAAAATAATGACACAGGATCCACGTTTTCGGGTGAAAATGTAAGTGAGACGCCGATGGGCGATTGTGTGCGGATACCAAGTGGTTAGAGAACAAAAAGTCCACAGAGGGGGAATAATACGACTTCCGTTCTAAACGGCAGGGTATACGGGGGTTTGCAGCGAAAACACGTTGCAGTTTGGACAGGTTCTAATGCGATCTCGACGGCAAGGCTAGATGACGATGATGATGATGATGATGATGATGATGATGATGATGATGATGATGATGGATGTAGGATCTCTCTTCTATCGATCCCAGAGGTTTCTTGGCAGTGTTCCGAGGCTGGCGCAGGCAGACAAAAGCCGATCGGATGACACGGACGCAGGAGCAAGATGGCTAAGCTTTTGTCGCTGCCGCCTGCACGCCGTTCCTCTCCACCTCTCTGTCCACGTCCCAAGTGCTCAAAAAGCTCGTCGCCATGTCCAATGCCTCCTCGATTTCTTGGCTGTCGTAGCCCGTCTCGCTGGGTCCCTGAGCCTCCTGGTAGCTTGGTATGGGCAGTGCGGAGGGTGCGCTGGGCGCGGTGCTTTGCGCCGCCATCGCGGAGGATCGGGGAGCGTGCATGAAGCTGGAGAGTGTCCGGGCGGGGTCTGACGTCTGGTACGTCGCCGGAAAGGAGCGAGAATGCTTGGACAGGACTGATTTGGGTGCGGGTGTTGTGATGGGAGGCTGAGAGGAGACGTTGTCCTTGCGAGGAGTAGGATTTAGCGGCGTATTCGAAGCCAAGGGCGATCGTTCTTCCTCCTTTTCGAAGCCTCTGGATTGGAGCGAAGGCTTCGTTTGAGGCCAGCCTGCAAAGCTGATACGTTTCTTCTCCATTTTCTGCTCGCGTGTCGGCTTTTTCACCGTGCTCCAGCTCAGATCCGCGGCTGCATCCATGAGATCCTGAGTGCTTGCTGGACCAACGCGAGCCAATGACGCAGGCTGTGGTCGGTTGAAGAATGATGGAATATCCGGGCAGCGGAAAGGTGTTGCAATGTTTGCAGCTGGAGATATCTCTCCGCCGCCTTCTCTGAAGCGTCCTTCCGCTGAGCTAGCGTTGTAATCAGCGGAATTGCCGCCGGCTTTCTGAGCAGATTGTGTTTCCTGAAATGCCAGATGTGCGCGGAGCAACTCTGTCTGCGTCGACATTTCCGCGTTACAAGTGAACATAGAATAAGCACGAGAGTCCTGTCGATTTGGTAGTTCCGTGGTTGTCTTGTTAGATGGCAGATTTGCATCCTTATCGCCATGTTCATGATCCACGACAAGGGCAGACGAACTGAAGGTTCTACGCGCTACATCGCTCTCCTGGGCTTGGAATTGAACATCGTCTTGATCTGATAGAACGGACTCCATTATTTTTTGAGCATTCTTCTCATGTTCTCTCGGTCTCAGCTGTTCGCTGGGCTCATTTCGTCTCTGAGTGGTTGATGGTCTTTCGGAGACAACTGTTGCACTTGAACTAGAAACAGGATCTTCTTCAACCTGGTGTAACTCCTCGGCGACAGATTCATAAAAATGTGAATTGTCCTTTGAAGCTCGCTCCTCTTTATCTGGACATTTTATTTTGTCATCCGGCTCCGTCACATGTATTGAAGCCTCACTCACTTCCGCAGCGACGTCTTTAGATTTAGTGAGCGTGGTGTGATTGATCCCATGCTTATTTTTTAAATGATTTCTTACACCACTGCGACTAGCATATGCCTTTGGTCTATTCGGGCCGAACGATAATGGACATGGCCATCTCCCTTCATCGTTGGTGTATATTGCGACAACTTCTTGCATCTCGCCCTCTTGTGCAAGCGACTCATGATCTCCAACAGCGAGCTCTTGGTTCTCTTTAACCGAAGCGACATTTGCAATAGATGCTGGGATGTGAGCACTTGGATCGTGAAGCTCATGAGTGCTTGTCGTTGTAGCCTTTGAGGCCCTGGACTGATTTGGGCCTTTACTTCTTGGCATTTGGCGTTTCTTTTCATCATCTTTGAAAACGAAACCAGGCAAATCAGGTCCTTTGCGCAATGTTTGGTCCGCTTTTCTCAGTTCCACTTCCGTACGTTGAACTTCTACTGGCTTATCATCACTGATCATGGAAACTTTACTCAAGGTAAGAACATTCCCGGTGTCGTAGAAAGCGCCGAGAATGCCATGGTGACTTTTGCGTGGTGGTTGCTCTGAATTGGATCGGTTTGCTCCGCTACTCGGCCCGTTGACCTTCAGGCTCTTTGGCGGAAACTCAGAAGCTGCTATTGTTGATGCTCGCTGGCGTGCATGAATATCCGGGGATTTACGCGGCTCCCTATTTCCGAGGAAGTATCTTGAGTTCGTATGTTCCTCATCAAAGTCATCATCTGTCTGATCTCTCAATGCTACATTAACTTCGCCACCCAAGTCAGAGGAATAACCAGCGTTTTTTTGATTCCTTAACCAATCATGGCAGTATTCTGATCCTCGACGGGAAGTATGTCTCGTCACGCTGTCTGGTATAGCTGAAGCGTCGTGACCCTGCCTTTGGAACTCGTCCCGACTGTCCGCTATCGCTGTAGCGTTTGTTATGGTACTCTTTGAGTGCTGGCCACTCAATTTCCAAGGATTTACCCATCCAGATTCGAAGGGCCCTCGCAAGGACGCAGACGCTATGAACACATCCCTCTCTTTTAAGACATCGCGCGCAACCGCCTCTATTCTGCGTCGCTTAGCCGCCCGCTCGGAGTCCGCCAAGGAGTCTTCGGGATAGGTATGGATGATCTCTGTGCTGGGTGGCGAGACGAAGCATACATTTTGGAGCTGAGGCCGTTTCTTGAAGACTGTCATACTTGGGAGTAAGCCTGAGGAATTGCAGGGCTACATGGAGGATGATCGATCTGTTGAACTGCGGTTTGATGTCCTGGTTGCTGGGGAAACTGTACCAGCCGGAAGGGTTGCAAAGACTCGAGCTTTGGGCGACTTTGCAGGAGGCATGAGCTACACAATAGGAAGCGAGCCTCCGAGGGAGCTCATATAGGTCCCAAGCCCGCAGCTTGTCACCAAAGACAACCGCGTCTAAGTAAATTGATCTGCTAGATAGTCAGCAGTGCAAACGGACCAAGTGCGTGGTGGCGGCGGCTGATGTGGTGTGCAGAGCCTTGCGCTAGTCCGATTTAGGACACAAGGCTGGCTCCGACATAGGGCCCATGAAGCCCATCATCGTGTTTGATACAACCATAAACCTTCCAACGCTGTCGCGACCACTGCATCGCAGGCAACGCGTCAGAATATTGCTAAGGACATGCAATTATTACCAGATTTTTCTACAGGCTCTCGACCACGAAGTTTAGTTCGTGTTCTGTGAGGGTTGCAGTCCTGAACATGCGCGTCGAAGAAGTTTACAGGTTGTAAACAAAAGCCTCCACACGACAAACTCGACCGACAACGTCGATACAATTTCTGCAGCCCGACGAGCATACGCCGCTGACACAACCCAAAATGACGCTTCCGCAAGCGCTGAAAGAATGGATGGACGACCTATCCGAGGACTGGATTTCCCAGCCTCCCTCATCATCGCACTCTTCGCCTTCTCAACTACACAATTCGACCTTTAAGCAAAAGAGTGTTCTGTCCGAGCGCTCACAGAACGCGAGCAATATACAGGCTAGTTCTGTGCAAAGAAGGGATCGCCAGAATGGTCTATCACGGCGCTCATTATCTGATGCCTCGTCCTCGGGTTCCCAAACTGGTCGATGTTGCGGAACCACCGCTCGCAAATCAGTCAGTGCCTCTCCACCCAAGTCAAGACGCCAGAACGAAGAACTGGAGTGGAAGAAGAGACTTTTACATGGTGGTATGGGCTTTGGGCAGCAAAAGGATCTGTTTAGTCCGATGGCACTTGAGAGCTTGTTCCAGAAACCCGGGTCTAAGGGCTCAGTGAGGAAGGCGCAGAGTGACAACAACAAGCCAAAAGGCCTGTCCTTTTTAAAGAGCTTGGATAGCATCTCTTCGAGTCCACCGCCCTGGCCTTCTTCTTCACGACCGAGTACGAAGATATTATCAAGACGGGGGATGCCTAGCACAAGGCAGAATTTGGAGGCGTTGGATGAAGAAGACGATGAGTTGAAACTGGATGGATCGGATGGAAGTCAGATTGAGAAATTGCCAGAGAAAACTGAACTTTCTAATAGTGAGACCACGACTCATGGCGACCAGCAGCAACACGGGTCACGAGCGCGTACGGTTCATAGCATAAATCATAATGAGGACCTCGTCTCGCGTAAGACTTCTTTTGGATCAGCCCGACTGCAACCTGCCTGCGAGAAGAACTCTCGTGCAACTAGCTGCAATTTCAGCCAGAACAGCGACGACTTCAGCCCCGTATTTATCTCAAAGCACAACACTGCCGATGGGCGCATTGCCTATGCAGCCCTGGACCTATCGAAATCAGAACTAGAGGCTCAACTGAAGCGTCTAAGAGCTCCGAAAGCAACACCTTCCAGAGCCATATCACAAACAGTGCGAAATACAACAACAATTGGCGATGACTCTTCACTTGCACGGATAGAATCGGAAGCTCTACCGGAGGATCTCCCCGTTGGTACGCCTGACGTGGTTGATTTGCCAAGTATTGGCGAGTTCGTCAGCATCAAGAGAGGAGGCTACTCAGACATCGGCTCCTTCAAGCGACGACCACTTAGCCCCTCCCCGCTTGCTAGGCCGATCTCTAGATCAGTCGATGACTCGTCCATGCTGTTACAGTCTGAAATACAAGCCTTGGATTTGGAGTCAACTAGCGTTCTCCCGACTGCCCCAACACCTCCCAATGCTACTGCGCCAAAGACACCGTGTGCTGAACGAAAGCAAAACGAATTCCTCAGCCCGCAGAGGACGAAGTCAAGCAATAGTCCTTTGAAGCTTTTCGAAAACCATGATACATTTACGGCAAATAGGCTTCAGAGAAGAATTAGCCAACTAGAAGAACCCGATAACCTGCGTGATATGCACAAGGCAGCCGGATCACCCTCTCGGCGCCTGACCGAAGAGGATCTCTCCGTTGTTGAAGAGGCTAGTTTTATCCACGAGAAAGGAAAGGAATGCCGCAAGACCTCGATACAACGGCATTTCGGACAGGGAGACTTGGATGGTCATACTTTCGACGGAGATCAGCTCTCGTTAGAGTGTAGTCGTATCGATAACAAGGATGAGCTTCCTTCTCGCTCTCCTTCTCCTGATATGCTACCACCTGGATATCAACAGCCATTCCGATTTCATGTCGAAGAGCCGCCTTCAGATTTTGCGGATACATTCAAGGGAAAGCGTAGACCCAGCAAGACCAGCACTAATGGAGGCCTTTCAGTTGCAAAGAGAAGCGATCGCAATAGGCCAAGGCTATCTGTACATACCGCAGATGCAAGAGTCACCTCGCAGCCATCTCAAATCTCACAGGTTTCTGAAGGGAAACGCCCACTTACGCCGTCCCCGTTTAAAAGTCCGACGCCAAAGAGAAGAAGAACCGTAGTGCGCAAAGAGTTTACAGCTGGAGTAGAGGTCGACGAAACTAGAGTAACACTGACACACGATTCGCATTCCAGTTTCCAGCACGCGCTTAGTAGAAAGCGTCGAGATGCACGGCATGGAACAGAACGTACCCTTGCAGATCCTGACATTCTTGCCCAGCGCTCAATCCTGAGACCAAGAAACCCAACCCCTAGTCAACGACGCAGAACGGAGTCTGAGCAGGCCATAGATCCACATCCTGCTGCTGCTGCTGCTGCTGCTGAGACGAGCTCGTCCAGGCTGCGAGACATGAAGAAGAATCTGAGTATACCACCTCCGCCATCGCGTGAGTCAGGGGACGACATGCAGGTCAGGGCGTTGGCGACGCACCTTGCGGTGATTAGTGAGAACGTAGCGCAACGTAAGAAATCGGTGACGACACAGGATTTTCTTGACGATGCGATGAAAGTTATGCACTTCATCAGGACTCAGTACAGACCAAACGGGAGTAACCTTGTGAGCATTAACGAAGGGGAGTCAGAAAAGCAGAAGACATCAAATGAGATGGAGAGTGAATTTGAGTCACAGCTTAGGTCTAAAAGCTTTGATGATTTGAGTTTGGAGAGGCCGCCTTCCAGGGAGGGAAGGCCTCACAGCGCATGGCGAACAGGGAGGTCGGCTAAATACGATGCTAGAGTGGTGAGCCATCTGCGCAAGTTCCAGGAAGATGATAATGAAGCGTTCCTGACTGCTTCGTCACGATCATCGGGATATCACTTGGCAAATGGCAATGAAGCCACCCAAGCTCATATTGAGACCGTAACAAGTGATCCACCAGGACTGCGTATCATAGGCCAATCCAAACTTGTGCAGGAGAGAAATAGATCAGGTTCGGATTCAAGTCTGTCGAAGGCAGCCAACTCCAATGGAACTAATGAGACGAACGGCTCAAGAGCATCGCATAGCTCTCGAACAAGTATTAACTCAACCATGGCCCGTACAACAAATTCTCGAAAGTCCGAAAATGTAGCGACATTGCCACCAGAAGCTGTTGCTCATCTCATCCCAGATGAAGTAGCAGGGATGACATATGATAAGGAGTTACGCCGGTGGGTCAAAGCAAAAAGCCCAAAAAAGCCCACTGAACATCACATCGCGAATGAACATAGCGGTATGACCGGCGTGACAGGTAGTGATAATGACCCCTTTGGCGATATTCCCGATCTAACTGTCGACTCGGCTGAGGAGACTAAGCACCTACTTCTGAGCAAATCGACAGGGCGAAAACCCATCGGACACCCGCCCGAAGGGCATTCGGCGTTGATGGATTTTAGTTCAAGACCGTCGACAAGGGGTCAGGAGGAGGTCACGCAGCTAGCAAAGTCGCCTGAGGTGAGCGCTCTCCATCTCGGTTCTTGCAGGAACAGTGAACCTAGGTTGCAAGTTACTGTCACACCTGCTACAGAGAGGCGAAAAAGTCCATGTACAAATCCGGAGAATCGCATCCTAGACGAAAAGGAGCCAACAGAAGAAGAAGTCGAGCACGAGATCAGCATCTTCGAAGGGAGAGCGCAGCCTACACCTCATTCAAGGCAAATACGCAAAATCACCATTTCTATGTCTTCACCAGCATGGACTCGGGCTAAGCACGAACTATCGCCGCTGCTTGAGAGTTCCGGTGTCTCCGTGAGGGACTACGGCAAAAAGTCGTCACAGATCTTGCCAGCCTTCCATGATCAGAACAATCGCCAAACAAGTGTGCCCATGGGTAACTCCGGTGCTGTAATCAATACAAATGACCAAGAGCAAGATCTGGCGTGTTTGCCATCAAGTTCACCATGCAAGGGAGCGGATGTCACTTTCTACCTCAGCGAGCTACCGGAATTTACATTGAATCAGATCGACGAACGAGAAGTACAAGGACGAACATTAAGCAGGAACAACACCGTTGGCCCAGTCTTCCGAGGCACAGAGGACCGCTATGCATCTGGAAATCACCTCCTTGTCAGGGCACTCCAAGATACTGAACCAGATGAGCCATACTGGGAAGACCTACGCAAATTAGACATCCATGGCAAAAACCTCACATCGCTGCATCTTCTGGACGTTTTCTGCGACAGGCTAGAGACTTTAGACGCCTCATATAACACGCTAGCCCAACTCAATGGAGCACCGCATACGATCCGCTGTCTGAGCTTACAACATAATTCCTTGACCAGTCTGACAGCGTGGGGACACCTATTCAATTTGCAGTACTTAGACGTGAGTTACAATCACATCGAGAGTCTGCAGGGATTGTCAACTCTTGTCCATTTGAGAGAGCTGAGGGCGGATAGATGTTCGATCCGTTCTTTAGAGGGAATAGAGGATCTGGATGGCCTTTTGATGATGAGTTTAAGAGGCAACAAGCTGGAAGCCGTGGATTTTGAGGGATGGCAACTGCAAGTTTTTGGAGATCCTCAATGAGAATTGACTGATATGCTGATCGTTCTTAGGTCACGGTTGGAGTCTTTAGATCTTGGTGAAAACAACCTAGCCAGTGTCAAAGGCCTTCACTATCTATCTTCTCTTGAACAGCTCAGACTTGGTAAGTAACTGCAAAAAGAGAGGCGAGACAAGGTCTGACCCAACCTGCAGATTTGAATTATTTACAGCATTTCCCTCAGAATGACCGACCCTGTCCTCAACTTCAAACCCTAGATTTGAGTAGAAATAAAATAGCCTGTCTCGAACTTACTACTTTCTGTCCTGCTTTGCGGTGGTTGAGTGTGGATGGTAACGAAATTTCTTCAACAGCAGGTATCAGTCTTCTACGCAACCTGGAGACTCTTAGCATGCGATCTCAAGCTCTACAAGGTGTGGACTGCGACCTCGCCCCCTTACTGGAAGCACGTTTATCGGATCTTCAAGCTCTCTACTTATCAGAAAACCATATTTCAGCCCTAAGCCTTCCTCAGGGTTGGTATTCCTTGCGGATCCTCGAACTTGCTTCATGCGGTCTTCAAGCTTTGCCAGAAGACTTTGGTCTTTGTGTACCGAATTTGCGAGCTCTAAATTTGAACTTCAATGCCATCAAGGACCTCCGGCCGCTCCTTAACATCAAATTGCTACACGAGCTCCATGTTGCGGGAAATAGGCTGGCACGTTTGCGGAAGACTACCGTGGTGCTTGCGAAACTACGGGAGCTTGAAGTGCTTGACCTGAGAGATAACCCATTTAGCATCGGTTTCCACACGAAGGCCGTGCAGACGGGCACTGTATCTAGCCTTTCAGGCCCCGTTGATCACACAGAATCGCACATGACGCGAAAAGTGGAGAAGGATAGTCAGATGCAGTTTCTTCTCCCACCTTGTAATGGTGACACTGATGCGCAGTACTTCTCTCGCTTGGATGACGGTACCAAACTTAGGCGCAGAGTTTATGAGATGCTGTTAGCAAATAATTGCCGACAGCTCACATCGCTGGATGGACTGACCTTTCGGAGAGAACAAGTACTAGTTCGTGATGAGATATGGGATAGGTTAGTCTTGCTTGGGGTTTTGAAGAGGAGTGGCAAAGTAATCGATGATGGTGATGAAAGAGTTGTGACATTCTAATGGTTTACGAAATTGGGCTCTCGCACTTAGCATTGATCGGCGTCTAGCATTTGACTTTAAAGATGGAGTTAGGCCGGGATGTTTGTGTGAAAGTAATGTATCATTATTGGGATCGAGTGCTTAGCAAGCAAGGCAGCTTTCGAGCCAGAGCATGATGTAATGTGATTTACGTTTTAAGATTATCATTGTTACATGGCAATCGTTTCAAAGCGTCTAGTTGATTCCGTCCTGAAGGGAAACGGGACTTGAGAAACTTATTCTGTTAGAAATTGAAGAGGTGGCTTGGAGCTAGATCGATGCCGCCCCGCAATATTTGCAGCCATATTTGTCATTGTGTCCTATGCAGGTGAGAGTATGTGATGTCGACAGCGGTACCTTGAGGCTCACAAAGTCGTCGATGACAATCTCTGACACTTACCTTGTCCTTTCTCTGCCACATTGTGAGATGTCGGTTATGGTTTTCTTAATGTTGATGTACCATCCTTTGATCATATTACTGCAGCAGTTGACCCCGCGTACATAGCATATGTTCGGAAATGGTGCGGAAGACTCCGTACATGAGGCGGGAGCGCTTGTGCGTGCGCCAGTCCATCATTTAAGAGGTGTTTTGCTCAAGCCATTAGGAGCGGGGACCATCGGGCTTTGATGCCGGCGGAATCGGGTAACCCTCATTGGCTCTCAAATTCATTGAAACAAAAGTGCCAAGAAATATGCCAAGTCATGAACGTTCAAAGCCAATCAACCTGGCAGACTACGGTATCGTCTCGAAGTGTTTCTTAATGGTCCGTTCAACATGTTAGCCATGATGTATGGCGGTGGTGGAACTAGAACTCCTCCGGCCTGACTCTATTACCGTTCGACTTGCTGGGTGTGAGGAGGCTTTCTGCCCTTCCCCTTGTTTTTCCACTCGGCGTTAAGTGGAGTATGCATGACTTAACAAGAGATTTTTCCCCGAATGGAAACACTAAAGGTTGTGGATCTTAATGATGCACAATGTCCATCGTGCCGTTCCGTCGGGAGATCATCGTGACGAGCCGAGTTGCGTCTGGTCAAAGCAGGTAGCGGAAACTTTTTTAAGACCAGATCAAGATCTCCGTCTGCAGCGGAAGTGTTTCCTACCAGCCAGTGGAAGGTGTGCTACAACTGAAAACTGATCCGCATGCATAAGAGGCGTTCGAGGCCTAGCTGAGATGTGCTGATCACAAGTCGCTTTGAGAATAGTAGTAACATCTATACCATTTTCTGATGAACTCGGTTCGTCCACTTCTCTTTGCGGTTGATTTGCCTCAGCGTTGCCTGTCCATACGCTTGCGATTGCTTGAAAGTGGTACGCAAATATTATGATTTGGGTCGAAGAAGGACGATGACGGAAAAAAGTAGCGCATTTACATTGCAGCGGTAGGATGGCATATTCTGTGGGAGGAAATGAGGTTGATTGGTCGTGTACTTCGTAAAATGTGCTCCCTAATCATGCTTTTTGGATGCTTTCTTGTAGGACTCAAGAGTTGTTGTCCTTATGGTCGAGGAAGTATAACTTTGAATAACAAAGGCACTTAGGTAGCCTGCTTCCGAGAGATAAGTCGAATTGAAAGTTGTGCTCGTGATTCAGAATATAGTTTTCAAGTTTAAGGTACGCAGATGCATGTCCACGTTGGCTGCGCATTCAGAATCTTAAAATTTTCTCTCTGCCAAATGGGATGGAGATCAACGAGATGCTTCCTAGCTTGACTCGCCTGAGTTCCGCTGCTTCTATCGGTTCCCCGAACCATTCATATATCGCAGCTGAATGCGTTCCGAGTAGTTACGCGCAGTACCGTTCACAAACGCACTATTAGGCCGCGAATCATCTCCACTCTTTCACAGATGCGCCTTTTCTTCCTCTAAGAGGTTGCGATCTGCATGTGATACTGCAGACATTGACCTTGGCTTAGCTGAACCAAGTTTGAGACTGTAAGCTCTGAGCAGTATCAACATCATCATGCATTCTCAAACATTTTTGGAGAGGCTTTCAAGTGTATATAAGATTTACCATTCCCCGTGAGGAGCTGAAAGCCATCTTGAAAATTTTCTTATACCTGAACGCTCGAATTTACAAAATGGTTAACTCATACCTTCAATATCTCAAGTTGCTCCTGGTCTTACAAGCCGCCTTCAATTCTGCTGCTTTAATTGAGAACGTGCCAAATGTCGAGCAGCTGGGTGAATTGGATGGTACTGAAACAAGAGGAGACAACTATATTGAATGGCCGAAAAAACCTGGGCAGAGATTTGCAAAGAAGCTAGAATGTGTCCCAGGGTACCGGCTCGCCTACAACGGCAAGTACGTTGCTTGCTGCCTCCCTGGTCAAAAGCTTGTTGGCAGCTTTGACACAGCTTGGGAATGTTGTGGCGAAGGCCATGAACTTGCGGGTTCGGCTGCTGTGGGCTATTCATGCTGTCCAACCGGGCAGATTTTTGACGGCGCGATTTGCAAACCTCCTGCACCTGTTTGTCAGAATGGCAAAGAGCTCGTAGATGGAAAGTGTGTCTGTCCTAGTGGACAGACAGAAGACGCTACTGGCTCGTGTCAAAAACTGAAATGCGAGTCCGGATTGACAACTGGTGAGAGACCCAGTCTTCAACTCGACGCCCTTTGTTTCATGCATGTACCTAACAGTATCTAGGCAAGTGCTACACCTTCACTGATAATCGAGGACTTCTGTATGGCTACTCCAATTTTGGTTGGTACTCCGCTGCGAAGGACTCAAGTAGCCACATCTTCGGCAAATTTCAACTCTGCAGTGATAAGGACTGCACACCTGGAAGACCTGTTAACCCCGACACTAACATCGCCATCAAAGACATTCATGGCCAAGCCAATTCTGGCGCAAACGCCAACCAATGGCTCGACAATAAGGCAAATGGTGGACATATTGGCAAGACACCCGACTGGACTAAAGCGGGTCAATTCACCCTTACCAAGTGGCCATGTGGAAAATATTGTTTGGGCGGCTTTGACAATGGTCTTGGACCGACCTGTCCTAGCGAAGAACCGGCATTCACATTCAATACAGCTGACAAGCAAGCTTGTCAGGTGGTTACTGTCACTGAGGTCCCTTGCGACGTCCATGCCGTGGAGAACAATTGTATTTGGAAAAACGGGGATCAATGCTGCGGGCGTATTGACTGTACTGGTGTTGGGTGCGATCACTGTTTTGACAGCCCACCGCTACCGGGCAGCCAGAGGGTCCTTGCATAAACCAGAAGCAGGGTACAACATGTTAATTGGAGGGCGAGGTCAACAGACTTGCAGAGGCGTGCTTCTTGCACATCGCGGGGACGGCGAACTCGATACGGTGGCGCTGGAGAAGAGATTCAGCAAAATGAGAGTTGGAGACGGTGGTAAGAGGAATTGGGAACAATTTCGTAATACTTGATCGTTCCTTAACAACTTTCTTTTCGAGTAAATTGGACAAACCAAGCTTGTCGCAGCATAGGTATGCTGCCTTCTACGATCTTTAGAAGCTAGTACAATCTAAGCTTGCGTGTGGATGGTCCAGACACTATATTCGTTTGTCAGAATTTAATCCTTTCGTTGTGCCGCATTGTAATGGTTGAGGATGTTAACTAGACGCAAGTATAGTCAAGTTCTCTGGTTGCACTAGATAAGGTGCAGCTGAATAAATCACTACGAAGGCATCAATTATCTTATGTTTGGAAATGAAATAGGGTTGGCGTTCCCAAAAATCCTTTTGTATAGTCTATAGAATCTGATCATCTCACACGTGTATATTGGAACTACGTAAAACTTAGAAGGCTCAAATCATACCTAGCCTCAGACATCTTATTTCCCCTACATTTACTAGATGCGGCTATGTCTCAATTGAGTCAAAGAAGGCATTTAAATGAGAGGAATGAAGTTCTCTAACCCTCCCGAATGAAGAGTCCCGAAAATGTTCTTTTAGGTCATATTTATGTCCAGTAGTTCTAATCCAAGTTCTTGGGAAGCAGAACCTTAGCAAGTCCGTCCAGAATGTACACTCTTCATGGGTAGTATGTTCATCAGTCAAATCCTGTAGGAATGTGGTGTAGCGAGATAACCTGGTACAGCTGCATTTTCATTGTCTTTTCAGATATGCTGATTGACGGTGCGGCGAAGCATGCAACCTGACTTCACCCAACATCCAATGAATTTCAGCAGCAAATACACTGGTAGCCTGGTGTTTTGAACATGGATATTGGCTTGGAAAATCATCGTTAAACCCCTCATAGCATGTTGGTTGTGGGGGCTTATAGATATGCCACTGTTCGCAGCATAGGTCGCCATTACTTGAACAAAACCTCCTTTGACAGTTGCATTCTTGAACATCGGTGATTCTTGACTCGATTTTTCCAGATCTCCCGTCCTAGACAAAAATGAATGCTACGTGGGAAGCCTTGGGACTGAGCGAGGTCGTGTCTGTACAAAATTTGGCTTTTGGTCTTCTAATTTGTCTAGCCTTGTTCCTCGTAGATCTGGCTGTTTATCGCCTGCATCGTTCGCCTATTGCAGAATTCCCGGGGCCTAAACTCGCGGCGTTATCGAGATGGTACGAGTTCTACTATGACGTCGTGCTCCGAGGTCAATTTAGCAATCATATAGCCGAGCTTCACAGAATCTATGGTAGGTAATTTATAAACCAGGTTTACACCGACTTTCTAACTTTCATAGTTTAGGACCTATCATTCGAATCACACCGGAAGAGCTCCACATCAACGACCCTCAGTTTTTCGATACTCTATTTAACAAAAACCAGAGATCCGTAAAGAGTCCCTGGTTCAACGGTAGATTCAATAACCATCACTCTGTTTTCAGTACCTGCGATGCTGATCGCCACAAAATTCGACGGGATATGCTAAATCCATTCTTCTCGAAGCGTGTAGTAGGACAACAGGAGGCTATCGTCCAAGAAAAGATTCTATATGCCTGTAACAGGATATCAAAATCCATTGAGAAGGACAAATCCGTCGATTTTTCTCACATGTGGGATGCGTTCTCCTCAGATGTCATCATGGAATATAGTTTTGGCTTCAGTTACAACAATCTGAAGTCAAAAGACTTTGAAGGCACTTTTCACGACACCTTTTTAGCCCTTAGCGAGTTTGGAGCCCTTGTATGTCAGTTTCCGATACTAGGAACAGCTATGGAGGCATTGCCTGAGAGGATTGTCCGATTTATTAATCCAAAAATAGACAGAGTCTTGACTCTATGTCGAGTAAGCTTGACCAAAGAACTGCATGAGAATGTTAATCAAGAGAACACATAGGATCTGTCTAAGGAGATCGACCACGCCAAAGTAAGACTGAGCCAAGGGAAAGTGCCTGATCGAGAGACAGTGTTTTACGGGATGCTTAGACAAGATGTTCCACCAGAGGAACTAAGTTCCAAACGGATGAGAGACGAGGCGCAAACTATAGTTGGCGCGGGTCTGACAACGACAGCCTGGTCGTTAACTACAGCCTGCTACTATATCATTGAAAACCCAGGCATTCAGGAAAAGCTACATCAGGAGTTAATCGAAGCGATCCCAGACATCTTTGCGGCCGATGCCTTCGATTATTCAAAGCTGGAAAAGCTCTCATATCTGCGTGGATGTGTCAAGGAGGGAATTCGCTTGGGAATCGGAGTCTCGGGAAGGATGCATCGCGTGACGAGCGCTCCGTTACCGTATCGCGGGGTAGTTATTCCGTCTGGCACGATTGTTTCCATGAATCATCAAGATATCTTGATGAATCCTGCAATTTTCCCATGTCCCACCGAGATGGTACCGGATCGATGGCTTGGGCATCCAAGAGCCTTTGACGGAAACTCGCTGGAACGGTACTTTGTTCCATTTGGAAAGGGAGACAGACAGTGCTTGGGCATAAAGTAAGCACTCTGATACAATAGAAATTGCCATTTAAGAGCAAGCTTATAATTTGCCTAGTCTTGCACAAATGGAGATATTCATAGGCCTGGCACACGTGTTCAGAAAATTCCGGCTGGAATTGGACAGCACCGAGCGCTCGGATGTTGTCATGGCTCATGACTTCTTTTTGCCTTCACCGAAACTTGACGCTAAAGGGGTTCGAATCAAGGTTATGGAAACATGTAAATGAGCAAGCAGCTCATCTTGACTTTCAACACTTCGACTCGGCGAATACGTCAATTCTTGCAATTGCATCAAATAAAAAGAAAAGAAAATTTACTTGCTTAACGTTTTTTTAGGATCTCAAATCTGGTTATCAGAGCTAGGAGTCGTCGTTATTTGTGGCTACGATTTCAACATCTCTCTTCCATTTTTTGGGCAAGCTGGATTTCCTTGGGCTCATCTGGGGGTGTCTCGGGCTCTCCGTGAATTACAAGCTTAAGGCAATTGATGAGGCGAGAATGTAGTATAAAAGTTTAGCCTACAAAACCTACCGTGGATAAAATGGTGATAGATGGAGATTTCGCTGGCGCGTTTCGAGATCCATGAGAATCATGCAATAATCTGAAAGGTTTGCTGCTCATCTAGTATGCCTCCGATCCTTCTCGTGGAAGCAACAGATTTGACGAACGGAATAGGACATTGAATTCATTCTGAGGAGCCGTGACGCCTTCATGCAAGCTGGTCCAAACCCTGGATAAGCAAAGTTTGTGCTGATCTACGCAGAACTGCACAATGCTACGTCAAGGTATTTAAAAACGCTAGAAAAACTTAATGGATGGTATTGCATGCTTTCCAAGAGACGTGTCCAAAAACATGAGATATGACCTTATCCTGTGAGTCCAGTTTCACAATGTATCTGTCTCGGTGGGTTTGATGCGGAAGGCTTTAATGGACATGAAAAACCAGAGAGATGAAATCCGAGCACAAGGTGACGAGTGAGTGCTGTGTCGTAAATACCGCCGCTATAAGCTTGGAGTTAAATGTGAACGCCATGCTTCAAATGCTTAACGATGTGGCCGTCTTAGCATTCGTTCGGCGTGAAGTTCAGAGCACAGCTCCGTTGCAGCCTTCATGCCTGAACGTATTAGGCACAAAAGGCATCTAGCTCCATCACCTTAACGCTAGACCCAATTTGGCCTCTGGCTTTTCTCATCGCGAAGTGTTAAGCCTTTCTCATTGAGGTGCCGCAGTTTTGAGTAGCACATCGCCATATCCTACCGCTTTGCTCCCTCACCCACCTTCCACTCCGAAATCCGCAAGTCTTGCACGTGTCTTTAGACTGCTTAATATCGAGTCCGCAAGCAACTGCTAGGCTGCACTCTGCTCAACGCCAGATCTCCACGCGTCCTCGCCGATCCCTCCCTGTTGTCCATTGGTGTACCCTCATCATGCCGGCGCGCAAGCGGGCATACGATGAGGTCGAGTCGGAGGACTCTATCCCCGAGGTATCGGCAGAGTTGTCAACCTTGAAGCGAATACGTGGTATGTGGGAGTTTGCTGCCTTGATGCAGTACCTGTTCTTCTTCGGCAAAGCCGTCAAGGTTGAAGATATGGACGTCGAGGTACGTTGTCCTTGCTTTGGTTAACAGCGTAAGATACGTAGGCAATGATACTGATGGCAGTGTAGGATTTTGAGGACGAATGTCTCAAGCCAGGACCCAGTGAAAAGCTGAACCAAATCGCGCTTGCATTGCTAAAAAATGTCTCGTCACATAAGGGTTTAACGTATGTTTGAAGCGTCGTTAAGAACGTTGCTCACCTCGTGTTTGCTAAGGAATTATGTTAGACTAGATCTACTCGACGAGTACGCGCGGCGACAATACGTAGCCAAGGCACCGAAGCGGAACCCCTTTGGCGAAGACGACGAGCCCAGGAAATTTGCAGACTTCGATATCTTTACCAAAATCCGCGTATTACAACAGTTGGCTACGTGGACGTTGAATAATCCAAATCCAATCCGCGAAAAGCTCGGTGAGCGGGAGAGCGAAGAAGTGTCTTGGGTATGTAACGCTACCTTGTTGATTGAACAAAAAAAACCTAATAGGAGTGTAGCGTATCGAACCTTTCGGATGGGACAAAGAAGACCGCGTTTATTTTGTGCTGGATGATAATCGCCTATATCGACGGACAGATGCGCCTCCTCCGCCAGAAATCGTTTCAAAACCACCCACAAAATCCAAGGCCAAGGCGAAGAAGCCTTATGGACGTAACACGCGTTCTGCTAAGCGACCCCGCATAGGTCGTCGCATTATTGAAACAAGCCCCGAAGAAACTGAAGATGAACCTGAAGCAGCAAATGGAGTCGAAAAAGAAGAATCGAAGCAAGACGACTTCTTCATGCAACGCTGGGAATTAATTGCCGTAACCATCGACGAATACAACGAGTTTCTTGACACAATTCGCAAAAGCCGTGACCCCAATGAGAAAAGCCTTGTCAAGCGGATACAAGACCATGTTATGCCAATTCTAGTAGAGGCGGAGCAAGAGCGCAAGCGCAAGGAGATGCGTCGCATGAAAGAGCTAGAGATGATGCAGAAGTTAGCAGCGTCCAAGAGGTCGAGTCGCCTTGCCGATAAGCAAGACAGGCTGAGGCAAGAGCGTGAGGCCGCAGAAGCAGAGGAACGACGCCGACGCGAATTGGAAATGGCACATAGAGAACAAAAGCGCCTGCAGCAGATGGAGGCGGCGCGTGAGTCCCGACGCGAAACACGCGAGCAACGTATGCGCGAACGTGAGATCAAGCGCATTCTCGAACAGGAACGATTGGAGAAGGAACAAGAGCTTCTACAGAGGATAAAGACCGAGGGTGCTGTCATTGATGCGCAACGTGGGCGCATTTCAGAGCGCCAGTTAAAAGCCGATATGCAAAAGCGTAAGAAAGAGCTCGAAAACCTACAACAGGATGATTCTTGGTATTTTGACTGCGTATGCGGGATTCACGGCCAGAATCTGGATGATGGCTCGCACAGCATTGCCTGTGAGAGGTGCAGTACATGGCAACATAGCAAGTGTAACAATATCTCTGAAGCCCAAGCTGAGAGGGAGGACTTCCATTTTGTATGTCAGGATTGCAAGAAGAAGGAGGAGAATCCTGTCAAGATCAAGTTAAAGATGGCCTCGGAGTCACCGGCTAAGCCTTCGAAACCAAAAGCCACTTCGGAGTCGAACTCGATTCCGGCGAAAAACAAAGCCAACGGTGCGGCGCCGCTTGTATATCCTGGACCACCGCCTGTAGCACCGTCTATCAACGGGACACGACCTCAAAACAACAGCAATGGCCCGACTACTTTTCAATGGCATGCTTACACGCCTCCTCAACCAATGAACTACACGCCGCCACGTTCTACAAACCAACAAAGCCACGGTCCAAACACGCAGAAATCTCCCGGCCGAACTCCTACTGGGCCAGCAAGCTTCAGCCATCAGACAGTAGCCTCTTTTTCACAGTCGTATTCGCCTCCTCGACAAACTAGCACATATACCCCTCCGAGAGCTGTGAACCAAGTATCAAGTACTTCGCCCCGGCCAAGTTCCCAGCAGTTACCGTCAATACATCAAATCTCATCACCATCGACCGCGTCGTTCGAGCACCAATCTTTATCTCCTCAACGGGCAACCCAGGCCTTGAACTCAAAGATACTGCCTCCACTCCAACACAGTGATCAGATGGGTTCGCCATCAAAGCGGGCAGTATCTACAGGATTTGGTCCAATCATACCACCGCCACAACTAAAGTCTCCTGTGACAAACGGTACCCATCACGTGCCGACACCTTCAGCACCCTATGCGATCCAGAATACTACTCCGGCCACGCAGCCTGCGTTGTATACGGCTTCCTCACCTTCAGATCATGGACAGACGCCTTTCAACGCTGCACCTGGCTATTCACCCACAAAACAACCTTCACCGAAATTGGCGTCGAGTCCGACACAGTTTTCGTCTGTCGCTTCTCCCGCGATTGTCTCACCACAGACAGCGCCAGCTGCGCATTTCTCGCCTCCAAAATCTCTAGCTAATTCGAACGTCAGTCCAACTAAGCACGCCTCATCACCGGTGCACGCGCCTCCTGCTTCCTTGGGCCAGGTGCCAAACATGATTGCGTCAAGTAGTAGCGCTACGTCGGCGCAAATACCGACACCTGTGCTTCAACCATCAAATCAAGAGCCAGGGCTTGAGCAGCGCGTTCTACCTCCTGCACAGCCAGTGCCACAGAAGGCCTCACCGCCAACACAGTTGCCACCGATACAGGCTCCTAGTGGACGTGGAACTTAGATAATAAACCCTGATTAGACGGATTAATGTACCAGGTATTGTACGATTATATGTTTAGAATTGTCAGATGACCAGACATCGTCTGCGTGAGCTCTCCTCGCGGAGCTGTAGAATAATTGAAATATTCTTTCATTGTTGATTGGATCCATTGCAATTGGCGTCTCGGCTTCCATTACAGTTTCTTGCTTGGTCTAGGTAACACTCTCCACTCCCCAAGCGCTGTCACAAAGACCACTCCGTCTTCTCCTTTGACTGTCACGTCAATCCATATCTTCCGCCCTTCAATTTTCGCAATCTTTGACACCACGGCCACAACATTGGGCAAAGTGATCGGCTTCCGGAGGCGGATGTTTATCCCCGCGGTCAGTGTTATAGACCCCTCGAAATCTAGGATGCCGTCCGGTAGAGCAGCCCCTGTGGCCTTAAGCTGCTGGTATAGGCGATTTCCAGTATAGATCAGATTTCCCATTCCTTCGTCGACAAGCACGCCGGCAAGACCGCCGTGCATGTTGCCGGAGAAGCCTGTCATTCCCTCTCCGAGAGCAAACAGCAAGGTCGACTCCGTGATCAGGAACCTCGAGTTCGGAGCGACCAAGGACGAAGTCGTAGGCTTCACGACGTCGGACTCCCGGTAGAAACCTACGCAGTGCGGCACAGCGTCGGGACCATTGGCGACAGAACGCATGAATTTGTCCTGAGAGGGCAAATGCCCGCTTGACGGAGGGGTTGCATTGTCATGGTGCGATGGAGGGAACAAGACGGTTCCAGGTTGGGATAACAACGCAGCGCACCAAGGGATGGATTTGAAATAATCCACAGACTGCTGTTGGTCCATGTTTCTGCGTATTCTCTTTTGGCGCAGAGCGGTCTGAGTATGTTTGCTGGCTCCCAGAATCCTCGAGATTCTATCTGCCGGCCTACAGATCGTGACCTTGCCGGACCGATCAGGTTCCGTCTCTTGCGTCGCGCGATCTACGATTTGAGAGGAAGGCAATGTTTTTTCTTCTCGTCCTCGAGATCCGTGACAAGTTTTGGCTCGTGTGCAGACCTCGGCTAAGAAATCCTGCATATGAACAAGGGCTGCAGCTGCGCAGATGAGATGCTGATGCTGTGCGCAACCATCGTCACGGTTGATAAGTAGCGAAAAACTGCTATTCGTGTGAATACCTGCGGTTTGAGCTATGGGCGCAGATCTATAGCGTGTATCTCAGCCTCATAGACAGCCTTGTGCTCCGCATGGCCAGAAGCGACCGAGGCAAGACGGTGGTGACGAAAACCCAAAGATCCGAGCCAGGTCCGATGTAAATCCTCGCTTCCTTTCTCAGCCTCTTCTCCGTAAGTGCGGTTCTCCCAACATCTCTATCCTGCCCACCATTGTCGGCAATATTCCTTTTATGGTATTAGGCCTATGTTTTTACCAAGCAAGTCCTTAACCATGTCCACAACGGGACGCTGGTCAGCGAGAAGGCCTCTGCTGGTATCGGTGGGTCTTTCAGCCGCTAGTCCTGCATACTCAACGTCTTTGCGACTATCGTCGCCATGGAGATTTACGGCGCCAGCAAGACGCTTAAGTAGCCGTTCGCCCGCGGCAGTCGATAAGAGCATAAAATCAGGATCCTGGAGAGAATTTCCATCCTGTTCCTGCAGACCTCGGAGATTGAACAATCTTGGTATGCAATGACCATCTCAGCGTGCCGCTCGTGTCTCGTGCACGCCGGATGCGGATAACAGAGCGTAATTGATAACTGACGGCCAATGTGTAGACCCGCAGAAAAGACATAGTTCCAACGTCGCCCCTGAGATCCACGCTGCTCCGGCAGGCTCGTCCAGTCTTCCACCTCCGCGCCGACATATACTTGTGCGACTACTCGCTACCTTCGGCCTATTCTGCGTCTTCGCCCCGATAGGCTTCTATCTCTCAGCAGGCCCGTTGGTGCAGACACTCAGAGAGATGGAGAGCATACCGACGGACTCGGAGACGCTCGAACTCGTGAATCCACTCCCGGAGGACCCGGCCTTCCAAGTCAACGAGACGATAATGAACCATCCATTGACGAAGGAACTGCTTAGCAACGAGAAGTTCTCCGCTTCAAGACCACACTTGAAGATACCGCCTTCTCTGAGAAGCCAAAATTTCACGGCAGGCACGCTGCTGGGGCCCGATTTGATGCCGGTGCCTCCGCTCGTTTTTTCGACCCAGGACGGAACGGAGCTGGTGCAAATTATGTACGTGGGTTCTGCCCTGTGTGGTCATCCGGGCCTCGTCCATGGAGGCATGCTGGCAACGCTCTTGGACGAAGGACTCGCCCGCTGCTGTTTCCCCGGCCTGCCGAATAAGGTCGCGGTCACGGCAAGTCTGAAAGTGGACTACAGGACCCCGTGCCAGGCGGGACAGTACCTCGTCCTCAAAGCGGAGACGACTAAATTCGAAGGCAGGAAGGCCTGGGTCAAGGGACGGATCGAGACCCTCCCGGTGGACGGCAGTCCAGGAGTTCTGGTCACCGAAGCGGAAGCGCTGTTCATAGAACCAAGGAATGCCGCGATTTTGGCGAGGCAGAGGAAAATTATTGGGGGGGATGAACCATGATCGTGTCTCAGAACGACTTTCAATTGCTCCAGTCAGCCAAATACATGTACATATGGCGTCCATTATACAAGGGGTGTATAGACTCGTCAGCTGTATCATGTAGAATCGGGCACAAGACAATAGTATTTTAATCAATTTTAAATGATTTTGCATACGAACAACTTCAGATCCTATTCTGGTGTGGTCTTGTGGAAAAAAGCTCACTTCTTTACGGTATTCTTTTCATCCACCCAAGGCTACCATATATATACCTTGCTCTGAGCAAGTTAAAAGGTCAGCCAAACTCGGCGACTGATCGTCATCTTTTCAACGGCGCTGTCTCATCATAAGCTTTGAGTTCATCGCAACAATGCATCGCACAATATCCCAGTCACCGCTGTCCCCGACCCAGTCGCAAATGACAACACCAGTTCCCCAATCGCCATTCTCTGCCATGATGTGCTTGATAGCCAGATGATTCACGATCGCGGGGTTCAGCTTGGCGGCGATCTTTTCTGGCCAGCAGCCTACCTTCCAGAAGTTGCTAGCGCTCAGGAAGTTCAGATACATTGGCGGAGGAGGCGCTTGCTCGTCATCCGGGCATACGCAGCAGCCAGCGCGCTCGAGATGTTCAGTCGCATACTTGATCTTCAAATCAATGTTTTCAGTGTCAAGTACCTCGTAGAAATCCTGTACGATGACTGCACCGTGGTGGTCATTTACGGCCTTGTCGGCCCAGTTCTCCGCCTCAATGCCGTAGCCGCGGCCGTCATGCTCATTCTTCACGCTGTCGTCGAGAGCGTACCTACGCAGGAGCACAATTTTTCCACGCGCTTCACCTAGCTTGGGCCAGTGTGGTTCAGTCCACCAGCGATCAGAATTGCCGTAGTGGTCTCTGATGATTTTGCTCAGATGCTGATCGGTGGCGTGGCCGGGTCCTTCGCGTTTCAAGCTGAAGACGACTGTCTCTGAGCGGTGCTCGTCTAGGAAGTTGATCACGTCTCGCTCGAGGTCGCGGAAATACTTGTTTCCCGTAAGAGATATTGGGAAGACGCTATGCACGAGGATCAACTTGTCATTCACCTCCGTCTCACTCTCGGGTTGCACACGAATGTCAAAGAAGCGGACGCCATTTTCCAGTTGCTCGCGCGGGGAGACTGCCTGACAACGCACGGAGGGTGGTGCCGGGTGGCAAGTGGGGCTGTTGTGTGTGCCAGGAATTGAAAGAGCTGAGATGGGCGTGCGGTCAGCCATCTCTCTCATCCATTCATTGAGATTAGCTGAGGAGATGATGCTCAGGAACGTCTCGCTGGGCACGAAGACAGCAGTGAAATGATGACGGGGATCTTGTACTAGGGGAGTAAGCTCCCTCGTGTACCTCACGGGAAGCGGGACATCGATTCTGTAGCGCTGACCTTCGGCTTCGAAGGTCAGTCGCAGGACTTCGTCGTTGCTTCGCTCCGTGGCGTGCTTGTCGGTGTGATTTGTTGTGAACGGGTCGATGCGAATATCGACTTCTTCGTGCGCAAAGCTCTGGGCGTTGTCGGGAAGAGTCTGGTTGCGGGGACCGGTAGGCAACTTCACACCGACGAGATCTGTGAAATTATTCGTGAAAGATGTGATATTTCCCGCCAGCTTCGAGGCCTGATGGACTATATCGCCTTTAGGAGCATTGTACCTTTCAATGAGCTTGAGGCTAATAGGGACAGACGTCAAATTGCGAACCGTAAGAGGAGGGGCCATTGCTTGTGTTTTGCGAGGTTTGCGATGCGGAAAAGGAAAACACCCTGATATTAATACGAGATATCGTTCGAGACTCAGCTCTTGGCTAGCATGCCAGGAGCTGAACTTGCAGGCCCCGGGCTGTTGTTCCAAAGCAATTGGCAATCGTACAGGTGGGCTGTGAAGTCTGGAGCAGCGGTTCTGGACCCTGCATGCACGTCCTGTCCTTAACGATGGCGCAGCTTCAAAAAGAGATCAATGCTCAGTGGGTATACGATCAACTGTGAAAGCAGAATAAAACGTTGGAGAGACATATTGATGGTATGCTGCGAGTCCAGAATTACACTGACGATGACGCTGCCTTGAATAAATCTGAAGGTTATGTTACGCTTGCACTTTGTCACGTACAGAGTAGTTCAGTCCGTTCGCAGGGAGCTCGCATCCGATGACACCGCCCTGATAATCCAGCTTGAACGCTTGGATATGGTCTGCAAAGCCCCGAGTTCGCGAATGGGGCATGGCGTCTTTGCAGCCCGTGTCAAAGTGAAGTAATAATCTAGTTAAGCATTGACTGCATTTTGGACAGCAAAGAAAAAAAAAGAGAAAAATGGCAAAAAAAGAAAACATACAGCAGCGCCGGATTCCCACGTGGTCACCCACCGTAGTACTAATGGGCCGGTATGAGGTTTATGTAAGAGTGAGCGGACGGGGACTCCAGTTTTCCTCATCCTATGACCGTATGTGATATACTATAAGGTTTATTTTTCATTATAACATCTCAAATCGATCAGATTCACGCATTTACTCGTCGTCATCTCTACAAGATCAGCTTGGTTTCTTTAGTTCTTATATTTCTTTTTTTTCTTTGGGAATCTTCTTCCGTAAGGTCATTTTCTTGAACAGCATCTAATCTAGATACAAAACTTTTTCTCAACTGCAGGACTAAAATGTCGGGAGTCGCCGGGTAATGTGTCTATTCCCATCTTGGCGAACAAATCCGTATCATGGGTCATTACTTTCGTGCTTGTGGTATCGCAATTCAACTGTCGCAGGCATTCGGGACACACCAATTGAGATGACAGTTTACTTGCCTTCCCGCCAGCTGCTCTTTCAGTCAGAAGAGTGCTGACACGAGTGTGGCCAGAATTTTTGGCCACGCCCACAGAAACTGGAGAAAAAAAACCGGATCCACCTTGTCGTTCCTCTCATTTTCGAAAGAACAGTGAGACCGTAAAGGACTCTCGGACAATCGTGTAACATGCTAGTACTTCACGACCCGACCACGCTCACGCACCGCACGGTGGAGCTGCTCGGTGCGAAGCTCATTCCAGCACTCGAGTCTCCCGAACGTCTCAAAGCAATTCTGAACGCCCTATCTTCGGCATCCCAGCACCAGGTCGTGCAGTTGTCGCTGAGTGCAGCAGCTGAAGATGAGCGATCGACGCTCTACGAACTCATCAAAAAGTCGCACGATCATGGGTACCTGGAACATCTTCAATTCTGCCACGAGCAATGGGTCAAGGAAGGTTTGGTAGGCGAGGATGAAAGTGTGCTTCCAGAATGCTTCCGCATCCCGACGAGACTTCGGAATCCCAAAGATGGAAGGCCTCCAAAGGACGTGTTCTCACGTCCCGGTTACTATTCGTTCGACATGAGCAGCGGTATTTGCAAGGATACTTGGCCAGCTATACTTGCGAGTGCAAATCTTGCCTTTCATGCCATCAAACACGTGTCGCTATTGTCGACGCCATCTTCAAAGTCAAAAACCGTGCTCGCTCTTTGTAGGCCACCTGGTCATCATTGCAACACGTACATGGCTGGTGGCTATTGTTATGTGAACAACATTGTGGTAGCCGTTGACTCTATACGCATGAACTGCTGCCCACGGTGCCAAACTGTGCAGAATGGAGATTCAGCTAGAGAACAAGGGACTACAGCCACTCTTCCAATTAGTCAAGTTTCCGGATTGAAAACTGACGTGGGCGCTTCATCCAAATGTTCGCCTCGCATCGCCGTCCTCGACATCGATTTCCACCACGGTAATGGAACCCAAGATGCCTTCTACAGCGATCCGTCCGTGCTTTACCTTAGCATTCACGGAGAAGATGAGTATCCCTACTATTCAGGATTCGAGGATGAGCTTGGTGCAGATGCCGGCTACGGATATACGTGCAATTTTCCGCTCAGGTCCGGCTCTTCTTTCGAAGAATACATGAAGAAGCTGCATCTTGCCCTCGGCGAGCTTGAAAACTTCAAGCCAGATTACCTCCTCGTGAGCTTAGGTTTTGACACATATCATTTGGATCCACTTGGGAACTTCAAGATCGAGACTCCGGATTACAGGGTTATGGCTGAAGCTATTAGGGGGAATACCTGCGTAAAAGAATTACCATGTGCGATTTTGCTAGAGGGTGGTTATGTCGTTGATCGTCTAGGTGCAAACTTACTTTCCTTTCTCGAGGGTTGGGAAAATGCGGAGAAAGCCAGTGAAGCATAGAAATGGTACACGGTTGACAAATTCTGCGATCACAAGCTTGTTCCAAGCGATAGTTTGATTTGATCTTTTTTTTATAAAAAGAAAAACACCTCATCGATGGATTGATTCTGAAAAAATGCATATAGATGGAACAGAACGCCGCATGTGTACATAGCGGACCGCCACATTATGCCTTGTACAGTGTGTCTAAAAAGTGCTTCACAACCTCTCTAACAATGGTCTTGTCAGGCAACGACCCAGCAACACCGTAAAGAGCGCTTGCAGTCCCCTTGTGTACATTCGACTTGCCCTCTTGTTTGGCTTTCAATTCTTTCTCCGCCACCTCCTTAACGCTCTCCTTGAGGTCCTTCAGCAATTCCTCAACGCTGGCCACAATCGGTAGCGTGACGGCAATATGAATACCTGGTGGGCTCTGCAAGGCGTTCAAATGCCATCCTTTGGAGCTCATGGTGTCTGCAACACCATAAATGTCAATTGTGCTGCTCGTGAAAGCCACGACGCTGACGAGCGGCTTGCCAATGACGCGAAGGTCTTCCTTCAGCCCTTCTTCGGAACGAATAGCGTCTTCAATGCGTTTGGCACAGCCAACAATCTTATGGCATGCTGAGATGTAGCCACTCTCGCCCTGGAGCATCATGCTTGCCCAGGCGCCTGCGATGAGTGCGCCTGGGCGCGATCCAGCAATGCTTGGGGATGGATAGACTCCACCCGGCCAATCTGGCGCGATGAAGTACTGATACGTGCGGATACTTTCGTCACGATAAAGTAGAGTGGAATTTCCTTTCGGCGCGAAGCCATACTTGTGGGTGTCACAGCTTATGCTGGTAACACCCTTGACCCGGAAATCAAAAGGCTCGATCTCAAAACCAGCCTGAGCTATGTATGGCATCAAAAATGAGCCGAGACAGCAGTCTACGTGTAAAGGTATTTTCTTCTTGTGCGCAAGTCGCGAAAGAGCTGAGATGTCGTCGATGATTCCATGAGGGTAGTTTGGCGCGGAGCCGACGAGCAGAACCGTGTTCGGGTTGATCAGCGCAGCGACAGAAGGTATGTGTACCTTGTAACTTGGGGCCGGGCACTTTACAATGTGCACTTTGATACCAAAGTAGCTCCCTGCCTTTATGAACGCTGCGTGTGCGGTGTCTGGAATGATCATTTCGGGCTCTCGAATGCCGCGTTCCTTCAAAGCCTTGTTGCGAGCACTGAGACATGCCATGAGGATGGACTCAGTACCGCCGCTGGTGGTTACACCAGCAGCCCCTTCCGGAGCATTGAACATCTTCAGAACCATTGCAACAATTTCGGCTTCCATCTTACGCACGGCAGGGAACACGTCAGGGTGAAGTGGGTTGCTGACAGTGAACATGCCATATGCCTCTGTCTGGAGCTTGCTCAAATCCTCTCCGCCGTGATATACTGCACCTGACACACGGCCCTCTTCCCAGCGTGTATGCTTCATCTCCGAAAGTTTCTTAAGCTCATCGCGTACTTTGTCCGGGGTCCATCCATCTTTCGGCAAGCTTGTGAAGCGCTCAACACCAGGACCGGATGGTACAAGACTCTTCTCAATATTGATCTTCGCCTCGGCTATTTGGAGCTGCACCTTATCGCGCACGCCGGGGAGAGAAAGGAACTTTCGGAAGAGGTATTTCTTCGCCGCCTTGTAGAAATCCTCTGCCGTTCCGAAGAGACCGCGACCCTTGAGCTGATAGAACACTTTTCGGGTCCATCGCAGGCAGAACAATAAGAAGACGATGTTGCGGATCCTACGTAATCGTAAGTTAGAGGTAGACTCGCAAAACGTTGGGTTTGGAAAATATGTACAAGTCAAGATTAAGAATTACCAACTGCCGCTGCTTAGACAGCTTGGGAGCAGTGTCGCGCAAGCTGACTGGCAGCCTTGAGGACCCAGGCATTGTGGCTCTGACGGCGCGAGATCGAGGTCGGTGTTGGCGACTCCAAATTGTCACATCTTAGTGTTCCTGGCGAGTCGGTTCGCATTTAGAGCGGAGACGGAACGTTCACATGTCCCTACTTTCCGATGGCTGACCAGGAAGACGTCGGAGCACATTCCACTTTGGGCGTCCTCTCTCCCCCACGATTTGCTCTTCACTTTCTCTACGTCATCGCTGAACAGCCACTTCACTCTCGCGTGTACGACAGGGTGCTATTATGTGCAAGGCAAGTATTGATGTTGATATTTAGAAGTCTTCTGAGTGGTCCTGCGTGCATAAGAGAAATGGAAGCTTCGTTTCTGCACAAAGCCGTCAAAGATCAATTCAGAATTCTCTGCTATGAATATCGCCTATATATGAATTGAAGAAAGCCACCAGTTCTATTCCACTCCGTTGCCGATCGTTGCTTAAATATAAGGAATAGTAAAACAAAGCATGTTCCTTGCGCTATCCCATTACCGATGGCACGGGAACTTCTCCGGCAATCCTTTCGATTCTCCATTCATCAAGTTCGTGAATCGACTGACATTCTCGTTAGCATATTTAATTGACACTGGCTCGAGGTAGACAAGAAACTATGGATGCATTGAAAAAGGAAGCGTGTGACGAGCGAGCGTTCGGAACACGAGCATCGATGTTGAAGGGACGACCCTAGCCACATCGTGTTGAGACTTCATTGCTTCCTTAATCGAGATAGAAGATTGACTCCTACAAATACTGGATTTGATCTTTTCAATTTTTTATATCTTTGGGGCTGTTGGCCAAGATTTGTTTGGCCACGACCACGTATGAAGACAGAGAGCGGCTACGCCTAGTTCAAGAGCCAAACTCGCAAGTGACAATCAACATATAAAACTAGCGTCGAGATTTGAAATGGAAATGAGAATTCTGCCCGAGATCAAAATGGGATCGTAAGAGAATCAAGGTTGTATAAGGACCTTTGTGGAAAAGATCGTTGAGCAAGCGGAAGCACGAGGGACACAACAGAGATTCGCAAGGAGACAGATCTATTCCTAGACTTCGTTGAACGTGCATAGTGTTAAAGATAGACAGCGTGCCATCTCTTCAACTATATGCTAAAGAACTTGATATATGTCCTTGCCATGGACGCTCTCGGCTTGTACGAACCAAGCCGGCAGATAGCAAGCGCGTTGTTGATCGTTTTCGACGGGATCGTGTAGTTCTAACTTCAGAAATAATTTGTTCAGTGAGAAATGGGCTTGAGCGATAGAACTAGGTGCCTGCCCACAGCCATTGATGGCTATAAAAGACTCTTTTGTATTCCCAATGCGGGGTTGCCAGAACGAAGAGACAGAGGTAAGTAACCCTGGGGCAGCCCCGCGGTTGATGCCAGATTTGACGCCTTTGGTGCCTGAACTACCTGATCTCTGACGCACATAATCCTTGCCCACACGTTTGTACTAGGCTTTTGACTCACCATGCGCCCAGCGACCTTGTGTGAAATTCCCACTTCAAGCTAAGCACGTCGAAAAGATCCTCAACCTACGAAAGACGAACATGGCGTCGGGAATTATCCTTCCACAGGAGGGCAAGCGGAATATTCTGATCACGTCTGCTTTGCCTTTCGTCAATAATGTGCCTCACCTCGGAAATATAATTGGCTCAGTGCTCTCTGCCGACGTCTTTGCACGATATTCAAGAGCCCGAGGAATCAACACTCTATACATCTGTGGTAAGCGTCTCATGGCTGGAAAATCGTCTTGACGCTAACTGCGCCTGCTCATAAGGAACGGACGAGTATGGAACAAGCACAGAAACGAAAGCACTTCTTGAGAAGATTACTCCACAAGAACTTTGCGATAAATATCACGCTGTCCATGCCGGTGTCTATGCTTGGTTCAATATCAGCTTTGATAAATTTGGTCGAACAACCACACAGCAGCAAACCGAAGTCACCCAGGCAATGTTTTTAAAGCTGAAGGAGAATGGTTTCTTGAAGGAACTTACGACCACCCAGCTATACTGCCTTGAGCACCAGTCGTTTCTGGCTGATCGTTTTGTCGAAGGCACATGCCCTCATTGCAAGTACCCAGATGCTCAAGGTGATCAGTGTGATCTATGCGGCCGTCTTCTCGATCCTCTTGACCTCATAGAGCCACGCTGTAAAATGGACGGCGCAAAGCCTGTGGAGAGGGAAACCACACACATGTTTTTTGAGCTGGACAAGCTACAGGGCGAGATTGAAGCCTTCTTCCAAGAGCGCATCGCCGAGTCTCCTTGGTCTGTCAATGCAACTGCCATAACCGCAGCTTGGCTGAAGCAAGGTCTGCAAGCAAGAAGCGTTACGCGTGACTATAAGTGGGGTACCAAAGTTCCATTGCCTGGCTATGAAGACAAAGTAATCTATTCCTGGTTTGATGCGCCGATCGGATACATTTCGATCACTGCAACGTACACAGATCAATGGGAGAAATGGTGGCGCAACCCTGATGTTCAATTGTATCAATTCATGGGTAAGGACAACGTGATCTTCCACTCCATCCAATTCCCTGCTTCGCAAATCGGAACTCGTGAGAACTGGACGAAACTCCACCATCTCTCGGCGTGCGAATATCTCACATACGAAGGAGGCAAATTCTCAAAGAGCCGAGGCATCGGTGTGTTTGGCGACTCTGCACAGAAGTCTGGTGTGCCTTCAGATGTTTGGCGATACTATCTTCTGTCTCACCGCCCGGAAAGTGGTGATACGGATTTCGACTGGGACTCATTTATCACAGCGAACAACAGCACGCTCCTAAATAACCTTGGCAATTTTGTTAGTCGTGTCATCAAGTTCGTCGCGGCGAAGCATTACAACAGCGTTGTTCCTGCCGCGGCAAACCACGAAGAGTTATCTTTCAAGGAATTCAAAGATGAAGTCAATGCTCTCCTGGCACAGTATGTTAAAGAGCTCGATGCTGTCAAGCTCCGTGCTGGTCTGGCAACCGCACTACAGATTTCTCAGCTTGGCAACGGTTTTCTACAATCAAATAACCTTAGTAATCGTCTTGTGGAGGAGGAGCCAGAGAAGTGCAACACAGTGGTGAACCTTGCTATCAACCTCATACATCTTCTGGCAAGTGTATTTGAGCCTTATATGCCTGATACTGCGGCATCAATCAATCGACAGCTCAATACATCGCCACAGTCGATACCCGACCAGTGGAAGGTTGATTCAATTCAAGGTGGCCACAAGATTGGAACGCCAGAATACCTTTTCCAGCGCATTGCGCCTGCTAAAGCTGAGGAATGGAGAAAGATGTTTGGTAATCAAAAGGAGGAAAAGGCTAAGGAGGGTGAAATGTCAAAAAAGGCCGCAAAGAAAGCTGCCAAAAAGAAGGCAAAAGAGGCGGCAGTAGCGGATGGAGCTGTTGAGGAACCTACCGAAGCAACGCAGAAATAAACGAGGATGATGCTTATCATCACGATCAAAATCATGTTTTTGCATCGATGAAGAATTGCTAGATGGGCATTCGATAAGTCGACAAAGGTCGTCAATAGAGAGGGCAACCTTTTGGCAATGTGGAGGCAAAAAAGATCGATTTTTACACGGACTATATTACCCTTTAACATCGCAGTCAAATAAAAATTGACTGGACGTCTAGATCGCAGTTGGTCACTGGCATGAATGGTCCGGTCAATAGTGTAGTTCGCTTCTAGAGCGAACCAATGATGAGCATTAAGCATTGAACTCTTTATCCAGATGATCCACGTCATGGTCCTCATTCATCGGTCATATCAGAGCAGGTCCACATATTGTCTGTCCGGCGGGACTCCTTAATAACAATGATTAATTGGAGTCCTTGAAGAGAGGCATTGAAGCAATTCATAGACATCAGATAGTGCCTGGGTGTGAGTATGAAATGGAGATAGCTTGGGCAAGATCCAGCCAGAACACGTAGGTGATGTCTCGCGTACGTATTGTAGATCTTAATGGGTCTGCAGGCCAGAAGTGGGAAAGACATATAATTTTATTAAGCTATTCAGCATGGCTTCTGGGCCAGTTTCCTCAGCCTCAGAGTGCTCGCTCGATTATGCGAAAAATGAGATTGTACTTTGATATACCGGGTCATGTTTCTACAAGAATGTGGCCCCATCACTTTAAAAACAAAGAACGCTAAATGCAATGCTTTAACCGCGTCAGTTGATATGAATAATAAAAAGTATTAGATGAGCTGGGTGGGGACATGGTGTAGCCTCGCACGGGCAGCCTAATCATGCTCAGTGCTCCATTAGCTCGATGGGCGGCCTTGATGTGCGGACTACCGGTCTCCGGATGTCTTCCATGGGACTCAAGTCAGCCTCGTGATCGCTTTCGCTCGTATCCTCGACGGAAATGCTGGGCAGGGCCGGGCTGTCGCCCGCGTGCTCTGGATGGTACACCAGGGTGGAGCTTCGGCTGCGCATCCTTAACCCGCTGCCTCCGCTCGCAGCATTGCTGGGCTCAACGTCCATGTGCTCGTCCCCGATGCTGTCCTGCCTGGCGTCCCTGGCGTGCAACCTTGCCAGCGCCGCGGCCAAGTCTTCGGCATGAACCTCCTTGTTCGGCGGATCTTCATTGCGCATCTCCCAGCCATGAGGCGGACTAGGCGGCGGCGAGATGAAGAACTGCTTTTCTGCGTGCGGAGCCTTGAGGTGCTGGTCTTCGTTACTGATCTTGGTCTCCGCACCGAAGTAGACGCGCACGCGACAGTCCATAACGGTCTCGCCGTCTATAGCTTGCCGTATGATGGTGGCGTCGTCGACCGAATAGAAGGACACGATGATGCGTCGCATCGACTTTAGAGGAGCCCAGGTGTGGATGGGAACATGTTGGTTTACGATCTCTTTGATTCTTTGCAGATTATCCGGCTGGAAGATGACAGGGTCGTTGAGATTCTGGCGGTGAGCGTTAGCCTTTGCTCACGCTGGGCAGACCAGCTTTCTGCTATGAACTTACTGTGATAAGAAGAGTGTTCGTCGGCGGGGAAGGTGTTATTAGAGGCGGAAGATCGCTCAGGTCTATTGACAACGGCGACCTTGAGCCTCGCCGACTTGATATTGTGGACTGTGGTGGAGTAGAGGTGTCGAGCGCAGGTAGCGCAGATGGTATGGAAGACATTATCTCAGCAGTCATGGAGCCTTGCTTACAGCTGTAGCGTACTCTGAATAGTTATGGCACAAAAAGGACAAACTTCAAGACTGAATATTTCTTCCTTTTTTTGGCGCAGTTTGTAACTATGCCGGAAGGCTAGGAGAGTTGGCGGATTATATGTACGGGTAGTACTGCAGGCAAATCGCAGAACCCTTGCTTTGTCTGCGGCGCCCAACACACGAATCACGAGCTTGCTGCGCCTGCATGTTCATTGTCTGGAACCTTCACCTACACTAACTTAGAACGATAACCTCTCCATGCACAGCCCCCATTGCCCCTCAACCTGTCTGCCAACGAGTCCTCAATCTTGCCGCTCGCTTTGTTCAGCGTCTTGTCAGTGCCCGCTGATCCATCATCGCCGCGCAAGTAGCGCTTGGCGCAAATGCTAGGTCTTCTTGTCTGCCTAGGAAGTGTGGTTAGATTCCTCCAAGCGGAGAGAGAGGACTGAGAATCCTAAGACTTCGCACACTCGTCCTATTTGGGCACGACGTTTTAACAGGCCAAGCGCTGGGCATTCCGGAAGTCTTTTCACATACAGTCAGCGATGCGTATGGCAGAATCGAAAACTTGCATCAGCGCTGCGGCCTTCTACTCGCCATTCACTCAGCGGTAAGGCATACTGAGGGGATGGACCACGTCGTATAGATGGAGCATGTCTTGCACAGCATCGTTCATGGCTCGCTAGCACGGACGAAGGATGAATAAATCTACCTGTTTTACGTTTTTCCTCTCATCCTGACGCTCCTTGGCACAGCCATCGTATCTCTGTTTCAACTGATCCTCTATTATGGCCCATCCACAAATGGAGCCGGACTGTGCATTGAGTTGCTGATCCTCGCCCATACCTTACACTCGTCACGATATCATTCACTGCCCAACGGCTGATTGCCGCTGTTCCCGGAGGCCACCTGCAAGAGCTCCTCCCCCCCTCCCCCCCGCTTTGTTTCTCGTATTTTCATTCTCGCTTGGATTGCTTGCACTCAGCTGGCTGGTTTCAGTTGTACGTAACGCCCTTCCACAGCCGCGTGCAGATCCGGCCTCAAAGAGGCGATTGAAATTGTAGGATAGGTGAGGCACTGCAGCATATCCAACCGCAGGCCTTCGTTATTGTCAAAAAGCGGATGACTCAGCCATTCAGACTGCTCGTCTTCCTAGAGACTATAATGATGGCATATCATTCACTGTCAACGTTAACTATGGTGATTCGACCATGTTCAAGAAAGTTCGGTGATGCTTCGCATGTCGGGATTGCCCGCGAAACCAGTTGGCCAATCATACAACTTCTGAAGGTGCTTAGAAATGTCAATATCACGTGAATCGTTCGCTATGACATATCCCCGGCTCGCGGTTCATTTTCGCCTACTCAATCGCACCACTTCACTGACCGCATCGTCGTCGGCAACGAGCCCTATGTAGTATAACACGGCCTTGGTTTTTCTTTGAGTTATTTCACGTCACGAACAAGAACATCAATGGCATCATCCAGCACGGCCGCATGTGCCACCGTTTTTCGGTTCTTCGCATCCGCAACCCCAAGACGATGTCCGCAGTGCCTGCGCACCTTCTCCTCGTACCGCTCCTTCAGACAGTCATCAAAAAGACAGTTGATGACTGAGAGTGCGTATCGGCCTCAGACCTTAGACCCTCCTCCGCCTCCACCAAGAAATGCCGATGTCCCAGACCCTTTGTTAGCCGGCGGAACAGCCTCGACGACGGACCAGCGGTTCACTTGGTCGACTAGCGAACCGCAGAAGCAAACAAAGTCAGAGAAACCCGCGTCATCTTACAGTGTTGCAGAGCGCGAAGCGCAGACGTCTCAGCCCGTGACGCCGTCCCCACAGTCGCGTGCACAGCCTTCCACCTCATCTGCGGCGAATGCGTCCACGAATTCGCAAGCCACACCGCAGAAGCGCAAGTTACGTCCGCGTAAAGCGGCGATGACGCTGACTCCTGCAGCTGTGTCTCAGCTCCGCAATCTGCTGAACGACCCCGAGCCCAAGCTCATACGTGTGGGCGTCAAGAACAAGGGCTGCTCGGGCTCGGCATATCATTTGGAGTATGTGGACAAGCCAGGCAAGTTCGACGAGCAGGTTGAGCAGGATGGAGTCAAAGTCTTGATTGATAGCAAGGCTCTGATCAAGGTCATCGGCAGTGAAATGGATTGGGTTGAGGACAAACTGAGCTCAAGATTCACGTTTAGAAATCCCAACGTCAGTAAGTGTAGCCACTGGCAGTTGACTGCTGCGTGCATTTTTGAGGGGTTTTATGTGCTAACAAGTCGAGTAGCTGAGCAATGTGGATGTGGCGAGTCATTCAGCGTGTCGTAACCAACACTCGAGCATCTTCGACCGAAAGAAGCATAGGAATGGCGTTTTTTCCTTCTGTAGAAAGACTACCCCTCAAAGAAAGCGTATCATACATAATGGAGAAAGACAACTTTTCCCTGCCTCGAGCCTGTATCTCAAAGTTCAAAACACTCCCGTCTCAAAATCAACAACACATGCACTCTGAATTATGCCTGCTAGGCTCTGTTTGAAGGCCTGATGCGCAGGATCCTTCTCTACGTAGTAATCTCTGTCGGCTTCAGATTCAAACCACATAACAAATGCGTGGGTCGTGTCGCCCTGCTATATCATCAGCACGATGTAGTGCTTGTCAAGGTCTGGCAAAGAGCATTTAATCTGACCGCGAGTCCTTCTTTGCTGTTATTCTTGCCTCCCATGGTAGAGCGTATGTACGGTTTCTTTGTTTCTGGGTGCAAGCATGTGTTCGCCAAGTTCAACATGTCCGCACATGCCTGTTCGAAAGTCAGCATTGTCGGTATAGCTGGCACTGAGCTCAATCCTCATACCTTCGCCACTTGAGCAGGGGTGGCATCAGGCTTGAAGCCAAATAGCACAATGTGAACAATGGTCATCTTGGATAAACCTGGAATCAAAAGCGAATAGATGATTGTGTGAATTAGCTCTCAGTTTTGCAGATATTGTTACTATAAGACTTCTGATCCCCGAAGCGGGGCTTGTGGGGTATTATACACCCTTGGGTTTAGTTCGTGAGTTCAATATATTTTTGTACTAGGCGCGCATATATTTCTACAACACGAGGACCAACATGCATAAAAGTCTTACGAAGTGATTGGGATCTTCTGAGTGGGCCATCTATCAACTCTGGAGCCGAATTGCAAATTGTCCCAACTCCGCCCAAGAGAAGCTCGTCTGTGCGCGCTGCAGCGGGCGGCCTCAATGTAAAACAGGTCATGCTCTTCTACATGCGTCTCGATTGGCCCACTTCAGCCTACCTCATTCTCCCCGATGGCACCAAACCCTTTGCCAGAGGAAGTTCTCGAGCTCATAATCCGCTTCACGGCCTCGATTCCAGACCTTACGATCCCTGTTCTGTCGCCGAAAACAACCACTACGCTTGCGCTCAAACTGCTCATCCGAGACCGTTTGCCGACAGAATACGTTCGCAATCGGCTGCGACTCATCTTTTCTGGCAGGATACTTGAGGATGGCTCTTCTTTGTACCAGTCCTTGAACCTCAAAGATGCCGCCCCACCGCCTCCGCCCCGCTCGGCAAAGTCGAGAGGCAAGCAGCCGCTACGAGACGATGAAGACGGGGCACGAACCGTGCTCCGCAAATACATACATTGCTCTATAGGGGACGTGCTTTCGAGATCGGATCTCGAAGAGGAGGCGCGCAAGGCAGAGGAGGCCAAGCAAGCGCTCCTTCAGAACGTCGGCCAAGCCTCAACCGGTTCTCCAGCAGACAACGGCCATGTACCACCAGCAACGCAGGGCCCGCTCGGCTTCGATCGCCTCCTTCAAACGGGCTTCACAGCTGCGGACGTGGCCACGCTTCGCGCCTCCTTCCTCGCCCACCTCAGCAACACGCACACGCCGGACACGATGCCGCACGGCGATGACTTGAGGCGTCTGGAGGAGCGCTGGCTCGACACTGACGCGCAGAACAGTCAGCAGATAGGGCCAGATGGAAGCAGCATAGAGGATGACGAGGGATCGGCGCTCGACGACATGTTCTGGGGCAACATCTGGGGCTTCTTCTGGCCCGTCGGCGCAATCGTCTGGGGTTTCAGAGAGGATGGCGTCTGGACCAGACGGAGGATGATCGCCGTGTTCACTGGCGTGCTGGTCAACTTGGTCTTTGGATTTGCCAGGTTGACCAGCTCGAGGTGATGGCAGGGAAAAACATATTTCAATAGATATGGATGTGCATCATTTCCGTATGTGACATGATAGACTTAGCGGTGCCTAATGCCGTGGTTAAGAACCATTTGACCTTCCAAGTGCTTTTTCATCTAGGTGACGGCTATACTCAATTCTACAGGTAATCAATCATACCTATTCTCTCCATAGTACCTTGGCCAGCTTCTGAAAACGTAAACGTCAAGAACCCGAAAAGTTCTTCACTTCCGACATTTTTATCTGTCTTTCAATCACCACGCGATGTCCCGTCAAAAAAGTAGCCTACACTCGGTCTCTCCTGCGATGCAAGCGGTTCGCCCATGGGGCTCCGAAGCGACGGGGTTTAATGCGGTATCGAGCGAACAAGCTGCACATTGTGATCCTTTAGTTGATGCGCTCGACTCAAAACCAGCATTGCCACCCGCACCTGACCAGTCCGACACGTTGACTGTCACTCTGAAAACTTTCACAGACGAGCATACGAAGAACATGAGCAATTCGTTCTCTGCGCCTATCATACTTAATGGTATCCAAGTTGGCAAACTCACCGCGCAGAAGATTGAAATAGCAGCCAAGTCAATAATTGGCTGTGATGGAGGTGAAGTTCAAGTCACCAAAGTCAGCAGGCGGCTCTTGTTCGATACAAGGATTCCAGTTCTGATGGCTTCACGCTTACGCTGCCACGGAAACCATGTGCCAACGTGAACATCACGCTCTCTGAACAAGGGTGCCGAGCAAGAGCGGATGATCAAGTCTTCTTCACTTACGTGAACGATATCAAGTTGGCCGAGGAATCCCTAGCCGCGAAAGTACAGGTCATAAATGCAAGATGGCAACAAAGGGTTGCAGTGGATGACAATGAATAGCTCGCTGACCCAGAGACAGCAGAAAATTCAGGAGCATGGCGGGCGAGATGTGGAAGCATGCAAACGCTCTGCTCGATGAGTATGAGGCTCGCAAAGGAGGTTGCTTCATTTGATAGCTTGGCACACCGTGGAAAGGCAGCGCGAGAAATTTGAGGAACCCTTCATACACATAGCGAATTTGACTAGTTTTTGCGGCAGTTCCCGATATTCTAGGGCTTCGATCATGATCAGGTGATGATACACGTACAACGTTGCCTGATATTCGCATCATACAGTGCTTAGAAGGTATTCTAAAGATTCTTTAAACACGATTAGTTTTACAGAATTCATCTCTCAAAGTCTGTTGTACTGTTTTCTGTCATGGCTTGGACGGCCCTTATTCTTCAGCCTTGTCCCGGGTCCTTCATCTCAGCCAATCAAAGGCCTCAATGTAGCCAACCGACCCAGCCCATGCAGCCCAAATGACATCACACGCGGCTGAAGTCATAGACCGCGAAGCACCGAAAATCCTGCTTTTGATACCGCGTACGTACGATGACGCCTCCCATGAGCCCGGTGTGCTAGATAATCAGCGAGAATTCCCAGCGCTACCAGTTTTGCGTCATCACGTATCTTGCCAACCCTCACTGCACTTTTTGTCGCAACTCTAACTCGAAACTTAGCATAAATTCTTTCATCTCTAGTCGAAATGCCTCTGTTTGGATCCAAGAGGGAGGCCGTAACCCCAACTGAGCGGGCAACGACAACGACTACGACCCACCACAACCGCTCGGGTGGTCTTTTCGGCAAGAAATCCGAGCCTGTGAGCCGGCAGACTACAACCACGACGTCCTCTCGAACCTCCCCTTCTCGTTCGTCTGGCCTGTTTTCACACAGGAAGTCAAGCTCACCGGATCGGCACACGACCACGACTTCGCACGTCGGCCACTCGCCAAGCCATAGCACCAATCTTCTTCATCGACACCACGAGGATCCGTCGATTGTCAGCGCTAGGGAACGAGTCGTGAAGGCTGAAACTGCAGAACGGGAGGCCGACCGTGCTCTTGTCGCAGCAAAGGCTGCAGTTAGGGAAGCCAGGGCTGAAGTGAAAAGGCTCGAGGCTGAGGCCGCAGAAGAGGTAAGACCGAAGATGCATGCGTGTCCCTCCCGCATTTTCTAACATTTTCCGGTAGGCTCGTCTTGCAAAGATCAAGCAGGGACAAGCTGCTTCGCTTTCCAAGCGAGGAAAAATGCTTGGACGTCACGACCATCACTAGGCCATGGTGCGGCAAGAATTGTCACGACGTGAACGAAATGGGTTTCCCTAATATTCATGTATTATTTGGCTAGGATTTTGCTCGTTAAGCGATTGCGACACCAGTGCTTCATTCTGTACGATACGAAGGTGCAGCCAGCATTTGATATCCCAATGCAGAGTCATTTCTTCTTTTCCCAGCATATAATCTGCGAGTCTTTTCTTTACGTAGTCTCATCCACTTTGTATACCAACTTCTCTCCGCTCACCTTACCTGACTTCATTTCTTCCATGCCCTTCAGTACACCTTGCAGACCGCCTTCTCTCAGCCTCTCTGGGTGCGTCTTCAGCTTACCCTCTGCCAGGAGCTTCTCTGTCAACTCGAAGAACATCTTGGCGAACTCGAAGTCCTCATGACTCTGTGGGAACACCGTGGGACCAAACCTGAACTCTTCATCGAAGATCGTGTACATGAGCGTGAATTGAGCCTCCACGTCGTCTCGCGGAAGCTTAAGCGGGAGGACAGAGCCGTACTTGCAGCCAGGTTCTGAAGACAATGCCTCGCAGCATATCTTTGCTGAATCTTCGAGCGAGATGGTGTCGAATACATACTTGAGAGAATTCTTCGTGTACTCTCGAATCTTCGCACCACAATTGGGGTCCTTGTAATCGAAAGGAACGACCCCGTGGCTCTTCATCCACTCGTTGTGCTTGGGAGAACAAGTCGTGATGCACTTGTAGCCGGCCAACTTCACATACTGGCACGCGAGGCTGCCAGTTGCAGTGCTTCCTCCGTACACAAGGACGTATTCGCCACTTGTCGTTGGCTCAGAAGGAAGATTCAATTTGAGCGCCTTCTGGAAAAGACCCTGGCCGCAAGTGATTGCACCGAGCGGAAAGGTCGACGCTTGCTCCATGGTAAGCCCAGCTGGGACATGCATTTGCAAGTCACCCTTGACCACAGCGAATTCGGCGAAGACGCCGTCATCGACGTTGACTGCGTTGGCGCCGTGGGCGACGCCACAAATCTTATCGCCCTTCTTGAACGACTTCGTGACGGCGCTGCCAACCTCCTCGACGACTCCTGAATAGTCGCATCCCGAGATACAGCCTGGAGCTGCGAGGTTGAACTCCACGTGCTTCCAGTCGGTTGGGTTGAGCGCGACGTAGCTGGGTTTGACCAGAATCTGATCCGGCCGTGGCTTAGGGATTGGTCGATCGGCGACGACGGACGCCGATGTACCGTTTATTACGATGGCTTTCATTGTGTCTCAGAAATGTAATTATCTAGGCGACTTTGTGGTGAGACTATGGAGAGCAGACAGATGATATATATAGTTTAGGTGAAGCTGCAAGGGTGGGGAATGAAACGTTCTACGACATCATCATGTTTGCAATAGCACTGGGGTCAATTTATGCAAAAAATGGAGTCCCCACCTATATACACAGACCTCCGAGGTCCGTCTTGCTTTGAAGCAACATAGGTACACAGCTGCTTACCAATTAACCTAACCACACTCATACGCCACATCCCAACTAGCTGTTTTCGGAGTCTTCTAGAAATGGCAATACAGGCCGTTTCAAGTTAGCGCAAGCTCCTGGCCGGCCAAATTTGCCTTCTGCCCGATCCGAAGCACCCGTCAGTGGATCTTCCTCTTCTTAGAGGCCGTATTTGCAGACGCTGTGAAGACTTCTACAAGTGTGATGGCGAGCTGAATAAGAAAGATGACTATTCTCGCCAGATGATCTTTCCACCCGAGCACAGGCTTGCGGCCTCTTACAAATTTTGCGTCGGCTGCTTGCCACGGCACAGATCCACCCAGCCTTCGAGCAACTTCCATCCCACTGCTGAATCCATCCTCATGGAAGCCGTAATTGGTCCATGCCCCACAGTACCATATGCCACGCTTTCCTTGTATCTCATCCAGTCTGCACTGGGATCGTATGGCCGCTGCGTTGTACAGTGGATGCTCATACTCAACTTCTGCCTGCGTAGATTTCGGGTCTGGAGCATGCGTGGGATTCATCGTCACAAGGACATGACCGTACCTCGAGACTGGGATGTGCTGTAAAATGTTCATGTTATATGTCAGTGACACGGATTGAGAAGCACCATTAACGTCTTTTTTGTTCCTCTTTGACGAGGAAGTCGTAAGATAATTCCACGCCGACCATGCTAGTTCGCGTTTTGGAAGAAGCTACGTAGAATGTGTAAGTGCAGGTCGTATGAACGTACTTTAAACAACGCATGACTTACCGAGACGTCTGAATGTAGATAAACCTTGTTTTTTGTTGTTGCAAAATTCTTCAAGATGTCATGCTCCAGCTCAGATGCGGATGATTTGATAATGTCGTACGCCTGGTCCCCATGGCATGCTAGTATAACCTCGTCAAACATAAGCTGCTTTCCGCTTTTGAGGTACAGCTTTACTTGTCCGTTTTCATTATCCAGCGTTTCTACGCGGCTTGACAGGTGCACGTTCTCGGCTGGAAAGTTTCTCATGAGACTGTCAATATATTTCTTCGAGCCTCCAGGTATCGTAAGCCAATCCGGCCGTTTCGCAATCGTGCTCAATAAATGGTGATTCCACATGAACCGAATCAGTGTCACTGCTGGGAACTCCAATGCGCATTTATCTTCCCCAGTGCTCCATACGCATGCTGTCATAGGGATGAGATAATCATCGCGAAACGCATCCGAATATCCCTCACGATCCAGATATTCGCCGATGCTGATTTCATTCTGGTTCGCCAAGGTCCCGTCCACTTCAGTGAGCACATCTAGCGCAAAAAGATTGAAACGCACAATGTCAAATATCATTCGCCAAAACCTTGGTCGGAACAAATTCTCGCGTTGGGCGAAGATTGAACGTAAAGAGGTGCCCGACCATTCAAATGCGCCATAATCGCGGCTGATTCCAAAAGTCATCGCGGTGGGCACGATTTCAACACCAAGCTCTTTCAAGAACGGGATGAAGTTCGGGTACGTTGCTTTATTCATGACAATGAAACCAGTATCGACCATGATCGACTTGCCATCATGCTCGAAGGGTAGTGTGTTTGTGTGCCCCCCAAGTCGGTCATTCGTCTCGAAGAGATGGATGTCATGGCCAGTTTCACGAAGAGTGTATAGTGCCCCCAGGCCAGAAATGCCGCTTCCGACAATTGCAATTCTTTTTGTTTCGCTCATGATGGATGGATGAAGTAGAATTGAGTTGGAGTTTGATTGAAGCTTCGAGATGCGTGAAATCTATGACCTCATGATATCTAGATGGACACTTCGGCTGACGATAATAATTGAACGAGGCGAAAGTAAATACCTATGTATTCGAACTCGTGGAATGAAGGAATATAGTTGGCCGCAACGTCTTCACCGAATTGCAAGACACATTTCCTACTTTGAGACACTCCGTGTCATGACCAGCTCGTTTCGGATTCCTCCCACCGAAAAGGCACGATGAAGACTCAAACCTGTGCCCATCACATCGAAATAAATCAATTTTGGAAATGTCAACACCACGCATGGATATGATGGCTCGGAAGATCATATATTGCAGCGCTGCACTTAATGCTAAGTTGAAGAGCCACTACGGCTCTTATGCACGTGATCAGAACGTTCCGCCTGTACTTGTGGAGGTTTGAAATATGCTTCATTTGATCGCGAAGCCCTAATGGCTTTTACAAGCAGCTGACGTGTATATCTTTTGTTGTGAGTACACAACTGCAGTTTCCTCAGCCGGTTCATACGTCTTTGAAGTGGTTCAGACGTCTTTGAAGTGCTTCATACACTCACTCGAGTGCGGAGTCAAGATCAATAAGTACATGCTCTTCACTTTTTCACGCCATTTACTCTCTTCGTCAGAGCAAGGGCTTTATGTCCTCAGATTACATAAGTCCATACTCTTCCTTACGATCTTAGCCCTTGTTGGTCGCTTCATTGTTTATCCATCTCATGTTAAAGGAGAAAAGGGACGGAACAAAGGAACAGCGTGCTCGCCTCATCTTTTTGTATTTCTTCATAAAACACCAGGCAATTCACAGGCATATCTGGACTCAGGAAGTATTGCTTCGACTGGGTGTTGAGCCTTTGAACTTGGCACAGCATGTGTTTCGCATCACGTGGCTAGATCTGACGTATCACGAGCGGATGTTGCCAGCTCCGGCAAGTTCACCCCGACATCGTGAGTGCCTACAGTCTGCAAACTTAACATCTTCCTCTCTACAAACTTGATCTTGTCCCTCTACTTCGTGATCCGCGAACATCTTTGCGCTCATCACACGATTGATTGCGTATCTAGAATCAGCTTTGCTCAACCTGCCATCTGGGGTCTCAACCCGCCGTCCTCGCTCTCACAATGGCCGATATTCTCGATCAAGATGCTGGCTCGGAGCTCTTCAGCAGTTATGAAGCCGAGCTCAAGCTTGTTCAGGCGGATTTGACGCAAAAGCTTGAACAGATTCCCGATCTCACAGGAGAACCTCGCAAGGCAGCTCTCGGCGCCGCTGAGCGGTCGCTGGATGAAGCCAAAGAGATTTTAGATCAGATGCGTATCGAGAAGCAGAATGTACCGACGCCATCCAGACAAAAAGTCAACACGCGCTTCCGCAACTACCAGACTGATATTGACACTCTCTCACGAAAATTGACGACGTTGAAGAATGCAGGCTTTGGAAACCGGTACACAGATGCGCCAGATGATGCGCCTCTGGATCCGCACCTAGCACAAAGACAGCAGTTATTGAGCGGAACTGAGAGGCTCGAGAGAAGTAGCAATCGTCTAAGAGACAGTCAGCGCATTGCGCTGGAAACGGAGGACATTGGACGAAGCACGCTGGCAGATCTGAGCAGGCAGAGAGAGACGATTCAGCATACTAGAGATACTCTTCTAGAAAGTGAGGGCTACACGGATAGAAGTATTAAGACTTTGAGGGGAATGGCGCGTAGGTAATGACACGCCCTGCCAAACAGTAGACGATCTGCGGCAATCCGGATGCTAACATTTTGCCCCAGGATGGCTACAAATCGGCTTATAACAATCGCTATCATCACAGTTCTCGTTCTCCTCATAATAGCCGTTATTGTTAGCAAGTTCAGGTGAATCAAAGGCAACGCCTCCGCGCGAATGTCAAGGTCGCGGACGCAGACCATGACTCTTTCTACTGTACAGCATTCCACCCTATCTTTAGGCGAACTTCTTGAGATGATCAAGCAATATCGTTAGCTGGGCATATAATTTACCGCTTCGTACTTCATAAACCTACGATATTCATAAGATACAGATGCTTACATTTTCCCACGGCTTCTCTTTCTCTTATACTGTAGCTTTATTCTGCAATTCTTTCACGAGGGTCAAAAATTTACGTCAACATGGAATAACTGCAGATGAGTCTTCGTTCAGATTAGTACCTAACTCAGATAACTGAACCATCATGGCAGCAAAGTAAACGCCCTTTACGTTTCACGCAGTATTTGCATATAGGAAGTACTTTCGATGTTGGGTGCAAAGAGTGTCTCGCCACGTGGATACTGATCCTAAAAAGAGGATAGGACCTCTAAACGGTCGGCGTCCACAGCAGCTCTCACACGGTTAAGGGGCGTCAGAATGATGCCTAGCTTAACTCGCGCCGCTCCACAAGGTAGAAACCCAAATTGACGTTTGAAGCGGCCGCACGTAATTTCAAAAATGAAAAGCTGTTCGTCACATCAGTTTGTGCGGGCATTAACATTAATCATTAGGACTAGCAATACACAAGACGGCCCACTCGCGGCGTCAGCGATCTTGCACAGGACGACAGTCCAGTGAGATCCAGAACGTCTCTGCAAGCCAACTTTTTACGACTTTTGACAGCAGCTAAAGAAAGCTTTTTCGCTTCGTCAGCATCGACAAATGTCTCCCGAACTTACTCTGCTTTCTTCCGAGGCTCGCTAGGGTGTTTGGCGTTGATGAAAGCGTATCCATTTCAAAATTTGTCTCTCCTCTAGCACTTGCTTCATGATCGCCTTCGGATTCTACACTTTGATACCCCGACGTTGCTCCGTTGCCTACGCTGTTGATGTCACCTTTTCGAGTGGTCATGAAAAGATGTTTGCCTTCCGTCTCAATTCCCCAGTTGACAGTGAATTGTTTTCCAATTGGCCCAGCGCCGCAGCTACCAGCAAGCAACGCATTTGGGGGAGAATTAACGGCGAGCGAAAACATGTTTGGAGGCTCGCTGAAATCCGTAACCAAACCTTTGTTGATGAGAAAATATGCAAGCATGAATACGTTAAGAATAAAGACCGCAAACATGACAACATAGAATCCCTTTTGGTAGTCTGCTGTCCCACCTGAGGCGTACTCTTGCGCTCTTACGGAGGCATTGAAATATTGATATACTCCTTGGGACAATGAGGGGACAGTATAGTTCCAATATTCCACGAAAGGTGTGTCTACAGCACCCATTAATAGAGTACACCCTACGAGCACGCTAAGAGCTTCTGCTGGACTTGGAAGCGCAGGGTTGAGTGCTTGATCGGTAAGCATCAATTGGGTCAACAGGCGCGAATTGGAGGCGGCTCCGTCGGATACGCCTGTACCTAGAGACAACGCTGTAACAGCCTGGACTCCAACGTCGTACCAATCGAAACTCGTAGTTGTTGTGCGGCTGCTGTTGGCTCTAATATATTGTAATTTGTCATCTGGATCTTCACAGTGAGCAGCTAGGCTACCACCATTGGCCGTTGCCTGGTATTGAGTGGAACAAAATGGCGTCATGCCAGCCTTAATTTTGCACATGAAATAGTCCGGGCTTTTGTTGGAATCACCCTTGCCGAGAAGATAGATTGAATCTCGTTGGTAGACAGGCCGCGTATTGTTCAGCAATGTGTTGAAATCGATTGGAAACTTGTAGAAGGCAGGCCTGTCTTCAGGCTCTTGCCATCCGAAAACCTTATCGAGCGAGTTGTTGCCAATTGGAAAGGAAGTGAATCGTTTCCAATCGACACCTGCAACATACCACCATGTCGACAAGTTCGCAAAATCCCGTGTTTGATTGAGTGTAACGCCTGGCATTGTCTGGTAGACGAAGTCTTCATATTCTGATTGCTCGAAGTTGGCGCAAAGGACGTTTATATACGGGCTAGGAACTGCTGCCCGGATGTTGTAAATGCCCTCTCCATTCAAGTCCTGGCTATGGTTAGCACGATTAAACAACCGGGTACATCTATCGTCCTACAGTGGGTTGAAGGATTCTGTTAACACTATCATACCCAGCTGAGACGACGCCAGCATGAGGGAAAGCTAGGGTTACATTATTAATTGTGCGGTTGAATTCCTTCGAAACCTTCGCAGTGTCTATGACATTTATCCAGGTGGCGTTGACGGCGATGGTTTCATTATGCAGTGCGAATCCTGGAGGTCGCGCTTTCTGATCAATAGCGTTTGCTTCGCCAACTTGCACTAGATTAGCCCAGTAACTGAGGTATTGCTTGTAATTATGGTATCCTTGGGCCGCGTGGTCGATCTCCAAGCACGTGTTCCCGACGTTTTGCAGGTCATAGTTCTGGTCGAAATTGTTGATCTGAATTGGATTCTGACAGGTTTCCTGTAGGTAGACAACATTTGAAAATTGCGCCTTGACAAGGCCTGCCAAGGTCCTGCTCTCCCAGTCACCAAACTTGAGTTGGGGCGCGACCAGTGCGCTTGATGCAACAGAGTATATCATCGCGAATGCAGCTACACTTAGCGACAATATGCCAAGGAAGCTCATGGCCGCGTATTTAACAGTCTCATAGTGGGTTATCATGCTACCAGGCTGCATCACCCAGTTACGCATGGTGAACTCCGCAATGGTCACCCCTCTGGCGGACGAATTGAATGCGCGGCGGGACAATACCTGGCCTAAAAAAGTGACAAATACAGTTACAAAGCTTAGTTCGATCAGTTTCGCAAAGACCTGAGTGAGAATATCGGCACCAGATGGGTTCAGCGAGCCACCTTTACTTCGAATGGCCATGCCCCATCTTGGCCCACGAATCGCGATGCCCAGGAAAATCCCGGAAAATACAGTAGAGAACAATGCGATGAGCACAATTGACATCGCGAGCCAGTTGAAGCGTCCTTGATAGAAGCTTTTGGCCGTAGGGCACGCGTGTGGATGGAAATCGTTTGCCTCGAAAGCTGAACGTATCGAGTAATTGCTCTTAGGTCTGTTTAATTGCGCAGTATCGTCGTAGTTGTAGGGATCATTAAATGAGGACATATTCGAAGATCGTTTTTGTTTCGACATCTCTACGTCGTCCTCAGTGGAAGAGTTCGCGGCAGGATCGTAAGCAGTCCTTGCATTTGACAGGCGACTTGTATCGCCATACAATGGCGGCGAAATGAGTGGATTTGACGAGCCTGGAGTACTGTCGGTTCTGGGACTAGTATAGCTCTGTCCGATCGAAGCATTGGAAACTCGCTGGATAGATATTCTTCTAGCGTATCCAGTCGAAGGTTCAGCATCCGCGCCACTTTCCCGCTCCCTTTCCAGATTCTCAATTCCCAACCCAGCATACCTAGAAACCCTCGCTATATCTCCCTCCTCTTCATCATGTTCCCGTACAATCTGGTCAATATGGGACTCCGATCCGAGACGCTGGTATTGGGGTTTTCGGCCGAAGGACGAGAAAGGACTGGTAGGGCCACTGCCGCTGAGAGTTGCCGAAGAGAGGCTCGAAAGGTCCGAACCTTCTTGTCTAAGATGCCATGATCGCCGCTGGTTGGCATTGCCTTCTTCCATTCTTCGGTATCACCTCCACTATCCACAAGCCTATCTTAGAATTTCAGAGTGTTCAGGCCGCTGCCAATGGGTGTACAGAAAACACAACCTCATCGAAAGTGGCACAAAGACCTCCTGGGCGTGATTCTATTGTCAAGTACGATGTGCTTCCTGGTAGTTTAAAGGAGCAAATGCTTGCATGTCACGCAGAGACGCAAGGTTCCGAACAGATGCTTGGGCCAGCAAACGCATCACTAACCGCGAGAACTTGGTCTGCGCCAGGATATGGAGGGGGCTGGAACCACGACTCAGCCTGACTTAGCTGTTGGCAGAAGCTTGTGCAGCTGAACAAGCTGCTGCATTCTCCGCGCAGCTCACCGGTGTCAGCCCTTCAAGCTTCATGGGACCTAATTCCTCTTCGCTCCTACATGTGACTATTTCATCACGAAAGTGCGATTCATTACCGCGCAAACGGCTGCGAGAGCTTGGCGCAGACGGACGTGGCATAATCGCAGCTATTTTCGTCTCGTGGTTTGTCAAGTGCTTAGCTTCGAAACGCCGATCCTGCCAAGAGCGTGCAGATCAGGTCAGCGATAAGGACGGGGCCTGATTTGAGCCTCCATCAAAGGCCCATCCCGAATCCCATCGTCCATTGCGTTCGTCGAAGTTATTGCTTTAGCAAATAACCGTCTCCTCAGCTGCAAAAGAAACAAGAACTGGAAAAGGACGAGCATGAATCTAGGCTTTGAAATGTCTTCTGCTTTTGAAAGCCAAATTAACTCGTTCAAACCTCGACTTACCGCATCCTAATCCTTCGACGTCCTTTAACTCCCTTGCAGATTCAATGTCAGTGTCTTCCCACCGTCCGTATTCACCCAAACATGGTTTGATTACGTGTCGTGCTTCCGAAGCTTTTGCGGGCAAACCTCGTCTCACGTGCATTCCTCCGCCAGACCAAATAATCCATCAGAGACTTGCTGGCATTGAAAGACGGAGTCTTTATCATTTTACATTCTTGCCCTCACGCTCCGCTCTCCTAAAGCACGCAGTTTGGTGAGCTCGAGAAAATCAACGTGCTTCCTTCCTAGTAACCTCGTACCGCATCAAGTCTACATACTGACAGCTCTGCCAGTCACGAGGTATCAGCTGTAACAGGCCTATGCTGCGTGCAAATCCAATATTTGAGAATATACCAGAATTTCTATGATAGCTCTGCGTCCGTGGAAGCAGCAAGGCGTAGTCTTTTTGTAGAGCCACGTTCAGACCACCAATTGGTGGTAAGCCGCAGATAAGCACATACTTTTTGATGGTTATTCTTTAATAGTATATAATGCAATAAGCCCAACCTATTCGATCGATTTCTATCCAAAAATCGCTCTGCTAGCGCAATGGTAGCGCGTCAGACTTCTATCCCACCCCCCGGAATATAATCTGAAGGCTCCGGGTTCGAGTCCCGGGTGGAGCTGATCGATGATTGTACGTCGACAGGCAGTCCAAATTGCAGGTTAAAGTCCTGCCCTTTTTTTAGACTTCTGTTTCTATTTATTTTTGCTCTCAAAGAGAAGTTGATCTTTGTAGTCGACTCGAAAATTCATAATTAAGCTCATGATTCGCCAAGTGTCTTACCAAACACGCGGGGCCAATTCTTTCCCATTTCCCATTTTACTATAGTCAGCACCCTGACATGGTGACTGGTTTCGCCCTGAACAGTTCTATCAAGGCAAACTAACTACGAAAGAAGATCTCCATACCATTGAAATGCGCCGGTAATTTCGAGCATTCATGAAGCGTCTTAGCAGAAGAAGCATGCCTGCACTTTCCATCATTCCCAGAAGCTCCAAGCGCACCGTCCATTTGTCCTATCGATGTCCATTCTTTGAACTCGCAGCGATCGTCCTCCTTGGCCATTGCTGTTCATGACTCTTTTCGCGCTCTGCCCAGAACGAGAAGTGATGGTGCTGCATACGGGCCATCACATTATTGAGCCCGATTGGAATTGCACGTAGATCTTGACCTTCTTTAGCTGCCCTTGCCTACATACTCCACGCCACGTTCTTCGTAAACTGCAACACTAGTTGTTTAGCGCAAGAAACTGACATTAAGATTTCCAGACTTGTGGCAGAGTTCGATTCTATCTTCGCCCTATGGAGAACTCGTGCGCGATCGAAAATGGCGTGGTTCAAGATTCGCCTTTCGATAGTTCGGCACGATGCCGCGCGGATCTTGCGCTGTTTCAAAGTTACGGGACGCTGCTCTTTTGGCATATATAAACCCTTCATCCCTTTCGTTTGATCAGCTTCGGTACAAGCTGTGTCCGACTGGACGGACACTTCAGACCACTTGTACTCTCGTGCTTCACCGAAAGGGCCAGATACGATATGCTCCGCCGCGGCATCATCACGTTGTTCCTGTGGTACACATCGCTACTGAGGCAACCACTCGTTCGTGCGGTCACAGTGAACTCGTTCCCGGCCAAGGCTGTGGTCGAATATGCCCTCCCAGCTGCTGCTCAGACTCACGAGATCCTCGCTGTCAACGACAATCTCCTGCTCGTCTCTCAGCAAACCGATGGTAGCTTAGTGAAGATAAGGCTTGACAGCATCGGACGGCCCGTTGGTGCTCGAAAGTGGATGGTGACAAATCAATGGTCTGGTCTTCATGGGCTGGCGCTGCACTCGGGGTCTGGGGGTGACCCATCCATTTGGGCCACGGCCCAGTTCGACAACGTTATTCTCCAGATCGACCCGCAAGGAAACGACATCAACTCAAGACCACAAGTCGTCAAGACCATTCCCATACCCCCACCTGCATTCGGTCCTCATGGCGTGCTGGAAAACGACGGAAACCTGTGGGTAGCGTGCAAGGACAGCTCGCACGTGGTGCGAATCAGCATCGACAACCCGGACGACCATCAGGTCTGGGCCGTGAGCGGCCGCCCCATCTTCACCGCCGTGCATCCTCAAAGCGGCGACGTCTTCGCGAGCCTCGATCTCAGCAGCAGGATCTGGCACTACAAAAACGACGGGGGAAACGGCGAGGAGATCGCGATCCCGGCGGAGAAGGGCGCCACGCCCGTCGGCTTGGTCGTCGGACCGGACAAGAACGCCTGGGTCGTTCTCCTGGGCAACAAGACCGCGGGGACGGGCACATTCGGACGCATCAACAGCGACGTGTCGATCGACTGGTTCGCCATGACGTCGGCGACGGGCAGCACCGCGCCCCTCATCCACCTCGCGTTCGACGGCGATCCGACGCGGTTCTGGCTCCTGGGCTCCTCGACGACGTGCAGCTCCTGCGTCAACGCGGTCTTCACTGTGAGCGTCCACAGCGGCTCCGAGGGCGGAACCGCAAAGCCCGGCGTCGCCGTCCAGAACACGATCGTGCTGCCCACCCAGATGAGCTGGACCCACCGTATGATCTCGCATCGCGGAAACCTCTACATAACCGAACTGACGACCTCGACGCTCGCGTTCGTCGCCGGAGCTGCCGTCAACGGGCTGAACACCAGCGAGACCTGGGACCAGTATTCGAATTACGGTCTGGGCTTCAAGGCCGATGTCATTGGTTATAACAACTCCGTCTTCTGAATAACGGTCGAGTCGACCGACGTAAGCAAATATGCGGAAGGCAACGTCCCCGAGGATAGACAGGACGTACATAGTTTATTGTCGCCGATTCAAAAGAATCGCTAAAAGGGACAAAGTTCTAGATGCGACTAGCTTGCCAACACAACTCTAGAGCAGGTTTGGGAAGAATGTCTATTAGGTTTACTCTAGGTGAACAAATTCGCATTGATCTGCCTTTGCCTTCGTTCATCCAAGGTCATCGGTCTTTGTTTGCCATGCAAAGTTCAAGTAGAGCGTTTTGGCCGAAATGCGAACAACCGCTTTGCCTTTACTTTTCCAGCGACTGCATTCCAGTCGCCCTGAGCATGCATTATTCCTCAAGGCTCGTTCCGAACCCAAACTAGCTATGTCCATTTGTCTCATCGTTCTTCGCCTCAATCTCATCCTCGATCGCAGTCGTGTTCGCGCTGTCATTACTTCTCATGCGCTGAAGCTGGTCGCTAACGTAATGCGCGACTCTTGATTCGATCTCGGCCTTCTTCTTTAGATCCTCCTCAGATAGCCAGCCGATGGAGCTCGCGCGTCGAAGGTAGAAATCTTCATCGTGATCCCCGTTCACAAATTCGCCAACGTTCAACGTGCCTCCAAAGCCTAGGTTACGATGCGTCGAAGAACGACGAAGTGGTCGGGGCGCGCCCTTTCTGGGCATGGACCAGAGATCATCAAAATAATGTGCTGCTTGTGTACTCGGCGTGCGTGGAGTTTGCGGCAGACGGCAGTTAATTCTGTTTCCCATGTTAGTTCTCACGCAGCCACAGCAGCGAGAAATACTATGACATACCCAGTGTCATGGATCATCTTAGCCACCAGCCCAGTCCACCCACATTGGTGACTGGCCCCCAACCCTCGCCCAGTGTCACCATCAAAGAACTCGAAGAACCACAAATAATCCTTCCAGTTCGGATCGAAATCGAGCATTTCATTGCCAGCCGATATGGCTCGACGTCCCGAATCATCTCTCATGAACATATTCTGTAGCCTGTGCTGGAGTTCTTCAGCAACGTGGCCCAGATGCATCATGTCGCCTGAACCAGTCGGACATTCAACTTTGAGAGAATCTCCGTAGAACATGTAGAAGCGCTGCAGGGATTCGATTAGCAGGAAATTAGGGGCGCACCAGATAGGGCCGCGCCAGTTGGAATTGCCGCCAAACAGGCCACTGTCGGAGTCTCCGGGAACGTATGAGACCTTGTATTCCTGGCCGTTCACGTTCATGGAAACTGGGTTGTCTTTGTGATAACGCGAAAGCGAACGGATACCATACTCGGACAAGAACTCGTCCTCGCTAAGAAGGTACTTGAGTATGCTCTTCAGGCGTGTTTCATTGACGAGAGCTAGCATGAGTCTTTCACCTTTGCCACGTCGCTTGAGAGATGACATGTTGCGCTCAGCAACATCCGGCTTGTTTTTGACGAACCATTCCAGACGTCGCTTGAACGAGGGGAAGCGATTTATGACCTCCGGCTCCAGGGTGCAGGTTGCGTACAGAGGTATGAGACCGACCAATGACCTAACCCGCATTTGATGGATCCATGGACCACCCCAAGATATAGCGTCGTAATAGAAGCCATCCTCGTCGTTCCAAAGAGACTTCGCCTCACTGCCGCTTCGATACTGCATAGCCTCTGAGATAATGATGAAATGCTCAAAGAACTTGGAGGCTATATCCTCATAGGTGCGACGATGCTTTGCAAGCTCGAGAGCTATGTTCAGCATAGACACGCAATAGAAACCCATCCAACCGGTGCTGTCAGCCTGCTCGAGGGTTCCACCCGTGGGCAAGGGATCCGATCGGTTGAAGAGACCGATATTGTCAAGGCCGAGGAAGCCACCTTCGAATATATTCTTGCCCTCAGAGTCTTTACGGTTGACCCACCACGTGAAATTGAGAAGCAACTTTTGGAAAAGCCGTTCCAAAAAGTCTAGGTCCTCGTGGCCGTACATTTTGCGTTCGATCTTAAACGTTCTGAAAACAGCCCATGCATGCACTGGAGGATTGACATCTCCAAAGTTCCATTCATACGCGGGAATCTGACCATTCGGATGCATATACCATTCACGTGTGAAGAGATCCAGTTGCTTCTTTGCAAACTCGGGATCAATCATAGCTAAGGGGATGCAATGAAATGCCGAATCCCAAGCTGCAAAGAATGGATACTCCCACGAATCTGGCATGGACAAGATGTCATCCAAATACATATGCTTCCATTGTGCATTTCGAACGTTCTTTCTGCTGGGTGGCGGAGGAGGCATTCCAGGATCCCCATTTGCCCACTGGTCCCAGATAAAGTAGTAATGCTGCTTACACCACAGCATGCCAGCAAAGGCTTGCCGTTGGATATTGCGTAGATCTTGTGACAACGGAAGCGGGCTGATGTGGTAATAGAATTCATCCGCTTCGATTCTCCTCTGTTCCATAATGTCATCGAACAGCTCTTCGTCCACCCAGCCTTCGTAGCGCTTGGTCAAGCGAAATCGAACAACCGCGCATTCTCCAGGCGGGACGCCCTCGCCCTCGTTGAATGCATACCACATGCCAAGCTTGGTTCCCGTCTTTTGCGGATTAACGGCAGTTTTGTCACCGTCGCAGATGTACTTGTGAAAAGCATCCTTGACATAAGGAGTCTTGTTCTTTCCCCAGCCTAGTCCGGCATAGTCCGTGTCATTATCTGTATATAGCAGGGTAGGCTGAACATCCTGGCGGCTTGGGCCAGTGCCAGGGGACGGCGAAAGCTCGATGTATCGCTCGCCGATGTAGGGATGTCTAGTGTAAGCAGTTGTCGGACTAACTTCATGAAGATTCGGTTTTTTATCCGGACTCTCACGGCCCCAGGCCCAGGTATTTCTGAACACACATTGCGGGATAATATGTAGTGGGGCGGCCTTGGTGCCACGGTTGTACGCTGTGACTCGAAAGAGAAGCTCGTCAGGATCATCCGCCTCTTTGCATGTCTCTATGAAGATGTCGAAGTACTCATCATCATCGAAACAGCCTGTGTCTATGAGCTGATACTCGCGATCAAACTTGCCGCGACGTGCGTTCTCTTTGATAAGGTCTTCGTATGGAAACGCGTTGTGAGGATACTTGTACAGGTATTTCATATACGAATGCTGCGCGGATTAGCTGGAATCCTAACCTTGGGGGCTCAGAATTTACATACGGTTGGGAGATTGTCGAGGTGGAAGTGGCATTCTTTGATTGACTCGCCGTGGTTTCCTTGCGGATTGGACAAGCCGAACAGGCGCTCCTTCAGAAACTCGCTATGTCTTATCAGCTTCCGTGCAAACGGTAGTCATGATACCGATGTGCTTTACTCTTTCTCGTTCCAAAAGGCAAATGTGATATGCTGAAAGCCGTGTGTGTCGCATACACCTGCAATGCCATCCTCACCCCATCGGTAGGCTCGTTTGCGGGATTGGTCGTGCGAAAAATCTATCGAGTTGTGAGCTGGTGCGTCAGTGTGCGCATGAATATTGGGATACCTACGGGACCATGCATCACCGTCGGGAGAATAATCTTCTCGGACTGTGTCGATGTCAGCTATTGCTGACGGAGCGAGGCTAATTCAGCGCACCGGTGGCCCATTGTCTCTCAGCCGTGTAGCAACCCCATTTCTTCCAGTACTTCTCCCGTTTGAAGTCCTGTCTGAGCCTCTTCTCTTCTTCGGTGACAACCTCTTGCTTGTCGACAATGACCATTGTGAGATGACTGAACAAAAGTTGGGGTAAGTATCACCTGTATGCGGGTGGGGCAGAGAGGATGATGGCCGGCAAAGACAGATTGCCCAACAAGAGCAAATAAAATGCAAGGTTGTCGAATAATGTGCAGACACAGATTGTAAGGACTGTTAGACCCGAGGATAAAGGCCCGGCGTCGTGTGGGCTCAAGGAATTGATAGCGGTGTCGTCTTGAGAAATACAGAGGAGAGAATGATCGACAGCGGGACGCGGGAGCTAAGAAAAACCCAATTGAAGATTTCAATCAACGGGGCACTTTCCGCTGACGGAGAACAGCAACTTCGAGCCAGAGAATGAGGTTGAAGGAGCAGTTACGAGGCAGAGATCAGAGGCTGGGGCAGAGGCGCGCGCGCTGGATTTGCCTTTTGCTGGGGAAAGGGCATGTTTTCCACTCTTATCACCGCACGTTCAACGCTGCTGCTGGTGGCGGCAGCTAGGAAACGTGCAGGGATGCAAGCTGCATGGGGGCGATCGAACGAGAACCAGAATTGATCGTTGCCGCTGAGAGGAGTTGCTGTCGAGGCGGCATTGCGGTGCGGCTCTGCTTTGTTCTGTCGACGGCAAAGTGTTGGCCTTCGACGTCGCTACATCCAGTGCCACCCAAGCAGAGTCATTCGCCTGCTTCCAGGCGATCGGCATCTTGATGTTGAGGCTCTCCGCCGTTTGGCTGCTGGGCACGTTTTGACAGCGTTCATCACCTGCGCCGTCTGCGCCGCCTGCGTCATGGTTTTGCAATCGTGAACGGCCGCAGCCCCCATGATTTTGGCTTTCAACTTTCTGCATCGCCGATGGGTCAGCCTCGTCACCTGATCGTCAACCTACCCAGATTTTCGCCCACATAGTCATAGCCTTCACCCGGTCTCCTTCGAAATGACGAGGCAGTCTTTGCAAAGCCTGGCAGCATGTTGAATTGAAGGCGTGTCAATCGATCGAACGCTACTCCGTACGGCCGTGTTGACTCACGTCTTGGTGACTGTCTTGCATATCACGATCGAACCATTTCGTACTGTAACACTCCATCTCAGCGTCCCCTGAAGCTTGCATGGTTCAGGTAATGAAGCCTGGACAATCCACAAAGCACCGAGTGCAGCTTCGTAATGTCGAAAAATTCCTAGAGCATGCCAAAGAGACGAGCATATGCCTTTCCTTTTTTTTTTTCGGCCCTGCTGTCTCTGCACGTTCTGTGGAGTGCAGACTGGAGGAACGAATTGAATCCGAGTACAGCATCAGATACCGAAATTGTGAAAAACAAGACGGAAGGCTTTGATATCAGGTGTTTGTACTTCTAGATCAAACAGCGTCAAATTCCGAGCGTTCTTACGGCATGCCTGGATTCGATATGAACACCTCGAATCAACGCTCTGTTCACAAAGAACGGTGTATCCGAAACCGTTGGTTTTCGAGTTAAGACCACTCTTTGAGAATCATCTCGTTTCCTTGCTTCGTGTTGCCTTTTAAGTATTTGCCATGTGAAACAGACAAGCATGCACACGCACGGTGAAAGTCGATCCTGTGCCGCACAATGGTTTGTGCATTGGTTCATTCAACAACTGCCAAACCTCCATGGCTCGCTGGATCACTCATCACAGTCTAGTGGAAGCACATGTGGCAGCGTTGAATGGGAACTGTCACGGGCTGCATACGTTGCTCAAAGCCGTGAGTGGCGGATCCGAGACTGTATTTGTAGAAGTGCTGAGATCAAACCTCCGCCGGTTCGAATCAAGCAAAGAAAGAAGAGATCGGCATTTCTTCACGTGCACGGCATTGGCTGCTGGTGAGCTTCTGTTTCCCACGGAATGCCTATGGCGGATTGCTTGCTGCTTGTGCGAATGATCAAGCTCAGGGGGATGGCCGACCAAGGCTAATGAGCAGTCACTGGAGATGCAACGAAAGGCGGTTGCACTTACGACTCCGTCAGCGAAGTCTTTCGTAGCTACACGATCTCTCCAGCCACATTATGACTGCTTTGGCGAACTCGTCAGGCAAACGATGCAGCGGACTGGCCGGAGAATAAATCAGACGGACCTGGCGGACCAGCACCAAGCACAGGCCTAGGTTCTTTGCCGGCGCGCTGTTCCTGCATCGTCGTCTGAAGCGCCGCATGCCATGCATTGGAAGTCACGTCAGCCCTGGGCGGGCTTGAACTTGGGTCCACCCGAGCGACAGACACGTTTGTGAGTCGAAGAGGTCGGTCGGCGATCTGGAAGCTGGGGATGAATCGGAAAATGCAAGGCTCTCGCGCTCCTCCAGGTCGCGCCCACAATGCCGGGCGGGGGCGCTGAGAGCCCGCTACGATCGGGCTCGGCGTGGGTCAAGCTCAAAACATATGCAAGGCTGATCATCGCGTTTCTTTCCCGTAGCCCAGGACCTGAAGAGAGCGGATCATATGAATCCGTTCGACATCACCTGGGCCGGACAAACGGGCCAGAGCAGCGGCAACGAACAGGAGCCGGCAAGCGCTCCGTCGACGCATACGAGGTCACGGACTGGGGCGAATCCGAGGCCCGCATAGACACGGCTGGCGACAAGCCTGTGAGCGGCCGCGCTTTTTGTCAGGTAAATTGGTCTCGCACAATAGGTGGATCTTGGTGCGACCGCCGGGACAGAGACCGAGGCCACGGCTGGAGTAAGCCGCGCTTGCGACTAGGCCGATTTCTGGAGCCCACGCCCCTCCACATAGGCCCGACCCATTATTGTCTAAAAGCTACACCATGACTTGCGCCTTACAATCCTCTGTGTCGCGTGCCTGCCCTTGTACAATTGACGACACGCTTTCTGGCGGCCGACCGCTTGCGCATGCGAACGCCCCCGGGAGCTCCAATGCTACCGGCGCATTTAAATTCTCCGTGCTACAAAACCCTGCGCCCCGCCTGGTCGTCCTGCGTAACGAATGACGGAGACACAAAAGAACGCGCCCAAGGGATCCAATGGCACGGCCGCCCGCGTCACGGACTCGGACAGCGTGGAGGCGTCCATGACTACGACGGGAGCTGGTAATAATAGACACAACGGCACGACCAAGTCCACCACCGCACCGCAGAAGCCCGCGTCGACAGCGAACCCTGGCAACAATGGCGACAGCAAGGAGCCTGGCAGCGGTGCAAAGAGCGGCAAGAAGCGTCGGAAGGTCAATCATGGTTCGTAAAGTCATGTTCCCTCGCAGCTGCGCGCTGTAAGCCTCTCGGGAAGTGCGTGGGCTAATCTTGAGTCGATCAGCATGCATCTACTGCAGACGCTCGGTGAGCTCCCAGAGCCTATTGCCTTCAAAATTTCCCCCTTTACCTCCCTCATTCCCTGGTCCCGTACATCGTCTTTGATTGGCAGTTGCGAATTGCAGCGTGCCCAGGTGCCCGTGAGAGCGAAGACGATGGAGACGGTGTTTGCTAACGTTACCTGTGCCTCCGTTCCAGCACATGACCTGCGATCTCGTAAGTTGACTCGCGGCTCTTGCGCATGATGGACGAGCGCAAATGAAAGGCTGACAAAGAGCTCCTCTGCTCGGCGCAGGATCGACCATGTACGCGATGCATCAAGAGAAACATTGGCCATCTGTGCCACGATGAGCCGCGAGAGCCATCCAAGAAGTCGAAGTCGGACCAGACGGCAGGCCCCGAGAACGAGCCTCCGCAGAAGCTCGATCCTACTGGCACAGGTGGATCGCTCAGTCTAGGTAGACAGCAGACGGATGCCGCAGGCCTTGGGTTGAGCCGCCTCGGTCAGAACCAAGGCAACACGGCGTCACTCATGCAGCCCACACCCGTCGCCGCGCAACGAGCCTCTTCCATGGCAGGCAGTAGCCAAACACGTACGTGTTACACCATATGCGAATTTTGTCATGGGCTTATTGGCTTTATACTTACTTTTTGAATTCGCACAGCTTTACTTGGGTTTCAAGACTGGACCTTCAGCTTAGGGTCGCCGCCCCAGACCAATTTCCCGGGAGACATGCACAGCTTCCACCCTCAGTATTCCTTTGGGACGTCCGAAGTGTCGAACGAATACAATCTGCTCAACGACTTTTTGACCAACAGCATGCTGGAAGACGGGGCCATGTACTCTAACGAGGATGCAAACACCCTTTTCCAGCAGGACACCTCTTTTCCAAACACGATACACACGCTCAACAATAACCTCTTCGCCTCAAGCCTTCAACCAAGCCAGTCAAATCAAATGTTGCCTCCGTCTCAGGCTGCGGTAGGAAATGCCATATCTCGACCTACGTCGGGCTTCCCTCTCGACAAAGCCCGCGAAGCCTTCTACATGACTGCAGCTGACCCTGCAGGCAATGATTCCCCAGCCGAACGCCTCAAGAAGCTAATGCGAGCCAAGTACGAAGCTGGCCTGCTTAAGCCATTCAATTATGTCAAAGGATACGCTCGTTTGAGCGAATATATGAGCAAGAACCTGGCGCCGCAATCAAGGAACCGAATAGTGCGTCAGCTTGACAACTTCCGGCCAAAGTTTAGAGAGCGAATGCAGGCACTAACGGATATGCAATTGGTGCTCGTCGAGATTGAATTCGAGAGGCGACTGATGGAGTACGACCGCGTTTTTGCCAGCATGGCGATTCCTGCGTGCTGCTGGAGACGTACGGGTGAGATCTACAGGGGGAACAACGAGATGGCGAAGCTGCTGGGCGTACCGATCGAAATGCTGCGTGACGTAAGTGGATCGGCCCGAATTCACCTGTGGCCTGTTTTACTAATGTTCGCTCACAGGGTAAGATGGCTATTCACGAGATTTTCGCCGAAAACTCGCTCGTCAGCTACTGGGAGAAGTTTGGTGCCATCGCATTTGACTCGTCACAGAAAGCCATACTCACCAGTTGCTCGTTACGAACACGAGATCGCAACGCGCCGGAGCCCGAGCTTAGGTGCTGTTTTTCCTTCACCATTCGTAGAGATACCCATCATGTGTCAGTTCTTCCGCTTTCTGTTACTTGGAGAAGTGCTAATAGATGCTACCAGCCCTTCACTTATCGTTGGCAACTTCTTGCCCATCAAAGCAGCCGATACATAGGCCATTTGCACTCTGGGGAACAGGGTGCTGCGCCAATCATCCAGCATGACTCACTTGGTTACCAAAAGACACAGGAGCCGCTTTGAATCTAGGGGATGAGGGTGCGACGTCAGGGTATGTAGTGTACATAAAAGCGAGCATCACCAGCAAAATGAAGGGACCATTGTAGTTTGGAAGGGTTCGTTAAAAGGCTGTACGCGCCCGACTACACGTCGGTTCATGCGCAATGGTTTTTTGTCATCATTAGTGGGCGGCGCGTTCAGCGAAAATTAGCCAACAATTCAATTTCTGGATCAAACGCTTGCGTCGTCTTCGTCAGCAATCTGGGGCACTGCTGCTCACAGCGAGAAGGAGCGATGATTCAGTCGCGACTTCTCTCTCCTCTCCAGGGGGTTGGTACCTACCTGTCGAGGAGGCTCTTCAGTCCTCGTTATTATCAACGTCTCGAAAGCCTTCTTCTCTCAACCTTTCCCGCTTCTAGGAATCTCACTGGTTGGTCGTTGTACTCGTTGACGGATCGCAGAGCAAAGGTTCATCTACCATGCCACATGCACCGATACAGTCTGTCCTAAACTTCGCAAACGAAATCGAGATCGGTTCGCCTAGCCTGACGCCTGATCTGCGGACCAGAATCTCCTGTCTGCCTGCAGAAAATATCCAGCCGAAGCAACGAGCTGCATTCGAGACTCGAGGAACTGAACTTTGGAATATTGCAACGCGTCACAGTCGCGAGCTTGGCGTCCGCAACGATGCTAGCGATCAAGAGGGCACCAAGAATACACTGCTTCGCGTTTTTGCATTCGGCATGCTTGACACCGCAGCGAGAAGCAGAAACAATCAATCGAAGCGCCTTGAGTCGTGCACGCGCATTCTGAAAGTTGCCTTCAAGACCATGAAGGCATGTCTGCGATCTGGAGAGCTAGATTTGGCAAGCAAAGTGGCTCAGAGCGCGGCTTTCTGGGTAAGCGAAAGTGAGGGGCTGATGCCGGAGGATTTGAAGTTGAAGATGGAGGCGGAATACTACATTTGGCGAGTGGCTCTGGTAGGTGTAACGTCTCGACCTAGCACCGGGACGTTTACTCATGCGGATGTTCAGGCGTGGCAACAAGACAAATTGGATGTCGCCGAGCACATGTACGGGAAGTTTGGGAAAGATGTACGATGCCATCCAGATTCCGCAGAGGACCTCGCAGATACTCTTTATGAGCTCGGAAAAAGCCTGTTCGTCAAATCGCATTACGAACTCGCAGCCACCTGGCTAGAGCGAGCGTTTAATGCAATTGATTCAGTTGACCTTGGTCAGCTCAGCGACGATTCTGGGGAGCTGAGGCTGGCGATACTTCAGTTGCTCGTTAGATCGTTACTGATGATCAAGACCACCGCGGCCATAGATAAAGCTAGACATTTCGTCGGCCTCGTCGAACTTAACTATTCGGACAAGCTTGTAGCAGCGTTGTTGAAGCTCGAAATGCTGTCAGCTGAAACGTCACCGAATGCCGCAGACTACTTCGATATGGTAAACCGGGTGATACGAACAACTATGCTGACGAGGGCGAATTTCAAAACCATCATGCACCACATACATAAGCTCAAAAAGCTTAGTGCCACACTTGCATCGAGGGCCCTTGACAACCTCATCCACAGTCGGCTATTTGACGACGCAAAGGATGATTGGATCGAACGTGCTTGTATGATGCGCATTTGGATAGCCACAACAGTAGAAGATGGGTTGCCGAACTTTTCAGCTCTCAAAGAACTCTTTGACAAGATCCATCATACTAGACTCCGGTCGTTCTCCTCGACAGCCGCGTATGCTGCGCAAACACTGATGTGGTCGAACATTGAGCGCGCATACAACGAGAAAGAATATGACTTGGTTGAGAGGTTTTGTGAACTCGCTTTGCACGAATTGTTTTCGAAGTGCGGGGAGTTAAATCGCGCCAAAGTAGCCAGAAAATGGATACTAAGCACAATTAAAAAAGGTGACAGTAATGTTGCTCGCAAAGTCTATTTTCAGTTACCAGAGACAGCACGCAATGCACCAGAGACAAGGTATCTAATGCATAGAGTTGCTCTAAGAGAAAATGATCCCGCATTCGCTGCAGAATGCCTCAATATCGTTGCTATGCATGCGGACAAAGACTCGACTCGACTTTATGCGTGTGTCCTTGACGCCGTAGAACTTGGTGATGGTCAGCAAGCATATCTTGCTCTAAAGAAGGCCCTTGAGGCTTATGAGAAGGGAGTGACTAATGGTGTCCATCTACCTGCTTTGCTTCGCTGTATGATTAGGACAATTGAGCCAAGCACGAGAAGTTCCGCGGACAATGGTCATGAAATTGAGCAGGCAATCGAGTCCATATGCTCGGTCTTCGAGACTGCTGTTCAATATGCAAAGAAACCGGTGTCGAATAATGCATTCACCGTGGCTGAACTAACTTGGTTTTCGAAGAACTGCTATAATGTCGCGGTGGACCATATGACTCAGATTCATCCTTCTCTTCTACTTCGTCTCTGTTTGGCATGCGACCAACTAATCGAACGACTGACACCTGACGCCCCGTCAGCCGTAAAAAAAGATCTTCGCTTGAGGCACATATTTTGCAAGTACCTCATCGTAACTACTTTCATCATCCTTGCTCGAGGAGAAGACTGCATTGAGCATTCCCTCAATCACTACAACGATACACTAAAACACGCTGCAGTCTTGAGACGAATCATTTGCGAGCATATGGAGGATGATACTCTGAGCGACTCGATAAAAACGAACTTAGTCGCTAAGCACGTTCAAACCATTAAATATGAACTAGAAGCGACACTACGACTGAAGAAGTGGGATGATCTCTCCAAGCTTTTTGAACAGTGTTGGAAGTATGAGGATCCCAAGCAGTGGAGCACACTCGCTGATATCTCTTTTTCCATTCATGCAGAGTTGTGTGAACAAGGACCGGAATTGATGCTCGCGCATCAAAATGATGTTCTGATGTTCATTGAGCGGATTGTGGCTAAGAGTTGGAAGCCTCATGAGCCCATTGAGAAGCTGGCTAAGTACTTAAGATGTTTCTTCCAGCTTACTTTGGGCAAGGAGGACAGTCTAGCAGTGCATTGCATTGACCAGGTTACCAGTATTGCTAACAAATGCAAGATTGTCAGTAGCCGTCCACGAGACTTTGCGGGAATTGCCTAATCCTGATACAGGGAAAAAACCCATATCCACTGGCTGAGCTAGAGTGGATGGCTATCACAGCGTTCAACCATTCTGTGACATGTTACTGCATTAAAGATGATGTGAGCTGCCAGTTGTGGGCCGAAAAGGCGATGATGCTTGCGTCACATGCAGATGATGGCGGAGCTCTCAGCGATGAGCTGCAAAAGAAGTATGCCCAGATGCGGTGGGAAGATTGATGATCGTCTTAAGGCCGCCCACGGTGATACTATGGCACAGGCTTATGACTGTTCATCGCCTCCGGTTAGATGTTTATATCTCCGACAATATCAACTTTTTTTTTCAATTTGGAAGCCAGGCAGGAATGTGTTTGGAGTAAAGAATGAGTTCAGGGAGCTCATCGACGATGCAGTCATGCAATAAACCGGTATGGGCTAATCTGCCCTGAAAACTGCATCCAGTCCGTGGACGGGTTCCTTCCCTTTTCTGCGCCAAACGCCGCCTTCATGCAATCATGATACCTGACCCCACGCAATGCACATTTAGATGTCAATTGTAGACGAGCGGCCGCCGGTCCATCCATCCATAGCGAAGTCCACGCTCACACAAAAATATGCTCCTCACCCATCTCCCTCTCCAGACCCTTCTCCTTCAACCTCTTGTTCCGCGCTTTCAGCTCTCTCTTCTGCCGTTCCCGCATGCTCTTGTCCAATCTGTGGATCTCCTCCGCCGCGACCTTTTCCCACCCTTCCGGCGGATCGTCTTCGAGATCCAGGTCGATCTCGCCCAGGTACGCCACGTTCTCACCGCGGATCAGGTACAGGCCCCGCGCGATCTCGCCCCACAGCTTCCGAGACTCGATCTCGCAGTAGTAGCGCTCTATCGTGTCCATGAGCTGGATGTTCCCTGCGAGGCGGAACGTGTCAGTTGCGAGGCGAGTCGTAGGGGGCGGGACGCGAGGTACTGCAGATGGGAAGTGGCGTGGGCGGGGAGAAGGGGGGGTGAGCCTTACCATATTGGTCCCAGGAGCGGAGGACGCCAAAGAGCTTGCGGCCGTCTCTAAGGGCACATAAGATCTTCTCTGCGTCCTGACCTTAGCATGTCACCCGAATGAAGAAAAGTAGGTTACCCGGGGGGAGGGCCCCAAAGGAGCATACTGTCCGTGAGATCCAGCAGCTGCGCCGCCGTCGTGAACATTTGCGCGGGCAGTCGCGGCACGTCCATTGGCAGGACTTGTTCCTCGTGGGATTCCATATCGAAGCGTATGGACAAGGAGGGGAGAGCGTGAGGCGAGAGCGTGCGCGATTGTGTATTTGTGCTCGTGTGTGTGTTTGTGTGTGCGCGTGAGTGCTTTATAACTGTGAGGTTTCCGCTGGGCACGTTCATGATTCTGCGATATTCAAAGATAACCGCGCTAGCCTTCTTGGGCCAGTCCGCGCACCAACGTTCAGCCTTGTGGTTGAAAGGGACGATTTCAAAAGCGAATTAGCTACCCGTGGTCGATGTCAGTCGATTGAAGCTCACTGTAGTCAACTGCTCTTATTCAAATAATGGTGTTGAAATCTCTTTTCGTCTGCCTCTGCTAGTTACATCTATCGTCTGGGACTGCCTTGTCCCTATTGTTATGAGGCTCTTGCTGTCTGTCCATCCCGCAAAAATCAACCTCACGCCATCGTGGAATACCTATGCCTTTGAACCAATCAATCAGAACTGAACATAACTAGCTTTAAATTCTATTGAGAACGCCTTTTCACACGGCAAGCATTCTTGCTAGCCTCAGTATCATGCCTATCAATTCCGGAAACCCAATCACTTAGAGCAGGAGCGCTGCGGCAATACAGCCAAGAACATTGATACCTGGAGTCTTCATAGCGGCAATAGCACTGGAAGTTGATGTCGAAGTGCCGGAATTTGACTGCGTTCTTGTTGGTGCGCCCAAGTTGCTGCTCGTCGTTATGTTTCCGCAGGCAAAGCTCGGATGACGAGTCGTTGCTGAATCCATATTTGCGGACGAGGCGGTGTTAATCTCAGATGACCATATACTAGTGGTATCCTTGTTCAAAGCATTGGCATGAGTTGCGATGCCCAATGGAGACGACGGTCGATTCAGGGATGAATTGGTATAGAGAGATGGACTCGCGGTTGCGCGGCCACTACTGGAATCGGCCATGGTTAGGTTGGGCGACTGAGTTGCAGTAAGAGAGCTAGAAGGCCTGGTAAAGCTCTGTGAAAAGGCGTCATCTAAACGGAATTAGTTAAATACAGCATATTTACGATGAGATGGTCTCGCACCTTGGGTAGTGTAGACTTTAGCACCAAACCCGTCAAGATCGTCGTCGCTTTCAACCACACGATTTGTATCATCTGCGAGTAGAGAAGACGAAAGAATGGCGGACGTGGCAAGCTGTGGGCGAGAGATCGTCACGACCTTAGTCTTCGTGCTAACTGCTGCACCGCTGCACCCGTTCGAAAGCGAAGCGGTTTGACTTGTAGCTAGCAACGTCGAGCTCGGAAGAACCACGCAGCCGTCAGCAGTATATCCGCAGTTCACTGAGCACTGTTTTCAATTTGCCAACGTTAGCGTCCAAGGACAGGTGCAACTGGAGAGAAAGGGCGCGAATTTACCGCGAAATCGCCCTGGCACGTCAAGAGACGAGACTTCGCCACGCAATCCGGGTCGCTGTCCTTGCACTTGTCGTACTGGCGCATGAACTCGACGTCGCACTTGTCGTCGCAAACGTTGGGACGTGGCTGTGGAGTGCGAGGATCGTGGGCGCCGTTAGGGACATTTTCAGCGAAGGCCACGCCGAAAGATGTTGCAATAACAAGTCCGACGGCGGCTGACGTGAGCTTCATTGCGAGTGGTGTGTTTTTTGAATCTTTATGTAGGATGTGTGCAGACCGATTTCAGTCAGGACAGACGGTGATCTAGCTCCACGGCGAGGTTTTGCTTGATACCTTCACGTGAGCAGGTGTTGGCAGGTGATACGATTGTGGTGGCCCAGGCAACGGATGCTGGCTGATCGCCTTTGACGGCGGCGACCTGACAAGTGATTAAAGTATAAAATGCCAACTGACCTGCTTAAAACGCACAGTGAACGGTGTTATCACTGAAAAATGCTCCAGTATTAAACGTTCCTGCGTCTGCCGGTCATCTGGTTACAAAATCAGTTTTTTTAGCAACGAAGATCGTCACAAGATTCTTTCAAGAGCAGAAGATGTCCCAAATCCTACGTTTCACCTCCAGGGGATATCAATTGGGGGAGGGGAAAGATTTTCAACAAAGAAACTCGGGCTTACATGACACGTACTTAGAGAAATTTTATTCAGGCACATGAAGAAAGTCCTAGAATGATCAGAAAACCATCTGTTCACGGCGTTGGCGGCATCGTAATTTCACCACTGTCATCCATAAGCAAGCTCGTGGTAAGGCCTTTCATCCTTCGTCCAAGTAAATCATCCTCGCTGGCCAAACGAACTAGACTCTTCCTTCGCCGTTCAAGCAAACTTCGTTTTCTTTCTTTATCAGGACTCTTCGAATGTTTCTTTTCCACCCGTCTACTCTCGGCCCCATTGCCCATTTTTTGATCTTTCCTAAGCACAGTCATCTCCAGTGGCCAATCCTCATCCGCAGAACTATCTCCCGTGCGCCTACGTCTGTGGTGCCTTTTGCTTCGTCCACTCACGGGACTGATGGAGGCTTCTCGCTGCAATCGACGCGCCTCACGCTCGTCACCATGTTCGAAGATATCCTGGATCCAGCGGCTGATCTGCCAAATATACTTCCAGCCTTGTGGAAATACGCCTACAAATTGTAGGAATCCATGACTAATACCCGGAATGAGCGTCACTTCTACGTAATCCTCCTCTCTAAATTCATGGTCATCGATGTCCAAGCCCAGGTCTCTACGTTCCTGCAGACGAGTAGCATGTGCTTGACGCAGTCTGCCTGCGAAAATGACTGTGTCATCAACGAGTGGATCGCGTTCGCCCGTGAGGAAGTAGGTCTTCGGAAAGCGCGCCAGAAGGGACTCCGGTGCCAGAAGAGGGCATAATAGGAAGTCGGTAGCAAAGTCAGGTCGGTTGTGGGGACCAACGTACAAGATGACCATTGCACGCATCATTTCCGGAGTAAGGATACGGTCGTTGAAGTAAGAGATCATGGATGACATTGCCAGGCGCGTTTTGAGCTGGCGTGGCTTGGACTTTTCCGCAGTGATGGCGGCTTCCTCTGTTGTTGGTCCCTTGCTTGTTTGGGATTTTGTGTGCTGGTCAATCGAGGGTGTTGAGGACGGCTTGTCGTGAATCACTGTCACGACGCTTCCATTATCTTTGGTGGCCCAGCCGTTTGACTTCTGCAGTGGAGAGGATATGTCATCGATGTCCTCGTCGGAGTGGTAAGGCGTGCTTGGAGTCAGTTTCTTGTAGTCTTCGCTCTTCTGCCTCAGCACGCCTTCGTTAGTTTTGCGCGTTCGTCTATCACGAATTAGGGCCATCTGTTCATCCGTCATCCAAGATCCGATATTCATGTCCAGCGCTGGGTACATTAGAATCAAGCCTTCCGGCGTTGGCAGCTCTTTCTCTCCGAGCCATCTCCGCGATCCAGAGCTACCACTTTGCAGAATCATGATCATGGTGCCTACAGCCAAGTTGCCTCCCGCGCTATCACCCGTGAGTATCACTTTCGGTACTTGGTACCCGCTCATCCCAATACATCGCCCTCGCGACGCTGTTATCGTTCGGTACACATCAAAACACTCGTTCAGCGCGTACGGATAAGGATATTCAGGCGCCTTCTTGTAATTTAAGCTAAGCACAGGCAACCCTGTCTTACCTGCCCATGCCAGCAGTCTGTCATCATGATTCCTAGGGGTCATGGCCACAAAGCCCCCACCTGGTATGTCAAGCACAACCTTCGTCTGATTCTTCAACTCGGAAATGGGTCCGTCAAAATACAACCACGCATCGACAGACTCCTGATATGAGCTTCCCCTCGGTCTCGGTATCCTTATGGCTCGCGGTTTATATCGCATTAGACGTGGCCTCAAAAGACTGTTTAAGAAGCTCAAATACGGCGTCGTCCCTTTATTCCAGCTCACTCTAAGGTGATCGACAGTAAGGACTCCTCGGACTCTCCTGACCTTCTCGTCCGCTTGCTCTGCGACAATCAAATAGTATATACTGAATATCATGCTGCAGATATCACGGAGCCACTTTGGCTTGATATTCATCGCGGTCCAGAAGCCGGCGTCCAGTGCGGTGGTCACCCATGTGGCACGGAAGTAGGCACGATTATACAGATTCGCCAGAGGTTCAGGGGACTCAAGGCCGGTCAGTTTCGCGAAGTTGCGAGACACGTACAGTGTTAGGAGGGTGATGAGGACGGTTCGCCATGCTGTTAGCCGCTTGGACATATATTTTGAGACTCGTCGAATATAGGGCGGACCGTGAGGGTTTCCCCTATGAATGATTAGTTCCTTGAATCTACAGAACATCCAGGAACACATACTTGTAGAAATAGGTTGACCAGAATGCGAGGACGAGCAGCACTTGGTACTTGCGGAACTTGACTGAAGGACGGCCGAGCACATGGTCTGTATACTGTCAATACTGTGCTAACAAGCTCTCCACATGGCGAAGGAGCAAGATCTACCTATCATCGTTTCAGCGAGTAACTGTAGCGTTCTACGCTCTTTGCGCTCGTCACCAGCACTGGATATCACGGGGGCATGGAGGAATGCACTCCGGGAAGTACAAAGATGAATCTACACTTCTCAATTGCCAGCGCCATGTGCGGCAGCACACAGCAAGAATACGTGCACAAGACTAATAAGCGGCTACGGGCGGGGACAAGGGCCTGAAGTGGCATTTCTGCTCAGCCCATGTGATAGCGTCCATCTCTGAGTTCCAACCTCTAGCCGCGAGTGGAAAAACGCAACATCGTACGCGTGACGCAACTGAGCCTTTCACATGCTTGATGGCCAAATGAGGTTTAGCGCCCAGGTGGAACAAGCAACGCCGCCTTGTCTCGACGTTTTGGACCGTCAATCGATGTCGCGTCTCGCGGACGATGGACCGGTTTGGGCGCAAGAGCAACACTTGAATAGCAAGGCTTAGTCCGGAGCGAATGGATGAGGTCTCGGAATGCGGTTGAACACACGGAAGCCCCGTGGTCGCCACCTCCAAGTGTTTGCGTGGTTGTCTCTGCGTCATCACCTCCTCTGCTCCAACATGCGCCAGATTTGACTAAGCATGAAACTGCCAATGCAGCAGCCAACCTTGCTCGTTCGCTCTCGCGCAAGGCTGAGTCCGAAAGCAAGCTCCTTGATCCCTCCATAATCTCAATATGGCGCCGTGCTATATACCGCGTGCGGAAAACCCCGCGCCTCGGAAACCTCACCTCTGCTTCTCATAGTGTTCCAGTGCGAGAGCTGAACGTAAGCGCTCAACTCTATATATCGAGTGTAGAGCCAGAAAATATCCCCAACGAAGCGCGGAAATGGCGACTGCGGAAACGTGCGAGCTCTCGCCTTCGCATCCTCCTAAGCCATCCGCCATTGCCACCTTTAAGCAGCTCCTTCCAGAGATCAAGAAACAGCTGATCCACCTCCGCCACACGCACGATGCCCACGAACCTGAATACTTCCGCGCCGTGTCCATGCTTTCTGATCACGAACTCGCCGACTTCTCCGCCGACGACCTGGTTGCGGTACGCGCGGGCAATGTGGCTTACGGTCTCATTGTGTTCGGAAAGGTGCGCATTCCCGCGAAGGCGAGGATTCCTGGGGCGCAAGGGCAGTATTTCTTTGTGAGGTGGTTTGTGGGAGGCGGAGATGAAGATGGTGACGGAACGGTGGAGAAAGAGGTCAAGTTCCATAGTATATACACAGAGGAGAAGGACGATCCAAACGGAGGAAAGACCTTTAGAGCGATCATGGGGGAAGATGATGTGAGTCATGTGCGAAATCAAGATCTTGAATGTTTCTGTGTGCTTACATTATGAACTAGGAGCTATTCTTCTTCAATGAGTAACCGCTCGATTCCTGAATTCATCATGACCGTAAAGCATCCCTTTCAGTCTCAAATTGAATGCACGTCATGTTCTTCGTTACATTCCCCTTAATGCCACCTCAATGGTAACGCCCATCATATTCATAGGACCTCTTGACGAGGTCCGGAAGTAACAGCCCTCTTTATGATTGGCACTACTCATCATGACGCTATGCCAATCTGCGAGACATTCCCAGCAGAATTCATGTCTGCATAGGGAACATGTCATATGGAAACAACCTCCACCTTTCACGATTGGCCTTCCACATCCACGACCTGGACAGGGCTTCGTGTTTTTCTTCTTCCACTCCTCGGATTTCTCCTCCTCGACCCCGTGTGCCAGCTTCCGCTCGTATTCTGCGCACGTGAGGCCAACATGCCATGGCATTTGGTGATAGAAGCACATTGCAAAATCGCATACCTTGCAATGTATACGCGTGTGCATGTACGGACTTGGTTCATACAGCTGCCCACTCTTGCATGAGCCCGACAGGCACCACCGGAAACCAGGCTCTTTAGAGAGGACCTCGAGCAGGTAGTACTGCTCGTATTTTTCGAAATCTTCCTTTGCGGCAAAGCGTTGAATTTCCGCGTGGGATAAAGTTCTCGCGCAGAAGGGGCAGGACAGCTTATTCCAACCCCTGCTGCCCAGCGTCTCGAGCTGGGTGTGGATCTGATGCTGAATACATGCCTTGCATACGTCCATCGGATGGTCGCACAATAGTTCATCCGAATCTGGAAACGAGAATATGTCTTTCATCCAGCGACCTTCAAAGCCCCGGCAGGCTTGCTTCCAGTGCTCTATGCTTACGATATTGAGCTCATGATAGTCTCCAGCACATATATTACACGTTTTCGGAGTTTCTGACCAGGGCAGGAAGCGGGCCATTAAAGGAACTCTGAAAGGGTACTGATCCATTTGGCAAAAAATCACATTCTTCTCTTTCGGCGCGAGATCAGTCGATTTCGGGCCCCGCCAACGAATGTACAAGTTCCTGGCTAGCTGCTCGTGGAATTGAGTAGCAACTGCTAGCGCATCCCCGGCCCTCGCTATGGTGTGCCAGTTAGTCTCCAAGTCCGCAAATTGACGTTCCCAGCCACTAATCTCATTGCCGAGCTTTTGGATCAGGTTGTTCCGCCTTGCCTCTAGGTCATTCATGACCTCTCTTAGTTCGCTGAGCTCGGCTTGATGTCGAAAATCAGCCTCAAGAATCTGTCTGTTATATTGCACCACTGTCTCTTTTAACTCATCCAAGAGGATATTCTGTTCCCCAATCTTCGCATCGCGCATTCTCAGGGTCCTGCGAAGCTCTCTCAGCTCTTCCTTCTGTTCTTCCAGGTTGTACTTGCGGGACTTGCAAAGGCGATTTAGCCTCGCCACTTCGCTGCGCAATTGGTCGACCTCTCGGCTTCGAGAAGCGACTTTACGCTGTGCTCTGCGTAACTTCCTCGTCGCCCGGACCAAGTCATAGTTCAGGGAGTCAATTTGATCCCGCAGATCAGAGTTGTTCGCAGCTTTAAGGAAGCTAGGTTTATACGTTCGATCTGAGGGCGATTCTGATCCACATTACGTCAGGGGGTCTAATCGAATATCGTTGTAATCTTAGAAACTTGACGATGGCCTTATTACACAAGTGGTGCTGTACCTTCTTCTGTCAGCGTGCTTGTACGTACCAATAGGTCGTCCCATTGAAGCGGCCACCATTAGGCCGGAAAACCTTCCAAGAATTCCCATATCTTGGAATCACAATGCTGGTGCGAAATGTTGTCCTAATTTCCAGAAACAGAATGCGGAGAGAAGTTTACGAGACTGAAATGCAGGGAACCTGTATCACAGAGTTTGATATTGCAGACCTTTCGTTGCGAGATTTGAAAGGATGGGGAGGTGAAATGGGAGCAGACGCACGATGCCCATCACTATCGCAAGGCCGGAGTAGAAGGCAGAAGGTCTTGCAATGCAGCCTTGCTCTCCGCTCTTCGTCCGACTCGGTGAAGAGACAACACAGCACATGGCCGCAAAGTTAGCCGTGTCTCCATAACTAGAGCTTCCTAAACCGGAATAAGATGGCGAGAGTTCCTCCAATACGGTAGTCGTTCTTCTTCAAAAGGCGTAGGGGACAAACTCCGCGTTCAGTCGTTGGCTGACACCACCGGTGAGCCATTATGCGACACTTGCTGATTTGAAAACTTGCAGATCCACCGCTGGGCCAGGGATTACAGGTCATCGCCTTCTTTGTAGTTCTTGATATTAACCGACTGATTCAAGCAGGTTTAGCTAGTAGTTTTAAGGTTCAACTTGGACTGTAGGTCTACGGCTACTGCACGTGACGCTGAAGCGGACGTGCGCCTCCTGCCTGGTAGAGTATTTCTTTGCAACGCGTCCAAAGACTCGAACGAAAGAAAGTTATGCCGTAATTGAAGCTTTGTTGATACTCGTGCGTTTTGCATTCTTCAGGTAATAGCCGCTACCACCTCTAGAGCGACAGGAGGTGTTCTCAGATCCAGTGCCAAACATAGGAGCTTAATTCTAACGTTTGAACTCATCGATCATACGTCTCGTCATATCATCTCTAACCCATTCCTCTATTCTGGCTACAACATCACCGACGAGCTTCTCGTATGTGTCACTGAGGAAGAACAGGCCCGTGTGAGCACTAACCTCGTCGTGGCCGTCCATACAGACACGAACCCATAGTGGGTCACGCTCACCGTTAATCTTCTTTGGCAAGATGCAGAACTTCCGGTCCTTTTTGACCTCCCCTCCTGCCTTCTGTACTGCTGGTAATTTTTGTTTCTCTTCAGTTGGAATCATGGCCAAGTGATCCAACGACATTTGGTTTGAATCACATGTGGAAGGCCCCGATTCACGTAGACTCTCTGTTTCCGCTGTTCCGCCCTTCAATCTTTCAGTTTGTAGCAGTTCTCCTTCTGTAGAATTGGATTTTTTAATGGCTAAAGCCATTTCTTGATCGAGAGCCGGAGAATCTTGACATGCTTTTGTACGCTCCTCTTTATGCTTCGCGATGGCTAGCCTTCTAAGCTTGTCCTCGAGTTCTTTTCGATCTCTAATTGCCTCTTCTCGATCTGCCAGAGCCTGTCTATATGCTCGAAGTTGACGATCATTCTCTTTGCAGATAATTTTTCGAGCTTCTTCGTCCGGGTATGGTGTCAGGTCCACGAGCATTGGTTCTATGGGAGGGGGAGGCAAAGGCGGCAGATTTGGCATTTGAACATGGACACTGGTCGTAGAGGAATCAATTTCAAAGCTTTCTTGATGACCAGAATTGAAAGCTGCAGCTGTAGTGGCCTCTCCGACGGGCGATCTCAAGTCAAGGCCGCCTTTATAAATATCAGAGCTTCCCACGTGCTCTTCTACAGATATACACTGACTGAGGGACAAGGACTGTGAGTTTACAGACTGAGTTGATAGACTACTGCTGTGAAGCGATTGCCCGAGAGGCGTTATAGAGCACAAGTGCGGGTCGCACGGCGACCTAGACCTGGATCTCGATCTAGATCTGGATTTTTCTCTTTTTTTTCGCCCGGTACTAGCAGTGTAGTAGTTGACAAAACGTAACCGGGGCGGATCCTCGCTTTGACCTGCGAGTCTTTTCCGAACGGTGACGTCTTCATCCTCCAATGCACGAATCTTTGTGTATCTCGAACGGAGGGCCGAATAATCGGCCATTGCGCCTCCGAACTCCATATGTGATTTAACAAGCTGTTTGGTGGCCTTGCGTAGGTTGTCTGAATGCTTGTTCACGAAATGCACGGCATTTTGCCAACCTCTTCGAACCGGCAGAATCACATCGTTGGCGAACTTAGGATTGAAATTTGGATCTGTTGGTGGTGAAAAAAGAGTATCCTGGAGACTCGGTCTATTGGAACTCTCAGTGCTTAGGCTATCCGCTGTGATGCTGGACACAGTAGAAAGGGTACTGCCATCAGCATCGTGCAAAGGCTCCGTTGGCTGTGGCGCAGTTTGGAACACACTTCCGAGACCAGTGCCGACAACGCCAGGATGCATTCCCAAGTACGGAACATCGAAGTTGATGTTGCCAATGATGCGATGGCGAAACGTGTGACCTGCAGTGATTGTATCTGCGGGCAAAAGCTCGACTTCGGTAGCAACCAAGCCACCCATTGAATGGCTTAGCAAGATGACATCTGTATCTGCGCTTTCGTGAGGGCTCAACCTTAGTTCCCATGTCAGATGTTTGCTTTTGGCAACTCGAGGCGTCTCGCACTCACCATTTACTGAAGTCTTCTGCAACTTGCTCAATGGTTCTTCGCGACCGATAGCGAGGATAGATCTTTGTGTGAACCACATGACTGTCCGCTAATGTGATGGTTACAAGATTGTGTACATGGGCTGGAAAGCTTCTGAACGACGTCTCTGTTCCCATGAATCTACCGAAAATCAGCTCAGCTCCACCATGATGAATCACAGAAACAGGTTTACCCATGGATATAAATCAACAACAAGGTGCGCTTCTCGACTGTGTAAGGCTCTTGAGGCAGCAATGACTGCGTCGACGACCTTCTTGGATCGTCTGATGATGGGAGAAGAGCGGAAGAGGAGTAGTTGCCTGATTGGGACGTGGTCGTCCTGGGGTGCCGTGGTGGCAGCGGTGGCACGCCAGGAGTCGACGCCATTGTACCTATGTCGCTGGAGGGCTGAGCAGAGAGCAGAAAGATTTTCTGCAAAGCATGCTGAAACACAAGCTGGTCAAAGGTGTACGCGAGGAACCGGCGAAGTGATCAGATCGGGTTGCCAAACACCTGCCAGAGTGCTGTCAAAGAGCAGCGTGTTTGTGCCTCGTTTCTTGTCGCTTGGCGATCTTTTCTGCCACGCAAGAGTGGCGCAGCCCGCGTGGTGACGAGATTCAGCAAGGTCACAACGCTGGACAGCCACTACTCCAACGGCACGCCTTCACGACTCGCTTCTCCGCTCGCGCAGCACTCCACAAGATCAGATGCGATTGCTGGCTCATCTATTCTCGGGCCCGGGGTTCATCTGTTCGGGATTTACGACGGTAAGAGGAGCAACATCGATGATCTCAAAACATTGCCTCCACTAGTTCTAGTAGCTCAGCTTTCTTGTTAGACCTTCCCGGCTCGGTTGCGTACCCTTGGAGCGATCAGAACGGCGTCGACAAGAAAAGCATCACGGCTGCTACCCAAATGCTTTGGCCGCTCTACGGAAGCTACTGAATCCTGCAAGCTCGTACCAAGCGAAAGACAGTGCTCGGTCTTTTGCTCGTTGAATTCTTTCACGATCACCGCATGGGCAACGACGGAAGAGAGCGCAGTGCTGTGTTCAAACAGCCGGCATGCGCAACGTCAACCGTTTCACGAGAATTGACTGAAGCGTCGCTATAGAGTACTTCATTCTCTGTCGCGTGCTTACTGTTCACACTTTTGAGCTTCGAATATCGCTCCAGCACGTTACGATTCAGATGCATGCGCTATCGCTTGAAGACACGCAAGGCAGCTACAGGAGATGGCCAACGCCTCATGGTCTTCCTCTCCGTCCAGGCTCGTACGGCGGAGATGATGAGCTTCCTCATCGACGCAGGGATTGACGCGACCAACTGCAGGCTATAGGGAGACAAGAAGCCTACACCGAGAATTTGCGCGTTCTGATTGGTCGGCCCGGCTGTAAGCGAGTAATTGCATCGTTAAAACATGTGCTGGAATTCTTCTGGAATGCCCTCAATGCTGAATGTGCCTGCAAAACAACCACAAGGTTTCTACGCGTGTGCAACGAGATCAAGAAGGTTATGCGCAGAACAAACTATCAACAATGCGTAGCCAGCCGTCCATGTTGTGGGGGCACCAAAACTTCAAAGGCCTGTGCGGAATCCGCATAGCTGAAGTTGACATGCCCTACGGCTAACTCATTTCTGCACTGATGGCTCGTGCAGTCACGATGGCTCGGCATAGCATGGGTGCAATGATTGAAATGAAGAACGAGGATCTAATGGTAGATCCTATGGGCGGGCTGCCGTTTTCCTAACAGCAACAAAAAGCACGAGCTGCCTTCGTCAAGTCGTCGTTCTGTCCATTCTCTTCTTTGGTGCTCGTCGTTTTGTGAGAAGTTTTATCACTGGCGGGTTCCTACCGCTCTATAGTCCGGCCCGGTTAATCTACCTGGAACCAGGAACGAGCCGAAGCACATCGTTCCCCAGAGCTAGACAGCTCTTGCTAAACAACGATTCGCTCCCCGCGCAAACGGCTGTGTGAATCGAGTTCTGTCCTAGCCATCTGACCCGAGATCGTCGCATAAGCGTTTGCAGGTCTCATGTACACCCGCTAGACTGTGAGTGAGTATTGAAGCGCCTCGGTCAGGAATGTCGACATGCTCACACACTCGCTAGAACCGCGACTACGATACATAATCGCCAGGCCGACATTCGGCTGTCCATTCATTTTCATTTCAAATTAGCTTTCTTGGGACGGGCCGAAGTTCATTCCTCTTAATTCATTTTCTTGAAACAAGAGCGCCTGACCACTCACTTCCTCAAGGCTGTACTTGGTTGCTGGGATCTGCTGTGTGAGGGTCGCTTTCACATGTTTCACTCGACGTCACTTTTAGAGCAGCTTGAGTCTTGGGCTGTCTAATCTTTTAGAAATTTACTTTCTTCCCTTTAACGGTAGCGGCATGATTGCTCCGGCAGATGGCCGGCAGTGGGTGAAGCGGCAAGTACAGGAGCCAGTCCAAGACCATGAGCAATGGGCGACCAGGAGAGCCGAGATTGAAGCTGCAGTCATTGCAAAGCGACAACTCGGCTTCGAGATAACTCTGGGCAACGCGGTTTTTTCGATCGGACTGAACTCCAATGGTCTACCTGCCTTCACCGTCACCGAGGCTGTCTCGCCAACGACGAAAGCCACTACCACCGCCGCCAATACTCCGGTAGACACGAGTGCAGCTGCGCCGGTGCAAACGACTGCTGCAAATACGCCTCAGCAAACAGCAACGACGCCTGTAGAAACTAATACTCCTGTCAACACCGCAACTGGTATGTCAAAGTTTCACATACTCTGTAGAGTGCTAATTTAGCTAGCTAATACCGGCGCTGCTACGGGTACAGCTGCCTTAACTTCTGACTCTTCACACTCTCAAAAAATCTCTGCTGATTCATCCGCTGCTATAGTCAACACGGCGAGCGGTAACACGGTTCTGCCTACAAGCCCTCTAGTAACTTTCGGCACATCGACCGGTACTCTTTCAAGTAATCTCTTATCAGTCTCTTCGAAAACTGGAACCATCACAGGCCAGTACACCACAACCGAGATAATTTTTGCAGGCGGCACCCCTGTGACTTCTGTAATGACTATGGGAGCCACCGCTACACAGCAGGCCTCAAAACATTTATCTCCACCTGCCATTGCAGGAGCCGTTGTGGGTGCTGTCGGCGGTACCGCTGCATTGCTTCTTCTCCTTGTTCTTTGTGTGCGATGGAGACGTCACGTCAGAGACAACAAACGTTTGTCGCGGGGTGGCGAGTCCGTCAGGGCATTACATACGGGCCCTGCGCCAATGATGGCCCATAATTCTGCGAGATTCACGAATATATTCCCCCAAGGCAGGGCTGTGGCAGTGGACGACGACGCTTCTTCATCAAGGATGGCCTTTCTGCCTGCTGGAGCGGCAGGCTTCCTCAACCGCGCTTCTGGCAGCCCTCTGCGCAGCGACTCGCCGTCTCAACAAGTTCAGAATAGTGACGCAGCTCGCCCAATGAGTTTGCAAAACGCTGCAGAACATTCGGCTCCAAAACTACCGGTTCCGCCTTTACCAACTGCAAACACTTCAAAAACGTCGGGCGAAGTACAGTTTTTGGCTGCGGATGCGTCGACTTGGCTTAACAGGAATTCCAACGCCCCTGTGCAGGCTGGTGATACATCTGCATCTCCTATGGGGCCAGTTCTCGCTGTTTCGCACAGTGCGTCTACACGATCGTTACCATCCCAGACTGGAGCGGCACCTAACAATGGAGAGGTGGCATTCTTACCAGCGCAGGCTTCTGTGTTTCTCAATCGCAGTTCAGTGGCGCCGGATCGGTCTACTCAGCCAGGTTCTGATCCAGCAGCAACAGCATCAAATAGTTCAGCGCACTCCCTAGCATTGCCAACCGAGCCCGTACCAGGCAATGGTCAAGTGTCATTCTTGCCTGCGGATGCTTCGGGATTCCTCAACCGCCATTCGAGCGTGCCGACACAGCCCTCTGGCCCAGGTAGTCAAATGGGGTCACTTCCTTCTGCAACGGTAGGGGCAAGTTCCACTCCGTCTGTATCTTCACAAGCGGTTGGCAACGCCGACAACAGCCAGGTGACATACTTGCCTGCAGACGCGTCTGGGTTCTTAAATCGAAACTCTACAATGCCTCCAAACGTCGAGTCGCCTAATGAACAGACTTCTGCGAGCGGAAACGAGCCTACGTTCCAAAAAATCTCTGGATACAAAGTTCCCTCTCAGTTTGATTCCATGGGAGCAATGGGTCCGTCCAGCGTCAGCTTCTCAGGTGCGGCTGCTAGCCTGGCAATTCCCACCCCAGCACACATGATAGAAAGGGATTCAGCGGGAACATCTTCAAATCACTCTATCAACAACAATTCTGAGTGGTTCGGCTCCGATGCTCACGACAGCAGGATCATGCCTGCCGCTGCCGTTGCCGCTGCTGCTGCCATGTCCCGTCCGCCTGTCTCCCCCGAATATCCTAGCTTCGACGGCAGCAAGAACGACAAAAACAACAGCGAAGTCGATAACTATCTCGCTAGTGTCTCGTCGCAGCAAGCTCCCGCTCATCCGTACTCGCAAGACGGACCACAAGAGCACTATTCACCGCCTCAATTCGGCGCATCCTCTGCTCATGCGCCTCCAGACCCGACCTCAGCGCGTACCGTCTCGCACCAGGACTTCGGCTCCCAAACGGCCTACCCATCCGGACCAGCTCACGTGTCCGACGTAGGGGCAGCACCACAGCCTTCTTCGGCGCCGGGACATGAGTACAACGCGGGCTGGGGAGAGCCAGCGACAAGACAGCAGTGGCCGGACGCAGACATTGACGGTCGCAGCTGGTACCAGCCTAATTCGCCGGATATGATGACAAGCGGAAGCGGCGGCCAAGTGATGAGTTGGCCGAAGCCTCCAGATGTCGATTGGGATCGGCCACGGGTGAGGCCGAAGGACGCGTTTTAGAAACGATTGTGTGACTCTACCTTATAGTCGTGCATTAATTGTACATACAGATACCTCTGGCTAATGGATAAAGCTTTAAACCCTCCCCACACCCTTTCCCCCATTTTTTTTTAACTTTTGCAACGAGCACTTTCCTGTCATCCTCATCTCGGCATTTTTGGCTTTGTTTAAGTTTTATATTTTTTTTTTGTCTTTCATCTTGGGAATCCGACCCTGTGCGGTAGGCCGAACGAGCCCTTCGACGTGCGCGTTCTCTCCTTGATTGACGATACGTAAGGCTGACGTTGTTTTTGCATTTCCTCGACTGTGTCTGAAGAGCCCGAGATCGAAGGATATACCTACCTCACCGTCTCTCCTGGGCACACTGCACAGGAAGGTCGACACGAGGGACGGCGTTTTGGATTCGACAAACCCTTTGGACTTGATGTGATTTGATAGTCATCTTCGCACCCGTAACACGAAGAAAAAAAAAGGCTTATCTCAACGACGGTCACAAGTTTTGTCCGGGGTCGAAGATGATAATTGGAGGGTGCCAAAAAGCCTTTTAGAACGAGACAAGGTGGTCTTTTTTGGCGGGATGTAGAGGGGGCCTTCTGCATGGAGCGTGCGTTCTGAGAGCTGGTCTGCTTAGCTCAACTTTTTTTTTCTCGATTTACACAACTTAGCTGTGTTTCATCATGTCACTGATTAAGACTTGGCTTAGTTCATGGTGCATTTTACCCGTAGCGTGATAGTACAGCACTATGCTAAAACGATAAATCTGGGGCAGCTGAACAAGACAGCGGAGCACCTGACCGTGGTTGCACACAGGGGGTCTTGTTGCGATTCCGGAACACGAGTATTCTAGTGGATCTCGACCGGATTGATGGTGAAGACGGTGGTTTGCAATCCGCCCTGGCCTTTTGGCTGACATGTCATTCTCAAGGAGTGACGATGGTCCTAATGATAACTGCATGTTGCCCGAGGCGTGCATACAGCCTTACCACCTGAATACGTGGCATCGACGCCCGACAGTACCGCCACGAGGCTACTGTCAAGCGATGCGTCGATTGTGGCTGGGCGGAAGAAGAGGTGCATAACTTAGGCAGCACTGTCGCCTTTTCAACGACTCAGCCAGAACATGTTCTTGTTCGTCGTCTTTTGAGGCAAGTTTGGCTTTCGCAGCGAAATGACGAGGCGGGACAGATGGCTTTGGGTGACGGCAAGCTCGGCTGCGGAACGGTCCTTCGCGGACCAGAATTCCCACCTCCCATGCTCAATACCACACGTCCAAGGTCAGCGTGTCCAGATGCATCGAGCTGGTGGAACGATGAATCGAATCGATTTCTCGATGGTCATGAGCTTTCGTGGCACCATCGTCAAATGGCCCACCAGTTGGCACGTGCTCCAAGTCGTCATCGTACCTCGAGTATCGTTCGTCGTGACCCCGTTAATACCCACAATAAATGGCACCATTGTGCAGTTGCATTGTTCATCGTACCTGCACGGCGCAGTATCTGGGCACACTTGACGGCGCTTCGAACCGCTGTAGACGCCTGAGCCGTGCTGTGCTGTGTCAGCCCCGCACTCGCCCAGCACACCCATCTGTACTTTTGCAAGAGCAAGTGCGGGTACCAACCAATGGATCTCAAGATTCCGGCGACAATCATTGCCCAAAGAGAGATGTTGTCGCTGAGTTGGTCACTTTCCTCGCCCATCCTTGCTTCTCGTGGTCGACTCGCGGACGATGCTTCGGAGATTTCCAAAGCCAAAACATCAACGAGGTCGAGAACAAGGTCGCGAAGACGGCAGATCAAAGACGGACAGGCGAGCCGCGATTTCTCGAAACAAATGCGGGAGTCGAGGGTTGCCGCATCGTCAGCATCACAGAGCCAAGGCGCATACACGCGAGTAATTCGGGACACTGGGTCGCGGCGAGAAGAGCACCTTCTAGTCCGATGCGCGCAATACAGCCTCCGCGGCTGGCCTGGAGCGCCGGCGGGGCGGTTCGAGACACAGGAATTGAATGCATGGAGAGAGAACGTTCTGGTGACTGTGACGGAAGACGATCCCGGCTGCAGCATCACCAGGTGCGCGAGAGACCGTCACAGAGGCAAAACATCGAGACGTCCAACCCGGACGTGGGCTCTCGAGTGCGGACAGGTTTGACGGACTGGGCCCATGAGGCAGTCATTGGCCCACGGCGCCTCCAAGCGCTGCGGGCCCCCACCACCAAGACATGTGTCGCCCTGAAGGGCAGAAAAAGGTAAGAATGGGCAGCCAACCAGGACAGACTCGAGCGGTTGAGGAGTCCAAGGCTAGATCGCAGTTTGTCCGTTGGCTGGGGACCGGAAGGGTGTGCGTCCGCCTACAAGAGGCGGGTCTGTTCTGTGGAGTGCCAGCGGTGCCGCCTCGAGACATTTTCCACCCAGTCGCAACAGTGGCATGGACGGAAGTGCATTAGCCTCGTGTGCTAAGACGAATCGCCCTCACGAGTGACGACGGGTCTCAGGCCGGCGCTGGGCCAGAAGCAGATACGCCGCCATTTGCTCGATCATCGCCGTGGGTCGAAAGTCTTAAAGAAGCGAGCCTCGCGGCCGGCGGATGCACGACGACGCGCTTTGCTGATTCCAGGAACGAGACTCGCAACCTGTTGGGCGGGCTGGCGAGCGTTTCTTTGCACGCTCTTCCTTTACTTCTCGCGCTCCTGTGCTTCGCGCCTGTTGCGACCGCGATCGCCGGCCCAGAGACGGTGGGCAGCGTCCGATCCTCGGCCCCGACCCAGGAAGCCGTTCCTTCAGCGCCCGCTGTGGTCGGCTCCCTTCTGCCTTGCGAGAGCGTGAGCTGGTGCGTGAGCCGGTGCGTGAGCTGGCGCCGCCGATGCTGGTGCCGGGTGCTGGGTGCTTGTGCTGACTGACGTATTGGCTGTAGCCGCGACCAGCTCGGCCGACGGGCCCCGCTGTCGGAGCCGCGACCTGCGCTGCACCACTGCTGCATTCTGCGCCGCCGCGCTGCTGCTCCCCCCGACTGGGTGCGGGTGGACTCGCGGACGGGACCCGCAGACCGCCTGTCCTGCTGCTGCAACCCGCCATTCCTCATCCATCCCCCATCCCTCCTCCCTCTCTTCCCTCCCCGTCCACCCACGCATTCATTCATTCCCTCATCCTTCCCCTTCTCACTCTGCTCGGCTCGCTTGCTTGGGCCGGAGAGGCGTCCTCCACTGCCGCGGTCTTCGAGATCTCGCTTCGCTTTGCATTCTTGCCATTCTCAGCTCGAACCTACTAGAACACCCTTTTCGGCAGCGTTCGCCACCGACCGCTGCCTTCAGTCGCCGAAGCGTTCGACCTGCTCCAAATGGAAGTCTGATGCTTCCAGCCAACCACGAGAGCCAGAGCGGAGACCCCCATCGTCCGATTTTTATCCCCTTTCCTCATTACCAAAGCTTCTCCAGTGCTTTTTAATCACTCTCGCCATATCAGTCTGCGGAATCTTCATAGCCTCAGCAGCTGTGTGCCGTGACCCAGACACTTGCGCAGCTCAGCGTCACCTTATATTAATGCCACCTTGCTTATCCTTTGGCTGGACCATTGACTTTCGCCACGGCTAAATCAACAAGATTCCCGTCTCCCTTCGCTGAGCAACTCAGCGCCCATACGTCCGGTCCCTTGTTCAGCAGAGGGATCTTTGAACCAACATGGACTCGCCGATACCTCCAGACCCATACCTAGCACTCGGCGTACCCAAGAACGCTGATGGCGACGCGATCAAGAAGGCCTACCGGAAGTTGGCGCTCAAGCTGCATCCTGACAAATGCACAGACGAGTCGCAGAAGGCCGCAAGGACGGACGAATTCACCAAGATCCAGCAGGCGTACGACATACTCGGAGACGATGAAAAACGGCGCAAGTATGACGCCCAGGTACGTTTGGCGGAGCTGCGAAGGCAGAACATGGAGCTGCGCAGTGCCGCAGCCGCATCCCAGCGACCGGATATGAGATACAACGTTCGCATGTCGGCACCACGAGAGACTTCGTACAGCACCAGTCGAACCGCCCCTCCACCGCAGCCAAAGGCTACCTACGAGCAGCCGTCGCCCAGGCCTCGGTACTATGATGACGACTACGATGCCACTCGTGGTTCCACACGAAAAGCAAACTTCATGGACGACTATACCTACGTTAAGCGACCCTCGCCGCGAGAAGAGAAACGCGAAAAGATGCGAGTCCACGTTGAACTTCGCGACGAGGAGCGACGACGCGATGCCAAAAGACGCGATGCAGAAGTTCGCGAATCGAGGTCGTCGAAATACACGCGAGACGAGTACGAGGAAGATCGTCGCAGAAGAGATTACGACGACATGAGGCGGAAGACGGATGCCTACGAGAGCCACAGCAGCTCAACCGAGCGCATCATTGAGGAACGTATGCGAGACGCACAGAGGCACATGGAAAGACAAGCCGCTGCCAGGCCAAGTATTTCCCGACGCGAGTCAACCCGTCAAGTGCCTCCCTACAGAGAACCCGAAGTTCGCCGCTCAGCGGCTCCTCCCAAGGACAAGGATCGCGCACGTGAGACCAGGAGAACTTCGCCCAGCAAGGATGAGAGGCGACGAACGACAGAGCACGCCGACCCGTACGAGAGACGCGTCCCCAACCTTTCGTCCCACTCCTCCGCACCTCCCGTTGTTGAAAGCATGCCGCCACCGCCACCGAGGACCTACAGTTCAACCAATGTCGAGTCGCGGAAGAAGGCCAAGGATCCGTCGCCACCACCAACCTTGTCGAGGTCAAACACGGACACCACGGGGACAGCCTCGGCAGGCTTCTCAGCCGCGTATCACTATGGTGACGAGCGCGCTGCGCCACATATGTCCTACTCAAACGGGCATCGCACGGTCCTACGGGAGCCCACCACGTACGCACGTCGCAGTGAGTCGTCGCCTGTCCAGCCATCAAAAGGTGCCGTCAAGATGAAGGGTCTAGACCCTAAGTCAGTTAAGCGAACGGCATATTCTATCGCACCCGGAGTAGGCGCTATTCCAGTCGTAGAGCCTGCGTCCAAGAGCAGTAGTCGTCCCCGCGTCAGTGAGCGTGATAGAGACTATTCCTATGATCGCTCGCGCCCGCAGTTCTTCGGCGAGTACGGCGCAGGCACTGTTGACCCACGCTACGCTCACCCCTCGCCGGAATTTGACGGTGCGACCTACCACCGCCAACCTTCCCGCCCCCGTGATTTAGAAAGGGCGTCTTATACGCAGCATTCAACTTATGTGTATTGATTTATCCCTTTTATGAGTCGGATTATAACGACCCCCCAATTTCGCATATGAGCGCATCTCTTTACGGCGGAGGATTTTTCCCACCAGAAAAAAAACGTGGCATACATATCTCTCTATGTTGACCACGGCTTGATGACCATAAAATACTTTAGAAAAACACCCATACTTTGTGATTCTTTGTATACCATTCGCTTTTGATTTCCAAGCTCACGATTTTCCTCTGGGTGGCGTTTCAGGGCGGTCCGCTTGCTTCCGGGAGTTTTTGGTGTGGGGAGGAGCCCGTCGAGTACTTCTTGGCATGGCGAGACAAGTATCACTTGGAAGAGCTCGTTCGTCTTGTGGCATATGGGAAGTGGAGAAGTGTTTGTTTCTCTTTGCACGGCATTTGGATTGTATTGGGATTTGGGATCGGGACGGGACAGGAAGCTAAGGATGCGAAGCACATCCCGTCAGGAGCCGTATCCTTTTGGAGAACTCTTACGTCCGGAAGAAACTTTGTATGAAGTAGAATCATGAACCATTGATGGCCTTGGTATGGTGTGGGAACAAAGGCCAAATGGGTCAGCTCGCAGGAGTTTGAACCATCGACACCCGCCATATCCGTATATTCTCATGACGCCTGATGCAGTGCGCGCCTGGGCGATACGTCTTTAATGATGACGAAATAGTAGAACCCTTTTAAATGATTCCCCTTGGCTTCTTTCTCACAGGTCCTCAATTCTTCCGTCTACTACGTACAAGACTCGCCCAACGTCTGACCATCTCCATGGCTGGACAAAACTCAACATGACATATCGACCTCGTTGGAGCTCAAGAGTCCGCAAATCATTGTCAGACCCGTTCCATGCATTGAGGTTCAGGCCAAGTGAACATCCAGGCCATTGACACATGCGTTTCGCGGTTTCCACGGCATCCTTCACATGTCTTTGTGCGAAGGTTTCGCAACACCTACCCACCCACCCACACACACACAGACGTACAGCTTGGAGTGCTCGTGTACGTTTGCCAGCAACAGCAAGCCAAACACCCATCTCCTCGACACTCATCAGCGCGCCGCAAGAATCTTTCCACCGCGCCACCGCAGCATTCCCGGGCGCGCATCCGGCGCCTGAACAAGCAGCGCCAACGCCGCCGTCAAGTCTTCTGCCCCGCCTTCGCGCGGTCTCGAGTTTCAATGCCGCGCGCGGCCGGCTGGTTTCCCGCACGACGCAATCGACGAGGAGGACGTCGGGCACGACTCGAGAGAGAGGCCCGCGGTCGCAGCGTGCGGTCCGTTCCGAAGCCAAACAAACCTCGTCGTTGTCTACGCGGTTCGAACCGAGCGCGTGTCCGCCCTCTCGGCCCCCCCCCCCCCCCCGCCCCCCCCCCCCCCGCGATCCTCGCAGTGGATGTCAACCGCGCTCGAGCTGGCCCGGCGAGGGCGTGCGTCACTGCACAAAAAAAAAGGCACCCTTTTGCGCATGTGGTTGACGGCGCGATGGGGAATCTCATGCTTGCCGGAATTGGGAAGGGAGGGAAGGGGGGGAGGGGCCCGCCATTCTCTTCGAGGGCCTATTCATGGTAGAGCGGCAACAGCCGCTCTCGCTGACGTGAGCCTTGATACAAAGTCGATCTGTAAGTTAAGTTACGGGGTTATCCTCCCAGCGGTCACGTGCCAACCATCCTTCGGAGGTGAAGTTCGACTTGGATGTCGACATTGGGTCGACGCGGCAGGCCCAGGTCACTCCACAACGAACGGGCAAACAGCGTCCCTCCGCGCTCTTCCCTGGGACAGAACCGGTGTTCGTTCGATCGCCCCGCGTCGTCGCTGGGGCCAGCCGACGGTGACCCGATCCACGCTCCGTACAGGTCCACAACAGGTCAATCATAGGGAACCGTCTCCTCGGCGGACGATTTTCTCAGGCCCTCGATGCGGTGAGCAGGAAAAAAAAGAAAAAAAAGCCGCGCAGAGACTGGTCGCGCCTGGACCCGTCTGATCGTACGCCCGGATCGCCGTTTCGCAAGGTAGGGCCTGGCGACGGTCGAAAGCGGCGGTGACGCCATTGACGCGGTCAGGCCTCCGTGGAGGACAGGAGAGTTTCTTGGGATGTGGTTGCGCCCCCCCGGAAATCCGCTCAGGCCGTCTTTCCAGCCAAGGTTGGGCATGAATGACATGTTCGGTGTCGGATGGACTGGTTAGCACCGGTGGCCGTGATGCGCGCGGTTTGCTCTCAGACCGCTTTTGCTGCATGCCCAAAAGTGGAACTGGGCAAAGCCACGAAGAGAGGTCAAAGCAAGCGCGCCGTGCTTGTCACTGTGGGCATGCTCGTTGCATCATATGGGTAGGTTGTAAGATTATCCGCCTCTCGTCGAAAGAAGACGTCGGGAAAAAAGGAGAAGAAGAAAAAAAAGAACACGAAAGCCGAAGGGTTTGACGAATATCTAGAGCCTCTCCGCTACAGATACTGAGCTAGCTACAATCAACATCGCGGTGATTCTACCCTCCGAAAGATCAACTTTCCGAGTAGAGCAAGCCGCCATTCTCGCCTTCGCCCGTGTATTGAATGGTAAGAAGCAGAAGCAGAAGCAGAAGCAGAAAGAACAACCAAAAAGCGGAAACCTCTATGTGGGTGAATCTTGATTACAAAGAGTCTTGTGGTATGCTTCCTCCCCCACCTCCCTTCAAGGAGCTTATGAAGAACAAAGGAAAGAAAAAACATTGGGTGAGCGTGCGAGCGCACGTGGAGGGAGAGGGTTGATATGTAAACGTTTGTCTGTGAGCTTGCAGCGAGGGTATCTGAAGTACGGGTTTGTGCAGGTACAGTGAGGTAACGGAAAACGTTGAGAAAAACAAAAAAAAAAGCCTGATCCTCCAAGCTCTGTCGACTCCGCTCAGAATGTGGAAGATGAAGCGAGATGGCCCAACGGCAAGAAATGCGTGCTGGAGAGACCAAAAAGTAAAAGGTCGCTCACAGTTCCGCCGGGCGCCATTCCGGCCCCGATCGAAAGGGGGAATCATACGTGCTCGGTGTTGTGGTCTCGTCGTCGTGTGTGTGAGTGCGTGTCAAAAAAGTGCGACCGCTGCTAGAACTGTGCGCCAATGTCTATGCAAGATGCTAAAAATGGTTGCGTGTCGGTGGACGGGGTGTACGTGTGTGATGGATGCAAAATCGTTCGCAAGAAAAGGGGTGCGGGGGCGGTGAGAGCAGAAGGTGACGAAAAGAACAAAGAGATGAGAACGAAGAACGCGGTTCAGACAAAGGTGCGTGCCGTCCTTTCTAGCGACGCCTGGCTGGCGATCTGACCGGTGCGGCTTCCTCCTCAGAGCTCTCTTCCTCGGACGACCCCTCGTCCTCCTCGTCATCATCCTCCTCGTCCTCCTCGTCCTCCTCTTCTTCCTCACTGATCTCAATGTGCGAGTCCACCCTTGGATGCTTTCTAGGCGCAGGCCGTGGCCGCCTTACCATAACATAGTCTTGAGCGGGCACTTTTGCAACTGGAGCCGCCGGCGCAGGAGCAGGCGCCACAGGCTGAACTTGGGGTTGCTCCTCCTCGTCCTTGGTCTCCCGTATGGCAAAGATGGAGGGCTGGCGGGCGCTCGACGTGATCGCTCTGGTGCGCGCCGACTCCGAGGCCTTGCCGCTGCCTCTGCTAGCGCCGTCCGACCCCGAGGCGTCTGAATCTGCATCGTTCTCCTCGTCCGAAGTGCCGCCGAGGCGGGCCTCAGCTTGGCGGATCCGCTCCTGGAGCTCTTCGAGCTCCCGCTGCTGCACAAAGATGGACTGGCGCCTGTGCGTGTCGAGGTTAGCTATAGAGCTCTGTTTCCCTGCGCAGGTTCGCGTATCCAATGTCGCAAACATGGTACGAGCAGTATGAAGGGCGGGGCTAACTCACTTTGCCTCGACGTCGTGCACCAGCGAGTCAAGGCCACCGTCCATGTTGAAGAGGTCGTCGAGCTGCGACGAGAATTGTTGCGCCATGACTCTGCAATGTAAAAAAAAATCGCTGGTCAGTCCAAGCTTTCAGAACAAAAATTTGAGCGTTTGTTTTGAGACAGCTCTGGCTCCCTCTCTTTCAAAAAAGGAGACGTTGCGCCTGGGATGGAAGGAGATGGGGGGGAGGATTAAGAGAGTGACTGCTCACGATTGATATCTGCGGTGTCCGCGGCGGAAGGAGGCATTCGTGTCTACGTCCGCCATGTTGGAAGATCCCTTCCTGATCGTTCAGGGAGAGGAAAACTGTATTCTGTATCCTTTGCGGCAGGAGGTGAGGGGCGTGGGCTGGCTTGCACAGCTCCGGTATCGAAGGCAGGCACTACAAGGGAAGGTCTGTAGAGCCGCAAGGGGACCGGAACCAGGCCTGCAGGTGAGCGGTGCAGGTGATGCTGGCGGTGGTGATGAGGGTGGAAAGGCCGACAGATAGCGAAGAGAGAGATAGCCTTGGGGCTGCCCTTCGGGACGGCGGTCAGGTAGACGGTGCGGAGCCTTTATCTGCTCCCACAAGCCCCCCGTTCAGGCAACGCAAACGGACAAGCACACGCCGCGCGCACAGTCGAGACACCAGGCGAGGCGCGAGGATACGGACAGCGGCAAGGCAGACACAGACAAAGACGTGGAAAACGACGAGGTGGTAGGGCAGCGTGATAAAGAAGGAGGGAAGACTTGAGGCGCTTGGTGAACCGGTGACGGGCTTAGAGGATCATGCGACGAGGACAGACGACACCGGGCTGGAAAGGCTGAGGCACAAGGAGACTGAGCAAGTACGGAGGAGAGGGTGTTCAGAGATGTTGGAGGATGTTTTGGGTTTCTCCCTTCAAAGAAGACTGAAAGATCCAGCCGAGCGCTACTGGAATTTGAGCGCCTCTTTTTTTTATTGTAGCGTACAGAGAAAGGCCCAGGGGAAAGGAGTTTGGGAGATTGAAGCTAGATCGACCAACTGGAAATGACCTTGGCTTGAGAAACGGCCAGTCCGGCCAATCGACTTCGGAGATTTGAGTCGACCAGACGGAGGCATGGAGAGTGCCCATGGCCCAATCATGCATGCGACGGCCTGTGTTCGCAGACGTGAGATGCCGTGACGACGGCTCGCTGGTCTGGGAAGACGCTTGCACGCGACGCAGGACGAAATGACAGGCGGCAGCATGGCAAGATTGATGGATGGGGGGCGTGGAGGGAAGAGAGCGAAGAAGGGGAGCAGAGGCAAGGAGAGGAGGCGCTGGCAACATGGGTCGGGCAAGGATCGTGCACGACGGGTATGATTGCGTTACTGCATTGCATGGCATCGGCATGAGCATGAGCATGAGCATGAGCAACAGCATGAGCATGAGCACGGCAAGGACGGGGTCTGTAACTCAGGAACACGCAGCGCTGATGCACCTATCACACATGCGACATCGGTCCACTCGCTTGTTCGTTTGTGCATGCGGTCGGGCAGTCGGTCGGTGAGCTGGGTTAACTTAGGCCAGCAGGCCATGCGTGCGTAAGAGTACTCGGTGCTGCCACGCGAGAAACGGCCGCTTGTAACTTGTGTCTCGCTCTTCTGATCGTCGTCGGAGCGTGTGCAGCCGCTTGCGCCTTTGCTTGGAGCTACAGTTAGATGAGCGATGGACACGCGTCCGAAGCAGAGACGCTGCCACATATATGCCTCCTACAAGGCCATAGACTGTGATGTCGACGGCCTCTACAGACCACTGCTGATCGCTTGAACGACCGCTCCATGGAGGCGCGCCCCCTGGCGATTAGCGTGCGGCGCCTGGTGGAGCTGGTGGCCTTTGCTAGCCCGTGGCCTGGCAGCGGCAGCGGGACTCCGTAGTGGGCGGTGGAGGCAGCCGTAGCAGCAGCGGAGGGAATGGCAGTTCTGGGAGGAAGCACAAGCGAGAATAGCAGTGCAGCGAAGAGAGAGCTGCTGTCCGGCCTCGATGCAGGCCAGTCTCGCGCGGCAGCAACAAGCAGCAAAGGCGAGGGAGCCGCAGCACTTAGCTGCTGTCTGCTCGGGCGTCGCTTGGCTGGGTGAGCGGCCGCTCGCGACGCCTGCAGCCCACCGGGGGAAACGGTCCAACCAGGCCATTGACCACGCTCAACCGCTCACTTTCCTGCACCGCGCTCGTCGTCCGAGAGATGAAAAAAAATTGACTGTGATCAACTCCCCCATCTCCGTTCTTCATCAACCCATCTCCGCCGTCCGCCTCGCCATCGCCAGCATCAAACGCCTCGTCGACTGCGCATCCGTCACGACGTCGCTACCGATGCCTCTGGCTCCATTGCAGCAGAACCGGAACCACGTCGCGTGCGTTGTGACATGAAGCTTTCGCAACACTGGCTCCAGCCTTCCTCGTTAGCTCGCACAGGCAGAGTCCCGCCGTCGCCTCCGCCGCCCGTGCTGCTGCCGCTGCTGGTCGCGACCCGCCCCCGTCGCGACCCACACGCCTGCACGAAACCATCGTCACGAACACCGCCGTCACCACCACCACCACCTCCTCCTCCACACTCATCGACAACGACAACAAAAACATCACTCTCTACCACCGCTCCATCGTCGGTGGGATGAGTTCGGCGTTTACACCGCTCGAGGCCTTGCTACTGTTCCAATACCTGTCAAACTATGGCGTCGCTCCCAATGTCTTCACGAAGATCTCGGACCTACTCACAAACGATGACCAGATCCGCCGCAGCTCCTCGTACGATCCCGCACGCCTCACCCCGGACGCCCTGCGCGACTTCTACCTCAAGCTGTTGAAGGATGAGGCTAGAAGTGAGATGAGCGCTGTCGACGCCCCTGCGGGTTCCGCCGCCGCTGGCACGACGAATGGCGAGGCCTCGCAGTCTGGCTCTAGGAAGCGTAAGGCTCCCAGCCCGAGCTTACCCACCATCCAAGAGGCGAGCAGAGATGCCCATCTGATCCCACAGCTGATACGCAAACTGTACGCGCGCTACCGCGAGCATGCTATCATACAGATCAGGGAGGACGAGCGAAAGTACGAGCGCCTGCGGAAGAACATCAGCGAGATCAAGAGCGGCGCGTGGGACGAGAGACTGCAGCGCGAGATAGAGCGTGGAGACTGGGACCAGCTTCTGCAGCGCAAGGCACATCGACCCGAGAATGGGACCGCTGACGCTTCACTGCCAGAGTCCGTCAATGGCGCCGTGAAGCAGCCTGCCGTGACGGCGCAGGAAAAAGCGTGGAAACGGGAATCGGACGCGCATTTATCTACAACAAAGGCCAGACCCTCGACACCGACTGTCTCCCCGCATCCGGCCCGGCCGCTGTACCAGCAGTCGCAACCGCAACCACCCCCAACATCTTCCCGCTCGGCATCGCAGTCGCCCATGCATCCTACATCTGGCCCCATACAGCAAGCCCAACATGCGCAACCACAACCAACCCTAGCCATCAGCCCACGTCCTCCAGAGTCTCGGGCGTCCGCCAAACCCTCTCAGTCGCCTATGTTGCCACCCCCACCGCCAGCCCAAGCCGGCCAACCATACTCGTCATACCCGTACGCGAACAATGGCCATTCGCAGCAGCTTCCATCCCACACTCCTTACGTGCCTCCGCATGGAACCGCGGCCCAGGGCCAGCAAGGCTCTTCGGTAGCTCAGCTCCAACAACTCGGTCAGCACCCGTCGCCGCATCCACCCTCGCACCAAGGTGTGCATGGCGGCGTGATGCTGCAGCCGTTCGCCGTCGCACCGCAGACGCCCACGGGCTCACGACAACAAAGTCAGATGCCGCCAGCCGCGAGCAACGCAAGACCATCTGCCGCCTCGCAGAGCCAAATGCCACAGCCCTCGGCACACTCGGGCGCCGTTCTGAGCCCTTTTGATATAGCTAAGCTATTAGCTACTCCACTCACATTAAAGAAGCCTCAGTTTGGCCCCAGCGCGCCGTCACCGTCTAAGGACACCCAGTGGAAGTCCGTGGGTGGTCGAGCTGGTCGACCGCCGCGGAGGTCATCACCAGTTCGCCCACAGTCGCGTAGCGTGTCTCCCATTAGCGAACGCGCTACGTCGCCACCACCTGAGGAGGATGCGGCACGAAGATCACGACGCGGAAAGCCAGCGCACGACAACTCCGCTCAGTCACGCAACACCAGGATTAGGCGGGCAAGGGGAGCCAGTACGACGTCGTCGGTGCCTGGCAGCTCTGTCCGAGGCCGGACGCGAAGCCAGTCTGTCTTGTCACATGTAGAGGATATGTCCATGGCGGACGCCGCCTCTGTTACCGGACGCAGAGTCAAACCGGAGCCTTCCACGCCGATGGAGAGTTCTGACTTTGTTCATCCCACCATCGAAGGCACTCCGGGAGGCGGTCAGACGACACGCAGAGGCGCAGCCACCGGAAACAACAAGCGCAAACGCGGTACCCGCGAAGACTCTGACGCCAGCGATGTTCCCCCTGCGCTTCTCCATCCTCGGCAGGACAAGAGCGTGGTGGTTGCCAACAAGAACTTCAGCCGCTTGTCGGCCACCATCATGAACGACATACAGTCCCACAAGCACGCCTCGCTGTTCAGCAACCCGGTGCGTGACCGCGACGCAGAAGGCTACTCTAAGATCATCCGACGTCCTCAAGATCTCAAGTCCATCCGTGCGGGCATAACGGCCGGCAACCGCGCCGTCAATGCTGCAACGGCCTCCGAGTCGTTCGCCTCGTTCACAGCCTCCCAGCCTCATCGAGACGCGGGCGGGATCGTGATGCTTCCCGTGTCTGAGGAGCTCGTACCTCCAAAGGGCATCGTCAACTCGGCGCAGCTAGAAAAGGAAGTCATGCGCATGTTCGCGAATGCGGTGATGTTTAACCCGGGCAACGAGGACGTTGTGCTGGACGCGCGGGAGATGGCCCAGAGCGTCGAGGCCCAGATCACCAAGTTCAGGGAAGTCGAGCGCAGCAGCGTTGCCGCTGCTGGACTCACTTTCTCCGGTATGGTCCCGCCACAATCTGGTCCGTTGTCGGAGAGCGCTGCGACTGGAGGAGGCGATGGATTCGAGGAGCAGGAGGAGATGGAAGAGAGCAGTGTTGGCAAGCGGAGGAAAATCGGGTGAGACATGCACATGAGGATTGCGTGACTCGCCAGCTGGGACGTAGCTTGGCTCAACAAAGCGGAGAAGTTGAAATGATGCACATCGAAGCAGAGCGGCGCGGTGAGACCGGGTTGATACAAGATTCTGTCCAATGTAGACGTTATTGTTGCAGATGTCCCGCCAGACAACCAAATGGTAATACATATGTTGAGGTGATTGTGTTAGAAGCGCACTTCCTTCCATTTCTCCTCTTGCTGTCATCACAGGGCTAGTACTATTGTCTAGACTTGGGTTTGACTTCCGTCCGGCGCGCCAGTTCATACAAAGCCGGCGAACGCGGACGTCAATGACATTTTGCCGAATCCCACATTGGCCGTCCATGATCCTGTGCAGGTACGCTTTGCCGGCAAGCTAATAGAGCGACAAGCTCCTCGAATCACTCCGACCAGGGGCACCCTTTCGGTCAGCGAGGATGACAGCCTTCGTCGCCAGGTTGTCTTTCTCGAGGTTACTTAGCGGTCTAGCCCATGTTGCGGCCGGCCGCGTCGAGAGGTGGATCCGTGCCACCTACGATCCGTCGAAATACGGTTTGTGAAAGGACCGGCTGAGCATTCGAGATCTCTCCTGGGTCCAAGAGCCCTCCGTCCCTCCAGCATGAACCTGCGAAGCAGGCATCTCCCTGAGCGCCGTGTCGACCCACGCTTTGCGACAACGAGTGAAAGGATGGTGAATATTGTCTTTGGCTGCTTTCGCTGACACCGTCACCGCTGAGCCATGAGACGACACGGCCCTCCAACGCGTAACCCCGTGCCAGCCGCGCTAACCTGGCTTTGCCCTTCGCTGCAGGTTCTGGGCCGTCGTCTGCGATTCAAGAAGCGGGTAAAACCGCGGGGTGCTACGGAGGGGAGAACAGCGACGTCCGTCACCGCTCGGCAGGTTCCCCCCTTCAGATCCCCCCCGATCATCATGTCCTGGACCTTGCGTTTCTCGCATGTCTTGAAATATCGCTTCGGGAGACGAGCTCAAGATGCACGTGTTGTACGGGCCAGGAAGTGTGTGGTGGAGGGTCCATTAAATTTCCCGATTCGGACGAACACGCGAAAAGAGTACTCTCCCCGCATATGCGTGGTGTGGGTGAACGCGTCGAGCCACGCTGCGGCCTCACCATCGTTCCCCAAACCACAAACCGCAAAGAGCTTTTTACCTTTTTGTTTTTTTAAATTTCGCAACAAATGCCTACAATTCGGAAACGACGCGCGGTAAGTTCTTCACGATTGGTCATTGCCGCTAGGAAAAACGCGTGTGGGCCTCGGCATCTAACGTCACGTTCTTCCAGCCTGAGGTCGCGCAAGATCCAGAATCCTCCGGCGAAGAGTCACAGTCTCAACCGCGCCCAAATCAGCGGCGAAGGCACTCGTCCACGCCGCCTCCGGATGATGCTGCTGCTGCTGCTTCCGAAGATGCAGGCGATGACGGCTACGGCTCGGACTCAGGCTCGCAACCTAGCGCCATTCAACCGCTGGCTCGCAAGCTGTGCCGATACGCTCTCTCCTGCGAGTACGCTCGACAGCCCATCCGACGACCTGACATAAACGCCAAAGTGTTAAACCCGAGCTCGGGACGTATCTTCAAGCAGGTGTTTCTAGAGGCACAGAACATGCTTCGAGACGTCTTCGGCATGGAGATGGTCGAGCTGCCTGTCAAGGAGAAGGTAACGCTGCAGCAGAAGCGCGCAGCTCAACGACAGGGCAAGGACTTGGGGGCAAGCAACGCGAACTCGAACGCCTGGGTCCTAGCCAGCACGCTGCCTGGAAAGTATCGCACGCCGGATATCGTAGGGCCAACCGCGGCTCCAACGCACGAGCAGGAGGCCGCCTACACGGCACTTTACACGTTCATCGTATCGACGATATACCTAGCCGGTGGCACGATCCCGGAATCTAAGTTGGAACGATACATGAGGCGCATGAATGCAGATCGCAACACGCCGCTAGGACCAACAGATACTGTGCTTAAACGGCTCATAAAAGACCAGTACATTGCCAAGGTGGTAGATCGGAGCAACCCGACCGAAGACAATGTTGAGTACGTTGTTGGACCCAGGGGGAAGATCGAAGTGGGCGAAGAGGGGGTTAGGGGCATGGTAAGAGCGGTGTACGGCAGCGGGACAGCGGACTTGGAAAAGAAATTGGAGAACAGTCTAAGAGTTGGAGGTGCTGCAGAAAGAGATGAGAAGGGAGGGAAAGGCGGTGAGGTGACAAATGGGGCGACAGCTTCGAGTAGGGCAGCTCAGGGGAGGTCGCAGAGGGGACGACGAGCTGAGAATGCGAGACGGGACGAGGAGGAGGACGAGGAAGAAGAGAGCGATGAGGACGACTGACGCTAGCATCAGACCAATCGAATGCTTCAGACAGCATTCTCCATTGGACTACGTATCGATCGTAACACCGACGTCGTACGCGTCAACGGCATGAACACGCGTCGTCGATGAGTCACAAGCGGTCCTTGCTAGAGCGTGGGAACAACTGGTTTCCTGGCGAATGTTGACAGAGAAACATTTTCCAAGACTTCGCTGGGCTAGGGGCCAACAGAACAGGAGATCGACTTCGTCGTCGGGTCGTCGTGCCGCTCGAGAGGAACTGCGGACGCTGGACTACAGAGGGGATTAATAATCCCGTTCAAGGCTCCCCGCTTTTTGCGCGCCAGAACGCGAGACACGGAAACGGGGGCAGGCCGTTCAGAAACACCCGTGAGAGTGCAAAGCGGTACTGTCAAAGCCTAAGCAGCCCTTTTTTTTTTTGCACTGGTAACCCATGTAGCGCATGTGTACGTGTGTGGGGTGCACCAATCGATGAACACGACTGTCGTTCCGCATAATCCAGCGCACCAAACATCATACTGAGATAGCAGTACAACGTCACCGACCTGTTTTCCGCCTTGTGTGCAAACCATGTGCCCAGCGCCTCGCTCGGCTCCATGACTTCAACTGCTCGCAGCGAAACCACGTAGAAAGGCTATGAATAACATGTCGTTCAAATTGTCCTCCCTGCTTAACCCTGCGCCGTCGCCTTCACCTATTTCTCAGCCTTCGCATATCGGCTCTAGCCAGCCTTGGAACGTGTCGACGCCTCACGATCCAAATCCACCTCCCGAGCCGCCTTTGCTTTCCAGCACATCGCAGTCGCCGTCGCCGTCGCCGTCGCATGCTCATATCTCAGGCCACGGCGAGTATGATGGCGCATGGAAGTCTGCGCACGCGCAGGCGCAAGCAACGTCGTCCTCGCATCATGCCGCCTCCGCAACAGGCACGGTCCCTGACTGCGCAACCGACCATTCGTCTGCACCGATGCGACCGCAACAGTCCAAGTCCCCAACGCTGCCTGCCATCGTGGGGCTTCCTAAACCTACAGGCCCGGCGGCGACGCGCAGAGAAAGTTACACGGCACTCCCGCCGTGGCTTCCTGACGGCGCGGTAAATACAACCCTCCCGTTGCCCGCGAACGGGATTGAGCAGCACGACGGCTTCTGGGCGTCCAGTTCGCCTGGGGAGCAACGACGGCAAAGCCTACCCGCATTGCATGCCCTCGTTGGTGCTGGACATGTCGTGGGCGCGGAGGCGAACCGCCAGGCTTCTGGTGAGGGCACGACAGCACCGATCCGCCTTGCTCCACTCCGGGACCGGCGGCGGTTCGGGGCCCACAACTCGACTGGGCACTCCGAGCCCACTAGCGCGCCGCCACAGGGCCGGGATGCGAACGCGTTCCTGGCTCCATCATCATCATCATCATTGTCTTTTTCCTCGTCGACGTCTTTGCACGACAAGTTCGAGACGCCATTTGACTCGTCGCAACCGCATCCCCGCCATCATCGCCCATCATCGCCGACGCTGTCATCGCTACTGCCTCGCTCTCCCACGGGCGCAACAAGAGTGTTGCACGAGATGAGCGGCCAAGCCGAAGGCGAAGCGATCGAGCAGTCGGCGCCAGATCAGATACGTGAGCCAGACGTCGCGGGCACAGACGCCAAAATGACGCACCAGGCTCCGGAGCCTGAGACGACGATCAAGGACGAGCTTGCGGGTGCGTCGATGGACGGCACGCCTGTGAAGGAACGCCGCGCATCCACGCACGGCGAAAGCGAACCGCTGGACGAGGACACTTTGAAGGCGATCGAAGCTGCAAAGAATGACTTTGGACTCAGGGCTGGAAGGCCGAAGGCGCAGCCAAGTATCGAGGAGCCACTGTCAAGCACCACATCGCCTGCCCCTCCTCATGCGGATGGAGATGCGAAGAGCAAGAAGAGGCCGGCGCCGAAAGTTAAGAAGGGCCAGGCGACAGTCAAGAAGCCACCGGCAAAGAAAAGAAAAGTGGACGATGCGTCGTCGACCACTGGACGGCGTTCGTTGTCTCCAGGACGAGCTGTAAAGTCAACCGCCCAGCGGTCGGCTAGCGGTAAAAAGTCTACCTCTAACACCCCGGCTCTGGGCTCCTCGCCCGCACCAGGATCCGTCATTTCGCAAGACGAGTCCGCCGCCTATGCTTCTGACGGCGGCTCTTCGTCCGAAGGCAACGAGAATGAGGTCTTCTGCATCTGCCGCAAGGGTGACAATCACACGTGGATGATTGCATGCGACGGTGGGTGTGAGGACTGGTTCCACGGCAAGTGCGTCAACATTCTCGAGGACGATGGCGAGCTCATCGACAAATACATCTGTCCCAACTGCGAGGAGAAGCTGGGCAAAGTCACCACGTGGTTGCCGGCGTGCAGAAATCGCGGGTGCAGGCGGCCCGCGAGGATACGAGGACGCGACATGAGCAAGTACTGCTCCGACAAGTGTGGGCGGGAGTTCATGCAGGGCGAGCTCAAGCGGAGCGAGGCCGAGAGGAGGAGGAGAGCTGCAAAGGAAGGGAACAGCCCCCGGAATAGAAGAATGAAGGTCTTGCTCGACGATACGGAAAACTCGGACGACGACCTAGGGCCTCGAGGTAGCTCCCTCAAGGCCAGCGAGCTCAAGGCCCTTGTCGAGTCGACGTCTGGCGACGTGGCTGCTTTCCGTAGCCTTGGAGCTGGCGTCCTATCCCCGCCCGCGACAGTCTCTCCAACCACAGAGCGATTCCCGACAACCCTAGCTACGACTCCGGCAGATCTGAACGCATCCGAAAAGGCCAGAATCGAAGCCATCAGCGCAGAAAAGGACGAGCTGCGCCGCAGACGGGCTTTGCTCAAGGACCGCGAGAAGTTCGGGCAGATGATCCGTGAAAACGTAGCACGGTACGCGGAACAGGAGAAAATCAAGCCCAAGGACGTGTGTGGCTACGACAGTCGCCTGACGTGGGGCGAGGAGGAGTTCAGCATGTGGCGCGAAAGCGAGGAGGGCGCCGCGGCTCTCGAGTCAGGCACTTTGCCACTGCCCGAGCCCAAGGACAAGCCTGTCGAGACAAACGGCGTAGACAAGATGGATGTCGATGATCCGCCCGCTGCCCCGTCTGCGACAATGTGCACAAAGAGGCGGTGCGAGCGCCACAGGCTGTGGCAGAAACAGGCTCTTGCCGACGTGAGGTTTGAGGAAAGTACGCTCGCGGACCAGATGCGCGCGCTCGAGGCAGAGGAGAGGGAGATACGGGATGCGGCGGCGCTGAGAGGGCGGATGGAGGCCGGGGGGATGAACGGCGAAGGCATCGTCGAGGTTGTGGGACCTTGATCTCTTTCACGTCGTCGACGGAGCGATATAACATTCGGACTTGGGATGGGACTCACGTATATGAGCAGCACGTCTACGGCTGTCTCCGTGCATAACTAAATACTGTGAAAAACTTGGCAAAATGTGAAATTATCAAATCGGGCAAGTTTTTCTTCGTCTCAACGATTCAAGTTTGTGTATACACACACACACACACACACATCGAACTTCTCTCTACCCTCTGAACACGATTAAGAATTATTGGAATGAGGCGTATTATCTACGTATGCAAACGCCAATATCTGGCTGAAAATAGACGGACCAATCAGCTCACCAGCGGCGATGATCCTTTCGGAAGCGTCACCTTGAAGACAAGCGCCTGATTGTCAAGGTTGTAGCCGGAGCTGTCCGCGTACGGAAACCGTCCGAAGTTCATGAATCCGTTTTGGGTGATGAAGTCGTTGTCCGACAGGGAGAACAGGTAGTACTCGTCCTCGCCCTCGGCCGGCATCAGCGCCAAGGACTCCCACTTCTCGTTCAGCAGCGTCGAGTTTTGGTCGCCGCCGTTGTGCACGCCGAAGCGGTTGAGCTGCGCGTTGATGTTGTAGTCGATGAAGCTGCAGTACTCTGCCGGCGTGATCGACGCGTTCAGGACGCCCTCTGCAGCGCTGTTAGCCGATGTAGTCCAGGCCGGGTGCATTTTGGGGATGGAGGGGCGTGAGGCTTACTCGAAGTAGCGATCTGTCCATCGACCGCGTCGTAGACGCCGACGATGTTGGTTGCCGCGGAAATGTCGAACACGTCTGCGTGGCGATAGATGGAGGTGGAATCGTCCTGGCCGTGGCCGTGGTTCTTGTCGCGCGACAGGATGAGGAACTGCGTGTCTGAGATGTAGTGGATCTCGGACTGGGCGGCGACCAACGTGCTGCCCGAGTCGTTGTACAAGGGCAAAGGCACAACCCACTCCCCAACCAGTCGAGGAGTTGCCGAGACGTCATACTGCACTAAACGTGTGTACCTTCGGTCAGCCTTATGTGTGCCGCCTTCTTGAGAGCAGGCGGATTGGACCAGAGCCCAGATGTTTTTGCCGCTCGGGTCAGCCGTGAAGCCTTCGAAACCTTGGTTGTTTTCTCGTCCCTGGTCAGGATCGTCTGGCTCGATCGTAAAGTCCTGATCATAGATGAACGCGTCATCCGTGGTGAAGGAGATGGAGCCATTTCTTTCCGGAACAATGGCTGGCGGAGGTGCAATTGCTTGCAACATCTTGCCACTGGCGTCGAACTGGTAGATGTACGGACCGTACTCGTCACTGACCTACAATGTAACTTAGCAAACTAGCTCACCGTCGTATAACAGGGGGATTTTTTGTTATATCACTGCAACACGTACCCAAAACGAACCGTCAGACCCAAGATGTAGACCTTCGGCATCAACGGAGATCCGACGCCCGCCTGGACCAGATCCTCCGAAGCCGTCTCCAGTGTAAGTTGCAACTGGCATGATAGGGAAGCCATCGATGGTTTCGTAGTCGAGTTCGTCGGCGTTGAGTCCAGTAGTGGGAACGCCATCTGGGCCAGTCAGAAGCAATGTGTCAACGTACTTGAAGACAAGGTTGGGAGCTGAGGGGTTGTCGACTGTTGCCCCAGGAGCAGGAGTGAAAGTCATTTGGAATTTGTGGACGCGACTCTGGAAGTTGAGCGTGCCTTCGGTATTCCATCCTCTGAGGTCATCCATGAGCAGATATCCGTCAACCTCTTGTGCATTAACTCACCTGTCAGGAAGTGCATAGAGAGTAAATGTATACGAATCGCCCACTTTCGTCCAGGATTTCCTGTCGATGGCGATAGCAGACCCGAATCCTCCAAGAGTGTCGCCGAACGAGTCGCGTGAGTCGCCGGGCAATACACCATAACCCGCCAACTCGTTGTAAATGTACGTCTTGCCATTACAAGACGTTGAGAAGACTGGTGGGACGGAGGACGTACTGGATGAAGGAACGGACCTGGACGGAGAAGCAGAAGAGGTGCTGTATGCCTGGCTAGATGACACGGCCCTTGACGTAACTACAGATCTCGAAGAGCTGGGTATTCCCGCGGGGACGGAAGAGCCATAAGAGATTTTCGACGATTCAGGTGCTGGCGAGCGAGAGATGTATGCCCAGGAACTGGCGCTTCCCGTGTGGGCAGCTGAAACTGAATCACTAGACACAGCGGCAAGAGAGCTCCAATAGGGCTGGACTGAGCTTTTAGATGGCAATTGCTTGCTCGAGTGTGTCTCCGAGGGCTTTCCTGAGTATCCATTGCGGGAGATCGACCCGCTTGAGGGGCCCCATGGGTAAGATTGTGCATTATCAGGATTTACTGAACTCCATGTTGCAGGGACAGTAGCTCCTGGCGAGCTGGAAGGCGTATATTCATCGCCGGACCAGCTTCCCAAAACTGTGGTCCTTATCCTGCAGGCGGCACCGAGAGCACAAGGAGCAAAAGAAAGAGTGGCAAGAAGAGCTTGCGTTGAAGCCTTCATGTTTATAAACGAGAGTATATGGTCAGATATTGGCAGTAATCCACGAGAAGATCATTGCGGCAGAGGCAATCCTACATTAAGTACTACACAGCAATGCCAGACTCTGGGATGAACAAACGCTGAGTCCTCTCGGCATACTCGCTTCCGCAGGGCCTAATCTGACGTGGGCCGCGTATGGTTTCGGCATTTTCTGAACGCGAGATTAGCGTTGTGGTGGTGGAATTCCATCATGAATTCCTTCGAGGAATGGAGATGTAATATGGTTAGAGGTGGTCTAGTTAGCACGAGGTGATGGCTCGACACGTGGTTGGTACAAACAGGGATTTGCTACTGCAACCGCGGAAATGAAATTGCGTGGGGTGTGAACGAAGCGCTGGCTAAATGTGGACTTGCTATGACGAAATGGCCCTTTCAAAGATGTCGGGTTCTATTTTGAGGCACGATTTACACATATACGTGTGTAAGCAAGAATCAGTGCAGAGACAAAGGCTATACACCTTGAGCATTAGCATTATTATCAGATCCACAGGGGACTTTGCCGCTTTTGAATTCCGATGGATAAGATTGTGCTCCAATGGGGAAACAAATGAAAATTAAAACGAAACTAGAAAAGTCCCAGAGACATTCCATGTCATGGGGAAAGCAAAGACTTCCTGGGTAGAAAGTAGGGAAAAACAGCGAACCTCCGTGATATTATTTCTGATTCATATCGTGAGAATTTATCAGACAGAGTCGTCTACAAATTTCCCTGCAACTTTGGAAAAGTCTGTCGATTGCAATGCGGTCAAGTACTGAAGAGTTAATGTATGAAACGACAGCATCTAAGTGGCATTCGATATTGGGAATCCTTACAATCCTAGGTGTAGACAAGCTAGAATGAGTGTTGTAAATTGTCAATTCTGTGCCAACAAGAACACCGGAAGTGGATTGTATTGCAGTCCTCTGGGCGGGAGAAATATTTCAGTGAGCCTGAGCCACAGCGATTCCATGTCTCCGCGAGAACCAAGGATCGACATTTAAGGATATATTAATGCTCAGCAGGATCGCTAATTATAACACAATGCTGCACAATTGACATGCTCGTCACCGTGGAGAGGACGAGCGTCATCGTCATCCCTTTGTGTCCACTTTTCGCCAATGTCGAACATATTTTTCGACGAAAGCATTTTTGACAAAAACAAGCATGCGAAAGCTTGCACTCCTCCAATTTGTTTCCATTCAGCGTGTGTCATACTATATGAATGTTATATGATCTAAGAAAATTTTTTGCCCCTAGGTCTACCGGAGAATGAAGCAGAAGTCTCTCAACCGAGACGATGGACAGCGTACTCTAATAGTGAACGGAACCACGTATACAACGTCTTGAACATTGTCAACCAGCTTGGCGATATGAATTTATTTCACCAAGAGTTCATCCTGTCCATCCCCACCGTTGCTTGACCCACTTCAAGACATATACTAGGGCAAGCAACACTGGAACCTCAATAAGTGGACCTACGGTGGATGCCAATGCTTGTCCACTGTTTGCTCCGTAAACGGCCACTACGACCGCGATGGCCAACTCGAAGTTATTGCTTGCAGCAGTAAAACTCTGAGTACAACTTGTTCGATAACCAAACCCTAGTTTCCAACATAAAAGCACAGTGGATGCAAATATGATGAAAAAGTAGACCACCAGCGGCGCACAGACACGGAGCACCGACGTGATCTGGTTCACGACATGGGCACCTTGAGAGGCAAATAAGACGATGATTGTATAGATCAGACCGATGAGTGATAGAGGACTGATGTATCGGATAAATCGACGTTGGTAATTATCACTTCCGAGCATCGGACGAAGGGTGAATCTTGTGAGGATAGCAGCACCAAGAGGTATACCTAATTAAATGTTAACTCCGCAGGAACATCCGGTAAATTTCAGTTGGTATTCTTACCAAGGAAGACTGCAACACTGGTAGCTACTCTGCTATAGCTCACCACCAAGGAATTATGCGAATGGCTGACCACTTTAATGTAGAACACCGCGAATGGTGCGTACAAAACGATCTGAAGAATCGAGTTAAACGCCACAAGGACGGCACAGTAGTCTGGATCTCCCTTGGCAAGTTCATTCCATATAAGGACCATGGCGATGCAGCGAGCGATGCCCACGAAAATCAAGCCTTCGCGCAAATCCTGGCGATCTGGTAGGAACGCCCATGCAAGCGCGACCATGAACAGAGGGGCGATGATCCAGTTGAGGACGAAAGAGACAGCAATCTGTATCCATATGCCGCGGCTGCTGAGCAGTAGATGTAAAGATTCGTAGCGCACTTTGCATAAGATGGGGTACATCATTACTAGTAAACCAATGGCTGTGTCGAGTCGTCAGTTGTCTCTACGTGAAATTCTGAAGATAGACACCGGATGCTGAGCATAACGTACCAATAGGAATGCTGACTCCCACGAATTCTCCTCTTTGCAGCGACGGGCCAGTAGAAGGAACGAAATTGCCCAGAATGATGCCGATGGCCATGGCCAGGAGAATCCATACCACGAGAAATCTGTCGAGAAGAGAAAGCCCCCTAAGGGGAGGTACTTCGTCCTCGTCTTCTGTCGAAATCACTGGAGACTGGTTCGAATCCTTTTCCAGGTCGACGTTGGGCAGGCTGGCGCCATCATGCGCTGGCTTCAGAACGTCGCCGGAAAACATTTTAGTAAAGAAACCAGAGCTTTTTCTTCCGTTCGCTGTTCGATTTAAGCGTGGTCGCAACTTGGACGGCCGAGCTCGACGATGCTCTTATTTAGCTTTCAAAGCCAGAAAAGACTCTCGTACCGTCAGGGCTGCAGCCAATCATAGCGAAACAGTAGGTCATCGATTCAACTGCAATTTTTCAACTGCGCCATCGAATCATGAACTCATTACGGAGCATGCGCAGAGAAAAAAGAACGTTTGATTCATCACCGCTTACTTGAAAGTACTCTAGAACCACCAGCCCGTCGAATCATGCAGGCTGCGTGCCAGGCCGCCATTAATCACAACGTTCTTTTTTTTGGACGTTCACTGCGAGCGGCGTTGGATATATCAGCAAAACGGTCTTTGCAATGTCTTTTGCAAACCTGCATCAGAGCCTAGACCGATGCATATCTCAAAGTCGAGAGCATCGGCATTTGTGTACGAATCCGCCTCTTTCAAGCTTCGAGCTCGTTCTCAAACATCTTCTCCGTATCTTCTGGTGTTGGTATCCATGAACACAGCCGAAAAGGTGTGTCATTTGAAGCTCATGATTGGCTAGTCCTAGAAGTCATGACCCCCGTGTGCACGGGCCTAGGTATGCACGCGCCATCCACCACCAGCACCCAGGCACTATATTAATTAATAGCATATGCAATAATGGTTTAATCAATATAAAATTATATATAGTATTATAAGTGATTTATATGAGCCTATTGACTAAGTTTCATAATCTTTAAGCCATTGTGGCGGTTTGCGCAAACGTTTTGACTGCCCATCTGCCACCTTCGAAGAATCACCCTTAGTACCATCCACCACCACCACCTCGGGATTATGAAGCTTTTTTGTCACCCGTGATTGCTTTATTAGGCTATTTTCTTGGTGTTAAGCCTGATTAGGTTTAGCCTGCTTAATTTTTGAAGGTGCAACAGGCTTTGAAGATGCATCCTTAGCTATATCCTTCTGGATAGCCTTCTGTAACCTCTGATCAGCAACCATAGCCTTATGTTGAGCACGTAAAATCTCCTGTTCCTCCTTTTTTTGTACTTTAGCAGCCTTCTCTGCTATTTTCTTAGCCTTAATTACCTATTTTTTAACCTCTTGGGATTCATCAAACTCTCGTTTCAGCTGGATATTAGCTTCATCCCATACCATTATATTGCCATGCTCTTTTTTGAATGTAGCATTTGCTACAGGTTTACTGCGCTGTCGCCTCTCTAATTCTGTAATAGCTACTTGTGTATAGTAATCCCTCTTATGCTCAGCAATAGTTAATGCAAACTGGTACTGCTCAAGCACCTCACCTATCCTTTTAGCTATACGATCATCTACCCCCTGCATGGCTGTTTTGAGCTCTCGTTTGACCTGCCTAAAGGCATAAATAGATATACTGGATGAGCCTGAACTAGCAGTGTTTGGCCTAGAAGGTGCTGGATTAATGGTATGGATAATCTTCGAGGCATCCTGAGGCCATAGGCCGGATTTCAGCCAGGCACTTAGGATATTGGCCTCAGTGAATGATTGCAGATAGGCCGGCCAGAAAACCTCATAGAATTCACGTTTTGTGTACCTGTATAGGCCCATCCTATCTGTGATCCATTTATTGAGGGTTCAGCTATAGGCCATTACAAACGGCCTGAACATCCCAATATCCAGTAGCTGCAGCCTATGCGTTGCATGAGGCGGAAACACTGCCAAAATGATCCTATTGTTGAAGCATAGGTCGAAAAACTTGGTAGTTAAGTATGATCTATGGCCATCTAGGATGAGCAATCGATAATCTTCCGGATTATCTAATTTGGCATGTGATATGGTTTTGAAATAGGTTAACCACCGGAGACCTAATTAATTATTGGTCCATCCTGACTCTGATGCAGTAAATGTGATATTATCTATCTCCCAATTTACTGTATGAATCCAAGAATCGTGTACATCTTTAGAGTTGGCTGGATAGATGAGCAAAGGCCTCACCCAACTGCCATCTGCGCAGATGGTGGCTACCATCGTAATCCAGTCTTGATTGCCATCCTCAGCCACCCTAAGGATTTTTCCACTTTTGATCGATGCAGAAGTAAAGATATGCTTATGAGCCTTTAGCTTGCCAATCATCATGCCTTTTTTATCCATATTGTAGATGTTTTTCAGTAGCACATGATATTGATCAACTTTAGCAAAAACCTATATTATATTATTAGGATCATACCATATTAATAAATTAGGTAATAATACTTGGTTAAACTAATTTCCATAATTTTTCACTGAATCAGCCTTCGTTCGGCTAATTTCTATGGCTGCAAGATAGTCGGATGATAGCCGATCGGAATGCTGATGGACAAATTTTTTCGGCCAGTTTCTGCCTACCGGTTTTTTGGCTATTTCATAAGCCAATATTCATATAATTGGATAGGTAGGTGCAAATCCTCGATCGGTGAGCTTATTTATATAGGTTATAAGCTTCTTTTCTTGTGCTTTGGTGAGGTTCTTGTTGATCTGATCATTATACTGCTGTTAAGAAATGGTCACCCCTCTGAACCTTCTGCTTAAAGTAGAACGATTTACATTAAACAACGTTACTGCAGCCTGAATCTGCGTACCTGGATTAGCCTTTAGATAGGCTATTGCATCATCCATAGTGGTGGTTGGATAGATATCTATAATTTGGGTGAGAAATGCACTTCAGAACTTTGCCCGTGCACACCTAGGCCCGTGCACACGAGGGTCCTGACTTCTACAGGCCTCTTGTGCCTTGGCGACGCAAGGATCGCCTCTGCATCGGAACCAAGATCTGTAGCATCATTCGCTAGTTAACATCATATACCTCTTCACCGTTTCCATTGCTGCATCTTTCTGCTCTTTCTTCCTGAAATACTTCTCCAAAAACATTTACTTGGGATAGGACGTTGGGGTGAACGCTAGTTACGGGCCTTGACATTCATGCCGAGGAAAGTCAGTGCTGTGGAATGTTCCTGGGACTTGCAATGCACCTAACTTGGCTCGCCTTCACAGAAAAGTGATATCCCTTCTGCGACCCGTCTTCGCGATAATCAACGCCGTTCGAGAGCTCGTCGCAAAGAACTTATTCTAGAGCTTCAACATCGAGTGCACCAATATGAGCAGAAAGAGCTTCAAGCCACAATCTTCATGCAGGCTGCCGCAAGAAAGGTTGCGCGGGAGAACGATTGCCTACGAAAGCTTCTCATCCAGAAAGGAGTATCGGAGAGCGAGATCAACGCCTTTTTAGTCGAGGAATGTTCTAGCTCAGCAGCGACATCGCCAAACGATGTGCCACTTCCTCGTTCACAAGAATCTCATGTAAAGCCTTGGTCCTATGCTCACAATATGCCTGTTCGGCAGCATATAATCTCGGAAAACGATGATATGGAAAGATGCGAAACCGATTTTCATCAAAAAAGGCCAGAAACCGGTTCACGCATGGCAGGTTTGTCGCACAACTCAGAGCAGATAGACGTGGCCGTTCCGGATTCACCGCTCACAAGTTCAGTGATTGATGAGCAAACAGTGCTCAAAACTCCCCAAGAAATCGCACAAACCAGGGATAACGTCGCTGACGGACAAAGCCAACCTGACTTCTTGACGAATTTTGACAGCGGTCGATGCCGCTCATCCTCAATGCTATCCAGTTATTCGTACCCAGCCAAGTCGACAAAAACACAATACAATTATCAGGAGACAAGGTTAGAAATGTCTTGTGAAACTGCGGCTGGGATCATCGCGGGTATGCGAGGTCATGGCGATATGGCTTTGGCGAGGTCCGAACTGGGCTGTACGACAGAGAGCCATTGCAACGTCAAAACGGTCGACGTGCTACAAGTTATGGAAGCTGATTAATAGTTGATGGACTGATCTCCAAGTCGAAAATTCTCGAGAGAATGAAGCTGTTCAAATCCCCGATTGACCTGGATCGCGAGATTAATATGAACACACGTCAAGCCAGCCTTGCAGAAGAGAAAAAAAAGCTTCACCCGCCAAGCCATGATACGAGAAATGTCCCGTCCCTTATTGTTTTTAACATCTAGAGGCTATCTAGGTTTAATGCCTAAATTCCGTTAAGGTTGGCAATTTCCTTGAAGGCGCACTGAAACCGTACACTTTACGTCAGTAATCTGACCGAATTGTTCAAACTCTTAGAGGAGATATATATGCATGGTTTTACGTTTGGAGGAGCAATAACGCCTCATGTCTTAAACGGATCGCGAATTTCAGTTGACCAAGCACATCAAGTGGAACAAAGTTGCTTGAACTATGTGATATCCAATTAATATATAGAGACCGGTTAGGCATTACTTTCGCACTGGAGGTACAGGTCGAACTTGACAACTAGCGGAGGGGAAATCCGCTAATTTGACTGCCTTCATAGGAGTATACCACTGGAAGTAGCCTTGCTGCGTAAGTCATGCTTAGATGTACTGCAATTCTATATCTTGACTTGCACATTTTTCTCCTCGTTTTGTTTTCTAAATTTTACACATTGAATCCTCACGTGCCTCATGGCCGGACATCTTTCAGGTACCGCTTACGGCCCACATTGTTGATCTAAAGTGTGTTTTTCCAACAGTTAGCAAGAATGGAACATTTTGAGAAAGACGTGGTCAGGATTAATATGAAGTTACACAGTGTTCATCTTAGAATTAGCGTATGGCATCATGCTTTCCAGAGATTTTATAAGAGATTTTGTTATCTTTCATATACCCATTGAAATCAAAGAATCGGGAATGCCTAACATTACCTGCTTCAATCTGTCAGAATGCCTTCGTAGAGATTATTTCCTACGCCCTCAGGGGCTAAGTGCTTTATAATTTCCTTGATGGTGTCTGCCTTTCCGCTTGTCGTACTTGCTGGTCCGGAAGGGCCAGGACCACTGAGAAGCTCGACCGGCCTCCACGTGTCTTGCCCTATGTCACGTATCGCAAATATCGTACCGGATTGATAGCTTTTATCAATAAGTATTGCGAACATCGCGTTCGCTACCTCTTCTTTCGGAACAAGGAGGTCTTTGGACAGATTCAACGTCTTTCTCGCTTCTGGAGTGTACAATCGTGTGCCGGTTGTATTTGAACATAATGAGCTAGCAGCATGCAATCGTAGAAAGGACGATAGCATACCCTGGAGCCACTCCGGCGACACGAATACGGGCTAGCTTTTCCAACGGCGCCGTTCCCCTCATCAAGCTGCTCACCCCATGTTTTGATGCCCGTTTAGAAAGGAGTGATGATGCTCGATCGTTGCCCTGCAATGCTTGAAATGTAGATAATAGCACCGGGCTTTTGAGCCGAACCAGTTCGTGCACAGCGATTCTAGTCGTTTTGATCGGGTGCACCAGGTTTATGTCAAGGATGTTGTACCTAGAATCCTCGTCTGCCTCTTCCTCTTTCCAGAAGGAGAAAGAATCCGTTGGGCTCGAAAACATCGGATCCAGGAAGTGCAACGTTGGGAACAGCACCGAAGGTACGTTTGCACGCTTGAAAGGCTGCTTGGAGCTACCTCCATTTGGTCACATTCGTTCGCTGAAACTCGACTCGAGGCGACGAGGCATCAAATGACTGCTTCCACGCTTCAGCTTCAGGATTGAGGCCGAGGTCAGCAATCACAACATTTCTTCCTGCTTTGTTGAGGATTTCGGCAAAGGCTAAGCAGATGTCTGAGCCTGCACCAGTTATCAAGGCAACTTTTCCCTTAGGATCCATCCTTCAATTTTGTCGTTAAGAGTCTCGTTGCGACGCGAAAACATGCGGCAATTGTTCCTACGTCTCTAATTATTATGGTCTCGTGATTATGATTTGCAGCTCATGCCAATGTCAATTAAAGCGCAGGATGGGGATCTGCATTGTCGAGCAGCGATGTATCTCTCAGCTGCTCAACAACGGCTTCTTGTTAGTATGATGAGAAACTGGCCCGAGACAGCCGTGCCTCTCAATAGGAGAATGGAAAGTCCATCTCCTCACAACACGTCTTCGTTCTGCGGACAGAGAATTCCGTACGTGTAAGAAAAATGCTTGTCTTATAATGCAAGCCTTTTACGAGTTCCCGCAGATAATTTTCCACCACTTGATTATGTTTTGCGGCCTAGTTACGTGTATTGCTCTGAAGTCTTCCCAACAAGCATCCGAGCAAAGGGCATGTTGATTTCCATCGTCGACCTATTTACCATGATCCTTAGCAAGCGCCATTACTACTGTTGTCTTAGAGAGAGGTTTTGCTGAAAATGGTTCAGTTTACACGCAAATTGCTCTCACGGCATTCGCACAAGTAGGGTGGAAGTTCTACCTTATTTTCATTTTGGTGCCACTTTCTGGAGTGCCCATTATGGCATGTGACTTCTCAAAAACCAGGGCCTCACTCTGGAAGAAATCTGAGGACTCTTTGGAGATGATGTTGAGAATGATTTATAGCACAAATATAGTGTTCAGACTATTGAGAGAAAATCCGTTGTGATTCAAGAAGAGCAGGCGGCCTAAGAACGAGATGGTTGAAAACATCGGTTCAAGTTCCATCCTGCACCAAGCGAAAATTTTCACTCTGTCAATATCAAGTTTAGGATGCTTAGCAACTAATCCAAGCCGATAGTCTCAAGAATGGAGAAACTTTATGATGAAATCGCTTTGTCATCGTTTTCATCAAACTCAACAGATTTACTAGTAGTCGCAGTCAGTGCGCAGAGTGGCTGCTTGATTTAGATGTAGTAGCAGCGTAAAGCTGAACAAGGTATTTAGGTGGATAAGGGGAGAATTACAAAACAGCGTCTTCTATGAATGTGCTGCTCCAAAAACATTGTCAAAAGTTTGAATTTTGTACATTTGGGCCTAAGAATATTCCATACAAAGGTACCACCAGCATGCCACCTTTTGACCAATGTTTGGAGCAAACAACGAATTGCGAAACATTTGAAGCGCGTCCCTATTTTTGTTCAGTCCAGATTATCTCTTCATATCAATTTATTTCTTGCAATTTCTGGTACTACATCAAGACAGGAGATAGCGCTTCAAGAATTCAGCCTGTCGACCGGCGTTACGCTCAAAGTTGAATCCCGAATAACCGTCGAAATGGCCTCCAGGTAGAATATGAAGTTCTTTGGGCTCATTTGCTTTTGCAAATGCGGCCAGAGCTAGATCCGTAGGAGTCAAGACATCGTTCTCTGCCACAGTCATGAGCAATGGAGTCGGTGAGATCCTGTGTATCATAGCAGAAGGATCGTAGGCTCTAAAAGCTTCAAGACTGCTCTCGTCAATACTGGAGTTGAGCGTCGTCCTTCAAAGACTCACGATCGAACAGTCACTTCATTTTTCCAATTGGACTTTTTGGCCCATGCGGAGAAGAAGACAAAGCTATCAGGAGTTGGTAAAGCCGACGTGGCTTTTGGATCTTGATCAACGACGGGCACCATAGCAGGCGGCTTTCCTGCCAGCCGATCGAGACGATCTGTCAAGTCAATGATGTTAATCGTATATCCAAAGGTCTACGTCCATACCTTGAGTAAAGAGCTTGTTGGTAAGCTCGGCAATATCAGGTCGAACAAGCCTGTTAAAGTTGTCGTACCCATTTACGCATGGAACCTGACTCAACACAACCTTAACTCGCTTGTCCACTGCTCCTACGTGCAAAACATGACCACCGCTATACGACGATCCCCAAATAGCTATCTTGTCTGCATTGACCTCAGGTTTCGACTGTGCATAAGTAATAGCATCAGAAATGTCAGAAATTTGAATGCTAGGAATGATCTCTTGTCGGACTTGACCAGGACCAGTGTCGCTATCGCCAAATCCCCGATTATCGAACACAAGACACGAAATGGCTAAATTGCTGGTGAAGTAATCAGCGAAGGTGTTCAAATCCATCTCTTTTAAAGCTGAAAATCCATGGGACATGACCAGGCAGGGTAGCGGGCCGCTAGACGACGCTGGCGTGTAAAACCAACCTCTGAGGGTGACTCCATCAGAGGTCTTAAACTCAATGTCAGAATGAGGCATCACGGATGATATGGGTATTGCACCACGGAGACCACAGGGTGAGTACTCAAGATGAGATGAAATACTGTTGTTACTAAATTATTGAGCACAAGAGCTTTCAATCTCCGTCTCCTCATCACGACCTTTCCCGCAAACCTAGGAGTGGTCGGCTTCAAAGATCACGGGGTGTAAGCTAGAAGAACCCGAAAGTACTCCGTACTATGGAAATCTATTTGATCTAGTGCACTTCTGAACATAGAGCTAGGATGTTTGGTCTTTCTAATGCCTAGAGATCTTCTCCGATTGGAGGGTAGGTTCGTTCGCGGGGAAGTTATGGGAAGACGAATGAGGAGTCGGATGTCCGGAGGGTGTAGTTCTACTTCTGGGTTTGCACCAAAATAGCAAAGTGTATTTCGACCCGCAACTCTATCAGGCCGTCCCACGTTACAAGTATTCAAGATGCAGGACAGCTAGAGGACATAGCTTGTTCGAACCTGAGAGGCGGTTCGGTGATTTTACATTCGTGCATCTCATTAACCGACCGTCAAGATGCCGCATGGCCCGAGCGTGTCGCAAAGAGGAGGCCAGGGGCCTCCTCATCTACGCTCTCGGCATGGTAAGTGAATACCCGTGGGCCTGCATTCTTTGCAGAAATCATGGCCAGTGGATGGCTGGGTTGATCGACTCTGGGCTAGCGTCATGAACCGTCTACAGCGTACACTGCAACATGGCAATCAGCATCTTCCATCACGAAGTAGTCAACGTGGAGGAAAGGGTGGTCGAGCAGAGACTGTCAGTCAAATAGGAAACAAGAGCTATCTATAGTCGGCAATTGAAATAGTCAAATACATACGTGTTCAAGACTTGGATCTTCAAAGACACTTTCATTATCTTGGCAATTGCACGGCACCTCTAATATTTTGAACGATTTGAATGCTTATCGTAGCTGTCAGCTTCAATGTCCGCGATTGCTCATCAGGAAAGCTGTGCGGGCAGTTCTACCTGATCAAGTGCCGTCAAGGGTAATCTAGTATGCTCTCGCTGATGATTGAATAAGGGCCAGAGATTTTGGATATGCACTCAAGTCGATCAAGCTACATGAGTCCGATGTTAAATTGGCCTTTCATTTCCTACCTCGGACAAGCGCGTAATTGATTGCCATTAAATAAACACAGATAACGAGAGACTTGTATTCAATCATTATTGGAAAACGACCTCATTCGTTTTAGAATTGCTACCATCATCGATTTGACATTCTCCTTCAGCTCCACCCTAGCATTTGACGGCGAATATTTTAAATGATCCTTTTGGTGAAGTTAGCAAGAGTTTGATGCCTCAAAGGGCAGAGAAAAATAATCATATCAGCGCTTACCAGCCCACTCATTGATATTTATACCAGAAAGATCGTATTCGCTGGCGATTGTCTCTGCAGCTGTGCCATTGTCACAGCATGAGTTATCGCAGCATCCCGATGCGCCGGCTACAGCGTGCTTCTTTGCCTGCCCAGTTCTTGCGGCATCAATGTAGACATTAAGATCGCTCCCCGCGTCGACTATTGTGATATCTGATGCCGTTACACAGAAGCTAGGCGCAATTTCGACTGGATTACTTACCTTTGAACCCCACGTCATTCAACCAGCCTGTATAGTCGTCCTTTGTACTCGCCCCAGCAACACAGCCCACGTACAAGGCGACATTCTCCCGCAGGCCTGGCGGCAATGGCTTGCGAGCTAAAATATCCGAAATAGCGACTCTGCCACCAGGCTTGAGAAGACGCGCAATTTCCGCAAACACTAAAGGTTTTTCATTTTCAGGCACCAAGTTGATCACACAGTTGGATGTTATACAGTCTGCGATGTTGTCATCTAGCGGAATTGAAGTGATCTTTGCCTCGATAAATAACACATTACCAGCATCAGGTAGTTTGCTTTGGTTCTGTCTTGCTCGTTCAAGCATGTCCTCAAATGTTGCTCTGTCAATGCGTGTCCGGTACTTCGCTGACTAGTTCTCACCTTGTTCATGTCAACTCCAATGGCATGACCAGAGGACCCCACCTTTTTGGAAGCAAGAAAGACATCAAACCCTGCACCACTACCGAGATCAATGACGGTTTCGCCCTTGGTACATCAGTAAGTCATGAAATGCGGGATTACATAGAACAAGCACCTCACGGAGACCCGCGATACCGATGGGATTTCCGCAGCTCAGTCCAAGATTGGCATCGGCAGGGATACTGCTAAGCTCTTCTTCGGAGTAACCAAAGGCTTTGGCGATTACGTTACTGTATTCAGACCTCGCACTGCGAGCGACAGACCCATAGTGTTCGTGAACTTGTTTGTAGATAGTGTTGCTATCAGTCATGGTGCTGGGCTTTTATGTCGATTTGAAATGTGGAGAGTTGCTGCAGTCAATTGTTGGTGCGCTCACAACCATCCATTTGAGGACTTATATAGTGCTCAAGCGGAGCGTTCCAGCTAATTGAGAAGTGGCATTTAAACGGAATAGAAGCTGCTATTCATAACTTCGTTTCGGCTTGAACACCACTCGGAATGACTCTGCGAGCATCACTGGGAATGTCACTGAGAGTGTCACTGGGAATGTCACTGAATGTCACTGGGAATGTCACTGGGAATGCGAGATACAGGTGCGAAGCACAAGTCTCCGAAGCCAATCAGCTCATAACACTAGGACTACGGAGCACGTGAGCGCACAAAGCTTATTACATCAACTGCGAAATGTTCATGGGCTGGTGTCATAACAAACGTGTTTACAATCAAAATCCTACATTATTTCTGTAAGTACCCGTAGCAGAACGCCGTTGTCAACTCGACAACCATCTGATATAGCATGGCCATTTCTATACCCGGCTCGCAATTTGAGATCCAGGTCTGCCGCATTGTACCCTTTTCTATTGATCATCGTGATCAACGAAAACGCTGCAGAGCAGAGAGTGGTGTCGGATTGTACAGCATTTGGGCGTTGTGTGAAAGCGTCGTCATCCTTAGTCTCCGTTGTAATGAAATGTTGAGACGCTGGTGGTGAGAATTGCATCGACGTTGCAGAGTCAACGGAGAATCTCGAGAGATCCAAAATGTTGTCGAACGAAAGAAGATCTGATGAGCGATACCATGTTTTTTCCTGGTTGTGTGAGACGTAAGCATTGAAATCCGAGATGTCAGAGCTTAGAATGGCGTCTCTTGTGTTGCCGTCGTTCAGTCCCGGCTGCTCGCTGATAGTTGAGTTCAGCTGTAAACGACTTAGCAGATTCCCATACATATGGGGTCAAGGAACGGACATCGTTCAAAGTTGGCAATGAGTGCGCTGCATTACCGCAGCAGTTATTTCCGTAGAGTTCAATGGAGGAACCGTGGCGATTTGTAATTTTGATCAACTCTGAAGCCATGTCGGATGCTGTCATAAAAGACGCGAGGAATTCATCCCCAAGGCCCATTGAATGTAAAAGCTTCTTAAGCTTATCATTCTCTCTAACAAGCGACTGAATGGCTTCATCTGCAGAATATTGCGCAGACAGAGTCTCGTATTTACGAATCTTTTCCTCCAGCGCAGCGACGTACTCTTTACGCTTTGCACGTGAACGTCTCTGATTGTTGCGAATACGTTCAAGGTCCATTTCCTATCAATTGTTAAGTCTTTCGGCATATAATAGCAACCCTCGAGCAAAAAGACCTTGGTTTTGACGCATCGTTTGGTACTCTTCTTCCCTGTAGTGCGCATCATTACCATCCTATGATGAAAATCGTAATATATCTCAAATTAGACAATGTAAATCATAACTACCATCGCACGTCCTGCAGCGATTTTGCCAGGATTTGGCCGAGAGTTGTGAAGGTTCTGAGGTTGAGCGAGCACAAGATCCGACACCATTTCTTCTCATTGTCATATAACTAGTTTTGGAATGTAGAGGCATGTGACTTTTTGCTGACGAATTGACGTTCAATCTTTGTAAAGAAGACGATAAGCAATATTATAAAGATTAGAACATATGCTAAATGAAATCACATATGAGAGTCTAAACCTGAGAGCCACGAGGTTTCGGAAAGCTCTAGAGAGTTCCTCTTTACCATTTATTTTCTCCACTAATTATAATAAATCAATCTGCTGCAAGGAGAAGAACGACTCGCTCGTTACGCTTTGAATATTTCAATTGTCGCTCGGCAAAACAGCCCGCTTTTCCAGGACTTTTTCTTTTCCCCATAGTTTTGGTCCCTTCAATTTCTGTTCTTCGTTTTCCTTCGCCTTAGTTTTGGTGTCATTCAATCATTATGTAGTATCCAAGAGCGCCAAGGCAGTCAGTCCACCAGCTCGATTTGATCTCCCAGAAGCTCAATGTTTAAGGGAAAACTCAAGACATTGATCTTTCTCTCCCCTCTGCTTGACGCTTCTTCGAAATCTGTCCAAGTTTAGACAAGCACGAGAGAGTAGAGCAGGAAATCACGCGCTGGACAGAATTTGAAACATGATATATTCATAGACACACTATTCCCCATCAACAAATGGGTTGTATAGTGTAGCGGTTAGCACATCGGATTCTGATTCCTGATCGGATTAGAAATTTCCGGTAACCCCGGTTCGATTCCGGGTACGACCTTCCAACAACAGCCTTTCTTTTTGTCACTTTTTATTGTTTCACCTTGCGATTTCGTTTTCAAGATTCATTTTTAATCTTAGAGAGTTTGTGCGTAGCTCTGCTGATATTGCTGCGCTTGCTATCGTATTGACTTCCATCATAGTGTCTGACGGCACGTTCTCACTAAAAGGTACTTCGGAGTATCAATATGGTTTCTACGTCGAAGTCATGCCGAGCTCAACATTCTTTTGGCGTTCTTTTCTCCAATCTTTATTCTCGATTTGTGTGCATTTGTAAGAGTGCTCTCTCCCATCCTCTCCCTCGTGCTAGTCTAGTCTCAACCTTGTAAAATCTTATGCCATCAACCTTGGCCATCAAATATGTGATCATGTAACAACGGTGAGAGGCAGTCTCCGCAGGTGGTCGAACGACCAGCACCGTCTAACACTACCTCTTATCACTCGATTTTGTTCGTGCGTCGTCTGTAACTACGCTAAGCCCATGCTCCAAAGTTTATGTGCACGAGTGTTGTACGGTGCATCTGTGCGCAGACTAAGATTATGCCATGCGTAGCGAGGTCATAGCATGCATTTACTTTGTATATGCATATATTTGCTTAGGTTAGCAGTCAAATGTGAGATAGAATAGATGAACATCGGATGAAATTCAAGCAACTTGAGTGTCTCATTTTCTCTTGGGCTATCTCGACAATCTGCGGAAAATTTTCCGTCTCGTCTATAGCTACCAGTGCCGTACTCGTTGCAAACACGGTTTGCAGCTATAATTCTATTGCGGAAGGCGGTGGAAGACTATCGTCACCGTGTTGCTACGATCTCTAAAAAGGAAAAAGCAGGACTTTTATCATCACGATTTGCGTAGAAACCTCACGATGCTCAGTCCGTCCCTGTCTTTCACAGAAAGATCTCGAGATTAACTTCCAAGGCGCTGACTACGAACGGCAGCTCAAAATTCTTCATAACGACAGCTAAAATCCAATGGTTACTCTACGCGTTGGACCCATAGATGATGCTTGCGCGGAAAGACTTACGATGAAGAATGCCGAGCTGACCCACAATGTGCTCCTTGCCATTCATCTTGACATGGATCGAGGCCGCATGGCCGTGGAAATAAGTCGGATCCTCGAGCTGTTCAATCCAGTATATCTGGTGATGTGAATTTGCTGCAGGACTCTCTTTGAACTTGAAGTCCAACATGGCCATGATTCGATCCTGGTTTCACAATCAGCCCTCCCGCCTTCAACGTTGAGTCTACAGCTTTATAAATGTTCGACATACCATCAAGCCGTGTACAACTTCAAAGCCAGACGTCTTTCCATAATACACTGCAGCGAAATGTCTCTCATTCCGCGTCTTTCTCTCTCGATCTGGAGCTTTAAGTCCAACATCGCTAACCTCAAAGACCTTCAAAGGTACAGGTCTATGTTTATTCTCGCGAAGCGTCTTTAGCAGGCCTGGTAACAAGCTTGTTCTCACTACTTGGTACTCCATGCTTTTAGGGTTCGCAAGCGTGATCGCCGTTGTTCCATCATCTTTTCGGTTCAGCCACGCAAAGTTTTCATCGTGCGAGCACAGAATCAGCGGCAAGGCTTCGGTCCAACCAGCATACGCACACTCGTTCCGCACAATGTCAGCCAGTTTGTTGATTGGAAGGGGAGCAGCCACAAAAGCAGACTTGTTGGGGTAGTATCGTGGAAGGGAGTTGAACCCATAGGCCACTGCAAAATCCTCCATGATGTCGGCTTCGTGGAGGATATCTGCTCGTGTTGGCGGAACCTTCACGACAAGTTGGTCGGGATCCTTAGGCGAGGGGCTGGCATCGAGACACATGCGTCGGAGCGCCTTGCATTGTTGTTCGGGGGTAAAGGAGAGTCCTGTGCAAGAATTCAGGTATGAAACGCTAGCGTTGAAGAGCGTTGGAGTGAAATCTGGGGTGATTCGCGATTCACCATTGTGCGGGCTAACGATCTTAACAGGTTCAACAACGAATTCTGGTTCTGTGTACATGGAAAACATTGTCGTAATGATGTTGTTGACGATAGCTACTTTGGTCTTGTCCGTTGCTGTTATTCTGGATGGAATTAGCATCGCGTATGCAATATTTCGTATGGTCAAGAACCTACTCGATAAAGATGTTACGTGTGTTTAGGGTAATCTTACTATGCTCTCCATTAATGATGGGCGGCAAGCTAAGAACGTGCTTTTCCTTAGAAGAGTCACGAATGATGGGTAAAAGAGGCTGGTCTGCACTAGGTTTGTCGCGGATTATGTGCAGGTACTTCCCCAGGTGACGATCTTTCTCGTAGAATTCCATGAACTCAGTGCCCTTGATCGATCTTGTCTGATTCAAAGGGACGAATTCGATCTGAGAAGGTGGGTCGGCCCGGTATTCGAAAGGGCCCTGAATAGTGTCCAGATCATGGGTTCCTATGCTGACCAAGGTCCGTTGGCGAGCAAGATTGGCGTGAAGCTTGTCCTGCAAAGCGATGAAATCATCATATGATTCCTGTGTGAAGCGTATGTTGCGTAGAATTGCACATGCGATCAGCGGCCGCACTTTCGCTGTTGATTCATCCACAATCATCACTTGCATCTTGGTCTCCGGTATGTCTGCCAGTCTGAACTTGGGAAAATCTTCAAGACCATCGAACACGCGTAGGGCGAGCGCGATTCCCTGAGGACAAACTAGGTCATATCTGTTTGCTCCAACTTCAATCTTTAATACCTCCTTCCCGTCTTCGACAGTCTTGGACATCTTAGCAGTGCAGTTCGCTGGTTTCGGAAGGAAACGCTACTTACTACTTCGTCTAGCTCGATGCCGAAATTGAAACACTAAGAAAAGTCGGTATTAGCCTGCTGAAGTTCTTCTGAGTAGCCGGAGAACAATTCAAGAGCCGTTATCATGCTTGGAAGACGTAGTATATGTGGTATCATGAAGCATGATAACAGCGTCACTGTTGACAAATTTGAAAAATGCTCACTAGTGATAGACATCAGCACTGAAATAGAGGGCATCACAGCTCACGACCCATACCTAAGGCTTCAAAATCCTCTATCGTGTATTTTTCATCTTTCTCCAGAGCATTCCACAAGAATTTTTTCGAAACACTGATGGTCGGCATTTTGGAGTCGTCTCGCGCACCGTCTCAAAATTCAGGTGACAAGAGTCAGTGACGCGGAGTTCGACCTGCGTGCACAGTCAAGAGTTGCGACGGGTGAAATGCGGAACGTGGGGTATCTACTGTTTTTTCTTTCCAAGAGTGCCGCTGTCTCGGACGCAATGTTCGAATTTCGCCAGACCGATGCGAGATGAATCACTCGTCCGCCACGAAGTTTGATATGAGGCGGTGCGGAGTGTGGCTAATGGCTTTGATGGCAGCCCTGGCGGACCACTAGCCCACTTTCATTGCTTTGACATATGACGACCAAACAATACACATATTCGCCAGCCAAAGTCGAAAGCCTGCACGTTCAAATATACCACCGTGCCCCTCACAGAAATAGCCCTTACACCTCCTCGCGTACGGCACACGGAGTGCTGTATGGTCTCGATCACAAAGGGAGCGACAGAAGGGCCTCAGGAAGAATCGAAGCCTTCTGTCTCCTTGGTAAACGCTAGCTACCTCACCAATCCAGCCCACCTTCGAACCACTGTTCTCTACAACTTGACCACTCTTGTCACGGAGCAGCGTCCAATATAACGTCGAAAATAGAATTTCTCGGCAGGATACACCCAGCATGGATGCGAATGCGAACGATGAGCTGTATCCTATAGCCGTGTTGATTGATGAGCTCAAGGTGAGAGCTACGCCGCACTAGCTAGAAGCATGCGACGCTCACGCACAATGTGACTGACCGAACTGACACGGACGCAGCACGACGATGTCATACTCCGACTCAATGCTATCCACAGGCTCTCGACAATTGCGCTTGCGCTAGGGCCGGAGCGCACACGAGACGAATTGATACCGTTCTTAGATGGTATTTAATGCGGACTGCGACAATAAAAATGGGAGTGCAGCTGACTATTCGTTGCAGAGTCGGTCGAAGATGAAGATGAAGTCCTTACAGCGCTTAGCGAAGAGCTTGGCAATTTTGTCGAGTACGTCGGTGGCCCGGAATATGGCCATGTACTCCTTTCGCCGCTAGAAAATCTCGCTGCGATCGAAGAACCCCTCGTACGAGACAAGGTCCGCATTTTCCGCTGCACGCAATCGCACTCAGCATTGCTGACTCCGATATTAGGCCGTCGAATCTCTGAACAAGATCTGCGTCGAGCTCTCGCAGGAGCAAATCGAACGACATTTCATCCCGCTCGTCATTCGCCTCTCAAAAGCAGACTGGTTTACCTCAAAGGTATCCGCAACGGGTCTCTACTGCGTTCCTTACTCGAGAGCCACACCACCCGTGCAAGAAGGGCTGCGCGAACACTTCCGTTTGCTTGTGCACGATGATACTCCCATGGTACGCCGACAAGCCGCCACCAACTTGGCAAAGTTTGTAAAGGAGATGCCTGCTTCGATTGTGATCGAGGAGATGATTCCTTTGTTCAGACACTTGGCTGGAGACGATCAGGATAGCGTGCGTTTGCTTACTGTAGAAGTCCTAATCGCCATTGCAGAGGTTGTTCCGAAGGAGCAGCAGTCGAGTCATGGTGTCTTGCTTACTGCGCTTAGAAGTCTATTCGAGGATAAGAGTTGGAGAGTTAGATACATGGTCGCCGATCGCTTCGAGAAGATTGCAAAGGCAGTCGATGAGGAGGTTGTGAGTCGAGATTTAGTCCCGGCTTTCGTGAAACTACTCAAGGACAACGAGGCTGAAGTTCGGAGCGCAATCGCTGGTCAGATTCCGGGATTTTGCCAGTTGTTGGATCGTGAGACACTGCTGCACGATGTTATGCCCGCAATTGAAGAGCTAGTCACGGATTCATCGCAACACGTGCGCGCTGCTCTCGGCATGCAAATCAGCGGTCTTGCGCCGATTTTAGGCAAGGACGAGTATGCGTTGCTTCCTTTCACGACCTCAGAACGTGCAACTAACTTCAAATTAGAACAATACACCATCTCTTACCCATGTTTCTCAACATGCTTAAGGACGACTTCCCAGACGTACGTCTCAACATAATCTCTAAGCTCGAACTTGTAAATAAAGGTAAAAGCCATCTCATGAACAAATTCGAATCAAGGGCTAAAGCATAATTACAGTCATTGGCATCGAATTGCTCTCCCAGTCCTTGCTTCCCGCAATTGTCCAGCTTGCTGAGGATAAGCAATGGCGTGTGCGTCTTGCCATCATCGAATATGTACCCCTCCTTGCTAGCCAGCTGGGTGTCAAATTCTTCGACGAGAAACTGAGCAGCTTGTGCATGAGCTGGCTAGGCGACACTGTCTTCTCCATCCGCGAGGCATCGACGCAGAACCTCAGGAAGCTTACCGAAGTATTTGGGGTTGAATGGGCCAGCGGTGCAATCGTACCCAAAGTCATTGCCATGGGGCAACACCCGAACTATCTGTATCGCATGACGACATGCTTCGCTATTTCCGTAAGTCATTCAAGACCTTCTCAACATACAATTGTGAAGAAATCATCTGACTTAATTTCTCCAAATTTTTAGACCCTTGCCCCTGTGCTCTCTCTGGATGTTATTCAGAAGTCTATTCTCCCCATGATGGACACCCTTGTCAGCGACGACATCCCCAACATCCGCTTCAATGTGGCGAAATCGTACGCTGTGCTCATCGATGTGCTTAAGCGTCTTCCAGACGACGGCTCAACGGTTGCTGCCGCAGAGAAGGAAGGAAAGGCCCTCGGACCCTCTCCCAAAGGCCAAGCGCTTATCCAAGACAAGATTATGCCTAACCTCGAAAAATTGCAGCAGGATGACGATGTGGATGTGCGGTATTTCGCCACAACGGCGGCACAGAAGTTCAACGACGGCGACGGGGAGGCAATGGAGAGTTAGAGACGCACGTACGTACAATTGCATACAATGGGTCTAGGGTGATACAAAGAGGCTTCCCCGTGGATGTCTGCTAATGTGACGATCTTGACGTTCGTCCTTTTGGGAGGAAGGTGAGGGTAGAATCGTACGACATGAAAGATCAAAGACGACAAAAAAAACACCGCCTCAAGATCATTTTTCTTCCTTTTCTCAGTCATATATGCAGGATTAAACTTTCGAGATGCATTTGCTGCCGGAAGAGCGGGAGCGAGCGATCTGAACGAAACGTATAAAACCACACCTGGGGACGGGGGAGGAACATCAAAAATCCGCCTCTGCCCCGTAACATTTGTGCTAGTACGACGGATGGATGGACGAAACGGACTTGTGTAGTTTTGTTCAAAGGTCATTTTGCGCGCCAAATCTCCGAAAAAAAAAGAAAAAAAAGACGTAGAGCCCATTTTTTACTGTGTTTGAAGGACACCATGATCAGAGATGATAAAATGTTTTCTCACACTCTCAATCTCTCTGTATGTTTTTGCGTGTGTGTGTGCGTATCGTAAGAGCCATGTTTCCATTTGTAGTTGACTTTTTGACATGCTAAGGCACAGAAACAACCGTGCTCATTCCCTCCCTCCATCCGCGCTCCGCACGCCATCTTACGCGATGGAAATGGAGGATGGGGTCAAAGAATCATGGATTTATGCTATAGTCGTACAAAAAGCGGTTTTATCGTCCTACGAAAGCCACCATATGCCGTGCGGGTGCACCCGTCAAAAGTAGGTTAGGGGGCCATGAACACACGCAACCGTTTGAAAAAAAAATGAGCATCCCAAAAAAAAGCGAAAACCACCAACACAAGAAAGCAATTCGAACGCCTCGCTGTGTAGTTTTCAAAATAACAAAAAAAAAAACTCAACTGATTCGATCGCATCCAATGGGTTTCCTGGCTTCCTTCGACAGTAGCTGTCAAAAGGACGGAAAAGTGGTTCAAAATATTCGTACATGAAAGGCCAGTCGCGGCAGTCGTGTTTGTTGTCGTCGGTAATGCCGTAACTTACAGCGAGTTCGTGAATCGAAAGAAAAGAGATGAATGATGGCGGGTGTGGCCTCGTCTTTGTTTAAAATCATGCCGCTTCGTGAAAAAAAATTGCCGAATAAAAAAAATGATAATCGCGAGGCGTCGTGAGATGCGGGAGTTTGTACCCCTTGGGAAGAAATGGGCAAGTGCGGCGTAGGAACGGAGATTACAAGACTCCGACAATTCGTTCATTCACCTGAAGCACCAGCAACGACAGTTCTCCTCTCAGCTCTTTTACCCAGCCCAAGGCCAAGAGAAGCCCTCGCACCGCTTGTGTATAAACCCAAACTCCTCCTCAGGAGTCTGCGATTCCCACCGCTAGCATTGCTATCCTCCTCGCCAACACCAGCAGAAGTCGTCTTTCCAGGCGTCACAGGGGTGGTAGGCGTAGCAGGCGATTCCGGTTCTGGCGACTTCTCTAGCATTGTTATAGCACGACGCGGCTCGCGCAATAGTGAGCTGGCAAAGGATGCTGAACGAGGAGACTCGTTACGGAGGGACGTGCCAGTGATGCGGCGCAAGGAAGAAGATGTAGGGGGTGTGGAGACCGTTGTTGCCGTGGCAGGCATTGTTGTGGCTCCTACAGGAGAGGAATTTGGTAGCGGTACGTTGGATGTGTACTCTCGCGATGTGCGCTGGAGGTGCGAGCCAGACAGTCGGTTCTGACGTTTGCGAAGAGTGCCTATTTCTGTCGCCGCTCTGGAGATGGGACGAGGGCTTGATTCTTCCTCGGGCTCTTCTGTTTGCGCACGGCGCGAACGAAGCAGTGATGTTCCTGAGCGAGGCAGTTTTGATATAGTGCCGGTTTGCTGCTGAGACGTAGGCGTAGTTTCAACGCTGGTGGACAGCTGAATGCTGTTCCTGTTGAAGCCTTCGGACGCCTCGCGGGGGCTGTTAGAGACACCCATGTTCATAGACGCTCTTCGCGCTTCGATTCGGTCAAGTGCCCTGCTGGAAACGACTCGTGTAGTGTCTGAGGTTGCAGCTGTAGATGGCTCCACGCTGGACGCTCTGCTCTGCGCTCTAACCAAACTGCTCCGGTTCGTAACGGACAAAGGAGGCGCGTCATGTACGCTGACAGGTCGTCCGCTGCTCGTCCCAGGTCGTGAGGATGGAGCAGCGCGCTCGCTTGTGTCCAATTTGCACAACTCTACGCAGAGATCTTGCAGGCTCCGCACAACGTTGTCCGCCTTCCGTCTGAGCTGCCGTTCACTAGTGAATCCTCCATTGACAACGGAATTTGACCCAGGCGCACCTCCGCCCGCCCCAGAATTGCCAGTCAGTAAAGCGAGTTCAAGAGCATCAGAAGTGACAAGCTCTAGTGCACGATAAACCTCCGTGCTCAGCACACTCCTACACCGTTCCAACGTCTGGTGAAGAACTGGGTATGCCGTGGCTGCGGCAGGAGCCCCAATGACGGAGTCCTGCGGCGATCGGCCCGTCTTAAACTGGTTTCGCGGTGATGATGACATCGTGGTAAGCGGTGTTGTCGCAGTAGTGGCCGTCTTGGGTCGCTCGTTCGATCCATTAGAGCCCGTTGACACGAGCTTCTCCTGTTCCATCCGCCGCATGCGTTTATCCAGCTCCTGGAGGCGGGCAAGCATTTCGGACTGCATACCCGAGACGACGGACTCAGCCTCATCATTGTGCTCAGCGCGAAGTGCGAATGCACGATGCTCGAGTGGGGAATCAGCCATAGAGATGGAGTCAAAGTCTCGAGTTGAATATTGGTTCAATTTGGAAGGGCGATAGAGGCTTGGTCGGGAATAGACGCTAGCTGTGTCCCCTGGTACGGAGGGCCGTCGAGATGAGTGTTGTGGGGTTGTGTTAGAGGCAGCATATCGGCTGCGATACATGCTGCTGTTGAAACGGGAGTCTGCAGACAACGAGGTTGGGTTCCGAAGACTTGAGTTCATCGAAGGTGGTGTGGAGTTGACGGAGGCTCTGCGTTGGCCAACGTACGAGCGCTCTGTGGCGGGCAGCATGGATCGTGCGCCTGATTCGAGGCTTCCCATGGAATCGCGGCGAGACTTGGAAGACACCGGTAGGGATGTTCGCTGCGGGTTGCTCCGGCCCCTACCAGACTGTTGCAGAGTTAATGAACCATGTTCCTTGCTTGGATACGGGTTGTGAAGAACGAGAGAAAAAAAAAGGTAGCATGAGACATGGGTCTGGAATGAATTGTGAACGTACCAGTGGCCTTTCAAGGTGCCCTGTAGACATATCTTGGGTCCCCGTTGGCGAGGGGCCGTCTTGTGCTTCGTTCAGGAACAGATCCTCTGTCGAGCGTCCGCTGGCCTCTGTGCCTGCGCCGGAAGAGACGCCTTGGCCGGTGGACAAGCCTCCGGTATACTTCGAGGTGCGATCTTCCAAATACTCCTGGGCATCGCTGTAGGTGGACTGTTGGTCCATGATAGCTTCTAGCGAAGATTCAAACCCGGATGTGGCCACTCCCGGCGAGAGCGGCGAGAAAAAGTCGCTGGACTGGCGGTCGCGCGGGCTCTGCAAGTCAAACGAGTCCGACGAGGGCCTGGACGTCTCGGTCGCGAGAGGGCGCAAGCTGTACGGTTTCTGCCGCTGTTGGGCAAATGCGGCGGCAGCAGGTGACTGGGCTCTACGCGCAGGGTCAAAGCCCGTGTAGGAAGATGAACGAGTGACGAGTGCGGGCGGCGGTCCTTTGCCAGTGTCTACACCATTGCTAGACCGCGAGGCGGGCGCTCGTTTCGAAGAGGAGGAAGTCTTGCTGTCGACGTCGGTCTCGGGAAGACGAGGGGAGGCGAGATTGGGCGTGGCAGAGTACACACGCCGAGACTGCGGGCGTTTGAGGTTGTCGTTGGGTTGTGACAGGTCTGGAAGGGTGGGCGACTTGCGAATGGTCTGGTACTGCTCGCGCAACTTCTTAAGCGACAGCGCGTCAGCGAAGATGGCGATCTTGGGGATGGGCGGTTCAAAGGCGGCGTTGTTGCTGCTGTTGTTGTCTCGCGACTTGGACTGCGAGGGCGCGGTGCGTGGTCTCGAGTGTTGATGCTGATCTGAGGGTTTTGCAAGGTTGTTTCGAGCTGACGAAGCCGACAGCACGGGCACTGGACGGGCGGGTGGGAGATGGTCGTTTTCGTCGTCGTGGGCTAGCACGGGAATTTCGGACTGCGTGGGCAGATGCTGCTGCTGTTGAAGATGATGAGAAAGGTGGACCCGCGTTGTTGCGGGTGCGGATGTTGTTGGTGTTGTTGTTGTGGAAGCGGTGGATGTTGATGTTTTGGTGTCACTGGGCAGACGCATGTCTGGCGTTACGCTGCCCATCCTGACCGTGTAACTTGTGCCACCACCACCACCACCACCTCGACCACAGAAGAGCCCTTATGCAACGACGTCTACTCCTGCTTTCGACTCGCCGGGGTCCCCAATCGCCAGGCCGGGAGGGGTCTATCAAGAATAAGAATGAAACAAGAAGATCCTAAGCTCGATGCTCGGTCGTGCGCATAGACTCTCGCGCTCACTCTCTCGAGCGTGCGCGCAGACGTCGAAAGACAACGTGCCAGGCACAGCCAGACAGAACGGCGTCTAGGATGGGGGGTTTCACGCAAAGAAAACCAAGCGTCCAGTCTATCCCATCCTTCAGCCAGCACGGAGAAATGGACGAATAATGAGCCCGGTGGGCGCACGAGCAGTCTGTCCTTTTTGATCTTCCCCCTTCCCCTCCAGCGTCTGGCCATAGACATCCACAGTGGAGAGCGAGCAGTTCGCCGGCTTCCTCATCCGCACACTGGAGCCAGGCCCGTTCTCCACGCCTGCAAGCCATCGTCACCTTAGCCGTATCAGATTTGTCCTGGGTCCTTAGGTCTTGCTCATGTCATCTCATGGATGAAGCCACCCTCGTCTCTAACCTCATTTCGTTGCTTTTTCCCCTTCGCTGCCCACTTTGGGCCCATTTCCTGTCTCAAAACAGGCACGCATGTACGGACACGACGTACACTCTTTTTGCTCCCGCGTGGGCGAGCTGGCGTTTGCTGCTGAGAGACGCGACGACATGTTGATCGCTCGTCCTGGGTGCACTGTACTGCTCATCGCCGAGGCTGGCACAGAAATTGATCGCAAGCTCAACTTGGACCACAGGGCCATGAATCATGCACAGATACGGAGTTCAAACCTACATTTGTACGCACATCATCTGTGGTTTCCCATGAAACTCTATCTAAGCTACACTTTCGCATCTGTCGTCCGCATTGCTTTTTGGGGTTGACCTGCACGACATGCAAGGGAAGGGGATGCCCAAGGGAGAAGTGGCCGTGTAGCACACCCAACGCCTGCTGGAACCATGTTCAACCGCTAAAGTCAGATGGTACCTGCAGCCGCGGCGGCCGCGTCGTTCGCGAATAGTTCACGCACGCATCGCCTACTGCTACCACAGCATACGTTTCTGCAGCTCCCTCACTAGTAGCATGCGAGAAATCTCGCGCATGCTAAATCCACCTCATAGCCTAAGCTCACTGCATGCAGACATCACACAGCACATCGTCGTACTCTCCATCTCCTTCCCATGGCCTCATTTTTCATCCAGTTGACAGCAGCAAGCTCATTACTCCTGCAAACTTCTGCAGACCCTTTTCCCCTCCAATCAATCGAATCAACCATGTTCAGACGGCAAATCTTCATCGTAAACATGACGAGTGAGGATCTTGTTTGAATGCAGCACCATCTGCCGCGCCCATCTAACAAGCGAAAGTAACGTTCGTCTTCACTGCGGCGTCGGTGACCAGCGTTTTGTGTAAGCAACGTGAGCAACGAGAGCTACTTTTGCGAATTGTGCGCAAGTACCTGGACGGGCTCTCATCTAAACGAGTGACACTTTGCTATCTTAAGTTCGTTAGCGCCGATTTCTGTGGCCATATTCTGATACCCCGGCACCGATTGCACATTGTCATTTCTCCGCTCTCATGGCGCGGCTCAAAGAATGGCGATACTACCTTGCAAACAACATGGGAACTACGGGGGGTTCTCCCCTGCTATTCCCTCCTGGGACTCTTCCTGGGAACCCCAAGCAAAAAAGCTCAAGAAATGTGCAAAAAGTGCAAAAAATAAGAGGCTGCTGTACTGCTGGATGCGCGAAATGTTTCAGTCAACGTTCAGTTCACTTTGCTTCTCATTATGCCGGTCCGATGCACGTGGAGCGTCTCGACAAGAGAAGCCGTGGACAATCTCGCCATCCTGCTGCATCTGCGAGGCGTCCTGGTCGTGAGATCTGTCTGCAGTCAAGCATGTATACACAAACGCAAGTGCGCACAAACATGTTCCCGGCGGACGAGCATTGAGCAATCATTGTCGGACGGTACGTACCTGTCGATCATCAGAGAAGTGGGCGCCACCCACGCGCGAGTTCGCTCGGCTCAGAAGGAGTGTGGAGAATCGGGTTCCTCGCTGAAACCGTGCTCATTTCCAACGGGCGGCACGCACGCTACGAGGCTGAACGCCACAAGGCCCACCCGCCAGCCAGGAACTTGTGCTCACTGATTGGATGCCAACTCGGCCTCCGATCGTTGCCAGACGACCCTGACGTTTGGCGGCCGGAAGTGATGATGCCCCAAGGCAAGCTGCGTTGGATGCTGCGAGTTTTGGCTCTTAGTTCTTGACAATGCTGAAGACCGAAAGTCGAACACACAGAGTTATTCGCTCGATATGGTGTCGAAGGTGGTTGAGTCAATGGTGGCGTCAAGAGTCTTCACGTGAGCGACACCTGGCAAGAGATCCTCCATGAAGCTTCAATGCAGTCCGTAAGATACTCTAACAGGTCGTTGATGGATTCATACACTCCTCATCATGGACAAAGCAGCTCCGCGCATGGCTCGAGAGAACATGCGCATCTTCTCGACGTCGTGAGCGCAAATGCGCTGGAAAACCGGCAGAGGTTCCCACGTCTACCAATGTCCGTCCCTCTGATAGTCATAGTTGTCCAAGATATATATACGGCAGTCTTCGCAGACAAGAAACAAAGTCTGTCTCCATCTATATAAATCCTCTCGACTCAAACCCACCAAAATAATTCGTCCCAATAGACCAGAGCACTCTCTTTTTTTTTTTTTTTTTTGAATTTTATACTACTTTTTTTGAAGGCACAAAGGATTTGACAGTATCGGGCTCACACGCAGAGTACGCGAACCGCAGCTCGCGATCGACTCTTTGCCAGAAAAAATTAGGAAAGTCGATCACTCTCTGGCTTGTCCTTCTGCTTTTCGAACACGACGTGACCCAGAAGACGACTGAACTGCGTTCCTCCGAACTCGATTACGATTGTGTGGTCTACCAGCAGCCGAAATGATACGTGGCGATCGAAGAGACGACACAAGAATATTTGATTAGCATCTGACGCTAAGGGATATATAGGAGGACTATAGTCGTTTATGGCAAATCATCATGCCAAATGCACTGCTCTCGAGAACTCGCCACAATGTCGTGCACGTCTCCTGCACGAGCGTCTACATCGTCGGGCGTGTCACACGTTCTGCGCTGGCACTTCCCATCCCAGACGACAACTTGCTTTTCTCCCCTCCGGTCTTCTTACTTATCCCCGTGTCTACGCTCCGCACGCTGCTCGCCCTGGCTCTGTCTCGCTCGAGACTGGCCAAGAACTCCGACGAGCTCCTGGGCGTGCGTCGCTCTAGCTCCTCTCTTACCTGTCTGACCATGCTCTGCCCGTCCGACAGCTTGCCCACTTTCTGAACGAGCAGCGTGTTCTCCCGCTGCAGCTCGCCCAGCTGTCTCCTCAACAGCTCGTTCTCGCGCTGCAGAAGCTCGGCCCTACGCCGGTACTCGTCACGCTCGCGACGATCCCTTGCGTTGCTGTCTTTGTCCCGCGCCTTCCTGCGCTTCTCGGCCATCTTCCGCTCCTCCTTCTCGCGCTTGGCCTCCAGCTTCTCCAGTTCCTTCTTGTAACGCTCCTCCTGCTTGAGCTTCTCCCTTTCGAGCCGCTCGCGCTGTTTCGCCTGATCTTTTTCTTCCTTGGTCTGCAGCTCTTCTTGCTTCTTGCGCTCCGTCTCACGTGCCTTCTCCATCCGATCGTCTAGCGTCTTTCTTCTTTGCGCCAGCTTCTTCAATTCCCGCTCGTAGTGCCGCTGATCTGAGTCGTTAACGTCAAGGCCGCCCTTCTCGCCTTGCGACAAGGACACGGTTGAGGACTGGGTGTCGTCCAGCGGGTCTGTTGTGAGCGGCTCTTCATAAGCCGTCTTCCAATCCGAAGTCAGCTCGGGAAACGAGTCGAAACTGTCATATGACGACTCCGACTCCGCATATGCAGGGAATTGCTCTGTGCTTGAATCTCCAGTACCGATCCCTAAGCGTTCTTTCACAGCATCAGGTACGTAGCCCGATGCAGCGTTTGTTAAACTCGCAATTAGCCCGGTGTCATTTGGACCACTCGGCTCAAATGCCCCCGTCATCGAACGCTTCGATCGTACTGGCGCTAGACCGGCTAAATGTCCGTCTATCTCCAGCGCGCTCAGATCCTGGCTCTTTTGTCGCTCTGTCTTGCGCTCTTGCGCTGCCTTCTGTTTGTCTGCGTCATGGTCTGGATCAGGTATTTCTTCCAAGCTTGTAGCCCAATCGAGGAACTTGACAGCATCTGATGCGATGCTTGAGGGCGTGTTTCGCTCAACCATGAAGCGTGGAATTCCACCTCCAGGGTCGGATCGCGTGATCATGATCCATTCGACAGGGTTCATCTCTGGATCTTCATCCCTATGTCTGCGAGCATCCACTCGCTCGCCGTGATTTTCGTCGTCACCTGCATCTCCCACCGAGCCTAGCAGGTTGGGTGTAGATTTCGACTTTACTGGGTTGATAGGGATCTCACGGATCAACTCAACAGACTCGTAAGACCCGCGCACAAGATCTGACCTGGGCAAGGCTTCCGGGTGCTCACATGGTATCGATACAACCATGTAGTGTCGCGGTATGATCCTCGAGCCATTAATCTGAGTGGCAGATATATCTGAAAGTGCCGACTCGGATGTGAGAAGGCAGGTGATGAACTCTCGAGGCGCCACGGGTCCTGGAAATTGCGCAGATAGCTGGTAGACTGCACCCAAATGTCAGCAATCGTCATCGTAGATCTCTGGCCTTGAAGCCTCTGTACATACCATCCAGCTGTCCTACCCCTTCGACAACCTCTCTCTCCAATCGTCGATCTGCCCCAATTCCCCTGACGCTCCCTTCACCGGGTCCTCCGTCCACAGCCAAGCTCTGCGCAAACTCCCTCTGCATAGCCTTTTTCCACTTGGTGAAGCTCAAACCTTCGTGCACGCTGCGCCTTGCAAACCACGCTCCGTGCCTGTCATGCCCCGCCATCTTCCACACGCTCATCCCCAGCGGATTTTCCTTTGACCCCAGCTTGACGGGCTTTCCCCATCCTTTCTGCAAGGCGTCGAGGTCCGCAATGTTGGGGTCCGCGGCTCGTGCGGTGGAGTTGTGAATTTCGCTGGCGGATTTGGCTGAGTTTGGACGTGTGAGATGAGAAGCAGGCCTGCAATTGTGAAAGGGAGAACCACCTGGCGGTTGGGGCACGGACGAGATGATGGTTTCGGCGTCTCGGAAGGTGGCCTGGAGAAAAGATTTGAGCTCGGCGTCTTTGGGCACATCCGCCCAGTCGCGAGGGCGTAGACACTCGAGGGCACTGTATAGCGTGGACATGGTACGCGCGGTCCTTAGGAAGATGGGTCCAAGATTGGCTGTCTAGAAGCTTGACGGCGGACAGGGCGAGAGCTTGTGCTCCCTCTCACGGATTGTCACAGGCGTCGCATTCAGAGAGTGAGGTACCACGAAGCCCCGACGGTGGCCAATAAATCGTCTGAAGACACTCGGTAGTTACATGTAAGCGTAGCGGTGAGCAGACCTTGGGCTGAAGGAAAGCGACCTTCCAGGAAAGATAAGGGCAAGGAATGTTGTCCAGACCAGCTCTGACACCAAGGTAATCTCCTTCTCGCAGTGGCACGAAACCCAATGGTCGGCCGTTGGCAAAGAGACGGTGTCCGAAGGTCCTGTTGTGTGAGGCGGGTGATGTCACCGAAACGTACCCTCCCGCGGTTCCGGCGTCAAACTGAGTCCCGGGGCCGAGAACAGATCGACAGAAACTTCACGTCGATTAGTAGCTCTACGAATGTCGAACGGGCGCGAGATCTGCCATTTCTGTCTGTCAAGCCAGGATCCTAAGCTCCCGCTATGCCGTGCTGCTTGCTGCAGCTCAAGCCCACCCCGCCGCTCTAAAGGATGCGCCAAACTCCCCTGTTGCTTAGGCAGCACATGGGGCTTGTTACGAAGACGAAGAATGGCGGCCATTCCTGGGCGACATTCAGAGCCTTAAATGCTTATCCAGCACATAGTGCTTGTGTCCTAGGTGTGAAAATGCTCTAGACAGTTTCTGTGTTTCTGGGACACAGAGCAATATGCGCACGAGTATCATTCATCTCAGCAATCTCGTGGACGCTGGAACAGTTCACGCTGCGAAGTTAGAAGCAGGCATCACGTGTGCGCCATACACGCTACTGCGAGTACTAAGCTGTCTTGACTGCGCGAATACCCTCAGCTCGCAACTGTCAATGCATTTTACTATGCCAATGGCGAACCTTTACCTTAGCTACACCGTGGATTCTAACGGTGTCTCGTCAATCTTGCACATTTAGCCATAATGTTTTCAGGGAGGCCTAGGCTACTACGATTCGGCTCGCTTGACACAAGGCTGGGGATGCAAAACTTGCCTCAGGAAGAAGATGAAGAGCCGAATTTCAATTCCAGGACCAGAGAACGGTACCTCGATCAGAGATTGGGTAGTAATGCGCCTCTCGACATGTCGCACTCTAGAGAGCTTCCCCCCGCGTACCATCGCACCACAGAAGAGGCGCGCAGATACAGCTACAAGTATGAAGTTTTACCACGAGGCTCCATACGCATTCTCACGTTATATGTCCCTTTGTGCTCCGTTCTGGACAGCGAGGCGTCAGACCTCCACTGCTCAATCTCGACTCGAAGCTGGTGGGACGAATCGGCGTCCAGTTTCGACTCGATCTCCTATGTCTGGGGCGACGAGGAACCTACAGAATACCTCTACTGCGGTGATTCGCATATCAAGATTACTCCAAGGCTGCACGCCATGCTTGTCCGTCTTCGAGAGGCATCCACCATAAACGGGCACGTGGGTCTGTTGTGCCTTTGGGTCGACGCAGTTTGTATCAACCAAGACGATCCTGTCGAAAGAGGTCACCAGGTCCGTACCATGGACAAGATCTTTCGGCGGGCAAGCCGCGTCCACGTCTTCCTGACGGATGGAGTCAGCTCACCCGACTATCAAGCTCAGTACTACGACAGTCAATGGTTTCACCGTAGATGGGTAGTTCAAGAGTTGCTTGTCTCGCGTCACATTTTGGTGTATCTACCAACGGACCCTTCGGACCTTGAAGCGTATAAAGGTGCGGTGGATTGGGATGCACTAGTTAGACGCGCAAGCTGGTGCTACAGCAACACGTATATCGAACTGGAGGCAAATGCCCTCATTCGAAAATTTCAGCAGCTCCGTGAATCCGGCTCAACGTGGTTCAGCATGTTGACTCTCCTGAATCAATTTCAACGCACTCAATGCAAAGACGACAAGGACCGCATCTTTGCTTACATCGGTATAGCAAGCGATGTCTGGCCAGAGGACGAGACCAAGAGCAGCTGGAAGTCTGAAATAGTTCCTCCATCTGCTCTGATCAAATTTGATCCAGATTACACAATGTCTGTGGAAGAGATCTTCATTCGCTTTGCTGTAGCTGTGCTTCGTTCCAGTCGACCATTCGAAATTCTACAGTGCGCAGGTGCGTTCAGATCGTCGCCCTCGGGGCATAACTGGGCGTCAGAAATGAAGCGAAATCAGCATTCACCTGCTCAATGCAAGTGCAAGGGCAAAGGGAAGAAGAGTGCTGCGTCGGACGTGAGTGCTGAAAAATGTAACCACGTAGCCACAGCTGTCCAACACTTGCCCTCCTGGGTGCCTGACTGGCGCTACCATTGTCTACACAAGCCTTTGCTTCGGTCCAGGGCATTCAATGCTGGAGGCTGGCGAAGACAGGCTGAAGAAAGCATCATCGTCGATGGGCCAAGGATCAGGATGCGAGGAGCGACGTTTGGAATTGTTGGCAGACGAATAAAATTGAAACGCTTTGACGACCTCAGACCATTGGTGCATATAGACGGCGCGAGTCTGAACGGTTTCCCAAATCACGACCTCTCGACGGACAGGATCGGTATACGGCTGCACAGCGGAACCGTAGGTGCAGCACCTTTCGCTACCCAAGTCGGCGACCTAGTAGTCCTGTTTCCAAAAGCAAGAACACCATTTATTCTGCGACCTAGTACCGAGCCTTGCTTCTTTGAACTTGTGGGTGACTGCGTGATCGATGGTGTGATGGAAGGCCAATTCGCTGGATGGGCTTTGGAGCACGAGAGAGACTTCATACTAATCTGATCGGATCACCACGCGTTTCCAAATGCCGCACGAAAATTCGCGGGTCAATCTATGCCATGGACTGATTGGGAGTCAAGGCTGGCACATTAAAATAAAACGTAGATATCCTCAGGTCAAAGTTGGTTGAGCGAAGGAGGTAAACCCTGTCATTGTTACTACCCAATTTCGACTAGCGCAATAGAAGCTGGACATTTTGTGCAGCGTGCAAAGCGGTCTCAAATTTTACCACCATGCGCGTGTTTCTAATCCGACACGGCGAGACTGTTGACAATGTAGCGAACGTCTAGTGAGTCCATCCGAGTCCTCCCTTACTCCTCTCGTCGATGAGCCAGCTGCTCACACAGAAGCGTAAATCAGTGGCGGAAGCAGAGACTCGGAGCTCACCAACCATGGAGTCCAGCAAGCAACCAGGCTTGGCCAGCACTTCGCCGCTTCCGACGTTCGTTTCACGCATATACTATCCTCGCAGCTCAGACGTGCCGTGAAAACGGCAGAGCTGGTGCGCGCGGCCCAGCCGGAGGTTCGAGACGCCCGAAATAATGTCGTTTCGCCCGTAGTGATGCAGCTCAGCGAGCTTGCGGAGCAGGACTTTGGCTCGTATGAGGGCGTGTCTTTCCTCGCCAGACAGTCTCCCAACAAAGCGTCTGGAAAGGGTCCTCAGCGCACTGTGGACAAGAACGATCCTGGGTTCGTAGACATGGAGTCGAAGGAGTCCATGCAGCGACGTGCGGACGCCTTTTTGGAGCAGCACCTTGTCCCGCTTGTTCGGAAGGAAGCCGCGATGTCGCCTACCGTCGCAGTCGTATCTCACGGTGTGATCCTCTCCGTGTTGTGGAGGAGATTGCGGAGCCGCCTTCCGTCAGGAAGTGTTACTCTGCACCCAGAAGTGGTGACCAAGTACGGCCCCGTGGACGTCGAAAAGCTCGGCGGCTGGTCCAATACAGGCTACCTAGAGATGAACATCTCCTACAAGCCTATGCCCATCTCAGTTCCGGGGACTATGACTTCCGAGTCAGCTAAAGCCAAAGAAACCATGTCTGCTCTTGCAGCAGATAGGCCTGTAACGTCAAACGCCCTCGAAGGGTGGTCCGTCACCGTGTGCGCAGTGAACAGCCGGCATCACCTCGTTGGCTTGAAGCGGACGGGTGGTGGCGTTGGCTCTGCTCCTCATGACGACAAGCAGCAGCGTATCGATGCGTTCGTCAAACGACGCAAAGTTGAACAGTGATGTTCTCACAGCGTGCTTCGCCCACAAGTATCCTCCCTCGAGAGCTTCGTGACGAATCTAAGTTCTGCTTCAATCGCTTCCTGTTTAGCAGCCCTGACAGATCCATATCGGGTTGGGTTTTCGAAGCCACTGTTTTGACCTAGGTACGTTGACGATCTTCCTGGTGTTCACCTTTCTACCCTATGATGAAACAAATTCACACAGACCTGTTCCGAGACCTACCTTGCGGACACTCCAAAAAATCCAACTGCTGTCTGACCTCTTTCTTCATCCTCTGTTCTCGCGCCTATTCTTGGTATATGATTACGGCTGATTGCAGATGTAGTTTTCGAAGATGTGCTTTCGAGCGCTGTCAGCAGCACCTGAAAGGAATAGATACGCGCGAGAAAGTGATGAAATAAAAAATAAGCATTCGCATTTCAATAGCTGTATGGTACATATTTCACCTTATCACGACCTTGCGGCTGCCGAACAATTGACAATGATGTTGGTCCACAATGTCTATAATAAAAAACATCATGTGCATCTGGTCTCCTCGAACTTGCAAACACCAAATCATTCAACGACCGTTACACCTCTATGTAACTTGTTCTTTCCTTCCACATTTCATCTCACACTATCCAGCTACCTCGAATGCTTCGTTGGGTTCTCACGAATCAGTTGCAACAAGAATTCATCATATCATTCGTGTCGGTCGTCCTCGTGTTTATAAATCCGTCTTATCCCTGCCCACTTTACTCCTTGTTGGCTTCAGTCACCAGAATCTATGTGCCGGTCATGCTTTGTACCGGATTCTGCCCTCAAGTGTTTCGATGTCACTTAGATCGCCGCTTTTGCGCTGTGTCAAACTGTGAATCCTTCCTCTAAATAACCCCAATCTCTTGAGTGCCTGGCCGCGTTCCAAATTGCTCCAGCGACTTCCATTGCGGAGTTACTATCCGAGGTAACATCGGTACCAGGGAGCATTTCTAGGGTTGTGCCCCTCGTTCGATGTTTGAAGCAATATCGAAATAAATGACTTCACTTCATTCAGCCCAAAAGCCCAGGACGAGACGTCTTGTGTGCAGAGACCAAGCCCCAGATGAGTTGAATGCAAGTGCAGCCGCGAAGTCATAAGTCTGGGGGCCAAAATACAGCTTGATCGAAACGCTGATTTGTTGTCGTTTAAACGTTAGGAAACACAGATGGACCAATGACTGTCGTCCCCGGGAACCACTGGAAACGACGCCGAGCGTTGTTTCCAGAGGGTTCGACTTGACAACTGCGGTCATATATTGCCTACATGTCAATGATTAATATCATCTAGAATCAAGTCACCATATAGTTTTGACCTACGTCTTCGTCTCGTTGCAGAGCCGTGTCGCAGACGAGCGACCTCACCTCTTCGCAAACCTTAAAAGGTTCATATTGCACTCCCTGTGCTCGCTGCACACTGACTATGACCTCGCCCATGATCTCGAATTTCTTCCAATTGATTCTCGCTTCAGGATCATCTTCGCCCAGCGCATCGTCTTGTCGCTTTGGGTCCTCGCCGACGAATGTACGATTCCCTTCCGATGCTGAAACCAGGTCACGCTTGTGCAATGGCAGATAAGGAATCCGCTCGCCAGATGTATTTTCCCACGCCAATCTGTATGCTGCGTGAGATTTTTGAGGTGACATTAGAACTTCGAGACGTCTGAAGTCCTTTGTCGCCTCTGGAGAAATAAGTTCCTTGGTCGCCTGAAGGCGGAAGATGGCTGAGTTATTAATTCCAGAAACTACTGCTGCCAGCGAGTTGTAATTGTTGAGCTTTCGAAGCTCTCGTGCTACTCGATAGAATTTCTCAAGCATCAAGGCGCGATGCTTCGGCTTATCGCGTAGCAGGATGAGGTTAATCACCCAGTCGGCAAGATAGTTGAAGTGCTCGATCATACGGTGCACGTTCTCCAGACTTCGGTAGCGTTTCTTGGCTTCCGCATTTAGGCTCACATATCTGACCAGATCTCGAGGCCTAATAGATGTGAACATGATGCTGTCCATCCGTGTCAGTTCCTTTGCAATAACGTCGTCCGGCTGCTCCATTAACATGTGCCACTGCAACTTGGTGAGCTCCCTCATGCCTGTTGGAGTGAGTAATTTTGCCGCCCTCTCCGCGTTGTAAACGATCTGCAGTAATGTTGCCGATGTCGAAGAATTATGTACTCCACTGGGCTGTCTCAACGTCGTGAGATTGGCTGGCGTCTGATCCAACACACTCAGGGCCGCCATGTTCTTTGCCATTCCATTGCCCGAGTCGTATTTCTTGCACCTATTACTGTCACAGTATGCCCAGTTAGTGTCGTCATCCTCAACGACGGCCTCAAGGTCTGCAGCAATCTCTCGGGCATCAACCGCAAATATGCGTTCAGACGAGATCCTGGAAACAAAGGCTTCCAGAGTCTGTCGTGTCCTTGGAAACGCAAAATCTCCAGGATAGGCTCCGATCCACTGCTCAATGATGCTTAAGTACCGTTGCTGGGCTGCTATCCTCGACATCTCAGCCAATGGCTGGGCCTTCAATGAATCAAAACGTTCAATGACGGACTCTAGTAGTCTTCCCGGTGACGCAAAGTTACGGTACAACGCTAGGAAGACAGACGCAAACTTATGATCATTCTTTGTCATTGGCTGGGCCAGTAGTCTGTCGACTAGCTGATCAAACGTGAAGCCGACTTCCACGGGCGTTGGCAACGGCTTGTCCATCGGGTTTGCTTGATCTTCCTCTGCCGAAGAATACCGTTCCTGATCTTCGGAAGCGTATCCTGCTTCTTTGAGCAGACTTGAGTGTGATGTGTTCAATAGAGGCAAGGCCATCGACGATTTCGATTTGGAGGCAAGTCTGCCAGGAGACGGTGCTCTGTTGCTGCTGCCAGTACTGTGTTGCGATCGATGCATCGAGCCAGTGAACTCTGAACTGGCGCGAGCATGTTTGAAGGTGTTTGGTTGCGGTGAGACTCTCTTAACGGCGGACGAATTGGCACGTCGCCGTGCCGCGGCAGCAAGAGCAATTCGTTCTAGGCACGCAGCATCAGCATGCAGTCAAATTGCAAGAAAAAAAAATGAGGTGAGGGCGTTGATCCGAGCCCAGTCTGGTGGGACCAAGCGTCCAACCCTGCAACTGCCCTGCAGTTCCAGGAGATGAGGCTTCGAAATCAGGAGGTGAGGATAATTATTTTGAATAAAATGCAACTTACGATTCCGCATTGAGACAATGGCTCGGAGGAGCACCGCCACGCACCTCTTTTGCGAATCAGGCTGCGCCTTGGAGGTTTGAAAGGCGGTTATATCTCCAATAAGCGCTTTTGCTCGCTTCTCCACCCCTGCTGGGTCAACGAGACGATGAGTTGAAGGAAAGTCGCACTTGCAAGCGACCAGAATGAAAGGTATTGAGGCATTGTAGATGCCGCCTGGTGTCATTGTCAGCGCCAACACGATTTGAAGAGATCTCGCCGTATTTGTAAATGTATCTGAGACAGAACCACTTACTCAGCGTTTCGGGAACTTGAACAAGACTCTCTTTATTCATTACGTCGTAAAGTGTGAATGCGCCGTCGATGTACGGCATTGGTTGGCCGTTGACGGTGTCCGGCCAGCAGATGCGACTCTCATTGTCCAGATCCAGCTCGCTGAAGGAAAGCTCAATCAACCGGACGACGTACACGTTTCCATCTATTGACATTTTTCGTGAAGATATGGCAGCAGTGGGAGGGCTTTGGAGGTTGAAGGCTTTCTGTACAAAGGCGGACTTGCCCACGTGTGGGGAGCCCACGACGGCGATGTTGATTTCCTGGAGGCGGCCGCTGTTCTCAGGCCACTGATTGCCATTAGCTTGGTGTCTGGAGGTACGGACGTGAACGATCTTACCGGCGACGGCGACGGCGTCTGCGGGGCTAACGGGCTCTGGAGAGGCTCTACCGTTGAATCCGGCCGTGCTTGCACAAGAGTGCTGGTGGGAGAGAGGGGCCCCTCTGTGTCTTCGTCGGACATGTCTGCTGAATTTAAGAAGGTGCTCCTATAGTCGTTGTGCATGTCGATCTGTGGCAAGCTGAATCGTTGGAAGAAAGGGTCGTCTGCAATTGCTTCGTCATCGCTGAGATCGTCGTCGAACAAGCCAGCATCATCCTCAGCAGCTTCAGCGAAATCCTCGTCCGCGCCGGCACTGGCACTGGCAGGGAGGTGGCTGCTTTTTGGGATCTGAGGCGCGGAGTGCGCCCGAGTCTTAAATGGTCGCTCTGTTGCGTGCGGCTGATCGACGCCGGCACCTTGAATCGAGGTAAAGAGCGGTGACTCGCGGTCGTGCGGGCGTTGGACGTACGAGGGCGAGCTCTTCGTCTTCTCCCTGCGATGATGCTGGTGCTCCGACACAGAATGACTCGTTTTCCGCGTATGCCGCGCGCTCGACGAGACGGCCGCTCGCCCCGTGGTGGGCATGTTCTTGGGGAGCGTACGCCGTCCTCTCGACCGGCCCCGTTTTGCTAGGCCGGCCGGGACAGGTTACTGTGCGCAAGATACGGAGACGGAGTGCGAGTGGGTCGCCGCTCTGGGTGCAAGAAGCGTCCGCGACGAGACATTGGATCCGGGCGGGAGAGCTCTGGCAGCAGTATGACCTAATAGCCAAAGCACCTAGGCCGCCGTTCGTATTGTTCCATCATGCGGAAAAAAGAAAGCAAGGGATTGTGACATGTTGCCCATCGCCTGCAGAAGAAGCTTTGGGTGCGGTGCAGGAACCTGGAGAACGTGCCAGAAGCCAATGGGCGGCCGCATCAACCTCCCTTTCGCACCGCTGGGCCTTTCTCTCCGCCGTGACAACCCAGATCTCTGCCTGGAAGCCGCTCGCTGCTGGTCTGCACGTCGCCAGTCGTGCGCCTCCTTGTCTCCTTGCGTGCCATCGGCGCTTCGACGACGAGATCTGCGCCCCGGCTGCCTTAGGCGAGGCTCGGTATCACTTCTGTTTTCTGTGATCGCTTGCCAGGATGGTACCCGAACTTACAAGCCGGCTCCCTGGATGAGGGGCTTCCTCCGACGGCGGGCGTTATGGCTTACTTGTGCCTCCTCGACAATGCCGTCCGGAGGTACGGTGCCCTCTCGTTTGTTTTACTTATTTATTCATTCATTTTTCGCCTGGCATTGGCAGGCAGTCTGTACGTTGGCCCAATACGTCTCGTTCTGAATCATGCTTACGTCGAGATGTGGCATCGGTTCCGAGCCCAACTCGTACTGCTATCACTGCTACTTCGTCGAGGCCGGCTGGGCGAATTCATGCAAAAGCAACGTAGCCTCAGGGCTTCATCATCCCTCAGCCTCGTTGCCGTCTGAGGCCCTATGCACAGAGGCCGATCAACGTCATGGCTATGTATATTCTTGGAACCTAATTGTCCGATGATGGGGTGACTAGCGTGAAGGAAGAAAAAAGGAACGGCCTTGTCAGACCATAGTCACGAGCAGGGGAACACGGATCTTGCCGTGATCTGTCAAAAGCGGTTCAGATCCATTTTAATCGATAGCAGGAGTGCTACAATGGTCAACCAGAACGCAACAGCCCTAAGCCTGATGACGCCATGTTGTTCAACTCCTCACGAGGCCCCAACACTGCTACAGCTGCGGTGAAATCCTAACAACGCAATGAATCCAACGCGGTGGACACAGATCCGCCTGGAAGACGCTTGGGGACGTAGCTTTTTTCGACCGTCGTCCTATGCGTCACTGCGTATGCTGGTCGCCATTTTGGTAGTACGAGTGCTAGCCCGATCATCGCTCTGAAGTGATCTGGGCCATTGGATAGTTGTTTCCGAGCTTGTTTCGAAGAGAAACCTTGCCTCCCTCAACAGCCCATTCTATCGCGTTCTCGAATATGGGAGCGCCTTGCTTCTCCAGCGGGCTCCAATGCCCGCAATCAGACACAACGACCACCTGGCTGTTCTTGACGCCAAAATAGTCTCGGAAGCCCTCCAAGGCGATGGCGTTCTCGATTGCAACATCGCCCTTGCCCCAGATGACTGTAGTAGGTGCTTGCAACGATCCTTCCGGGCCCGTGTCAAAAATCGCCGCACAGCTGGCAGATCGCTGTCTGCCTTTTCGCTGCTGAAGCTGGTCGAGTTCCCAAAGTGCCTCGAGTGATTTCTCCCACGGCGCGAACGCAAGGCCATGCCGATAGAAGCTGATCTTGTCTTGGAAGCCACCAGTCCTCGCACGCCTGCGCACGGAATCTGAGTATGTAAGTTCCGAGTCCTTCAGCGCCGTAGGACATTCTCGCAGACTGGGCCCAACAGAGCCCGCTAGAAGTTCTGCGCCGTGAACTCCGCTGAGAGGCTTTGGGGGATCGGGATGGGTGGAAACGGCATTGAGATAGCGGAACCACCAGTAGTCACCGACATGCCCAATCAAATTCGCCATTGGAAAAGGCAAATTAAAGACAAACACATAGCCTGATTTGACAAGTTGTCGTAGGAGTGGCGTGATGTTTCGGAAAGCTCGTCGAAGCAGCCGGACCTTCAGAGGTGAACGCAGCCAGGTTCTCACCATCTGTCCAGCCGAGGCCAGGCGAGTCTTCACATTTGAAACTGCTAATGGTGGATGTATGCAATTGCCCAAGATAAAGTGGTCCGCTAGTTGAGGGGCCTCGGCTGCGAGTCTGAAGCCAACCATGGCGCCCCAGTCGTGAGCTACGACAACGACTCTGCTACTGCTGCTGCTGCTGCTGCTATTGTCGTCGCTTACATATTTCTCTCTCATCTTCAGGATGAACTCTGTGATCGCTTCCATGACCTCGGCTGGGCCATATCGATCCATGCTGTCGGAACCGCCGAAACCAGGCAGGTCAACCGCGATCAAGGTCGCCCGAGTGGCCAAACGCGGGTTTTGAAGGTAACGCTTCCACAACGCGTAGCTGTCAGGATAACCATGCATGAAGATGACAAGATTGGAGGTGGATGTCTGCTCGCGCTGGATGCTCTCGACATAATGAAGTTTTGCACCACAGCGCAAGACACAGAAACGATGGTGGAGGCCAAAAGGTTGCCGTTCCAAATTCCATAACCGCTCGCGTGCTACTCTATCTCAGCCCACGTAACGATCTTGTTTGGCCATCTTGCGTCAACGTACCCGCGACAAGCTCCTTCTTGTCTTCCGCGTTCAATCTTCTGAAGTTCGGCTTTCGAATGAAAGCTAGAAGCAAAAAGGCTGGCAACACAAGAGTGCCGTAGCCGAAGACGAAGCTGTTCCAAACCAGCTTGGACAACGTCATGGCTGCCGATTGTCTCGCTGTCACAGTTCTGAGAGAGCTACAAGATCATTGTCTTGAATATCTGACGGAAGACTGTCGAATCTCTCGGACGAGGGCGTGGTTGGAGATGAAATTCTCATCACCTCAGGTCGATCTTATTTACTCCGCCCCAAGATGGGGGGTTATTGCACTATGTTGAACCCTGGCGCAAGAGACACGAGTAGGGGATAGAGCATCCGCCCTAAACGCAGATCTCTCTCGGCACCGGAGTGCCCACCGGATACAGCGACATTGGCGACTTGTAGTCACCGAACGCGAAATTCGACCATACCGCACTTACGACGAAAGGGCTTTGAAGGACTCCTATCAGTTCCGAAAAAAATGGAAAAAAAAATATTTCATTTGGAGGAAGTGGATTTACCACGCCAAACGAGGACTACAGATTAGGGGAAATCAGATAGCCTGAATCAATACGAAATTGAATAAATTGGCGATTGTTCGACTCGGACTGAATCAGCGTTTCTATTTATTAAGGTATAGTATATATCGACATGTTTGCGGTGTCCGTCGTAGATCATGAAGTCATGGCCACTGGTACCAATGTTGCACCTTCAATGAACCAAAAACCCGTTTTCCAAACGCCTAGCATTCAACAAGGGCAGAGGGCGCCATGCATTTGATAGCATCACGACATTCAATAGACGATGTCACGAACAAGTGCAACTGGACCTTGATATTTCTTGCGTCCACCCACGAAGTACCAGACTGTGCTGAGAACGACAATGCCTCCCATCATCACGATAGCCCAGTTGAAATTAGTCGCGTTAGGGTCCTTAACCGTCGGCCAGGGAGTCCAGAACAGGCAGAAGAGGGAGTATAGAAAGCCGATGGCGTTGATGGGTGCACCCCAGCGACCTAGCGACCACTGCGCAGGAGGCAGCCGCTTCTCGCCGAACGTACGTGCCCAAAGAACGCATCCGATGGAGATCGAGTAGGTTGCCATGAGCGCCATGAGCTGGAGCGAAATGATGGCATTGAAAGCTACAGTTGAGCCGATGTTGATCAGCGAGAGCAAGCAAGTGCAAAGACAGGAGAAGATGACGGCATTCCGAGGAACGGTCGAGTTGTGACCCTACAAGGAGCAAAACGTAAGCAAATTCCTCGCCAGATCGAGTGGGGGATAAGATGAGGGCGATAACGTACCTTGCTGACCTTTGACAGCCATTTCCCAAAGGGAAGACCGCCATCGCGAGCGAATGCGAACGTTTGACGGGAGGTAGATGCGTTGCCGTCAATCACACCGGCAAGCAGGCACATGAAGATCAGAACGAATAGCACGATGCCACCGTTGTAACTGCATTGCTGGAGAACGTAGATGAAGGCAAAACCAGAGACGTTGATAGTCGGGTCCAACATGTCGGCTACGCTTGGAATTGCGAACAAGAACGTGGTAAGAACGACCAGGCCGACGACAGCATTCAGGGTGAAAGACCAGATCATGGCGCGTGGTACAGCTTTCGACGCGTACTTCACTTCTTCGGCCAGATGGGCGGCGGAGTCAGAGCAAATCAAGAAGTAGATAGTCGTCACTTGACCGATCATGGCACTGAGGCCAATGTTGGACCAACCGAAGCTCTCCCAGTTGAAGAAAACGTCGTGCGCGTTAGCATGCGGCGCCAGCACCCACATCACCACGACCACTGCGATCCAGCCGAGACCGTGGGGAAAGACCATGACTTTTTGCAGACGCGGAAGCTGGTTCGCGAAGATACCGTTGACGATGAACGCCAAAAGGGCCACCATGAAGACGAAAAGCGTGCCCTGCCATCGCTGTGGCACGTAAGTGCTGTCGTACGCGGCGATGATGCCCTGGATGAGCGTGCCGTTCAAGAAGGCACCTCCAGCAGCACCAGCTTGCCACGACAACGTGGCCATCCAGCCGGAGATGTAACTTAGAAGTCGCTGGTATTTCAAGGGTGCAAACTCGGACACCCAGTGGTACTGACCTCCCGACGTTGGTGCCCTGCAGCACGAGTTAGATTGTAGCAAAAGAATGCAGCGCAGTTCTACTATACTCACATGCTAGACATTTCGGCCAGCGAGGCAACGATGAAAAGGAAACCCACGAAGGTCCATATGTAACCCCAGAATAGAAGAGGGCGACCACCATTGACCAGGCCACCGCTGGAGGCAATGAGTGTCACTTCCCACGTCGACTGGATAAGAGACGTGAATATAATCATGGTGGACATTCGGAAAATGCGCTGGTGTAGTTAGCCAATTGTACCTCTCAGTACCTCCAAGTCGTGTCTACTGACCTTGAACTGCTGGTCTTTGCCCATGCGATACATATCCTTACTATCCTGGGGAGCCTCATTCTGGATGGTTTCGTCCCGAGAAGAATCGCTTCCATTGTACTCTGCTACAGCAGCATCGCGGCCATTGCTGAGCTCCTTCTCGTTGGTAGACATGATGGGCAGATCGTAAGCATGCGCACTGCGGACAGATCCACGGGACTTTGGTACGCGAGTCGCTGCAGAAGGATTTTTTGCGCGCGAAGATCTGGCGCAAGTCCAGGCTATGGTATGTGCAACTGAGGAGAGGGAAAACGATACAGCCCTCGTTGCTGGCGACAAAGAAGAATGGGACAATTTCTGCCTGCAAAAGGGAATCTCGAGTCTACTTGAGTTTCCAGAAGCGCGTCGGACGGAATTGCGGGTCCGTCTAGAGCTGCAAGGCGCGGAGCGATGCTGGCGAGTGGAGTCCACTAGGCGGATAGCAGCCGACGCTTCCCCAGCCAACACCTAGCGTTCAGTCGCGGCAAGCTCGTCAGACAATCCAGAGCAAGCAGACCTTCGGTTTGCGAAAAAAAGATACCGCCAATACGTCTAGAGCAGGCGCTTCGGCGCCAGGTGCTGAGTTTGGCTATGTGGACCATGCGGAACGAGAGAAGCGACTATGTCGATTGTGCAGAGGCTCTGAGAGCCGGGCGAATGGTAGCGATCGCTGCGAACAAGGCGCTACTGGAAAGATATCCTATGTGGCAAAGGCCAAACTGCAAAAGCCTGTGGAATCACTCTCTACGCACCAATCATTGCGCCAGGAACGACACACGAACGAGGAGGCCCTTTACAGGCAGCGGTAACTCTGCACTTCAAAGTCGCTCTGGAGCAATCGGACGGCCCGTGGCATCGTCCGCTGTCCCTTGGGTGCAGAAGCAGCGGTAGGATTTAAGCTTGCGCAACGTTATTTTGAGAAGCCATGCCTTTGAATGCTGCTCGAAGTTGCATACACGTCCTGGTCACCCCACCCGTGGTAGTTTTTCTTACCACACACGAAAGTACTGTTATGGCTCTCAACACGTCCATCAAGTGTTACTGGGCCTGTTATTGTGCGCCAAGAGCCACCCTCGCCCTTGTCTTATCATGCTGGACCGCGTGCATTCGACTACTGCGTGCTGTTGCTCTCTGGTTGCAGGCGAGCTGCGTTCAGACCCTGTCTATGGCAATCACCGGCATTCGTTTTGGGGCCTCGCAAGGGAGGAAAATGCCGGAGGTTCGACAAAAGGCCTGAGCGTCTTGCATTTTTTGTGATGAATAGCCTTGGATAAGTCGGGCAGGTCGAAATTTGGGGGAAAGGACTTTCGCTTGGCTTCAGGCCCGTCCCTTTAATCACACATGGGCGGGCTGTCCCGTGGTTCGGCTCCGCAGAGATCAGCCATGGGAAGCAAGAACAGTGATGAAGAACGCTCGGGACATTCTACTACATGCACCGTGAGCATCGACCAGGATGACGCCCGTCTCGCAACAACCCGCCGCCAAATCTGATCGTCACATATGAATTGACCACCAAAGCGTCGGTTAACGACGAACGAGCGGGGCGAACGTCGGCCGCTTTTCGCATGAACGATGGACAGTTCAAACGAAAAGATCGACAAGTTATATGACATGGAATGAGGGCCATGTAACCATGCTTTCCGAACTTCCCATGCCTTGCATGCTTTGCGAGCATGAACAAGAAGCTCGAGAGTCAGGTCCACGCAAAGAGTCGGTCCTGCAAACGGTCAGGTCTCCAGGTCGAAGAACGAAGCGCGGCCTGAAAGTGTCTTTGGCGAGAAACTGGTCCTGAAAGCGTTAGACGTGTCTTGCGGATGCTGAGGATGTGGATCCGGCCCACTAGCATGTTGGCCACAGGACGGCCCACACGGGGGCCGGTGGGGGGCGAGGGCTGCTTGACGAATGAAATGCTGACTTGATCCGTCTCCGTGACGCGAAGACACACGCAGCAAGCGCACGATCTGACCTGGATCGAGCCCAGACGACCACGGCCAGAGGTTGGATGGTACTTTGGAATCTGCCGTACGAACTGCTCGAACAAGGTCGTCAGCAAACGCAATGTGGCATGGGGCCCAGCCGATCTGGGTCTGTTCGACACGCACCGCGTATCTCCATCTCATTCTTGCTGTTGGGGCTTTGTTTTTCGACGGTGGCTGACCAACAAATCCTGCGGAGCAGCGGAAAGGATTGCTGTGGCATTGATGCTTGCTTTTGTTCTGTGCAAGACTCCTCAGCTGGGTCCCAAGTAGCCGGGTCCCGTGCGCCGCCGCACCCTCTCCACCTCCTCTCTGCGTCCCATCCGTGCCCCCATCTGCCTATCATGGACGTTCGAACGAGCCTGACGAAGATCAATCCCTATCCTGCGCATGCGTTCAGATATTTGCCTTGGTAGCGCTTCGGCCTTTCAACAATCTTCGTTGCGCTCACAGCCCTTGCTCCTCCATCCGCTCCAGCTCTCACACGCGCGCATAAATGATTCCTTCGTGCAGTAGTACACGCCTGCAAGGAACCTAGCATTCCTTTCGACGCCCCATTTACCAGACGGTCGGATGCCTCTCGTCCCTTAAGACTCGTGTCCCCCCTCTCCCACAAACAAGCGATCTTATGCAATCCCCCTCTGTCAAACGAATCTGAGGGGTGGGCACTGCTTGCACAACTGTTGTTCCCGGCTTCGAGCACCATGTCGGAGGCCGGAACACGATATGAGGTCATTACTTCCAACAACCAAAGCGCCAATGTGTGGGTTTGCGGTCTCATCAGCGTCCTCTTTGCGACGGCATGCATGTTTGCTAGAATAGCCTACAGAGCAAGGCTTGGGATTAGATCCGGACAAGACGACTACGTGTTCTGGCTAGCCTGGGTATGTCAAATCTATCGAAGCTCATCACGAGTCGCCTCTGATCCACGCAGGCTGTGCAAGTGATTCAGAGCGGCCTGTTGCTTAAAGCTACCGCTCTTGGTCTGGGCAAGAATGACAGCATAGTTGCTGCAGACCACGTCTCCTCCATTCAGACGGTAAGCCAATATATTCACTCATCAGCCGCGTTGATTCTGACTGCGGTGCAGTATGCCGCGGCCTCCACTGTCCTCACGGTCGTTTCCATATACGTCGCGAAGGTATCGATGATATTACTCATTTCACGACTCTTTGCTCGGTCGCTGCGCTCTTATTATGCAGCCGTCGCTGTCGTTGGCGTCGCGGCCGCCATACAAATCCAGGCCGGTTGTGTCTACCCAACCTGCACAAAAGTTGCATCACGCTATTACGCCAATGCTGCGCTTGACATTGCGACGGAAGTCCTGATAATTGGACTTCCAGTGTATTGCATCCGCGACGTGCGGATGGCAAAAGTACACAAAGCAAAAGTGCTCGCTACGTTTTCAGCACGATCCTTAATGGTACTGTTCGCTGGTCTCATAGTCTGGTCGGCTACAAGGATTCGTGAAACAGGAAAGCTCTCGACATCTATTGTCCTTCCAGTTGTGTTGTTGCAGTTACAGCTCGGGCTGTCACTTTGCATCTGCGCCATTGTCCCCTGCTTCCGCATGATATTCCAAAGCACCGACATTGTTTCTACAACCTCTGGGGACCTCACGCGAGAAGGCAAACAAATCAGTAATCATAGCAACCGGGCGCGGTCCTTCGGTCGACCCACCCAAGGCACCGGAACGGACACACAGATATCATACATTCGTCAACCTACGCCTCCTCCTCCAGACATTCCGAGGAAGCCCGAGCACTCAGCTCAGCGAAGCCAGGATACAAGTGGGGCTGCCTCGCATACTACAGGCAGGCCGAGCGAAGGAGGAGCGAGCGATAGCAGCTTAGTACCCAGTGCAACCACAGGTCTGAGCACAAAACCGCTTGTTCAAGCCCCTGAGGCTTGAATTCGATCAACTTGCGCGGACCACTTGAATTGCATCAATGAACGGACACGACTCGGTTTTAGAGATGGATTCATAGACCTGTTGTTCACTGCCCCTCATCATATAAGAATGTGTATTATACTGGCCCAGAACTTTGGGTTCTGCCAGCATTGGTTGGCATCGTTCTTTTTTCTTTTTTTAACGAAATTGTGCGGCGGGCCCGCAACTTTTGGGTGGCACGATTGATGATTATACGGCTATTTTGTTTCAGGGTAATAGGGTATCCGGTTCAACTTACAGGTTCGGAACATGGGAATAAAGGAGAGGGATAGCTTCTCCCTTGGGACTGCAATTGGGATTGAAAACCAACTAGCGAGGGCGTTTGCGCTTTTGAGACGGGATTTTTGAGACGGGATTTCGGATTGATACCATTCTATGTTGTTCGGGCTCACCTGAAGGGTTTGAAGCCATCAAAAATCAGGATTCATCTACATATGATCTTGCGTTCCAGATAGCAGCTTCGCTGACACGGCTCGCACAATGTCAGAGGACACGTCGTCAAGCCACTATCCGCCCCATTCCAGCCTTTCCTACTGTTATCCGTAAAGGCCCACGGCTTTTATTCAGCAAAAATAGGATCCTTAGTTCGCTTGGCGTGACCTCAAGCCATCCGTGGCGATTAAATACAACGGGCATTCGTTCCTGCAATCACGACGTGTCGGTTTCTGGTCTTCCAAGTTCGGAAACCTAACGTAGCCAAAGTTTTACTATTACGGTAGCGTCTTGTTCCTCCGCGCTTGATCCCGGTGAGACCTGAGCAGAAATGAAATTGTCCAGTCCTTTCCGTGCAAGACGCCTGCCGCCCATGTCCACTACGCCATCAATCTAATGTTTTGGGGTACCAAAAGTCCGGAGTGGCGGTCGATCTGTGGTACAGCATATCGACCAGGCTTAACGTGAGACTACTCAGCAGGAAAGCTTCCTGCAGTTGCTAAGCTGAGCAAGAGCCAGGCGTTATCGTGCAACGGCATATGTATAAGCACGAGCCTATGCTCTCTGTCTGTCTTGTCGCGCCATCGGCGTTGAACGCCTTATCATTCCAATGTAGAAATACCCGATTGTGATTATGCTTCGTCTCTTCGTGAGCATGCAACCCGCGCACGCGTTTCAACATTCTAGGGGGAGCGAACATAAGTCCAACGCCATCTCGCGTCCCGTGAGAACTTCGGGAAGTTTGCCATTGTAGACAAGAGAACCCCCGATCATGGGTCCATGTTTTATCCATGACACTGATTCTCTCCTGTCTGATATTCGTTCCGACGAGTTGGGGTCGGGTTACCATGGTCGTGGGTAGGGGAAGCCGGCTCGACGGCTAGGCTTTGATGCCCTCGTCCTCTCGTGACGGTGGACTAGTATCAATTCTGCTCTCCTCCGAACACTAAAACAAACATCTTTTCTATGCGAGATGCGCGGATAGCCCGGATTGACTGCCCGACAAAGCATGGCCTGATCGAGGTCAAACCACACCAAGTTCACGACAACCTTGGTATACATCTTTTTCCTCGTCATGATCCCTTCCTTGAGAACGGTCGTTCGCGGGACAACTCAGACGCAAAGACCAGTTTTGACGCTCAGTGTTCGGTGCAGCTTTGCAACGGGGGAGTAGACCGCCCTTTCTTGAGAAACTAATAGCCTGCCTTGCACTTGAGAGCATGTCACTCAGAGCGTGCAAGTACATCGCTACAGCTCAGCTGGCTATGTGTCCTCGATGGCCTGCATGGTTGCGTGGATTTATTCTACATCTCCACCACGTGCAAGACCTACCAAATTCACAATGTACCTAGCCTTTGACCGGCCATCAAATCCCAGTATCTATGCCTCAGCTTTTATTCTGATTACTCTGTTTGAAAGCAATGAAAAGCAAAAATAAGGAGTGACAAATCTTGTGCAAATTACCCCGTCTCGATCATTGGCCAGCGATGGCAAGCTCAAGTGTTTATCTCCCAGATGTAGCAGCGCCCCGCTTTGCTCATTTCTTCCCATGATCGTCAAGAGTCGACCGCAGCTTTCCCATGGCGAGAGCAAGGGGGGCTACCTTGCGGCCATGTCCTTGATGATGTCCTGATAGTATTCCTTGCATTCAAGCCTCGTCAATTTTAGGTTTGATACTTCGTAGACATTTCGCACTCGTATCTCTTTTCTCTTTCTAGTCAAAGATGGCACAGCGCATTGATCCCAAGCCTAAGCATACGATTCTGGACCACTGGCCGACGGGAGGATGATTATATGCATTCGGCTTTGTTGTCCTGCGATAGGAATCTCCGAGAGTGAGAGCCGGGTGAAGGTTAACCTGGTGATATTAAAGAGATGTACTAAATACCCACGGTTGCCTTTGCAAGAGGACGAGCCTCAGCTAAGCTCTTTATTGACACCATATCTAATATGGGAAGCATAAGACTCGTTTCGCGTGAGATTTATAGCCATAGCAGCAGACTAGCTTCGCAAAACCGTCTAAAATTCCCCTGAGACCTGATCCTCTGAGTTTGGTATCACAATTCGCCGTAGTCATCACAAGCGGACCGAACCATACTACAATGCCATCTCGCATATTCCCGTGCAAATTCTCGTACTGGTACAAGCCAACGCTTGAAGATGTCCACACCCCAAAACGCCATGCCCTTCTTGTTAGTGTGCCCAACCCCTACTACTCACAGCTCACGTACGTAACACATCGTCTATATTTAGGAAAACCACAGCTTCAGCCCTTCTCAGTCGCTCTTCAACATGTTCTCCACAAGCTCGCCCATTGGGCCCCAGTAATCCCTCTGACCCTGAGCCAAACCGAACTCCTCAATAAAAAGCACATAGTGTTTGAAGCTGGTGTTGAGGTGCGGCTCCAGACCCAGCGCCACAATAATTGGGTAATGGTGGCAGTATATATGTGCGTATACACGGTACATGCGCTTGAAAATTTGATTAAGACGAGGGCGGAAGGACTTGGGGAAGGGGACGCCGATGCGCGAAGGGAAGATGGTTTCGTTGTCGATGGTTGCTTGCACCCACGACATGAGATGCTCGACGTACTCAGGCGCAGGCATCTTTGTGGGCTTCTTATAGGTCTCATCATCCTGCCAGAGATATTCGAACCTATTGTTGCTTGCATTAGTCCTTGTACTGAAGCATTCGTCGCCGAATTCTCATACTCATCTGTGGCCTTCATTTCAGGGCAGCTCTGAGGACTGCAAAACTCAGTGATGGATCCATAGAGCAAATTAATCTGGTTGTAGAAGTCGACGCCTTGTGTCCGCTTTTTAGCAAACGTCTGTTACAAATGTACTCATATTTGCAGAACGTACAATTGACTGCAAGCCATTCGTCTTTGTCCTCACCCTCTGGTAGCTTGACAGCCTTCCTTAGGCTCCCACTACCAAGCGTTGCCTCGGCGAACTGTCTCAATTGCCAATTCGTTGTCCCTTTGCCAGCCTTTTGAGGTCGGAACGGCGCTCTCGTTCGTGAGTTACTATTCACGCTGTCAGAAAGCTCTGGCATGCTATACTGCAGGACTTGTGATATCGGGATATTCGACGCAGTATTGGTGCGATATGACAGGATTGGATCATTCGTTTTGGTGTTGTCCCACAAAGGTAAACCAACGCAGGGTCGTGAGTATGCAAATGTGACAACCGAATCAAGCGGTCTTGTTGGACTTGGAAACAAATTCATGGACTTATATCCCTGTGGTATAATTGCAACTATACGTGTGTAGGTGTAGCATGAAGATCAAGAAGAAATGCCGGAAGTTACGCACATTGTTGTGATGAACGAAGTCATGGCGAAGGAGTTTTCGCAGCCCTAAAGAACAAAAACTGGGCTTTCGGGAGGATTTGCGTGTTTTCGCGAGACAGACAGGTCGATATTGGGCTTCAGTTAATGTCCCGTGTTGTGCCCTGTTTAGTGAGCCAAATTGTCGCTCAACGGTAAACTTGGGCACCAGATGTGTAACACAACGCACCTGTTAGACTATGGGCGATCAAATATTGGCGTAGGGAGTCTGTCTAGGCGGAGCAAGCATAGAAGGAGTGTTATTCTATGGTCTTTGTGAACAGGAGCTCGCTCTGGAGAGAGATTGTTGTGCGTCCAGACTTCCCCACAGCGAGGCTGAACAAGGGTCATCCTGAGATTACAATAGACTCAGTGGCGCATGGCAACCGTATTACTGACTCACTCTGAAGAAAGTCGTCAGAGTAAAGAGTACCAAGTATTCGTAGCATAATGGGCATGCAAATCCAGGAATCCGAGCCCAAAAAGCAGTCTAGTCCATGCTTATAGGGACAAAAACGCGACTATATTATGAATTCATTCAATCTCTCCGGGAAATATGCTTCGTATGCATACAAAAAACATGGACTTTGCATCAGCATCATTGAACACAGTTCAACGTTTGTTCTTAATATTAACCTCGGCGCTCTATATAGTTTGACTTCGATTTCAAATCCATGGCCAAGATAACGTGAGTCTTATGTACGTACTGGACCAGCAGCTCTGCCGGTGGGAAACACTTTGCGCAATAACACGCAATCAATAATGTACCAATATGTACGCAGAGCATGCGGCTAAGTGGCTCCCTAAGTTCGGGACACATGAACGAAAAACATCTTCCGCGAACTCTTGATGCTGTCATCAAACATGATTCTTTAGCTGTTCTAACAAGTGTTGGAAAGCCTACACAGCTAAGGTACCTACAGTGATACTGCAGTCCTGGGAGCCCTTGGCCAGCAGAGATGGAGATAATGATATCTGCTTAAATGTTGGACATAGAGGTTTTTATTTAACAAGTGCAAAGCACGTCTTTTACCAACACGCACTGCTCGAAGCAATAAGAAGAGATTGTTGAGTGCAAAAGGAGCTGGAATGATTCACCTATATTCGCATTCCGCCCTTCTGCTCAGTGGAAATGCTGCTAGATTGTCTCAAGCATTCCTGACAATTCCCAAAATAGCATGAAAACTATTGTTGCATTTCACTGCAAAGCGAATCAAGCAGGTACGTATTGGACGCTGGATCTGGTGAGTTTCTTATATGAGATTCTGATAAAAGGGACTCATTCCTTGCCTACTGGCGGCGTCATACATGAATCTCGTCCGAGCTTCAACCTGCGGCTACCTCCTCGGCGTCCTTGCATGCATCATACGTCTTTGTGACTGCAAAGATGGTCGCGTGAATATTTACATGGCATACTGACGATTCACAAAGGTAATAATGCTGTCCGCCTTCACGGCTCGACCGATTGTCGAGTTGAAGCAGCGCGACAAGAGCAAGATAGAGTCCATCCTTGCGTATGGTATTAAACAATCTGACGACTTTTGACATGTGTGGATGATCCACTGACACAATGGTTCTAGGCGACAAGCTGCTCGTCGGACTTAACACGGGCTCGTTGCGCATATACCGCGTCAACGAAATTCCTGAGACGGAGACCGGCCCTCACGACGGCGCAACCAACGGTGACGAAGAGGATGCTCCACGCCCTAAGGTCAGACCGGTGGATCTTTTGCGAGAAGAGGAGAAGTTCTCCCGGAAACCTATACAGCAGCTTGCCATCATAAAGGAGGTTGGGATTCTCGTCTCACTTTCGGATAACTATGTTTCGATCCACGAGCTACAGACGTACGCATTGCAGGAACGCCTCGAGCAGACCAAGGGTGCGGCTACATTCGCCATAACAAGTAACATTGTCAAGGATCCCACAAGTGGAATACCGGACATTGTATCGAGATTGGCTGTGGCAGTTAAGAGGCGCATAATGATTTGGTCGTGGCAAGCGATGGAGCTATCCCACGATGTTACAGAGATTACTATGAGCGCGGCCGTGAAGTCGCTACACTGGGCAACGGGCACAAAGATGATTGTGGGCCTGGACCCCGGATTTTTCATGGTTGATGCAGAGTCTAAGGAGGTGACGGATATTATCAAGCCAAGCTCTGCTGATGAGGCTGCGGGTCAGACCGGTACTCGATTTGGTGCCGTGAGCTCTACCGGCATGTCGTACGTGGGCATGGGAGGTTGGGTACCTCGGCCTATGGCCACGAGACTGGGCGAAGGTGAGATGCTGCTAGCAAAAGACGTGAATACGCTCTTCATCGACTTGGACGGCAAAGCTCTGGATAAACGGCAAGTACCGTGGTCTCAGGCACCTGAGACAATAGCATATTCTTATCCCTATCTGTTGGCGCTGCAATCGCCTTCGAAGGGTGTCTTGGAAGTCCGCAACCCCGACACGTTGTCCCTTTTGCAGTCAGTAAACGTACCCAACGCGAACCTACTGCATGTTCCACAGCCCAATATTAGTCTGGCACATGCGGGCAAAGGTTTCCTTGTTGCAAGCGACAGAGTCGTCTGGCGAATGGAAGCACTCGATTACGAGAGCCAACTTGACGTGCTCACAGAACAGGGACGCTATGACGAAGCAGTTAGTCTTCTAGGTATGCTTGAAGATACGCTACTCAAAGATAAAACTGGAAGGCTGCGTGAAATCCAAATGCTCAAAGCACAGAGCCTTTTTGAAGCACGCAGGTACCACGACGCCCTCGACTTGTTTTCGAAAGCAAAGTCACCTCCGGCGCGGGTCATTGCCTTATACCCTCGATCTATCGCCGGTGATTTATCGAAGATTCAGGAAGATGAAGTTGAGGAGGCAGATGTTGACGAGGAGAAATCGGACATGACTAAGTCGACTCCATCTTCGCCCAAAGTTGTGCCTCAAGGCAGCATTGGAAGGTCCATGTTCGGCAGATTGATGGCTGAGCAGAAGAAGTCTGACTCGGACACTTCATCTGTCAAGAACGGGAAAGCCGGCGATGTCAGCGAGACGATGAGTGTCAAGGGTAAAGCGATCGAGACCACGCCAGCATCAGACAAGGCCCTAGAGGGGAAGGACTTAGACAGAGCTGTGAATGCGCTCTTTGGATTTCTGGCACAGTCAAGGGTGGACCTACAGAAGTACCTAAAACCTGACGGTACCCTGCATCATGAATTGCCACCACCCGAGGAGAGACCAAAGAACTATCGCCCGCCTTTTTTTGAATACATCCAAATCGAAGGTGACGACACAAAGGATGTCAATTGGTCGGAGGAGCTCCTCGACGTTGCGAAGTTGGTAGATACGACACTCTTCAGGGCGTATATGTTGAAACAGCCCCGTCTTATTGGCTCGCTCTTCCGCATCAATAATTTCTGCGACCCCCTGGTTGTGCGGGATAAGCTGGATGAGACGGGTCGGTATGCCGAGCTCATTGACTTTTTGCACGGCAAGAAGTTGCATCGCGAGGCGTTGGAGGTTCTGGCACGTTTTGGCAAGAGTGAAGCGGGTGATACGGACATTCCCGAAGAACTGAAAGGCCCGCGGAGGACGATTGGATACTTGCAACAACTTCCTCCGGAGATGATTGACATAATTCTGGAGTTCGCTGAGTGGCCGCTCAAGTCGCAGCCAGAAGAAGGTATGCAGATTTTTCTGGCTGATACCGAGAATGCAGAAACTTTGCCTAGACATCGCGTAGTGGAGTTTCTGCAAGGTATTGATGCAAACCTGGCAGTGCGATACTTAGAGCACATCATCTTTGAGCTCAATGACCTAACACCGGATTTTCACCAGCGGCTGATAGACCTGTACCTTGACCGACTACGGGAGAAGGATGGCTTTGATTCCGAGGAGTTGCGTCTAGACTGGCGCACACGACTTGAGAAGATTCTCAAATCGAGTTCACAGTATCATCGAGGACGAGTCTTCGGTCGGCTACCAGCTGACGACCCAGATTTCTATGAAGCTCGGGCGATCGTCCTTAGCAAGATGGGAAACCACAAGCAAGCTCTTCAGATCTACGTATTCCAGATCCAGGACTACGACAAGGCCGAAGAGTACTGCAACGAGCAGTATCTCCTGTCCACAAAGAGTCCGACCCCAAGCACCGGGGGCCCTACGAACCTCACCATCTCCACAGACATCATGGATGATGCTGTGGAGCCAAGCATATATCACACCTTGCTGAGCCTGTATCTCCAGCCTCCTCCACCTCATAAGCCGAACTGGATCCCAGCGCTAGATCTTCTTTCCAAGCACGGAGCTCGCCTGCCCGCATCTAGCACCCTGGAAATCATCCCGTCAACACTTCCTGTAAAGGACCTTGAGTCCTATTTCCGTGGACGGATCCGCTCCGCAAACTCGACGCTCAACGAGGAAAGGATCGTGGCGCGACTGAGGGGTGTGGAGAAGGTCCGAACAGAGGAGAACTTGCTGGAGAAACGAAATAGAGCCTTCAAGATCGATGAGGAGCGTGTTTGTGGAGTGTGCTACAAGAGATTTGGCGGCAGTGCGATCAGAGTTTGGCCCGACGGGAGAGTAACTCACTACGGATGTATGAGAAACAGTCTTGGCAGTGGAACAAAGAGCGGAAGAGCACCGGTGAGAAGGTTGTTCAGCTAGCATTTCCTTCGGAACGTTTAAGAGTATGTTTGCATAGCCGCGATACCTCGCTAACGATCTCGTTGTTCCTTGTTTCAAAACAGCCGAACACGGCCATCTCCCAACGACAGTAACAATTTTTTCGAGGCGAAATGAAGTCATGTTCTGAGGCGCGTGTACAAAAATGCTGAGCGTTTTCTCCTATCACGGTTAAACATTCTTGAGCCAATACGGCTACCCTTTGCGTCAATGAACGTACGTTGAAGTCTCTGCGTCTTTCGATTTCAGGTTGTAAACGCTATATTGAAGCTACGCAGAATCGATCTCAGCGAAGCTGCTTGAGGCTCTTCATAACGTCAGGGTCACTTCAAGAGCGCGGAGACTTAAGACTGGTGGCCTTGGAAGGCTCTGGCCTGAAACATAGGTTTGCGGAGCTGACAATCGAAGGGCTACGCTTCATAGCCCGAAACAGCACGAGATTAGGGGAAGACGACATCATCGAGTCACCATCGACGGAGAGCAACAAGCGGATCGATTTCGCCGACATGGCCGTCTCTTACTTCACCAACGTCTTCTGACGTTACGCGCTCAGTAGGCAACTTCACAGCGCGACTGTGAGATTGCGAGCTCCCCGCCGTCCCGCAGAAGGTTTTTCTCTATCCTCGAAGTAAGGCGACGCTGGACAGACTCGGACGTGTCCGCCCTCGCCGCCGGCAAAGGTCTACTGGGACCGCTGGCTGCCGAATTGCCTAGGCCGCTCCTAGACAACGACGACTTAACCGACACATCGCACCAGCTCACGGACAAGCGCGACGTGCTGTCGAGACTCCACGCGCGCTTTCCTCGACTGTCTCTACGCCGTGGGGGTTGTAGCCGACCGAATGGAAACGCTAGACGATCCGACGAGGTCGCGGTACCTCATCAACAGAGAGAACGGCTAAAACTGCGAGGCTACATTCAGCACGCGAAGACCCAGGCGTTTTGAAGAGCATGGAATTCGGCCCAAGAAGTTAGAGCTGGCGGAGAAATGCGCAGGGGAAAAAAAAATCTTGAATTTACTGTTCTACTCCCAAAGTCTCCCTGTCTTTTCTTCCCAAAACGCCACATGTATTTTTTTTCACTCTCTCTTCTTCTCCCCACCGTCAGTGATAACAGGCCTTCATGAACTACAGAGCTCACTGGCTGAGAAGGCTAGACATGGAGACGTTACGCAAGAGGGAAAACGAAGAACAAAAATTTACGCCTCGGTCATGTGTTTTGGTATCTAAAATCTCAAATCCCACCCGATGATTGGACCCAGCTTGGGCAGCTCGTCTGCCACGCTCTGAACATCCTTGTCGCCGCGCCCACTTAGGCAGATGACGACGTCTTCGTCCTTCTTCATCGTCTTGGCAAGCTCGACGGCGCCGTAAATGGCGTGCGCGCTCTCCAGCGCTGGGATGATACCCTCAAGCTCGCTGATGAGCCTGAAGCCGATGAATGCTTGGGCGTCCGTTGCTGCGATGAATTTGGCCCGCTCGTTGTCCTTCCACGAGGACAGCTCCGGACCCACGCCAGGGTAGTCGAGACCGGCGGACACGGAGTGGGTGTCCTGGATCTGGCCGTGCTGGTTCTGCAGCACGTATGTGCGTACGCCGTGTAGAACGCCCTTTGTGCCACCGGACAAAGTGGCAGCGTGCTTTTTGGTATCGAGACCGTCGCCGCCGGCCTCGACGCCGAGCAGTTTGACGGACGGGTCGTTGCTGAAGGGGTAGAACATGCCCACGGCGTTGGAGCCGCCGCCGACGCAGGCGACGACGGCATCTGGCAGCTTGCCGCGCTTCTCAAGCATCTGGGCCTTGGTCTCGTTGCCGATGACCGACTGGAAGGTGCGCACGATGAGCGGGAACGGATGCGGGCCGATGGCGGAGCCGATGATGTAGTGGGTCGTGCTGAGGTTGACAACCCAGGCGCGCAGCGCCTCGTTGACGGCGTCGCGCAGGGTCTGGGTGCCGGCTTCGACGGCGACGACGCGGGCGCCAAGCAGCTTGATGCGGAACACGTTGAGGGCTTGGCGCCGCACGTCCTCGGCGCCCATGTAGATGGTGCACTTCATACCGAACTTTGCGCACACGGTCGCAGTGGCAACGCCGTGCTGGCCCGCGCCCGTCTCGGCGATGATCTCCGTCTTGCCCATGCGGCGGGCGAGCAGGATCTGGCCGAGCGCGTTGTTGATCTTGTGCGAGCCCGTATGGTTCAGATCCTCACGCTTCAGCCAGATGTTGGCGCCGCCCGCGTGCGCCGTCAGCCGCTCAGCCAGGTGCAGCTGGCCAGGCCGACCCATGTAGGGATAGTAGGAGCGATACTCTTCCCAGAAAGAGGGGTCGTCCTTGGCCTGGTTGAAGCATGCTTCCAGCTCGGCGAGACAGTCCATCAGCGATTCGGGCACGTACTGTCCGCCGAACTCACCGAAGCGCGGGGGCAGCAGCGTCTTGTCGCGGAAGCCATCCGTGTTCAGGGCCTCTATCTGTTCGACCAGACCGGGACCGTCGCCGTTGCTGGTGACGACGCCGTCGACGTGCACGCCGTCGGGCTCCTTGGCGGCAGCTATCGTCTCCACGATGCCGACCTCGCGCGTTGTGACGGGCTGGGTCGGGTCGCGGCCCGTGATCATGGTGCAATACTCGGCAACCTTGGCGGCGCGCTGGCCGGCGGGCGCGGACGAAAGCACGTTGATGATCTGGCTGCCAATGACGACGCCCTCGGCGATGGCGCCGACGCTCAGGAAGTGGTCGCGCGTGCTTACGCCGAAGCCGACGGCGGCGGGGACGTTTCCAGAGTATTTGTGCACGCGCTCGAGCAGCTCGGGCAGGGCGGCGTTGAGGGTGCCGGTTGCGCCGGTGACACCCATGCGCGAGACGACGTAAATGAACGAGTCTGCGATCTGGCAGAGCAGCTTCATGCGGAAGTCGGACGTCGAGGGAGCAATGAGGGGAACGTACGAGAGGCTGTGGAGGCGACGTGGTTTGTTAGCCCAAGGCAACGTCGACCAAAAAGGACCAGGATGATAGCGACGACGACGACGACGACGACGACGACGCGCTCGTTGCCCCGCTTTCCGCCCATTGGACGACACTGCTTAGGCACCGCGCCTGTGTGCGTCCTTCTCTTGACGGGCACGTGCGTGCTTGCGAAATGTGTACAACGGGCAGGGGCGAGACAGAGAACACAGGTGGGACAGAGAAGGAGTAACTCACCCGGCCTTTGCGCAATAATTTCTAAACTTGACGGCCTCCTCGGGCGGTAGGTCGACCATGATGAAGCCATTGACGCCGGCCTCCTTGGAGTCGCGCATCAACTTCTCCTCGCCGTAGCTCAGCGTGGGGTTGTAGTAGCCCATGAGGATGACGGGCACAGTCAGGCCCTTGGCGCGGGCGGTGCGCACCATGTCCAAGCAGTGTGCTGTCGTTACGCCATTTTCGAGCGCTTTCTGGTCGTATGGGGCGCCGCGTCAGCAACGGAGACGTACGGACTGGGAGAGGCTAGACGGAGGAATGGGTTGGAAGGGAAAGCAGGAAGCATCATGCATGTGTATGTGTGCGTGGGAAGAGAGGCAGGGGAAGTGGAGATTGCCGTCCGTACCGTGTTCGACTTTTGAATGGTTGGCCCGTCGGCGATTGGATCTGTGAAGGGGACACCGAGTTCGATCACGTCTGTTGCGGGGACAGGTCAGCGAGGAGGAGACTGGAAACCCATTACGCGCACACGCTCCGTTGCGGAAGGAGGAGGAGAAGGGGAGATAGAGGGCGAGGTTGGGGGAAGAGATTGCGTCAGATGAATCTGGACGTAGGACGCTTGCGACTGGGTAGAACTTTGTGTCCAATGTCCATGTGTTTCGTACGCATGCGTGCAATTCGGCGTAGAGCGGGTGACCGTGTGGGCGGGTGGATGCGTACCTGCGCCGCCAGCCTGCATGCCCAGCATGATGTCTGGGGTCTCTTCTATGGTCGGGTAACCTGCGGTGACATACGTGACGAGGGCGGGCTGTGGTTCGTCTGTCAGCTGGCGTTTCTCGCGCCCGCCGGCGGCAAAGGCAGGCGGGAACCGGCACGTACCCGGCCCTCCTTTTTGCACTGTGCAAACGTGTTCTTGAGCGCCGAAGCCATTGTGGTGCTCGTTCCTTCCGCTGCGGTGTCTGGCTGCGGTTTCTGTCGTGTGCGGTGACGGGTCGGTGGGATGTGGCCGGAGGAGGGTTTTGTCGGCACAGGTGGCGAAGGGCAAGCAAGGGAAGCGAAAAAGGTCGGACGGGCTCGGTGCCTGCGCGACGGGACGAATTGGGGGACAATTGGCGAGCAGGACAAGAGAGACGAGCAGGCCGACGTAGAGGGATGTGTATGAAGAATCAATTGGAGACGAGGAGGGCGGACGTGGGCCCGGCGAACAGAGTGACTGCGCTTTGGGTGCTCTGACTGTTCTATGACTCCTCTGGCTGATGGTTTTTTTTCTAGTACGAATTTGGCGCAGAGGGGTCCCTGGGCGGCGTCGTGACGGGGGGGCCTCCACCCCTCCCTCCTCCGCCCGCCCTCGCCCCTCCAACAGCACCCGCTCAGGGTCCTCTGCAAGTCCCCGCTGGCGAGGTCGGCGCTGGGCTTGAGCGATGATGTCGCTGAGCGCGTTGACGATTTGCCCCGCCAACAACAAACTGCCCCCCCCAAAACACCCACTATATTCCCCCAACCATGGGCGGATGCTCCTCCATCAATGGCCCCCCGTGTCCGCGAGCTCCGGCGCGTAGAACTGAGCACAGAGCCCGCGAATGCTAGACCGGCACAACGCCTGCGGCTTATCTTTTCAGTGCACCAGCTTGCTTGTGCCCTTTCTCGCGCGGCGCTCCTCCTCTGGCTTTTGGCCCATCGCCGCCCTCTGCTTAGCCGGACCAATGCACTTGCGCGATCGAAGCCGCTAACGACCGAGTGGATCGTTCTTGATTATCATCCGCCTCTCTCGTCGTCAACTCACCACCCGAGTATGCACTCGTCTTGTCTTGGTCCTCCGTGTTTCCTTTATTTTTACTTTTCTCGTCAAAAGCCGTGGGCTTCGGGTCGAGTCTCTTGGCGGGGCTCCGTTCCGCATCATTGCCGTTTGCCGTCTGTCAGTGCCCATCACACCACACGGAGGGAAGGGGACGGTGGACGCTGACGGCGACAAAGGACGGCTCCAGCAGAGAAAAAGGGCTGCGCGGGTGGAGGCTGTGCTGTGATACGTATATGGGTGGCAGTTCAGATTGCTGCCCGGCTCTGCCGTTGCGTCCATCGCCTGGTCACGTCCCATCTCGACTCGCGTCTTTTGCTTCGTGCCCTTTGTCGATTCCCCGTCGTCTTTTCTCTGCCTGCTTGATCACGGCCCACGAATTGAAAGGCCTCTGCTCGCGAACGAGTCCCGTCGCCGCACCGGGGCACCGTGCATCATGGGTCACGCACACACACACCGTCTTCGTATCCGCTGGCTCTGCACGCCCGTGTCTGGCTCGTCCTGCTGCTCGCCTTGCTTGCTTCTTGTCCTCCCTCGCACCGGACGCCTCCCTTGACCATGCCATGCTCCCCGCCGTGCCATGCGTCTGTCCGTGTGCTCTGCGTCGCGTGTTTCCGTCTCCTTCCTCCGCTTGCGTCTCTTCGGCCGCACTGGCCGTTGCTGGCTGGCCTGCATCTCCGGGCTCTATTTGTTGACGGCCTGGCCTCTGGCCTATGATAGCGGACGCTGTTTTGTTGTGGCTGTTGCTGCTGTGATCACCGGAACTGGTGACATGATGAATCGATGGCGCCGTCGTGGTGCAGCCTTGCCGCGGGCCTCTGAGCCAAAGGCCCGTCGTTCTGCGCTGCGCTGCGCTGCGCTCTGCTCTGCTCGTCCGCTCTGGTCTCGTCTCGTCTTTGCCTCGCTGCAGCCACCGACGAGTCTTCCACCGGCCCCTGTCGACCGTCCAAAACGTCGCCTTTTAATGAGAGCAATTATCAACACGACACAAAACGGGAACGCGGCCGCCCCTTCTTCATTTTGCGCCCAATAAACAATTTTACATTCTGTCTCTGCCTTTTCCTACTCGCATTGCGCTCTCCCACCTCGGGATCCTCTTTCTTCGCTTTACTTTCTCTTTGGCTTTCGCTCTGCCCTTCGCTCCAGCTACTCTCCCTCTTCCTCTCTCTCTCTCGCGCTCTGTGTCTTTTATTTCTTTCTCCGCTTTCCTCTCGCTTTTTGCTCGTTCCAATTTTTCTTCTTCTCCCCCTCTCTGGGCCCTCTCCAATCTCTCTTTGGTTCTGTGGCTAACCGTCATTCGTTCGTGCGCCTCCTGCCTCCGCCACCGCCATCACCTCCCACTTCGTCTGCCTGCTGTTTCGAGCGAGGGGACAACCCGATCCGCCGCCGTCTTTTTGCGCTTTCCGTTCTCTGCTCGCTTCGACCTCCAATCCTCTTCTGGGCAAGTAAGAGAAGGAGAAGGGAGCGCTCGCATACTGAAGAAACAAATTCAAAAGAGACTGGCCATCGAAACAGAATGGGCGACGCCGTGCTGGACGCTTCGACCCTTGCTTGCGAACGTCTACATAGCCCCAACGCCGACACGCTCGAGGACGCCGGCGGCGATACCTCCACTACACGCGGCTTCTGGAGGCTGCCGCCCGAAATCCGCAATGCCATCTATGAGGAGCTCTTGGTCACCGACTGCGCTTTCAGACTTGGGTACGTCCTCCGATTTAGACTTTCAGCTTCTCCGCCATACTCGCATGCACGGATGCACAGGCAAGTTGTACAAACACAGATCCCTAAGTGTTTTTGTGCATGCACTAGTGTATGTGCATACGTGTTTATGCGTGTATGTTGCGCACTGTCGTAGGAGCAGCGAACAAACAAGCCTTTTGCTGATCTGTATACGTCCACCTTGAACAGACATCACGGCCCGTATTCACATGAGAAGCGCAAGAAGCTATACCCGGCCATACTGCGCACCTCCTCGCAGGCTTATCACGAAGCTGTTGCCATCCTGTACGGAAGCAACACTTTTTTTCTTGGCCCGCTAGGTACGTACGCAAACCCAAGCCACCTCCCTTTCATTGCTGCATTTCGCATGTGCCGCCAAACACACACCAAGCATATCACACCGTACATACACACCATGGGATGTTTGTAATCGTAGCCCAATACGGCAGATCCAGGCCAGCATATCCGTCATCGCGCCCAGACAAGAAAACCAAGCTGACAGGCACACCCACTTCTTCAGGTTTCAAACCGACGTACAGCGCCTCGTTCGTTGCCAGCATAGGAACCCCAAACGCTCTGCGCATACGGACTGTCGTTGCTCACTGCATTCATCCCCAGCTACTTACCCAGTCGTATCTGTCTCGCTGGTTCACCGCCCTGGGACTTGACTATCCTCGACTCAAGATCATCGCAGTCTCCTTCTCCACAGCGCAAGAGGACACGAAGCCACGCATTGTCAGCATTCCGCCGCCACCCACGCAATTCCAGCTGCCTACTAATCTACCCGTGCTTGGTAGCCAATGGCCGGGAACTCCCAGTGCAGGTGTCGCCACAACTCCGCCTGCCGTGGTCGTTTCCGGAGTGCTCCCAGGAACCGGAAGTGGGACTGCGGGCACAGGCACGACGACCGGAGCAGGAGGGGGAGGCGGCCATGTGCGAGTTGACAGTGCTAGAGAGGACATGCTACCAGAGACGGAGCTGGATCGTGCGGTTGCGAGGAGCAAAGGGTGGTTAGAGAAGCGGAAACGGAGCGAGGTTGACGGGCTTGTTGCGTTGCGCAATACGGATCTGCGCGCGGGCGACGATTGGCTTGTGTACGTGAGCCCCGCCGTCAAGAAGAGAATGGGCGTCAAACTTTGGTGAATACCGCTTCGCACCTTTCTTTTTTTTTTTTTTTTTTCTTTTGACACATTCCTGCGCTTTGTCAGGTCCCAATTTTGTAATATCTGGAGGGGTAAGGCGGAACGGAGCTCAGAAACAAAAAAAAAAAAAAATAATGGCCACATACTTAGAGATGAGATGGCGACATCAAAGGGGGGCTGGGTCTTTTTTTCATTTTGGGAGATTGACGCTACAGCTTCACACTTCGCCGTAGGCGCATTACACAGTCACCATCACTTACGGGAAACGCGAGGGCTGGTCAAAGGCTTGGAGCGGGCATATTTGTTAACTGGGAAGAGCGGTTAGAACTGGCAGGGAGTACTGATGACTACTTCTACTACCACTACTCCTGCTACGATTACGACGTGTGCGTGTCGGGGTATACGCAAGCATCCTTGAGGTTTTTGTTCTTCGGTTTCTGGGTTCTTGACTTGATCGCAAGGACGAAAAAGCATGGTGTTTTCGGGCAAGGGGTGCGGAATGGGAAACACTGAGATCTTTTGCGAGTTTCCCCCACCTCTTCCTCTTTTTTTTATACTTTATATATTCGGGGCCAAAGCAAAATATGTATACCCAGGCTCGAGAGGATCTACATGATGCAGCATAATTAACAAAAACGTCCGAACATCTTTTGTTCACCGTTCTGCCTCGACTGGCAGACACAAAGATGTCAAGAACCTTTTTTTTTTGGCAAGAAACGTGATTCGCAAAGCTCAGCCAGTGCCCAGAGCGAGAACGAAAAAAGGAAACTTGGGAGCCATTCGCAAAGCAGCGGAGGAGTGTTTTGATGAAAAGTAAGCCGAGCGTGGAGGAATGGGCCGTGGGAGATTCGAGAGGGAGGATGAGGCATATATACTTATATATATATGGATATATATCTTGTAGCCACCCCACTCTCTTCGCGCACAAGATCGCCCGCCTCGCTTTGATCGAATCGATTTGCCCGTCCAGGGACTGGAAGAGCAGCGACTGGCTACTACTATTACATTGGAAGAAAGAAAAAAAAAAGGGGGGGGGCGGGTGGTGGCATTCGCTGGCGAGCAGCCTCTCTCCGTTCCGAGCCCGCCGCCACTGTAGATGCCGCAGACGCGCGTGAAGACCACGTTTCTGCAACCCGCGAAACGTGCATCCCGCTCAAGGTAGACGAAGGGAAATGCGCGCCGAGGGCGAAGCTCGTCGCCACCCTTCTCATTCTTCCTTCTCTCTCTCTTTCTCTCTCTTTTTTTTTTTTTCCCTGGCACCTGAACTTCACACCCTAATTTTGCCCGGCGTATGACAATGAAAGACGCGGAACGCTACAGTGCTGGCTGGAAAACTCGAACAGACGGCGAAATAAAAAGAAACAAAAATAAAATCCGAAAGGGGGAAAAGGGATATCACGGCTTTGAGGGGAAATGCAACGCTTCGTGTGCAAAGAGGATCAAATACTACGGATTGGGAAGAAGGATGGAACCCCTAAGGAGGAAGGAGAGGATCAGGATAAGGAAGAGGAGCAGGAGGAGGATGGTGTTCAGCCTCCCCGCCGCCGCGAGCGCATCCAGGCCTCGTCCAGTTCCCGCGCCCGAGCAGCTGCCTCCCTCCGCTTCGCGGCCATGACCTCAGCCTGGCTCTGCTCATAGTTGGGTAATTCGTCGTCATCGCTGCCGACGCGATCCTCGATGCCCAGGCCGGCGAGCGCCTCGGCGATCATCTCCTGCTGGCTGGCTTGCCGTCGCACTGCCGGGACCGAGGCAGGAGAGCTGCGGGATCGCGTCTGCGTAGGCAGCGGCGGCAGCGGCGCCGCCAAGCGTGTCGATGATACGGCGGTCGGTTGCGGGCGCGAGTACGGCGCTGCGGGCGCGTAGCTGACCGGCGCGGGTGCAGGGCTAGGCTCTGGTGTGCGCGACCAGCCGCCACCCATCGCCGGGTTGGGTGACGGCGCGGGCGAGATGTCGAGCGACGACGTTGCTTCGGCGAAGAGTGCGAAGTCCGTAGGTGACGTGAACTCGTCAATTGCTTCGCTGTCCCGTCGCATGGGCGGAGACGAGGTAGGTGGATACGTCAAGTGCAGCGTCCCCGCCGGCCGCGATAACCTCGCCCGATTGTGCGCACGCCTCTCCACCACGACCTCACTGGATCCGGAGTAGCTCGTGGGCGAAGTCATAAATGTGTGCTGCGCGGAGAGTTGGCTCTGCGAGCTCGGATCGTATCCCCGCTCCTGGTAACCATTGCCTTCAACCGGGTTGAAGCCCATGTATGTGGGCTGGAGGCCGTACGATTGCGCCATACTGTCCACACGCATCGGCCACGGCGTGGTGGACTGCGTTGTGTGAGGAGCTACCGACGTTGACGTATCCTCCACAAACGACGTTATCAGCGGCGGTCCCGATAATAAGGTGGGCTCTGGTCTTTGGTAGTATGGTCTATAGGCAACATATTCTTGTCGAGTGTTAACAAGAGTCGAGTCTTGAGATGCATGCCTTCGCGAGAATCCTGATATAGTGAACCCCCTACCGAGGTCGCTGATAAAGGTTTCTCTATCGGCTAGCGGACTGACAGGCGACAAATCGCTCATCGATCGGTGCAATGGTTGAAACTGCGGCTGGATCACTTGGTGATAGGGCTCGGGCGCAGACGCTTGCGACGATGTCGACGTATCTCGTCTCCTTCTCCATGACAACCTCCTGGGTGACATCCGAGTTGGTGATGCTGGCGGTTCAATTTGTACGGCCGGGAGCTGGTCATGATTGTTAGAGACGCGAGGCAAGGCAGTAAGTATAATCGCTGCCGAGTGTTGATGGGTTCTTGTTTCGCATGTCTGCATAAGGGACGTTGACAAACCAGATGGTAGAGAGTGCGGACAGCGAAAGAATATTATGACCCGTGGAATTTGATGAAATGATAACTCCAGACGTACAATTGAACAGAGCGAATGCGAGCTGGTCGCGGGTGTTCCCGTCTACTTAGAGGACCCTAGGCAATCGGACGTTGGGGCATGATATGGTCCGTAGTGCTGTGGCGGAGGCGGCAATTGAAAGCCAAAAAAGGAGCCTGCCAGGCGGAGACAAGAAGAGATCGTTTGTTGGCCCTGACGGTTCTATACAGACACCTCAATTGCCAGGCTCAGCTCCTGGACTGCGCGCCGTGGTCAAAGAATAGGCCAGGAGGACGGAGTCCACTTGCTCAATACGAGCGAGCCAAGGAGAGGGGGGAGGAGAAACGGTTTATAGTTAGTCGATCTGCAATTATTAAAGGAATGTTTTGCGCCTAATAAGTATAGGCGAAGGAGTGGATGCTAAGTGCCCGGATCGATTGCAGCCATGCAATTCCCGGGGTCAAGAGTTGCATTGCACTTGTTCCAACAGGTGCAAAACGCAGTATCAGTCGAAGACTGTGTGCAGCACACGTCGTTGCCACTTTGATCTGCCCGTTCGGTCAGGCATTGTGCTCATCTGGTCTCGTGCGTGTCCGTAGCTTGACAAGAACACGCTCAACCTGAACACTGCAAAGGCAAAGCTAGTATGCCGGGGTGCGTGTTTAGCAGAAGCAGATGAAAAGATGGGAAGCCTTTGTCAGGAGCTGCGCCACGCCTCCCGCATGCTATTCTTAGGATTTAAGTGTGCTTAGATCACGACGATCTCACCCTGCGTCGAACGAGTGTGCATGTCTCCCTTGCGTCGAAAAGCACCGGGACCTTATTCTTCTCCTTCGTCGCCTGACTGACACTCTCCGTTGGTTCCGACCACTTGGAGGCAAGGGATCCTCTTTGTTGCACCAGATCCGCCTGCAGTGGTATTACAGAAAGATCTGGACCAAAGTCGACCGTTGACGACGCTAGGATAGACTGAGCCATGAAAGCGACGGCCAGCTTCGCCAAGATTCCAGCAATTCTGGTATTTAGGCTCTGCAAATATAGACCATCAAAAGGCGGGTTCTTTTCTTATTTTCGGTGACGACCAGCTGGACTCCAATTTACGAACGCACCACTCGCAGTGGCGGGACTGTCTGGCTGAGTATACAAACTACTCAGCTGGACCCTCCCTCAGCTAGAACACCGCGGGAGCGGGATGCAAACTAATCGGCTCAAACTGAGCGTCTTGTCGCGATGACGTGAGGGTGGAAATCGTGGCATCGTTACGTGACGAAGATGGTCAGAGGGTTACCCTTTTCTGGGACGGTTCAGGCTTGAAACCTCGACCGCAAGATGGTGAGGCAAACAGAGTATTCTTAGCACAGCCCAACCAGATATGGCCTAGCGGGTGCACGTGCGCCGCCCCAGGTCTTCATCTCTGCCCTTGATATTCACCGACGAAGCCGACGACGCCGCAGCATGCTTGAGTTCTCAATCTGTGAAATAATGTATTGCTACTATCTCATACTCTTCAGGCTGTAGTACATCTCGAGTCGTGCGTTTAACGTAGAGCCCTCAAAAGCCGTTCTGTTTGATCGAGTGAGTCGAATTGAGTGCAATTAGGGGTCGGTGACTTTTATCACACTACCGTTGATCTTAGCAAGACTAAGGCTTTGGGGAGAATGGACTGTGCAGGTATTCGTGCGGTTAAAACGCTGCGTTATATTCGTACAAGTTAAAAAATTAGGCCATAGATTACAACGTATGGGTACGCCGGCCTGAAGCGGCTGTACCTATAAACAGATTACAACGTTTATTTTTGTCCCAATTCCTCTGCTCAATTCGACACAATCCTCCAACACCACGCTAACATATCAAAAAACAAAGATTACATGAGCAGATCAGCAGGATACCATACGAGCGTGACCTTGTGCCACAATGCGTTGGTAAGCCACTGGTTTAACCTCAGCCATGCACAGGTCCATCGTGATTGGAGACGGAACAATGGAAGACGGGTTTCTCGTGGACATTGAGCGCCGAACCACTTGCGTCGGGATCGGTGGAAGTGCTTTCATTGTCGCCGAGCGTCTGAGCCCCGTCGACGTCTGCAGGATTTCCCTATCCGCGTTTGGCGATGTCGGCTTCATTATCGAGGTCGGTGCCCTGCTCGTAATTCCCGGCTGAAATGCTCCTGCCGTGGGGCTTGGAGTGGCAGAGGCGAATCTTACCGTTGGGGACTTTGGGGACCGTGGAGGCCTTGCCTCGGTGGACGAGAGTTCTTCGGCACCCTGGATAGGCAAAATGAGCTCGGACGCACGCAAGATCATAGGCGGTACTGGTGGAATCTCTTCTGCCCTTCCTTCCGCAGGCCCAGCCAGATTCTTCTCCGTCTTTTTGATATGCTCAATGAACTTTGATGTTTTGCGTCGCAATAGCGGAGGCGCTGGTCTCTCCTCGATCAAAGGGTCAGCTACCTTTTGCGCTGGGACGCTCTTTGTGCTCCTCCTGGAGACCAGGAAGCCGCTGGTTTCTGGCAAGCGAGGGGATGTAGACGGTGTCCTTACCGCCAATACCCCATCATGGCTCGAGTTCTTCCTGTGGAGGGTGGTATATGACTTTGGAGCTGCTACGTGTCGCGACTCTCCGTCCTTCGATGGCGGCTGAGGCGCCGTTCTCGGGTGTTCAAACATGCCTACTGGCTTCGGCTTAGGCAAACTAGGAATTGGTGATGTAATGTGTTGAGGCCCATTCCGACCGAATGAAGCCGCCAGCCGCTCGATCTCAGGCCGCGGTGAGTATGGTGACGGCGGTGGAGTCTTCTTCACTTCTGTACTTGCTCTTCTTTTTAAGCTATGCAGGGTTAGAGCGCGTTTCAGGCCATCGATCCTTCCAGGAGAGGGGGGAGGAGTCTGATATGTGTTCGAAGTCTGGGTGGACGACGAAGACTTTCTATTGTCATTTGAAGACCGAGATCGCATGTCTTCTCTCGATGTCCGTGACGATTGATTCCTCGAGGCTGCTGTTGAGGGATTCCGCGAGGAACTGTAGTGCATGTAATCGTCTGGGTGATATTCTGCCAGTCCTGCCAACCGTCCATCTTCGAATTTATACTCGTATGCAAACGGCTTGATCTGCGCTATTTTCTTCTCTGGATCGCTGTTCCATCGTCGATGCTCTGCCTTGTGCAATTTATTCGCACGGCTGGGAGCATCAGAGCCATGTGCTCCGGGCGCAAAGCCTTCCATGGCAGGCAGTTGGTGGGGTCTCGTCATAGTCCAAAGTTTATTTGATGCGGAGGGCACACACGTATGGCGCCGAAAAACATAATTGAGAAGCGACAGCAATGTTGGGAGAAAGTGGTATTGGAAAGGCTAGGCGGGGTTCCGCGCGGCGACAGTTAAATAAATCGTACCGATGATGCATGGCTCGGTGTGTAATCAGGCAATCCTCGAGGCTGAGTAGTAGTTCCGCCGTAGAGATCCGGACAATGGTCCATGGGGGCCTGGTAAGCATCCATGTAAGAACGGTACCGGTGTCTACCACGCGGCCAATGGCAGCACGTAGCCCCTGGTGTTGTACACTATCTCGTGAATGCCAAACTGCCGAAAGACTATTGACGTGCATGTAGTTCGTCAGCTCCCCTCTGTTTGGTGTGGACCGATCGCGAAAACTCCCACCTAGCGACGCTGAATGAAATGCAGTACACATGCGATGATTCGTCGCTGGAATGGAGCTGAATGGGTCGTCCTTTGGAGCGGTGGGTGTCGACGAGCGAGGATGAAGCTTGCTGGTTGCCCCTCCGATCTTTTCCCAGCATTCCCGATCGTGCATTTGCCCTATGCGTCATCGCAACGCCCGGCCACGCAGGTCTTCCTGAAAACGGTGAGTGTCTGCCGCGTTGTCAATCGAGCTCGTACACACGTCTTCTAAGCGGTGCTTTACGAGCGCAGCCGGCGTCCGGTAAGTAGCCCAAAACGGATATGCCATAATCCCTCAGCCTCGTGAAAAACTGTCATCCGGAAACCAGCATTCCCCATTTGTACACGGTTTCACGACTGAAACAGGATGTAGCAAATAAAAGAAGTGCTTAAGTAAGCGAGCACTGCCTTTGTTTCGAGCTATCCATAGACTCTTGTCATATGCGCGAGAATAAAACGTCAACTTGGTGGTGCTCACACGTATCTGACAGTCAGACGCAGCATATTTGCCTTCTACAGGCGTTGATTAGACGATCAAGAACGTTTAGCAATGCCATCAAAGACCTCGTGATAGTTTCTTCCTAGCTACGATCTTCAGAAGCTGTGAAGTGCCTCGTGATGAAAATTCCCCAGCTGCGATCTGCCGCTGCACAAGCATGTTGCCGCCGGCTTATCAGGGCTATGTACAAAGTGACAGTCCGCTTACTACTTTCTGAAGGATGGAGGCAAGACGAGGCACAGATGATCGCCCTCCAACCTTGTGGTGATGCTCGCATCGCCAGGCACATAAACCGACGATTGGCCGGCGTTGTCTATGGACTTCAAGCTGAAACAGAAATCCGAGGTACAGATCTATGGATAAACTTTGCGCACAGATTCAAGATCTGAGATGATTTTCTTAAAGACGAGTATCTTTTGGGAGCAGGTGCCTTTGTGGCAACGGCGTTACCCCACTCTTGCCTTGGTTGTCCATGCGATCGGGTTCTGCCATGGCTATTCTGCTCCGTGCGTGGGAAGAGTAACAGATTTGGCGTGGAGTGCGCTTTGCGCAAGCTGCCTAGGCCACGGCTTTTGGATTTCTTGGTCGGCCGTCGAGCAACGTATCCCGGATCTTTGGGTGGTGGTGTTGGTGGACAATTGATGTCTCTTGCACCTTCTCGCGGCTTGCTGAAGTGCATTCGCGGGTCCGCCTGCAACCGAGCAATTCTTTGCTCCAGAGATGGCGAAGGCCATGTTTGACTCGGTCGCACAAATGGCTGGTCTTCTAATTCAGGAGAATAGTAACCTTGACTGGGTGGATTCCAGCGGTCGGCGAAATTTGACGCCGTGTCAACAGACCATGACGGCTGATGCGATGGAGGACTGCTGATGGTAGACGACCTGTTGACCTAACATAGTCTGTTAGTCTGAGACAACGATGCGTTGAGTACTTCTTCTCACTCGTTGAACAGTCATGATCTGAGCAGTAGCTGCTTCAAAGGGCGACAATGGCGACAGAAGTGGAGAGACAGGTTCGTGTGAATTATACGCAGCAGAAAAACCTGCAGCATAAGAGGTCCTTAGGGAACTCTCGTCGAAAGGTTCCGATCCTGGCATAGAGCCGACAGATATCAGCAAGCCTGCAGTGTTGGTGCTTGCAACTGAGGATCGCCGTTGCGACCTCTCCCTCCTCGGGGTCTGGGCGCCCTCGAGCAGTACGGGATAATTAGGTACACTCGATATTCGATTGTTCAAGTGAACGTATTGTTCCGTGTGTCGTATGTCCTCCAAATTTGTTACCGTGCCAGTCACAATGGGCGGAGTTGATCTTCCCTGCTCCGAGTCTGACGTAGGCAGTGAATGATCTTGTGAAGCACCATGTTGAACCACAAAGCCGCCAATCTCTCGTCTGGAGACGCTCCGCACTTGCACATAGCTAGGTGGAGGACTTGACTGTGGTAGCACCGGATCGCCAAAATTTGGAGGTCCATTAAGTCGAGCGCCAACGACGGTGGAATTGCTTCGCGAAGTCGACATTGTGTCCCCTTCCCCAACTGGTACCCAGCTGTTTCTATCAATCCTCCTCCGAAATCGTGGTAGAAAGCCCTGCATGTTTTGATTGCTCTTCGAGCGATAATAGGCGCGGGGGGGGGGGACGCGTATTTGGAGCTAGTCAGCTGGCGGTGATGCTATAAAAAGCTCATAGATGCCCTATGTCAGATACAATGAATGTAGAGAGCGGAAGCGAACGCTTTGAGTCGAGCATATGAAGAAGCTTGGAGCCGTCTGAGGAATGGACGAGGCGCGAATTAGTATTGCTTATGAGATTGCGGTCAATTCGCCTCCGATATCCGTTTCAGTTCCGGGCCCAGGATTGTAACACTGGCCTGGCAAGTGGCGCACTGAAATTCCCAGAGTCCAGGCAACCAGAGATTATCGCCCAAGAACAATGGACTGTTATTGAAACCTGCCTCGTGATCGTCAAGATTCTGCAAGATGGTTTCGTTTCAATGGGACTTCAAGGCCGGAACGAATTGTTGCCTCCCCGTCACCGAGAGCTGAAGTCCAGGGACGTAGAAGCGGTGCAGATGCGGGCGACTCATCAATCCTCCCTTATCGCACATTCACCGAATGTGGCTTTTCGAAAGTGTCTTGATCCAGGGGACATGATTGTGGCATGTTAGAGCACAGTTTCGCCTTCTTACGGCCCACATAGCTGATCTCGTGTGATCAGTCTCGCGAAGGAGCCAGGATCCTGGCGGGTTGGAAGCCATGAACTTTGCATGTTGGTGTAGAGGGGGGAAAAACGACGCGGGATCCACTTGCGTCCTGACTCGCGGGCGTGCTAAAAACAGCATATGCACCGTCTTATTCAGATCGATGCACAATTTTATGTCATTTATCCCACATCATGCCGTCTTGGGCTCGCCTCCGATCTGCTACCCCAGCATCCGTTACATCTGTCCGCACCTGTAACGCAGGCCGTAGCGCGTTCGCTGCTACGCTGTTGCCAATGTTCTGTATTCCTTGCGTAACCGACCAGGTCCTCTGAACGTCTTTCTCAAACAAGCGCCTATTTTCATCCTTCGAATATGAGGAGCACGCGCATACTCGTTTCTGCAGAGCGCGTTGTCTGAACTTGGCCTTCAAAGCCGTCGAAACAGCATCGCGATGTGACTGGGCTCATTCCTAATCCTTGCTCCTCGTAGAAAAGTTGTCTCGACTGCAACATTAAGAGCGCCGATCCTTAGAGAGTTCGTCATCACACAAGGGTCTCCTTGAGCCCACCTGTTCGGGTTTTTGTTAACATATCAACACCAATTAGGAGGTAGTTAATGTTTGATGCCTCAACTTTCATCTCTCTTGTCCGGCGTTCTCAGGGTCCAAGCTGTGTATTCGCAATGATTTGCTTCATGGAAAGACGTGTTACGTGTGAATACCTCTGGTAATTTTATGCTTCAGCACGGGCTTCGAACTACGTCTAGGAAAGGTTGGCAAGTGCTTGAAAGCGAAGAATTCAGTGATGCCGCAGCAGCGAACATCGCTCTGCTAAAGCAACTGCTAAAGCAGACAATGGGTCTGGTCTCTACCTCAGACTAAACTGGCCAGACATGAGCCGATCGCAGAATGTGAGGTGACGCGAGGCGTTTTTACAGAACGGCGAGGAATTTCAGATCTGGTTTCGCTAACCGTCTTGATTTGCATTATGTAGCAGCTGTCAATCGCTGGATGCAAATTCATTCTTCGCTGAACCCGCGCCTTCACGGGGATGAGCCATCGAAACATGAGAAGCTAAGACGCCAGCGCCTGTGAACTGCAAACGCATGGAAACTGCCATCTTTGTCTACCAAGTGAAAATCCACCAGCACCACAGCGCTTAAAGAGGGCCGAGCGAATGCTATCAGGCGCACTGGGTCCCCTTCACCGCTAGGCGGTAGACGAGGACGATGGTAAAGGTGGTTCAAGAACAGCATCATCGCGAGATCGTCGAGCCTGGTCGACAATAAAGCCGCAATCGCACAGACTACCGTCTCACCACGTATCGCGAGAGAAAAGACCTCGAGTGACGAATCGAAGGCTCTCCGAGTCCATCACGATTCCCGCGAGCGCGCGGAGCCACAACAGGAACAGGTGAGATGTGCCAGAGTGCGGATTCGTAGCACGTGCTGCGTTCGACCTTTTTTGGCTCGTGATTGTGCGAGGCCGACTCAACAAACCCTCGGCAAAGTACCAAAGCTGGCACGCACTGAAACTCGACGTTCAGGATCTCCAGGGTCTTTCCCACTGCCAAAGGCGCTCAGCCTGCTCCAAATGGTATGTTTGACCGGCTACTGCCGGCCTTCTGACTCCACCACCAGAGACCTCATTTAAATGCTCCTGACTCCAAGCACTTGATTTGCGGGGTCTATCGATACCATGGAGGGGCATTGGTTACCTGTCGTCCAGTGCTCCGCTGTGTAGAAAGGGCATTTTTCCTCTAGAGGCTATGATACGTGGTGTGTCTCAACATGATCTGCTACTGCTTGCGGACATGTGCAGATGAAAAACGAGGAAGAGTCAGCGGAGCAAAGATCGTTCCTCTCGCGCAACCCCAAGATTCGTAGTGCGACCGGGGTAAGAAGCTCCTAGCTTGCATGCGTACCTAGGCGCGCTGCTCGTGTATAAAACGACTTCGTCGGCCCCTGAGAATCAGTTCACCGTTGACACCCACACTCCAGCAAACATGTCTCTCGATCCAAACTCTCTTGTCTACGTCGTAGCTCAGCTCAAGGTTGCTCCGGGCAAGCTTGACGAGGTAGGTGAGGCTGAGCTGAAGCCTATTCACCTCACCACTTTAGCACCCTTCTCTATTGTATCGCATGTGAACTCTACAGTGCAACTCCTTCAACTTCCGTCCAGCTCAAAACGATGAATCACTAGCTGACAGAGGAGTTTCCATAGGTCCTCGGCGGATTCACCGAAATGGCCAGCAAGGTCGAAGCTGGTGAGCCGGGCTGCTTGTCTTACCAATACTTCTACAACGAAAAGGATGGCGAACTCGCCGTCTTCGAGATTTACAAGGACATGGCTGCAGTCGAGGCACATCGCAACTCTGAACATTTCAAGGAGGCGACAGGCGCTCGCTCCGAGGGCCTATTCACAGAGCCCCCCAAGTTTTCCATCCTCCAGCGCAAGGGCGGGTTTCGACGCTTTTGAAAAGCTACAAGATCTCGCGGAGGATCTGAGAAAGCATCTGATGCGAACGTTGAGCCATTAGCTGTCAAGATCATCACGAGCAAAGAGAATGAAGATCATCGAAAAAAATCAAAAGAAAAAACATATAACAAGGGAAAAACAGTCTTGAGAAGCTTTTACGTGGAAATGTCACATGCTCCGTTGTAACTCTCGCTATGCTCTTTGGTTCGCGGCTTTCATGTCAGACATCGTTTGCTTTTGCAAGTGAAAAATGAACGCGGCGAAATGCTACGCGGTTGCCCGTTCAAAAATCCTCGTCTCTCTTTCCTGTCCGAGTCGTCGCCATTTGCTCGTGCCCACGTGCGGAAATGTGCTAGATTCGAGCAGAGTGGAGGTTGGTGTGACCAAAATCTACCATCGCGGCCTGTATATTTTACGTGTGCATATGTAACATGTGTCTGTCTCACGCTTGCTCTGACCAATCGAATTGCTCCTGAATCGTTGGACCTCCACCGTTCGAGTAACTTAACCGCAATCGCAATCGCAATTTGGCGGGTGGGGGCTGGAATTGGACGGGTTAGTTATTCGTCATCAATTCGGTGCAAGTATTCAGTAGGTAAAGTAAACTATGACCTACCCCATTGACACTTGAGACCCTCATCTGCTGGGTTGCCGTTGCGCCTGGTCCCAGTTCGCTCGAGCTGATTGCCTGAAGTTGCAACTTCTGACTCTTTGGCACGGCTGCCTGTAAAGTCAAAGCGCCTACATGTGTGGACCCGGAGTTCATAAACCGTGCCATCACCTGGACTGTACCTGCATCTCTCCGAGTTTGGAAGCTGATTTGGAGACCGTTCTTGTTGTAGGCTTCTTGCCCCGGAAGTCCTTGTTGAGGGGCCGGAGAAGATATCGATTGCGCCGAAAGGGGCGAAGCCATGCCATTCATGCTGCCGCCAAAAAGGTCTTGCGTGGGTGCGGGACTGGCTGTGGCGGATGGTGTGGACGTGTTAAATAAGTCCATAATGTTGGCCACATTGGATTGCTGTACCGGAGGCGAGCTCGTTTGTGGAAGAGGTGACGATGCACCGCCTAGGATATCTGCGAGCAGATCTGCATTGTTCTGAGCACCATTCAGCCCCGCCGGTGGCTCGCTCGAGTCTCCCATCAGATCAAGCAGAATATCCTGCTCGGTAACCTGGCTGGGTTTCTTCTTTGAAGGTCCCTTCTTTTTGGCTGGCGTCGCCTCGCCCAACACCCGTTGCTCTTCCCTAATCTCTGGAGGAGGCATTTTTTCAAGAACGCCCCGTCTAACCTGATCGTAGCTGAAAAGGTTGCTGTACTCAACAGCGCGCTGTTGGATTTCCACATCCAGATTCGTCTGGTACGTCATCAGCAAGCGTCTCAATTTCTCGATTTGAGCTGGTTCCGAAAGACGGGTGCTCAGTTTCATCGCGGCAGTGACAATGTATTGGGTGACGACCTGTCCCGAGTAACCGCTTTGGAGTATGGTGGTGAATAAATCCACAATATCAGCTTCTTTGACTTCCTTGACTAGCTCTTCCTCTTCATAACTGCCACCTCGGAGCAATGCGTCGCCGTACTCGCCTATGACCCATGCTCCAGCCAGAGTGAGGCCTTCTTGGGTGATGTCTTCTTTCAGCGCTGCATACAACTTCTGTGCCGCGTAAGTCTGTAGCTCGGGAGTTGTGGCGATGAGACGAATAAAAGAGGAGAGGATCTGTTCCTTGACGTATGCACCGGCCTGTGCCAACGTCAGCGATTAAAAGTCCGTCTTGACTTCCCACATTGTGCTTACCAGCTTAAGGACGCGCAGCATGGTGTCAATATGCCACCTCTTGTTAGGTGCGTACCGATCTGCCGCAATGCCAATCTGTGTTGTCATGACAGGCTTGAACTCGTTGTCCGCAACCTCCAAGAATGACAAGAGTTCGCGTATCAAGACTCGCACATTGCTCTCGTTGATCAAAGTAAAACTTAAATCCAAAGCTCTTCTCCTAATACTAATGTCCGGGTCCCGCAAACAGTCCAAAATGGTGTTTCTATGTCTCTGCACGGCCTGAGGTTCGACCGCTACGACTTTGATCAGTGTGTTGAGTGCAACATACCGGATGTTGTTGTCTTTGTTCGACAGGAACTTGCCGAGGATGTTAACACCAAGCACACGAAGGCCGGAATCTGCTTCGATGTCAAGAATTGTGAGTACGGCTTCGTACAGGATGCTGTTGCCCACATTCTTGGACGAGTCTGTGTTGGTGGCGACCTGGGCGAGAATATCATTGATCTGTTCGCTAACCTCGGTGTCGTTGCGGCCTAGCACACGCAACAACCGCAGAATCTTGACTTGCAAGAAAGGGTCCGTGATTCCTGTTACATCGTGTTCAGGAGCATATCCCGAGCTCGCCAGCTGCTTCAGAACCTTGACTAAAGAAGGCACAAGTGGCTTAAACATGTCAACCACGCCTTCTTCTCCACCCTCTGCTTCATCCGCTTCGCACAAGCTGATGACCAACGTAACGCCACATAGCAACACGCCATGGTTGCGATCGCTCAGCAGCATCTTGGCCTTTTCCAAGAAATGCTCTTGCAGATCCGGAACCTTGCGGCATATGCGCATGGCACATAGTGCCGCCTTGCGTCGGATATACGGGTTTGAAGAGGATATGATCTGTTCGACTTCGGGAAAGAGGTCTCGCGACATTTCGACGGAGGCAATGTTGCCTAGCGTTACGAGTGCCAGTCCCACAATGTATTGGTTCGAGTGGTTGAGGTCGTTTTTGAGCGAGTTGGTGACTAGAGTGAGCACCTCCTGGTTTTCATCGAGCAGCAACATGGTGCCTAGGTAGCCCAGCCGCTTGTCTGCGAAGCGCGGCGAGGCGAGGAGCTTCAGACATTCGATCTGGCCAAAGTGGGTGCGCTCTCCCAAGGTGAAAAGATACAGGAGCTTTGCAACATTGTTTCGTCTACAACCGACCCCGTTCAGTCAGCACTCATACTTCTGACTCACGGACAGATGGGTGGTAGCTTCGATCATACCGAACGTTGGAGTCATGGCTCTCTTCCCTGAAGCTGGCTCGTATGGCCGCGCTCTCCTTTTGCACGACCGCCCGCTCGTCCGCTATCGTCTTGGCTGCGCGCACATTGCGGATGAACTGCTTGACTGCGCACGCCGTCGTCAGTAATCAATGCCGCCAAGTCGGACAGTGCTTGTGTGCATACGGGATGTCATATTCACTCCGTCATGGGCGGGGGGGCCCTATTTGTTGCTATATTCGAGCCCGGATTGTAAGTGGAAGTGTGGCCAAACGGAAGCGCGCAAGGACGATTTTACGAGTGTCGTCTAAGCAAAAAGAGCATCTTGCGTCAATCCAGGCACACGGTTTTATCCAGAGGGCGTCCCGGAGGGTTTGGGCGTTTGGATGGCGTTCAGGTCTTACTGTGTTCCGAAAGCTGTGAAATGTCGCTACGTCTTGGCGCGAGCACTGGAGTGGACATGCACGGACCCTGACTCCGGCCCTGACATCAAGAAGCTTTGGTGCCTTCTTGCCTTCTTGCCTGACTTCCCAGACCGCGGTCACTGGTGCATGGCCGACATGCTCTCTGCGCCAGCATGTGCAGTTGGTCATGCTTCGACCTACAGTGTGCTGGGACGACATGTTGTGGCAAGATATGTCTGGTCGCGGGGTGTTTGACGATTTATGTCTTCGTTTGGGCCAAGAGAGGTGGCTACGGCTCGTCCTTTTCAAGGCACAAGGAGATGGCACGCGTATTGACGCCTTGTTTCCCTCTTCACAGCACGATCCACTCCTCTTCATCATCTGTACCTTAACTCACATTCTATCCACAGCATTGCTTCAAAGATTCTTCTTTTCTCGTCCACAGCTCATCCGGTTCCATCAATTCTGAGATTCGCGGGCTCAGGCGGTAGTCTGATTGCCCCCAGTCATACACAAAGTAAACACTTGGCATGTTGCGTTGTTGCTGATCATCAGCCCCTTTCGTCATTCGCCCGAACTGTATACCAAGCGAATCTGCTCCTTGCCTGTGAAGACAAAGCGCTGTGTCCTTTGTCAAGGCCTGCTCGTTCGCTGTGTCCCCTACCCGGGATTTCGATGTTAGATGACGTTAGGCAACGCGCAGATACTTCCATTGCAACGAGTGAGGGAAAGCAATCGTGATGGACGATCCGCCAGATATCCGCGACCAAGCTTCGGCAACGGCAACTGAATTCGCCCAACCCAGACCGCGAAGACCAGTAAGAGGATCTCCTTTGGTGAACGCTGAGAATGCGTCTGGTCTGGCGCCGCCCGACGCCGGACCTACCAGCGCCTCGGGTGCATCAAGGTACGAATCTCAATTTTCTGGTCAGGATTTGTTCCAACCGGTCTGACGAGAGACATCGCAGTGGGACGTCCACCCCCATTCCACCGGATGCGCCGCCATCTGTGCAAGCGACATCATCCGCGAGGAAGCAGATCCGGGCGGAGCGCAAGCAGCACCGCATCTTTCCGTCCATCGAGTATGCGGCTCGCGTCTCACACTTCGACCCGGACAGCGACTATCGCGATTTCCGCGGCTTCTTTGTGCTCTTTTGGATCGGCCTTGCCATCATGGTCATCACCACGATGCTGCGTAATTGGAAAGAAACCGGAAGTCTGTTCAACATCAGCCAGCTGGATTTGTTCACCGAGAACATATGGGAGTTGGCTCTCAGCGACCTGCTGATGGCGAGCAGCATCATGCTGAGCTTGCCATTGCACAAGTTGTACGCTAACTCGACGGGTATGTTGCGGTGGAGCAAAGGAGGGATCGCGGTGCAAAGTTTGTTCCAGGCTGCATGGTTGTCATACTGGGTTAGCTGGCCCTTTGTCAGAACGTGGACGTGGACTGCCCAGGTGTTTTTCACGCTGCATCTCCTCGCTCTATTTATGAAGATGCACTCGTATGCGTTTTACAACGGCCATCTGTCAGAGACGAAGCGTCGCCTTAGCGAGCTCGACAGGCCAGCTGGCAAGTCGCGAGCAGCAGCACGTCGGTATCCCAATCCACATAAGCGTCTCTCCGTCATCCAGGCCGAAAATCAGAACAGCAAAACCGAATCAAACGGCAATGGAGAAGCACTAGGCCGGCTTCGAGAGGATCTGGCTCGCGAGCTCACCTCGCCCTTAGGACATGTCACATATCCACAGAACCTGACCCTCGTCAACTTCGTCGACTTCCTCTTCTGTCCCACACTTTGCTACGAGCTGGAATACCCGCGCACCCCTAGACGCCGTTACGACGAGCTTTTCTACAAGACTCTCGCCGTGTTCGGATGCATCTTCCTCCTCACCGTAACGAGCGAGGAATTTATAATTCCTGTGCTCAGCGAGGCCTCCGCCCGCATGCATGCAATAGGTCTCGCCGGCTCATCCGAAAAGCTCATGGAGCAGCTCCTCATCTTGGCTGAAACGACGAGCAGATTGCTCTTCCCCTTCATGCTGTCCTTCCTCCTGGTCTTCTTGGTCATCTTCGAGTATCTCCTCGGCGCTTTCGCCGAGATCACCTGTTTCGCCGACCGTCATTTTTACGCCGACTGGTGGAACAGTTGCGACTGGCTTGAGTTTTCGCGGGAGTGGAACATCCCCGTTCACCACTTCTTCAGGAGGCACGTGTACAGCGCAAGCCGTGGTGCGAACTTGAGCAGGCCTGTTGCAACGCTCATCACATTCTTTGTGAGCGCGTTGGCACACGAATTGGTCATGGGATGCATCACGAAGAAGTTGCGTGGTTACGGATTCTTTGCAATGATGCTCCAGATGCCCCTCGTAATGATGCAGAGGACGAAATGGATGAGAGGCAAACCACTGTTGAATGTGAGTTCAAACTTTCCGCTGTATCTATGTTGGTGCTGATTGGAGCCGCAGAATATTTTGTTCTGGTGCAGCATGATTTTGGGCTTGGCCATGATGTGTGCGCTATACGTGCTGGTGTAGATCCTAGCGACGGCCAGGTTGGATTTGAACGCAGACAACGTCATCTTCATGGTCCTTGGCAGTTGACCATTATTTTCCTTCCAGTGTCAAATGGTAGGAATCTGAGTGCTTGTTCATAGTGTATTTTGAGCTACTTTTCATCCACGTCCAGCAGCGCAGGTCGTGAAAGATAGACCATCATAATGTGAAAGAGGGTGTTGTGCCACCTGTCGGATTACAGCGCCGACTCCGAGCGAGGACCGCAATGATGGGACAAGTTCGCCTTTAGCCGTGAATGCCACGGTCGGAAAAGTAAATCTTATTGGCAGTCACGGTTCTTCCTTAACCACAAGCTATCATCGTGAACGTCTCCTACCGACTGCCGCATCCTAATTCGGCAAATTCTCTTCGAATGGTCTTCGGCTGACAATCTTTTCGTGTTTGCAGCGGACATGTGGCCAGACGAAACTGTGCACTGGAAAAAATGGCATGAGCTCATGCACGGTTATAATTAAGATGACCAGAATCTGGTTTACTTATATACTATCTTTTTCAGTAAGGGGAAAGGGGGCAGAGAAAGAGACGTGCTGATGGCATCGATTGTATTCAAAGTATTTTTGCTTCTTCTTTGTTGTTTAATGGTTTCGAACGTGCTTGAGCGGCAGAAGAGTTAAGAGGAACTGAGATGATTAATCTATCAGATCGAATGCCGCTAGCATTTTAGTCGCAATGGGAACGACCTGTTGAGCCTGAACAAGACACTAGGGGTATTTTCATAAACAGTTTATGACCAGAAAATCTCTTCATGCAAGTTCATAGTTCGTCATGAGCTCTTGGATGCTGTTATGAAGCCATAGTGCGCGAGCCGTGCTCGGTATCTTTTGACGGAACGTGCGAAAAAGAAGAATCTATGAGCAACTCATATCAAAACTGCAAGGTTGACTTAATTCTCTCTTGATTGAAATCGTCGTCGTATGTTCATGAAGGCCATGAGCCCTGATAAAGCACAGTGTTCTTCGGTGGCCACTTTTTGCACATTTTTCGAGACAGATCGGTGAGGTCAGTCGCTACAGGTCGTGAGTGGCCAGCTCTACACAGACGTTCGCACGGCTGTGAAAGGCGAATGTAGAAGGCATTGACTTGATGGCCGTACAGTCTGTTGTGCACCAGGCTGTTCTTTGGGTCTGCAGTCCTCAATCTTTGCCGCGGGTCATCACAAGGAACTGAACGAACTATTCCTATGCGTAAGAAGCGCTTTCCAGTAGCTTTGCCTTTTTGTTTTATTTTATTAATTTTTTTTTTTCAATTTCTCCTTTGAAAGTGCCTTACCCGCACGCTGCCAACTCTGCGCTCAGGTGGAGAGCGGCCTCTTGAACCTAAGCGAGGAGAGGGGTGTCCGTCGTTTTGAGCCGCAGCGCTAGCAGATCTTGCACGCTTCGGCAGGAGATCGCTCTGTATGCAATGACGGCATTCGCCAAACACGGCCACAAGCGCAGATGCGAAGCGACCTTGCGGGACGCCTCTGCAGCGAGACGGCTCATGGCTGTCATGGCCGTTCCGTCGCCAGTGGCCTATCATGGGCCCTTGATAGTGCGGCCGGTAGCGGCAGACGAGCAGGGTTCAAGGCTGGACAAAGGCACCGGGCAGCTGAAGGCAAAGAGACGAGCCCGACGGGTTTGCGAGCCCTCGAAGACGGGCTTCTCGTTGGCGCTCCGATAGAGCGCGCGAGGCGGTCAACGACGCTGTCGAAGAGGTGTCGGGCCAGTTTGTGAGACGCCGTGCGGCAGCGGCGAAGAAAACACAGCGCGACGCCCATCGGGGTTCGGACTTAACCCGCCTGCGGGATCGTCGCCGCGCTCTCCTAGATCTGTTGCGGCATAGTCTCGACGGGCTGCCTCTGTTCGCCTTCTCGAATTCCCCTCCTGGCTGGACTCCTCCTGCTCTCCCAATTCCAAAGACTCGTCATTCTCCTCGCGGAACATGGAAGGAGTTGTGCCTGAGAACCCCAGTCAAGACGAAGGCCAGCAACCGGACAACGCCCCCCAAGACGCTCTTGACGACGTTGTTGCGCGCAGCAGCGCCCACCCCACTCCGCACGACAGCCCTGCTTTGTCACCGGTAGCGGAAGATGCTGAGGGCAGCCAGAAGCCGCCAGCCCCGTTGCAGAAGCGCAGGAGAGTGACGCGCGCATGCGACGGTGAGTCCATTGCCATTGCTTGCCGTTGCGTGCCGTCGACGCCGTACTTATCGTCTGCGCAGAGTGCCGAAGGAAAAAGATTAAATGTGACGGCAAGCAGCCATGCACCCATTGCACCGTGTACGGATACGAATGCACCTACGACCAGCCTTCGAATCGACGTCGCAACACCGCGCCTCAGTACATTGAGGCCCTTGAGAAGCAACTGGCGCGCGCAAATGCTATTCTCAAGACCGTGCTGCCCGGCGCTGACCTGAACGACCCGACGCTCGAGGCCAAACTCCAGCAGGGCCTGTTGGTGGTATCCCCAACCGTTGCCTCTCCGCCAAGCAACACTTTCGCCAGTCCGTGTCCTGAACAGAATGGCTTGGCAGAGATACCGACCGACGCGCAGCTCGAGTCCATGGTCCGCTCTACTGGCCAACTTGACTTGGACGAGCAAGGCCACCTGGAGTACCATGGGCATTCCTCTGGCCTGAGCTTCGTCAAAAGGATGCGAGAGCAGCTTGGAGACATGATGGGTCCGGAGGGCCGGGCCACGCCGTTTGTGAAGACCAACCGTCCGCTTTCTCAAGTTTTCGACTCGCCACGGTCTGCCACGGACTCTCCGTGGGACAGCGGCCTGGAGCTACCGTCGAAGGAAGAGGCGCGTGCCCTGTGCGAAAATGCCATTGAAGACGCTGGCGGATTGCTACGCGTGGTGCACTATCCGAGCTTCATGAAGCAGCTCGACGACGTGTACGAGATCTCCAGTGAGCATTACAGCAACGAGGAGAACGTGTTTTTACCGTTGCTATATTCGGTCCTTGCCCTTGGGACCTTGTTTGCTAGGGACGATCAAGGGGAGCAAGAGCTGGACAAGAAGGGCTACGAGTCGGCAATTGCCGAAGGGTAAGCGTCCGGGTAACTACTCTGTGCTAGGGCTGCGCTGACTACAAACAGGTTCAAGTACTTTCGTCTGGCTAGATCGATGATGGACATAGCCGACTGTCGAGATCTGCGCCAAGTCCAAGCGCTGGTCTACATGATCCTGTTCCTGCAGGCTTCCGCCAAGTTGTCAACGTGCTATGCCTACATAGGCGTCGCACTTCGCTCTGCCGTCCGCATGGGTTTGCATCGATCATTTTCAGATGCTTGCTTCAGCCCGATCGAAGCTGAGACACGGAAGCGACTGTTCTGGGTGATACAGCGCATGGACACCTACGTCGGTGCTTTGCTAGGATTGCCCCATTCTTTGAGCGAAGATGAAATCGATCAAGATTTGCCACTTGAAGTCGACGATCAGTACATCACCGAACAGGGCATACAACCTCAACCGCAAGGTCAAATAGCTCTCATGGCTGCTTCAAATGCACATGTGAAGCTGGTGCAGATACTTGACAAGATTGTCAAGTACGTATATCCATTAAAGGCTGCCGGAACGAATTCGCAGGGAGAGCCAATGAAATCGTACAGTGTCAGTTACGCTAAGATACTTGAGATCGAGAGAGATTTGAAGAATTGGCAGGACGAGCTGCCTATGGGTCTCAAGCCGGGCGGAGACGCCCCAGTGCGGATAATGAGGTAACCACTCATTCCACGTCATTTTGTCAATTTTTGTCGTTCTAACTTGTGGTAGAGTACAACATCTTCTCCGAATGGGTTACGCTCATGCCCAAATGATGCTCTATCGCCCCTTCCTTCATTACGTGTCGCATACATGCAAGTCTAGAGTCGTCGATAAACGCTCATACGCATGCGCGGCAGCGTGTGTAAGTGTGTCGCGAAACATTGTTCACATTGCTTGCGAGATGAGACGCAAAGGTTTATTGGCTGGTGCTTACTGGTTCACAATGTATACGACATTCTTCGCTATCCTTTCCCTGGTGTTCTACGCCCTTGAGAATCCAGATAACGATGCAAGTCAGGACGTCTTGCGAGTGGCAACCGAAGGCAAGGAGACGCTGCAAAAGCTTGCCAAGCGCAGCATGGCAGCCGACCGCTGCTCTGCGACATTACAGGTATGTACTCCATCCACATTTGACTGTGTCGCCGTCTCTGAGTGAGTGTAGGCCTTGTTCGAACAGCTTCCCGATCGCATGCGACGATCTCGCACCAGCTCAACTGCGGTCAAGAAGCGCAAACAGGACGCAGCATCATATGGCTCTGCTTTTGATGGAGCAATGCATAATGGAAACACGCCGGAAGGCCTAACGCCTTCAAGGGCAAACACATTTCCTCACGTACGATCTAAAAGCGTGGATAGAAAAGCTAGCGCCCAAGGAGGCTTGCCGCGCTCTGAAACTATAGGGTTTCCGAATTCAAGTACAACTAATTTCTACGACCTACTCCATTCGAACGCCGCCGATGGAGTTCCAACGCCACCATTAGCAACTGGATTTTCGCAACGTCATGAGTCATTTCCAGCATCCCCGCCCGTAGGCAACGACAAAAATTTTCCGCTGACAGACATATCCGCCGTCATGTTTCCGTCTGCCGACCCGGTAGAATACCCCAATCAGAGCTCGTCGACCGGACAGTCGTATGAGAATATCCTGAAGAGCCTTGCGACAGACCCGTCCTTTCCATTCCCCACCACTCTGAACGAGCTCAAGATGCAGCGAGCCGCCGGATCGGGCATGTTCATCCCCCCAAGCTCAACATTCATGTTCGACGACGGGGATCCGAGCGAGCAAAGCCAGATGTACGACAACGACGTGCAGCTGCTCGGCCCCATGCCGGCGTACATGATGCAAGGCTCGTCATTCGCGCAGCAGAACGGCGCCAACGGCAGCCCCGGCGGCGTCCACACCCCGTCCAACTTCACGTCCAACTTCCTGAGCCAGTCGGGAAGCCAGTTATTCGAACAGGGAGCACAGCACGGCGTCGCCACCGTCAACCTGGACAATCTGCTGACGGGCGAGGAGTGGGGCAACTTCCAGCAGAACTCGGGCTACGCAGCGGCCATGTCGCAGACGTTCGCGCCTCACTCGCTGCCCTTGAAGGGGCTCGCGGAGGGCCACCACAACAACCACCAGCAACGGCAGCAGCCAGCGAGCGTGCCGCCGTCAAATGCAAGCACCGATCTGAACTCGGCCCGGACCAGCTCCGATTTCAACGACCGCGCCCAGTTCGTGAAGAACGTGTCTTTCGAGGAGCTCAACCCGGGCGTTTTAGGCTGGAACTTGGGCAACTTCTGAGCCGCGCGCCCTCGATGATGTTAATGATGATGACAGCAACGACGTGAAAGGGGATAGCCCAGTTACAAAGCCCTCTTCTTTTCTTCTTTTTCTTCTTCTTCTTCTTTTTTTTTTTTTTTTTGCATGGCCTCTGCATTTAATGACCTCTCCCCTGCACTGGAGGGGGCTTTGTGTTTTCTTCACGGGACTTTGGTTTCTGTCTTCCGGCTTCCACGTCATGAACGAAATTAAAGAGGGGCGCACGCTTCAGTGGGGGATATCCAAAGAGAGTAAAAAAAAAAATGAAACGGAACAGTACCTCCTTTGGACAAACAATCGTCGATACCCGCTTCACCTTTTTTTTTCTTTTTTTTTTTCAAGTTGTTCAACCTCACTTTCGAGAGGTGTACAATCCGGTCTGCGGGATAACATCTAGGACATTTCGAGACGAGGGCAAATCCCCGCAAGGAACGAGGGGGGTAGGCGTTTTGGGGAGGCCGGGGCAGGGCAGGGCGGCGTTTGAAAGGAAAACACATTGGATTTTTGTGCCAAAAAGGCAGATTCGCGCATGACTTGACCAACCTTCATCAGAGCCGTTTTCGAGGCGAACCTAGCAAACGATACGTTGCGAGTCAAAAAAGAAAATAGAAGAAACTAAGAGAGAGAATGCGTCCTCTTGCATGTGCCGGGAACTCCGCCCACTTTCTATATCAACCAAAAATATAAAAAGGGAAGAAGTCCTTGTGTAGCATCTCATTGTGTTGATGCGAAGTTGAGTCGCACTTTGGCGAAGGAGCGGGGCATCTCCTGGCGCGCTACCAAATTCGAGGCCGTGGGACCTTTTCTCTCGTTTGTTTTTTTTTATTTTGTGTTGGCTGGGCGTTCCGCATGAGCATTTTGTGGAAAGCATAGCAGAGGGCGAGAGAGGCATGAGATGCCCCTTCTTGAGAGGGTCGTCGAAAGTAAAGAACACATCTGAGGCAATATTTGTACGCAAAGGGCGGGGGGACAATGCTTAGGGAGACATTTGTAAACAAAAACCCAATGTCACTTTTTTTTTGCAAAATACACACGACGAATGGAAACAAGAGAAAAAAAAATTACACATGGCACGATGAGTTTTGCATCAAAAGGTGTCTTCTCCGCTCAGGCACGTTACGCCTTCTTCGCGCAGAGGAGCTATTTTCGGGTCTTTCTCAATCTTCATCCAAATCAGGGTGAATAGGCATCTTAGGCTAGATACAATTCAAAGTGGCGGTTTGACTCTTGCCTTGATGACATCCTGTCCATCCTCGGTCAGTAGATCGATATAAAACACGAATACAACTCGTGGTTCCTTTGCTCGATATTTTCAGACCACGGTAGACATGATTCCCTTTGATGCTCATGAGCAGAAAAGCGCCGTAAAGAGGGTTGGCCAGTGGTATCCGTCTCTCTTTGGTTTGGTTTACATGACCGATTTCTCGTATGATTGCCTTTCTTTTCCTCTCTTCTCTCGTACACTGCCGTCCAGTCCATGTTTATCTTGGTTGCTTCCTAGCTATTCCTTCCGTCCAAGCTGAGCGGAAAAGACTGGAGGTTGTTTTCTAAGGAAAAAAGAAAGAAAGAAGAATGAATGATGTATGTTTGTAGAAGAGACGTGTCAACCCTCGTGGCGCGATGGTATAATGCAAGGTAGCAACCAGAGCGTCATTCGATCCCGTTGTAAGTCAGCACTTGACAGAAGGGCGGGAAAGATGATATCTGCCGGCTACTGCCGTGATGGCTCATATATACGAAGTGAAAATGTGTTGCTTGCTGATCTAAAAGCGTGGGGGTATGTGATTTTGCAGCCGGTTCATTTCAAAGGCGACAAAATAAGTTGCGGGTATTCTGGCGTGCACGACGGTCCGTCGCGGGCAAGGTTCAAGGTATGTTCCAGTAATGACAGTGGTGAAATGTTGTAAGTTGCGTACGTCGAAATAACGTGATCCTGACCCGTAAAACGTTCGTGTAAGTCAAGACGGTAAGAGGTCGAAATAAAAAAGTCGTCAAGCGTCGTCCGCCAGTCGTCGATCGTTAACGTTGAGTGTCTGGAAATTGTGGGCCTCCAGGAAGGTGATCGACAGGTGAACGTGATTGTCGAAGATCAGAGAGTGGGGTGGGGTATAAATTACATGCTGGATCCCATGGCCAGCAGCGCGGCAATGGCATCTTGCTCTTGCGCGTTCACAGTCTGAACGTCTTCCTTATTAAAAGTGGTGTTATGTTTAAATCCAGAAGAAGCAATGCGAGAAGCGGAAGAAGAGTACTTGGGCGGCACGATACCACCAGGATAGCTGATGCCGCCGCGGGAGGTGTGTGCAAATGAAGACGAGCGGCGTTGATTGGGGGCGGCTTTCATGATTGAAGGCCTCATTCGAGACGTGGACAGGTAATTGTAGTCGATGCGGGCTCCACTTCGGGCGGTGGAACCGCGACGAAGGGCCTGAGGGCCGATACTAGCCCAGTCTTCCTCGTCGGTCACGTCGTCCGGGTTGTCTGAGATGGGCATGTCTTCTGGAGCAGCATGGCTGGATGCCGTGTCGTCCTCCCGGCCATCCAGAGACATCTTGTCCGCCTCGTGCTCGGCCATGTTCATGTCGTCCATCTCTTCGTCTCGAGATGAAATGATCGAATCACCGGTCCAGCTTGTGCCCGAGTAGATGTCCCGTCGGTCGACGCGATTTTGGGGAGCCGGGATCTGCAGTCCGCCCGCGTTGGAGGCCGCGTACGACCCGACAACGCTCGATGGCGGAGAGACGGCGAGCTGGCTGTCCATGCCCGACGACGGCACCTGTCCCTCTCGGGGTGGCTGGCCACGGACGCGCGCGTCCCAGCGGCCCCAGCCAACCTTCTCGAACAGCACGTCGCCGTCGACGCCACCGCCACCGCGACTCTCCAGCGCGGCGACGACGATCCTCCGAGCTTTCGCGGGAGGGATGCGCGCGAAACCGGGCACGGTTTGCGTCAGATGGCCCAACACGTGCCTTATGGCCATGGGCCCGTTGGCGAGTAGGAAGTCGGGAAGGTGATCCCTGGCCAGCATGGTAGGCGTGATGGCGCCTGCCGAGTCCAGGCCAGACAACGCGGCGCTGGACAGCGCCTGCGGATGGCCGAGCGTGGAGCGCTCGTGGTCGACAGCGTCCTGCAGATCCAGGTCCGAGTCGACCTGCTGCTGGTTCGGCGCGTGGTGAGAAGGGGAGCGGACCTTGTGAGGGGGCAGGGTTGGAGATATGGAGTTTGGAGGCGTCGGCAGCATGCCGTGATGGTTGGAGGAGGTTTGGAGAGCATTACTAGAGCCGTGATGGCCGGCATCACGGGGCTTGGGTATATCGACCGAGGCCGACTGGGTCGCGAAGGCGACGGCGATGTTGGAGATTGGCTTGTTGGACATGGAGGCCATGGTCTCGCGATATGTGTGTGCACGCGCGCGTGTGTGTGTATGCGGGCTTCGTACGTCGTTGTCTGCGTGGCAAGACGTATCTATGTGGTTGAGAACGGGTGAGTCAGATGCGCGATGATGACAACAGCGAGGACGGAACGGGAGCGTGTTGCGACAGACGGTACGAGCGAAGACAAGGCGACAGAACGAAGAAGCGTGTGAGGGCCACGTACAAGCAAGCGAAGGAAAAGCGGAAATTAAATGAGCAAGAAGCAGAAGTAGTGGTGTTGGCAAGGGTAGATTGGGTATTTGGTGGGAACAGTAACAGTCAACAGTGGATTTGCGTTTAAGTTTGGATGGAGATGGAAGCAGAGCGGAAAGAGGATGGGAAGGGGGGATATGGGGCAGGGCGAAGGGAAGGGCGAGGGCCGCGAATGTGACTGCGTCGGCGCCGCTGATTGGGGGGGTTTGGGGGGGTTTGGGGGTTGGGGAGTGCCTGGGCGGAGGGCCAGGTTAGGGGGGTCCGGGTGTGCAGCGCTGGGCGGTCGGCGTATGACGGGGCCCGCCATCGTAGTTGCTGCACGCACTCACGCTCGTCCACTCACTCTCTCGCACTCACACACACGCACGCTCACGTACTCGTGCACTCGCTGGCTCACGCAAGAAAAAAAGACCCGTAGAAGAGACTCAGCCCAACACAAACGAAAAGCCACGGCTGCGCTGCCTGTCTCGCCCGGATCGAGGTTGCTTCCGGCACGAGAAGCGCGCGATGACGTAGATCCGGCAGCGCGCTCAACAGCACATTTCAAGAGTGCACGTACATCCTGTGCGCTGTGGATCGTGGCACAATAAGAATAATGCGGCCAAGGTGCTTTTCTCGCTGGCTTCCATGGTGCGGCGGACTTTGACAGTCGCACCGTCGCAGTCGATTGTCTTGTCGTGTTGACAGACAAGAACAGGACGGCTGTGAGCTGCTCCGTTCGCCCAAAGGTTAGTGGGCATGGCAGCCCCGATCCAGCGGTGGCCTTGACCCAAGCATGCTGGAGACCGGGCGCAACTGCACTCTGCTGTGTCCACTCTCTGTAACTCCCAACCTGTCCTGTCGAACCAAAATTGCCATCACGCAAGCGTGTGCGTCGCCGTCATGCCTCTTGCTGCTGGCCGCCACTGTCGCTGCCCACTGTGGACCACCTGGCTGTTGGGCTGGCGCATGGCTGCTCCAGGCCATCCCCCCGCTGCGTCCTCCAAGTGACGACGGGCCCAGATGCGCACGCCTTGAACCGGAACAGAGATAACGATAATAACGACAGTATTCACTCGACTGTTTTGTCCATTCCCATCGCCACATGCTCACTCGCGACATGTCCGCCTGCCGCTCGTCATCGTCATCGTCGTGTCCGTGATTCAAGACACCCTCCTCGTCACAGCTTCGTCACCCCGACCGGGCGGTGCCATGAGGTTCTCTCTTGACGCTTTTGTACGGCCCTTTGATCTGATGGCCTGATGCTCGGCTGCTGGCTCCGGAAAGACCATGCTGGCGTGATACGTTGCTGCACAACGCTTTCCGTAGCGTCACTGCTGACGATGCGCGAAGCCGGACCAGTGCTTGCGCTCGTGTCCTTATCTTCCGCCGTCTGCCAATAATCTCCACGCCGGGCCTATCACCAGCAGCCCACGAACCACGAGCGTGCAAACCAGCGTTGGCGCGGGATTTCTCGCATCAACCTCGTCTCCCCGCTTGCGCCATATCGCGGTCCCCGATCGCGGAGCCCTACCATCTCACCTGCGCACTGAGCCCGCGTACCACACACAATCATCGCCCCATGACACCTCCCGCACATGGCGTTTTGGTACGCGAGAAGATTCGGCAAGCTTGTCCAGCTGACGTTTCGAATTCCTCTACTACTACTACGCCGCTGTCTGTCCCCGTTCATCACCTGCTTCGAAGAGACTTGGCCTCTCTTCCGCATCCGGAAACGCTCGCCTAAGCCTACAGAGACGGCGCTGTCTCAGCCATAGCATCGCTCTTGCCTTGCCTACGTTCACCTTTGCACCTGCTTTATCGTGCCTCTGGACAGGCGCACGCGGGGTGAAACGCGCATCCTCACCACGAATGCACGGAAATGTTCATGATCATGAAAATAACAAAAAAAAAACCTTCTCGATGCCTACGTCGCCGACTCGCTTTGTCTTGCGTTCCAATCTCATCGTCCGTTGGGCTGCAGGATATACGTGCGGACTGCCTGTGCAAGAAGAGGGCTTGGTCAGCTGGCCTGCTGGATTTTTGGCACCTTGATCATGCCGCAAAGTACACCTACCGACTTGATAACGCTCATCTGTTGAACGGTGCGAACGTATACCATTCGGTACTGCTCCAAGTTGCGGTTGACCACGTCGCGCCAGTCCGTCGTGCCGTCGCAGATTGCTTTCATCTGCAGCTCCATCTGTGCAACCCCCTCATCATTAGCGCCTGCGCAAAGTAGGCGAGGTGTTGACTGCAACCTGGTAAACGGGCTCGCGTTCGAGCGCTGTGTCACGTACCTCTTTTCTGAGAAACGGCTTGCTAAGGCTGGTATCGAAGTTCAGATTTTCGTAGCCTTGAATGAGTGCTACGCCTAGTGTCGTTGGAATAAATTCCTGAACCGAACTTCCCCCCGCGCCACGCCCTGCTCGACTTGGTCGGGTCGCTGCTGCGGGCCGATCTTCGTCGTCTTCGTCGTCGCCATCGTCGTGATTCAACGCAGCTCCCGAACGGGGGCGAGTTTGGACGTATTCTCTCTCTTTGATCTTTGCAATGTGTTCGGCCATTGTCGCGTCCGTGCCGATCCCATTAGCATCCATCAGAGCGATTAATTCAGGCTCGGTTAAATAGTTTGGAGGGCGCGTCTTTCCTTCCGTCATCTTCGCCTCTGTGGGCACAAATGTCTCGCCGTCGGTGAAGACGGGCAACTGCTTGCTGCTCTCCCATTTGTCATACGGGTATACATCTAGGTAGTTGCGCTGTATGACCATCAACCCGTTCGCGTGGAAAAACTCGGCGCCGTACAGGATCTCAACGGTAGTCATCTCGCCTTTCGCATCTTCCGAGCAGCATGCTAGGAAACGTCGCACCACAAACTCATACACCTTACGTTCGTCCACATTGAGCACGCTGTCTGCGGCGTGAACGACCGGATGAATTGGTGGATGAGCACGGTCATTGTTACGTCCTTCTCTAGGCCACTGGAAGCCACCGTTTGAAAGATTAGTGGCAAATGTACCCCATCTGCTATCTTGTTCCTGCTTCTGCACCAGTGCTTTGAGGTTCATTCCACGATCGAACTGATCCGTCTCCGTTCTAGGATAGCTAATAAACCCTTTCGTATATAGGTCTTCAGCAATCTTCATGACGCGTTGACTGTCCATGCGTAGGAAGCGGGAGCCCATCTTCTGTAGTTCGACGGTTGTCAGCGGCAAGGGACGCCATTTGCTGGTCGGACGCTTTTGCATCCTGACGACCTTTGCCGTCTTTGATTGCAGGCATCTCTCATACAGGATCGTGGTCATCATGCGATCGAAGAGATGGACGCGCCGCCAGTTGAAGTTGACCCTCACACCATCCTTTTGATGACTGACTTTGATGCTCCAGAATGGCTCGGGGACAAAATTGCGAACGCGAAAATAGCGATCGACTACGAAGCCCAAAGTTGGGAACTGGCACGAGCCTGGCGAGATCAGTCCACGACATCGTCGTAGCGAGAGTCTAAGACCCACCATAGCTGATCACCTTGAGCTCCTGTACTGGCTGAATCATCTGCTTGAGGTTCAAAGTCAGACATCTGGTGAAGGCTGCACCGATGCGGAGGTCAATCTCGATGCGGGCAGCAACAGCATTTGCCTGCTTCTCATCCAAGTCGACCGGATGTTGGGCGGCATGAACCACATGACTTTTGGGGGGGTGAGAGAAAAACATCAGCGTACGATCCCATGGCAAAGAGTCTTGCGTCTTACGCTCTTTCAATGTTGCTGAAATGTGCCCGTTTGACCTGCAATCGTCGGTTGGCTTCGAAGGCCACGTCTCGAATCTCGGCGCCTATGTTCTCGCCCTCGCGGTCGCAGTCGGTCCAGATGAACAAGACGTCCGCGGTCCTCGCATGACGCTTGATGTTGTCTGCTATGACCTTCTTATCGTCTGCGATCGACTTCTCTATCGGTGCCTCGAACAACTCCAAGGGGTCAAACGCGGACCACTGCTTGTACCGGGCCGGGAAGTCCTGGCTGACCAAATGGCCGGCAACGCTTGTAAAGGTGACGCTGCTCTGGCCCCACGGCGGTCCGAACGTGTAGTCGAAGACGTAGTTTTTCAAGTACGGGTTTCCTCGAACATTTTGCTGCAGGCGACGTCAGCACAAAGTTTGCAATGCCTCTTCCCTCTTCCCCCTCTCTCTTGCTCGTTTCAGGGCGATTTACCGCAGGCACTCTTCCGCCGCCCAGGTGATTTGCTACAGCTTTCGCTATCGACGGCTTTTCCGCCACGCAGAGAATTCGTACCATCTGCGCGTGATCATTCTGCTTTGTGCAGTTTTTGCATCCGCCCGACGCGTTTCCGCGGTGGGCGCGAGAGTAGCCCGCCGGCACGTGCAAGCTGCGAAGGTGAGGGTACACTTAAACGTAATAAAAGCACCCCGAGACTGGTGTAAACAATCGATGACGACGACGAATTTTGACGCTGTTCCCCGGCGCGACATTCATTCCACCGTCGAGGCCTGGCTCTTCTCCAAAACCCGGCCTTTTCAAAACAATGGCGACCGTGCTGTCTTTGCCGTCCCTTAAGTCGGTCGCTGAATGCGCCGACTTCAGCCTGACGGTTCGGCCGTACATCCCCCAGCTCCTCGACCTCCCGCGCAACCTTCGTGCCGCGCTCGCCGGCGACGACAAGCTCCACGAGCTGCGCCTCCTCTACCTCAACACGAACCCGCTCGCCTCGGCGGCGGCGCTCGCGCTCGCGCTCTCGGTGATCGTGCTCGTCGCCTCCGAGGTGAACAGGAACTACTCCCAGGTGGACAGGCTGTGGAGCATTCTCCCCGCCGTGTACATCGGACACTATGCCGCCTGGGCGCACCTCAACGGCCTGCCGACGCAGAAGCTGGACAACATCGCCGTATTTGGCGCGGTCTGGAGTGCCAGGTTGACGTTCAACTACTGGCGGAAGGGAGGATACAACATCGGATCGGAGGACTACAGGTGGCCTATCATCAAGGACAAACTTGGCTACTGGGGCATGCTTGCTCTCAACGTCACTTTCATTTCGTTCGGGCAAAACGTGCGTGACATTTCTTCTCTCTCTCTCTCTCTCTCTCTCTCTCTCTCTCTTCCTAACTTCTTCAAAGAAAATGTTTCTTTTTTTCATATTCTTTTTGGCACCTGTTTGCCTTCGTGTATGTACATCTCGTGAGTGGGTGAACTGACAGCGCCAGATCCTGCTCCTCCTGATCACGGCTCCAGCGTACATCTTTCTGCTCGCCTCCCGCCTCGGCTCGGACACCATGCAGCTGTCCGACATCGTCTTCTCACGCGCGTTGATGGGGTTGATTCTGGTCGAGTTCTTCGCAGATCAGCAGCAGTGGAGTAGGTGCATGTCTTCGCAACAGACGGCATTTGTGTGCTGACTCGTTTCAGATTACCAAGAGGCAAAGCGCAAGTACCGTGCAACGGCAAAGCTTCCTGCGGACTCAAAATACACGCAAGAGGATCTGGACCGAGGCTTCAACGTGTCCGGGCTGTGGTCGTGGTCTCGCCACCCCAACTTTTTGGCGGAGCAGCTCATCTGGGTGACGCTGTATCAATGGGCGTGCTACGCGACCGACACGTACTTCAATTGGACCGTAGTCGGGGTCATGGGGTATCTCGGCGTCTTCCAAGGTTCCACATGGTTGACTGAATTGTTGAGCGCGCAGAAATACCCCGAATACGAAGAGTATCAGCGCCTGGTGGGGAGATTCTTCCCGAAGCTCTTCTCAACTAGAGCGTCAGAAGAGCTTGTGTTGGAGAAGTCAAAACCCACACAAGCAAAGAAGAGAGGTTCCAAAAAGGACTGAAGGAAAAAAAAATTTGGGTTCAATTCGTAGATAACTAAATACGTAAGAATTGGCTCGAAAGGGGAGGATCCATAATCTCGACAGCGGCATATGCACGGACGCAGTAACGTGCGATTGGTAGCAGGACGAGCTCTTGATACCCAAAGCTCGGTGCATATGTTTTTTTTTTTATAAACTCTCCCAGAATCTCTTATGCGGACTCGAACGAGTCATCCTGTGGAATATCAATAGGATCCATCTCCCTGAAAATAGGTTGGAGTCCAACTTTTTCGAATATCCAATTTAGCTCCCCTTCGCCTAGCTTGACTATGCCATGGTCGTTTCTAAGCTCATTCTCCGCCTCCCAGGCCGATATTAAACTAGCCCTCATGGATCTGAAATCTTTCAGGTCTGACTGGATACGTGCTAAGCTCACCCACGCACTCGTAAGGTGCCACAAACGTAAGGACTTATCCTCGATCAGCATCGCCTTCTGAATGATGGACCAGGCTACGTCCTGAGCTTCCCTTAACAGACCTCGACTGCGAAGCACGCAGTATCGTAGATTCAAAGCCAGAAGTGTCTTTGAGCTCGTAGGCCCATACGTTATGATGCACTGCTCCTCCGTCGGCATCAGCTCGTCTATGTTACGGACCGGTTGCGACTCGAGCTTCCTCTGGGCCAGGACCATCTTATGCTCGAAACTAACAAAGGCCTGGGGCCCAAGCGAGCCCTCAAGCTGATTCACGAGGCATTCCTGTGTTTTCGTCTGCAGCTCGCCGATTTCGTCTAAAGGCAAATTCGCCAGTCCACAGAATATGTGGTAGTACGGATGATCCGGTCCCAAGACGGCCTGCGCCATCTCGCATACGAACGATTGAAACATCCTGGCTACCGGTCTGTGTCCTCGTCGGTCGAGGTAATAGATGCACTCCAATAGTTTTCCTACGGTGTTGTAGTGTGCACTTCGCACAACGTCCGATATCAGCGAGAAAGCAGCGTTCCACTCCTTGTAGCCTGTTACCTTGTCGCCCTTCCTTATGTGGGTGACGCCGTTGGTCAAATAGCGGTAGCATTCGTCCTGGTGGTAACTGTTGGAAATGACCGGTTGAGACAGTGCCCGCACCGGAGTTGGACTCCACGCCATCTCTAACGAGGACGAGAGCGCCCAAAGTCCCGTGGTGATCATGACACTAAAGCCGGTCGATATTCCTCGGAAATAGCTGTCGTAATCGCCCAAAGCAGCGGGCAACGCGATTGATTGCGGCACAGACCCATACGAGGATGAAGCAGAAGAAGACTGCGGGGTCAGCACGAGGGGCGAAGAGCCCGAAGACGGCGAGCCAGGAGGAGTATACCATTCAAGGTCTGGAATCTCTGTTCTCGTAGGTCCGGTTTCGAGTAGGTCCGACACTAGGATTTGGTGTTTCCTTTTATAGCGGTCAATATCTTGCATGCTGACCTCTCTGCCGCCAAGGACAAAGGTCGTCTCCTTCCCCGCCCGTGCTCTTTCAGCCTTGATCCTCAATATCGCCTCGACCTCACCTCTTCTCTGGTGCTTTCGCAGACCCCAGGCTTTGATCCTCGTGTTGTACATTCGCTTTCTGCAAGCGGGATGTGAGCGGTGATTTCGCGCGGGGCCGGCCAGAAGACGCTCTTACGTGGCTCTGAGGTGATATGCCCTTTCGATCTCCTCCATTACCCTCGCGAGCTCCCAGCCCTCGTCCACGTACAACTTGGCGATGACCGGCCTTAGGAAGTCCCATTCTTGCTGCGTCTGGATGTACTTCAGAGCGCGGTGGTCGGTCATCTCTTCGTGTTGCAGCAACTGAAGTTGCAGAGCAACAAGGGTTGTCGTGTCGATACGCATCGTGTAGTTCGGATTTTGCCGTCCCGCCAGACGCGGGGTCTTATTTAACTCGCGGCCTCATCAGGTGTACGTCAGGGTCGTGTCGGAGCCTTAACCCACGTCCGGTCTTGTGAACGTGCTTCGCGACGCAGGCGCCGCATCGACAGACCACGTAGTTTCCAGGCACTACGTCGACTGAAGCGATTTCCTGTTCCAAATCGCTCGGTCTGGCGAAGGATGGATGGTATCAAGATCAAGACAAGCCACGTGCAGAGAGTGCGAGTCCAAAGCGGAAGCCAACTGGCGCGAGCAGAGCAGCATACGCAACATCAGGACTCTGCGACAAGATTGAGTGCCTTTATGAAGCACGTAGAGAACGTAATCAAGATGCGCACACAGCGCCAAGGGCAATGCAAACACATTACCCCAGCCGGATGACCGGGGTGTCCAAGATACCGTGCATAAGGCAAGTGAGGCTGATCGCGCCAATCACAAGACAAAAGACTCAGGAATTCTGCCGAGCGAAGAGCATACCCTTTCAGCGCGTAGCAGACAGATGGCTGTTAAAGATGCGTACGCCCATACAAGAGCGAAAGGAATGTGAGCCCCAGAATCCGTTCCAGAGATCACCTTTCTGCTCATCCGCTTGTTACAGAGCTTCTTTTCGCATTGTCCACCGCTGTAGATTCTGTTGAAGCTTTGATGGAGACCTCAGGTGCAGCGCCGCTCGCAACGGGCACGAGCGCCACAACGATGTTTGCGCCACACGCCCCTCTGTCCAGTGGCGGACGCAGCCACTTCAGCTTCGAGATGGTCGAGAAGCCGGAGCAGGACGTGCAGCAGCTTGCCACCGCGCGAGCGGCAAATGTGGAGACGCATGTCCAAAATACCGTGCATCATCCGTCTGCCGTCTTCAATACAATTGATCAGGTCAAGGGTCACGTCGCGCGGAGTGCGCGAGAGAATGCCACCAAAGCACACGATCGTCGTGTCCCCACAAATGAAGCCGCCGCCAAGTCTCCTGTCGCGGTTTATCAATTCGCACATCACCTTCAAGTGCCCGCCACCAGCTACCGTGTAGACCCAGCATCTGCCTTGAACAGCTTGCAGCAAGCCAGCAGCAACTCCAAAGATCAACAAATTTATCAATGGTTGCTCGGTTTTCACAGAGAAGATGAGGTCGTGTTCTCCACGGCCGACCAGGCCATCCCCGTAGCACTCAACACGAGAAGACATGGGCAAACCCCCGACGATCAACGCGTTAGAGACGCGGGGGAAGAGAGTTATACCTACGACTTGCTTCGTGAAATCGGCGCGTGGGTTTGAATCTTGATCTAGCGTCGTCCTTGAACGCACACAACACACTCCTTTCGCGGAGAACATCAAAGAAGAGCTTTGATTCGCTGCTTCCGTCGACGGGGCTGCGGAACGGTTGAAGCCGATACCGATTCTGGTTTACACGGTCGTTCTTGGCTTCCGGTATATTCGTACAGCAGGGCGCTTTGGGACGGCAAGCAGGTCTGCGTATCATGCAGAGGAGTTTATTCCGGTGGAACGGTCCCTTTAGACTAGTTAGCTTGCATTAAGTACTCGATCTTCCTCAAAGGTTGTCCCCTTGTGCAACGGAGACGCAGATTACTGGCTCTCCTTCGCCATTGACGCGACTTCACATCCTTGCTGCACCAGAAACGTGCCCCCAGAGTCTGGGATCATGATGTTTGTTCTGCAATATGGGGTCTTGGGGGCCCTGGCGGCCGAGTGTTTTTTTCTCTTCCCCACTGGCTTTATACCTTTGCTCTTTCACCCAATCATTTCGTATTTGGCATTCTCCACAAGAAAACCCCTCGTCACTGTGACTGAACTTTTGAATGGTCTCCAGTTTTATATGTGTGTGGGTGTGGAAAGCGTTGCCTCACGAGCTTCTGCAAGATAAGCAGAAGAAAAAGGCTCAAAAGCCTTTGTGATTTCTCTTCACGTACACAGCGGCAAGATTCAACTGCCTACACGGTTTTCCTTCTTCGTCATAAGCTACGACCGTCGAGTGTTCGACATGGGCGGAACAGTCTGAGAAAGCCTTCGAAAAGGACTGCAGGACGCATGTCCAGGGATCCGAGTGACGATGTCTTCATACGTGCGCTCAAAGAAATCGTGGTGTAGACCTTCCAGTCGTTGCGAGCTCCTAGACTATTGGAAGATGGATCCAGGTAAAAGACTCGGTAGAAGCCGCCCTCAGAACAGGCTTTTCAAACGTCGTACTGGCTCGTCCGCAACGTCATCCAGCATGATCTTGGGGCACGGTGGACGGCGCCTATTTCAAAAGCTGGATCGCAAAAGGACAACGTTGTCTTCGAAATGTCCGCAAAGAGGCCGCCGATTTTTGGTGTCTTGCCTCGCTGCGAAGAAGCGAACCTGTTCCGTGTCCGCTACGGCGTCCACACGTGATAAAAGGTCCGGTGTTCTTGTAGGACGATTCGATTACAAGGATGGCACGATGCCTCAAACGTACAATCGAACGATCTTTGCTTGTCTTGCAGCCTGTGTCCTGTGATAGAAGAAAATGGGAAATCGTTTTGCGCGTCTACAGACATGGGACGCTGGCGAACAGGGTCGAGGTCGGCGACCAACATCTGCCGAGACCCCTTTCGGCAAGTTCTAAGAAGAATCGCAAGATTGCGCGATCGCCGTCCACACGTTTTTGCCTCCTGTGCTTTGCTTCCTTCTCTAGACCAATCTCGGCGTTGACGAACGGGTACCTGGAACGGCGGGCCATGCATTACAAAGACAATTATTTTTCTATATATTTTTTTTTTAATTTTTCCTCAAAACTGCCACATCTAGAGACCCCTAGATTTGCGGGTCGGCCGAAATGCGGACCTCGCTACCGACGATGTAGCAAAGAGACCTGTCCGGTCTCCTCGTCTCATTTAGTTCCTGGTTCATCCCACCTATAACTACTTACCCAAGTTCCGTGTGTGCGATGTCAATCTTGTTGTGAAATAGCCATGTTCACCCCTTTCGAGACTACGGCAGGTGCCTTGCTTTTGCACCTGGCTACAACCACTCTTCTCTTCGACGCAGGCGCGATACTCGGCGCGTCTGGCCTCCTGCGCCGACTTCTGAGGAATCCCAAGGATGAGATATCGCAGTCACCCACAGGATGGTTTTTTGGAGGCATGATAGCAGCTGTGGGCGTTGTCGCACTGATGTTGCCGCAAGCTCTCCCACGTGGGAGCTTCGAGATCAATGCCTTGAACGTCTTCAAGGCTCTCGTTAGTGGCTCGTTGATTGGTTGGGGAACTAAAGTAGGATCCCTCTCGTGAGCTTATTATGTTTACCACGTTTCTGACAGCAAGCAGCATTGTGGCGGCTGTACCTCTGGACATATGCTGTGCGGCATTGGACGACTGAGTCCCAGATCCTTCTTGGCAACAGCAATCTTCGTTCCTGTTGCGATTGCCACCTTCCATTTTACAAATCCTTCACTGGAAACCGCTCAATGCAGGCCTGATATTCCATGTTTTACGATGACCTATCCCGATGTCAGAACGATAGGCACAATCACAGCAATCATATCTGTCGTCGCTGTCGCGCTTAAGTCCGGTTGGACTGCGCCGGTACGTTGTCTGTACTCTCACGCGTCGAACTTGGCTGATCGTGAATCCAGTCACAAAAACTGTGCGTCAACATCGTTTATGGAATGGTGGGAATTGCGTTTGGCCTTGGTCTGCTCATATCCGGCATGGCAGACTCGTCCAAGGTGCAATCATTCTTCGCCTTTGAGCTACATCCGCTAAGCATCCAGCATTGGGACCCAAGCTTGTCCTTAATCTTTGTGGGTGCCGTCTTACCCAACCTGATCAAGATCCAATCGCGAGGGTTTGAAAGACCACCGAGATTGGCCGCTCGTTTCTCGCTGCCGACGAAGATGTTCAAGGACGTCGATGTGCGTTTCGTACTTGGTGCTATAGCCTTTGGAATCTCCTGGGGCTGGACTGGAGTATGCCCAGGCCCTGCAGTTATCAAAACGCTGTTGCAGCCCGTCTGGGGATGTTTATGGATGATAGGATTCTATGTCGGTAGCCTCGATATGTTCGACACATCATAACATGGAGGCTAGCACCTTGAGGGTGCGACGGTGGAAATTTCTTTTTACGACGCTCTTGGTTTAGATCAAATATCACTAGAGATAGAAAGGATCCTCGCTCAAGCAGACAGGGCTATGTGTGGCTGCGGTAAGTCGAAGGTGCTCCTTCGCGTGGGGAAGCAGCCAAGTGTGTAGGTTTCCATTCTGTACTGTTTTGGCTTTGGAGGCTGTTAGAGGAGAGGTAGCACTCAGCCGTGTCGAACCTTGTGGCCAAGCGCATGTTATGTTCTTGCCTTGGCGGTTTAGAAGAGCTGAACATGGTGTCTAGCGATAGAGGCAATGACAACGCGAGAGCAAAGAGCCATTGTACATTACCCTGCGTTGGCTGCTCATTTTCGATAGAACAGCTTCATCAAAGGCGTATCACTGCTCATTTGGAGAAGAGAACAAAAGAGGTGCACTTTCAGACCTTGGCACCATGCGGCGATCAGGAGCTTCCAGAAGGTCATCTCGTTTCTGACCTTTCTGGGCTGTGCCTATCACCATTTACCTCGCGTGGGCACGCGATGTAATTGTGATATGCAGTCACTGCGGCGATCTGGCACTCGGACGGTCATATACGCGACGGCGTGACGACGCGACGAAGCGTCGAAGATGGCAGGTGTGCGTCTGGCTCCTCATGTTCAGAGCGCGACAAGTGAGTGAAAAGGCGGTGATACGATGCCAGAGCTGCGCACCGCACACGACCGACTTTCCGTGCAGACAGGTTGACGGTCGCGGTGGTGGGCTTTCGTCAGGCGTGCGCCCGCACTGGACGACCTGCAAGGGGAGACGGCACCAGCGCCTTCTGAGTCAGGGAAGCAAGCCTCTGATCGGGACCGCGGGCGCTGGACGGACAGGGGCCGAGGAAGCGCGCCCGCGATTGGCCAGCGCCGCCAACGTCCGGCAGCGACGAATCTCGTGCGTTGGGACAGCTGAAACATGCTCTCCATGCACGGGACCCACCTGCGCGCTCCTTGGCCAGTGTGGACGCGCGCGAGGCCGGAGGCGTCGTCGCTAATACGCTCGCTGTCGAGCCAGGGTGGCTCTGTGTTCTCTCGCGCTGGAGGGCCACGCAGCCGGCCGCCAGACGTGATTCAGCACAGAGGAAGAGTCGGCATTCGACCTAGTAGACGCGTGCGTGTGCCTGGACTTGGCATGCAGGCGTCGCGGCACGCTCGAACTGCGGAGCGATGAAGAACAGGCCCGGTGCCAAGTGCAGAAGTCCGCGCCGAACGAGTGCGGAAAGACTGGAGGTGACGCTGACCAACTACATCAGGGGACTGCATGAATTGCAACGGCCGTTCGACAGCGATGGCATCCCGATGGACGTCGGCCAGGATGAAATCTCCGACGATGTTGGCCCTACTCTGACTGCCGTGGCGCTACGTACCCGGAGAGACTGCATCTTGCAGCGAGCCACTGCGGCTGCCCCGTCAGACCTCAAAGACATGCGAGAAAGTTCGGTCAAGGCTGATGGGGGCCAAGGCAAAAAGACGGCCTTGAAGGAAGCGAGAGAGGCGCAGGTGGTGGCGACGGCTGGGGCAGGCATGGCGGATGGCACACATACAGCAGCGAAGCACGACAACGAGGAGGCAGAGGAAGAAGGAGACTGAGAAGTGGAGGATGAAGAACAAGTCGCGGCAGCTGCTCACCAGTGCTGGAAGACAGTAGTTCTGTGCAAGCGATTGGTCGGACACAGGATGCAAAACAGCGGTTTGATGCACGCCTTTGGAGTGGGCAGCGTGTCCAATGACGGGGAACAATCGCAATGTAGCACATCAACAGCCCAAGATCTCCGTACAATAAGCGTGCGCGGGCACAGAGGTACAGCAGAGGCAAGCGGAGACGGCACAGGCGCGTGGTGGTGCTCTGCGCGGTAGGGTGGCACAACAGTCCGTACAGAGGAGACGGTCTGTACGTCCGTCCAGTGCCCCGTACGTCCAGTGACCCATTCCATCCAGCTCAGCACTGGACTGGACCGAGCATGTACTGCGAGGAGTTCCAGCGCTTTGTACAGGATCGCTGTGGGACGATCACGAAGGCGCCGCGGGCGCGTGCTAGGCTGATTTCAGGCTGGACGGGGCCACACCAAGCTTAACGTGCTGTAGCGTATGCATCTCAAGACACTGGCCCGGCCGTTGCACACTCCACGCCGGCTCCTGACTGGCTCATATTTTTGGCAGCCTTCAAGTGCGCAAGCGCCGTGCCCCATCTTCGTTTCTGCCATCTCTTGCCTTTCTGCGTTCTGCGTGTCTGCTGCTGCTGTCGCTGTTCTGTTTCTGCTTCGACAAATCCCCTTCGGCTGGTGCTGAACCACCAACAAACGAGCCCGCCTCCCTTCTCTTCTCCACCGCCTTGCCCCAGGCGTACGTCTCGTTCGCTGCGAGCTCGTGACGGCAGACTCCTCTCGCGCCCGCCCCCGTCCGTGGATCCCGTCCATCCAGAGATCTGCTCAGCTCTCCGTCGTCCACGCAAACTCCTCCACCGCAGAGAAAGGAGACTTTGATTCTTCGCCCCGACCCATGCTCCTGTCCGGGATACCACACGACGCACCCTTGGCCTGCCTCACCACCAAACGCCAGCCATTCTCCACCTGCTTGCGAACGTTCGACTCTTCCGCTTCTTCTGCTTCTGCTTCTGCTTCTTCCTTCCTCCTCTTCGTCTTCGTCCTCACACGCCTCCAGGCTGATCGCGGCTTCCACCTCTAGGCCCTCGCCTTCTTCCTGTCTCAGTCGTGCCTTCTTCCAGCGCTTACGACCCCACGGTCGCTGTTGCCCGTTAATTGTAATCCTCCCGCCCGCGTCTATTTGTGTCGTCGCCCGCCGTCCACTCCTTGACCACTGTTAAGCGCCCGACAGCAAGCAGGATCTTGCTCATCGCGTTGCCCTCAAATATCACACTCCAATCGACGAGCCACCGAGGTGAGTTGTTTCTTGTTTTTTTTGACGGGCCTGGCAGCGCTGTGCAGAGGCATTGAGGGCCGCCGTCGCATCTGACGCTGGTACTGTCTCGAGCGCATCACAGCCCTGGTCGCCTCGACGCTGCAATTTCGCCCATCTCTGCCTTGTTTTCTCTGTGGCCATCCCTCGCCGTGTCTTGTTTCTGCCATATCATACCTTCTCTCGTCGTGTCCGAGAGACTGCAAGCGAAAACGAGCCGTCCACCAGCACCCAGGGATGGCGACGGCCACACTTGCACACGATGCTGACCGCAAAAGGGCCTACAGAGTGGACGATTTCTCCAGCTTCCCGTCCCAGCCGTCGCCGAAGAAGGTAGAGATCACTGTTCCTACCATTCAGCTCATCTCGCCGACTCCGCGCCGCCCGCCGATCTACACGAGCGATAGTCGCCACCGCCGCAAGGCCAGTCTCGACAGGCTTCCTCGTGGACTCCACCAGCGCATGAGCATGCAAACACCTCCGTCGCCAAGAACGATCGCGCCGCCAATGCCTTCTTTTATGACTGTCTTTGACGAAGAGGCCACACGAAGGGAATTGGAAGAGCTGCAGGGTCAACATGCATCTGAGGTGCAGAAGCCGTTCCCTAGCAACAACACAGCAACGACCAGCGAAACAAGCCTCGCTCATATGAACCCGCATTTTACAAGTTTTCACAAGCAGCGTGACAGCGTCTCCACATCCGCCTCCGAATCGTCCGAGTCGTCACCCACAACCACGGTCTCGACGTTGGACTCCTCGTCCATGACTGAGCCATCTCCCGGTCCGTCACCGGAGACTCCTGCAGGCGCTAGCTTGCCCATGACATACGCATTGGCGGAACCCAAGTTTCAGCCTCCCATGCGCTCGCAAATGGAGCCCACAAATCAACACTTCTTCGAGATGCAAAGGCCCACAACACCTGCGAAGAAAGCCAGGAACCTCAAAAATCTTGCCGTAAATACCACCTCTGCATACAACCTTGGACGCTCCATTCTGTCGGCACCCTTTGTGTCCGCATCAGCACAGAAGCCGATCGAGCGCACGTCCGCTCCAAATTCTCCCGTCTTTGTGAAGCCGCCGACTCCTCCGCGCAGAAAGCTCGGGGGTGGCCTTAATCTCACCATAAAGACCCCCGCCAGCAACAACATTGGCGTGGGCGGTGTCGTCCCACCAACTCCCTCCATAGCAAAGCCGAATACGTTGCGGCATTTCCAGTCTTCCCCGTCTTTGCCACTTCTGACCTCGAGCCACGGACCCTTGGGTGGTATGACCCTGCCGCAGCTGAGAACGAAGCCAGCTCCTCGAGGTTTTGCGGATATTCCTATCGAAGACGAAGAGGAGGATGCGGAGCAGAACTTTGACGTACCACAGTCGCAGGAAGAGAAGCCAGAGAGCTACCCCAATGGGCCGATCCGCATCTATGAAGATGGTATCGATCTATACTATGAGCCCAGCGTAGAGGTGGCCTCAAGATACGACGTGATTTTCAACGTAGCTAGCGAGGTTAAGAACCCCTTTACAGTGGCCGCAGAAGCGACGCAATCATCAGCTGTTGCGGAGCCTGCTCAACACATGGGCGGTTCAATAGACGGTTCGGAAAGTGCGAGCTCGCCGGACACACCCAAAGCGAATCCCTTACCGTCGCAACTGCCGGCACCACCTTTGCCTACAAAAATGCCCGAGTATATTCACATTCCATGGGAGCACAATACCGACCTAGTTCCTGATCTTCACCGTCTGGTAAAGGTGATTGATGAGAAGGTGAAGCAAGGCAAGCGGGTACTTGTGCATTGCCAATGCGGCGTCTCAAGATCGGCGACGCTGATCGTAGCCTATGGTATTTACAAGAACCCGGGAATCACCGTGCAGGAGGCTTACGACGCGGTGAAGAAAAGAAGCAAGTGGATTGGACCGAATATGAACCTAATCATGCAGCTTCAGGAGTTCAGATCCGGCTTGCTTCGAAATTCACGGGCTAACCAACTTTTTAACATGCCGCGCAAGCTCTCGTCGACGCTCTCGTCAACATCGACCACTGACTCATTCAACGAGAGCTCGAAATCGATGTCTGGTCCAACCACACCTCGAACTGCTCCACTACCTCCAGAGAAAGATGAGGGAGCACACAGTCGTGCACGAACAGCCAGTATGGGGCCCATGTCGGCTGCCCCGCTTGAACCCAATCAATGTTCTTTTTGGAACACTGCGTTCAGACGTTCATGGGGCGAAGGTCATACCACAAGTGATATCGATATGAAGCGTGTCTCCGTCGTCTCAGATACACCCTACGTGGACCCCAAGGGACACATTGTACCGATGGTGCATGTTATCGAACAGGATGACGAATCTCATGGCATAGAACAAGAAAAACAGGCTCCGACGCATATTGACCCCAATCTCGCAGCGAGCACAAAATCGCAGAAAAGGAAGACCCCCAACTTCTCGCGGCAACTGCCACTACGGCAGGATAGAGACGGTGACAGCACTATGGTTGACGCGCCGGCCCCCCCACCGTTGCTGAATGTGACGAGCCCTCGAAGCGAAGAGTTTGGGATGATTGGCCTACCGAAAAGAAGCGACATACAACATCACGATTCGTTTGGCCTGTTCTCGCCGATGAGAACCGAGTTCCCTGACGTTCCTGCCGCAGTGTTGTCGCAGACAGCACCAACCACTGTTCAGCCATTCCCGTCGCTGGCGGACGCGCCTGCTGCATCCGCACAAACAAAGCCATCCGTCACAACAGAAAACACGGGCTTTAGCGGCTTTTCATTCTTCGAACGACAACGCACGCCGACCGAACCTTTCTCCATAATGTCGCCCACATCTTCTAGCTTCCCTCGGGACTTTCCTCTTCGGAGTGAGAACTCAACGCAGACTACGGATTCTTCACGACTCACTCCGCGTAAGAATCCGCCCCGGGCGCTGAACACTAAATTCAGCTCACCTAATTTGCATGAGAGACGCCGACTGCAGAAGTTGCAGAATGAGCTCGATCCAAAGAAACACATGGATGATCTCGACGCACTGATGTCCCCACGCGCCACACAGTTCACCTCGAACCCGTTTCATGAGCTTTTAACTGTCAAAACTGGAGACACCCCTGTCGAAGCATTGGAGAAAGCTCCTGTCACACCGACACCATCTGATTCGGATCCGCGGAGTCCTGCACAGCTCGGTATCAGCCCGATCACACGCAATATATTTGACGTGCTCTGAGATCAGCGAAACCGGAATTATTCTGACTTTGCACGTGACACGGATGTTACGACGTCAAAGATTGCGAAGGCTCGCGAATGCCACGCGTCTCAACTATTTTTTATTTTTTTTTTTGAAAAAAAAAGCTGCGTACCTATTTCGGTGGCGCTCTTGAGACAGCTTAGCACTGCAGTAGAATCCACTTGCAAGGGGGGACATGATGCTTACTCCTTGCAACGCGCATCACGCGCAGAGTATCCGTTTGACGGGCCAGAAACTGAGATGCTGTTGAAAAGAATACATAAGCGAATGCTTAAAATATCCTCGGTAGAGTCGCAATTTGCTTCAGACCATGGAGTCTGACCAGAACGGGTCAATTCGCCATGCCACAACAATTGCCAAAGAGTCAAGCACCCATTATTTCTGAGCGATTCTTAGCAATTCCGGCGCTACGACAACTTTCAACGCCTGTTTCTTTTGTCCGCTAGAACTACCTTTCTTCATGCGTGTATCGATGGTTGCTGCTATATCATTGTTTAAAAGACTTTTTTTTCTGGCGCTGGCGTTTGCATCTGGGCACAGGTTGGAGTTTGGTAATTCTTTCATAATGAGAGAACCAACTTAGTGTCTAGTCGTTACACAATGTACCACTCTGAAGTAAAGAGTGAGTTTTGTATTCTTTAAGAGATACTTTGGAGCATACTGGGACTGGTTTTGGGGACGAGACTATGAAATATGAGCAAAATAGCTCGAAACAGCGTACGCGCTGCGACTCTGTATAACCAGAAATACAAGATGTTCTCCTGCAAATTTTATGAATGACATAAAGTGAGCTTGTCGTATGGCAGATGACATTGCAGAGGGCAACTTATGTTCTCTATGAAAAATTGCACGCTTTCAAATGATCTAAGTGAGACGGACATGCTCACATGATGGAGCCCAGCTTGGATCTTTGTCCAAGCTCTCCGCTCTCTGTTTCAAAGCCTGCGTTAACACATTTCCTGCGCGAAACCCAACTGATATGACATAATCTCTAGCGCAATTTCCAACCTCACAATCTGAATGAACAATCTTCTTGGCCTATGTCCGGCCTGTTGCTAGACGAGGCCTCGAACGAATGCCGGGAATCAACCCGCAGAGACGCCGTACGAGGATCGTGTGTATCAGCGACACGCACAATCAGACACCGCAGTTGCCGAAAGGTGATGTGCTTGTCCACGCTGGAGATCTCACAAACCAGGGTAGTTTTTCAGAGCTCAAAAAGACAGTTGCGTGGTTGGAAAAGGCTGACTTCGAGATCAAGATCGTTGTTGGAGGCAAGTAACTTCTCACAAGAACAAAATATAATAAAAAAAAAAATTAAACACAGATCTGAGGTGCGGCATTTAGGCAATCACGACATCACTTTGGATACCGAGTTCTACGGGGCCAACTGGACGTACTTCCACAATCAACGAAAACAGGATGAAGAAGATTGCAGGGCGCTTTTGCAAGACTCGCCATCGATCACATATCTGCGACATGAGCCTGTCCACATCAAGTTGACGGCGTCGACCGGACCGCAGACGCACTTCAAGGTCTTTGGCTCCCCTTACTCTCCGGCCCACGGGCTTTGGGCATTCGGCTACACGGACGCGCAGGCCGCTCAACTGTGGGATCAAGTACCTGTCGACACCGACGTGCTCGTCACGCACACGCCGCCCAAGGGGCATTGTGACAGAACGGTGACCAAGAGCGGTCGAGCGGGGTGCGAGCACCTGCTGCGCAGGCTGTGGCGGGTGCGGCCTCCGTTGCACGTCTGCGGCCATCTTCACGAGGGCAGAGGGGCGGAGATCATCACCTGGAACGACGGGTCCGACTCTCCACGTCCGGAAAGCCACGTCCTGTGCTGGAAAGATCCCGGCGCCGGCGAGGGCAACAAGAAGCAGAGCATCCTCTCTCTGACGCCGCGTGACGGGCGCTCAGGATCGCAGCACGGCTCCCCCCTCTCCGCCGTCGCGGCTTCCACGTCCAAATGGCACGAGCGCCCAGCGCGCGCAAGCACGACGGCGGGTAACGACGTCGCCGCACCGGCTGCTGACGACCCCGATCCGGAGACGGCTGAGGAGACCGGCCCCGTGCACGGCGAAGACTCTGCACGTGGCCGGAGCAGGACCACAACGTGCGTGGTCAACGCGGCGATCATGAAGAACTCATTTGGCGGGCCGAAACAATTGAACAAACCGATCGTAGTTGACATTGATTTCCCCGTCTTGTCCGACGGTTGAAAACGAACCAGTGGACCGCTACTGGTAGACGCTTGACGCGTTTCGAGGGGAAAAAAAAAGAAAAGAAAGAAAGAAAAGAAAAGAAAAGAAAAATGAAAACGGAAGACGCTATTACGAATGGGGTTGTGCTTGTTTTGGTTATATTTTGTGTTTGTGACAGAACGTAGCTCGCTTATGGTTACATGTGGATTCGACTCTTTGCCTCATCTCATCATCACACTAGCGCGCAGCGGTTCTACGCTACGCTGCACATGCGTTTTCGTTCCATGCGATCGTGAATCATTCCGGATGTGACAGGTGGCTACACGCTGTTCCCACCGCCACAGGCTCGCTCCAGAGCGAGGAAGCTGAAGTGTCCACCCACGACGGGTCGGGCCAGGAAACGCGTGGGGGGGAACCCGCCGGTGCCTTCCGTGTCGTACAAGTCTGTGAAGGCTCGGTCCGTGCTGGTTTCGTTAAGCCAGCGGCTGACGCGATCGAGAATGTCCTTTCTGACCGCGGGTTCTGCAACGGCGGCCGCCTCGAACTCCCAGTCGGACTTGGCTTGCAGGTGTCTGCTGTCGAGCGGAAGGCCGTACCGCTGCATGACTAGCGAGTACCACGAGGACTGGTTGACGTAGATTGAGTGCGGGATGAAGTCCCGATGCGACGTGGCTGGAGAATGCACAGCACCCTCTTGAAGAGGCAGCTGCTGACCGGCGGCAAGCATGTGATGATGCGAATCTGCTGAATGCGGTGACGCCGCATTTCCGGTGATGGTAGGGTGGAAGCACAAGATGGAGTCGGCGAAGAGGCTGTAAAGGGTGGTCCAACTGCCATACCAGTTGTAGGAGAGCTTTGCGTGGCTACCGTCGCGCGACATGCCGAACTGCTGCCATTTCTTGATGTAGACGTCCGATATGTTCTTGTAGTACTTCGCATCGGCATCCTCCCCGACGACGCTGGCAAGTTCGCTCATGGCTTTGATGCCGATGATGCCTTTTAGGGCAAGGTTGGTCTGCAGAGGCAGCCAGCCGGCGAAATCATCAGTACACACTTCACAGGGGTCAGTCACACAGCTCGCGCGCGCAGGGGAGGAAAATTGAAGAACATACGCTGATTGTGAGGTTCCAAGCTGAATTCGACAAGGTACGATGTCCATTGCTTCCAGAGACGGTAGCTCTTCTTCAGCCACTTCTCGGCCTTTTTCAAGCCGTGACTACCGGCCCAGGTGTCATCAATGTAAGAAATGCCATCGTACGCACCGACGCTGGTCAATGGCCAGACGCTCTCCGTGTCCTCGTTGATGGAGGCTTCGTTTCCTACAAGTGACCAGATGGACTGCACATCATACCCTGAGCCATACTTCAGGGAGTTTACAAGTGCAAGGCCCATGATGAGCATGTCTCCACACTCCTCGACAGGCATGTATTCATCTCGTCCGTCTGGGTGGCCCGTTTGATTGGGGAAGTGTGTGCCTAGATCGTGCATTGAGTATTGATTTGGGTACTGGCCGCTAAGCTGATGCTCTAGGAGTGGTTCCAACAGATAAGCGAGCCAGCGAGGATTGGTGTACAAGAAAAAGGGAAAGGCCGGGAAAATGACGTCCACAGTTTGGCAGTTGCCGTTGGAAGAGATCTCCTTCAAAAATAGGATGGGATTGTCCGGTGTACCGGCGAAACTGGTAGCATGGAGGACCTGTCTTGCCGATAGAGCAACGATGTCGACATAGCTATCCGATCCTGACTTGTAGGCATCGATGGCTAGCTGATCCGAGTAGTTGCGAGCCAGCCTGTCTGCGTTGTGAAAGTCGAGATAGTGATATTTGAGAACGTTCGTATCGGTGAGGAACCAGGACTTCCACAAGGGTCGCATCAAGGTCAGACCCCGAGCAGAGGCGTACTGAACGACAGGGTCTTGGAGATGGGCAATTGTGAACATGACACTGTCGGACGTCTTGGTGTTGCGCACGGCGCTACTGCCATTTGACAGCTGGAACGACTTGGAAAAGGCAAAGACCGGTTCTTCGTCCATGATCTCACGGTAGTGCTGGTCAATCTGATTCTGAAGCATGCCCGTCCTGGCGAATCGCTGCCGCAAGACAGCAGAGGTGCCGCTCTCATGGTTCACGTCTGACGGACCTGTGAAGCAAAGGGTGCCCCATTCAGCTTGGTCCCTGAATTCGGTGAAGAGCTGCTCCGTTTCTCGCCTGACCTTCCAGATTTTGAGGTTCGAGTAGCCGTCCAGGTCAGGCTGGTCCAGCTCCCACACTACCTTGCTGCCACGGTTGCCGCTGACCCATTGGCCATTCAGGTCGATGTATAGATCAAGATCGAAATCGCCTTCAACAGAGACAGTCAAGTACGCTGCAGGTATTGACTGTCGGAGCGTCGATTGCGGAGTAATTGGCGAAAGGAAGGACAATTGGATGTGCAATGGCTTCCCACTGCCTTCGTGCTTCGGCGCTGGGATTGAATACGATAGATTTGTGGTCGAAGCGTCGTAGCTTGCGCCGAGATATCGAGGAAACGAGACGTTGTATCTGGTCCTTGTCAGCATGTGGGTGACTTCATGAGGGAGACTCGTGTTCACCCATGGCCGTATCCGCCTTTTCCTAGCGAATCTTGAGGTCGCCCCAGCAGTGGGTATGCTGTTTTTGTGGCAGGAACTGACGCGAGGATGCCAAAGCCAATCTACACATTTCATTCATGGTCACTATCCAGTCTTCAGCGTGGCGATACGTACGGTCCGGCGAAAAGCGTAGGCCTCGCTCCGGGCACACTCACCTCTTCACCGGTCCAGAACGTAGGCCATTTTTCCCAGGGATTATCACGCGCATTGCCCAGCCAGGTGCTCAGGTACGGAGTTCTCACAATGAGTGGGAGTACTGGTGGAGTCAGCGTGGACGCGGCAGCTAAAGAGGCTGATGCCACAGCCGCGAGGAGCGCGGCAGTCGTGCGCATAGAGATTTCAAGTACAATTCCACAAGCAGAGCAGCGCGACCGGGCGTACGTGACATTCAGTTCAACGAAAACCAGCGAAAAACAAAAAGAGAGAAAATAGAAGAGACTCTGCGAAGGAAGAGCCGTCGCACGACCGGCGTGTCAATGGAGCGATCGTGCGGCATCGGCAGGGGTAAGCAGACGCTGCAGTTGCGTGTGACGAGGGCATCTGACGCAGCAATTTGTGGGGTAACGTCGCTAAGTTTAGCGGGCACTGACAATGATACGCTGACTTGAATCAACTGACTTGGCCTCAAGTGTATTGACTTTGCCGTCCTTGTCGAGACTGAAACGTCGCTGCTTGGCGGACGATGCAACGGACTGCTTTTGTCTTGCACGCATCCGCTCAAGCTGTCTTGTTCGGTGGCATCCCAAGAAACTTCGGTCGATGAGGGTTGGACTGTAAAGTGTTGTCGACTAACGAACCCATACCAGCTGTCAATCGTTCGTAGATACGCTGACACGATCTACAGTCGTACAGTTGTACACGCGTCGTCCGCGAAGTTCATCAATGATACATCACGTGCTCGAACATGCATAGATGTCCAACCCCACGTTTCGACGGGTCCAAATGTTCCACGGGAGTGTCCGCTTTCGTGTCTGTTCTGTCGAATCTCGTAATTTGACCATGCCTGCCCTTTTTTTCCCTCCGATGTTATCATGCATGCACCTAGATGGAAATCCTTCCAGCATGCTTGAGTTGACTGGCTATCCGACGAATCGCATGCGCTCGATTACGCCAAGTACCTGTCGGCCAGATATGGTAAAACTTCGCGCCGAGTATATCACCGCTGTGCGCTTCTTCGAGGGATCATCGAGTTGCAGCGTTTAGAAAGATAACACGTTTGAGGTCTCGTCGTCTGCAACCTTCTCTCCATCTTCTGCCTGGATGCTGTTTGTGTGTCTAGTTTCATCAGTAGAATGGATAAGACTCGAACCTTTACTAAAGTCGGGCAAAGCATTCCATTCTGGTATTCTTGGCACGTCTTCTTCCGGCATCTGACACTGTTCGTTGCAGTTGTACTTGTCTTGTCCAACGGTTTCCGGTGGATCACACCTCAAACCCACGTTTTCTACGAGGCAAACTTATCACCAGCGGCGCCATTCGAATGGTCGAGAGTAAACCCCACAAAATCATTTGGCTTTGTTTCCTGCTACGGTGAATATGAGTGCGCTCGTCTCGATGTTCCGCTAGACTGGACCGCCTCAACTGAGGTCCAGGGAAAGCAACGTGCCGGCATTGCTGTGATACGACTGCCAGCCAAGGTCCCCGTAACATCACCTCGTTATGGAGGCGCCATTCTGATCAACCCCGGCGGTCCTGGGGGCTCAGGTGTTAACATGCTACTCAGTGTGGGCAGGCAGATACAGAAAGTTGTTGACACAGGTTCATATAGCTCCGAAGAGGACGGCACAAATCAGATGTCTTATGACATCATTGGATTTGACCCCCGAGGAGTAAATCATACCACACCAAGCCCATCTTGTTTTCCAGACGACGTGTCGCGCCAATTCTGGGACATAGGACGTAAGGCTGCAGGCAGCCTTGGGGAGAATAGCACTTTCCCCTTGGTGTGGAGTAGGAACAAAGCTCTGGCCGAAAGTTGCTCCCGCACGTTGCGTGAGCAATGGGATGGCATCGGCATGTACATGAATACGCCACAAGTGGCAAGCGATATGGTGGCTATTATCGAAGCCCTAGGCGAGTGGCGAGAGAAGCAAGCTCAAGAACAGATTAGGAAAATGAAGCAGAGCCGTGAGCAAGTTGCAGAGATAGAGGCGCGGACCAGATGGAACAAATCAAACGAAAGTTTACTCTTCATGGGCTTTTCGTATGGTACCTTGCTCGGGTCTACTTTCGCCACATTGTTCCCTGAAAAAGTCAACAGACTGGTGCTGGACGGCGTATGTGATGCGGATGACTACTACTCTGGTACGTGGCTGTCGAATCTGCTCGACACAGACTTGATCATCGGGAGCTTCTTCAGGCAATGCCACGAAGCCGGACCGGTTGAGTGTCCGCTCTGGTCAGCCAATGGCGTCGACGGTATCAGAGTGAGATATCATGGCGTGCTGGACAGGCTGAAGAGTAGCCCGCTGCCTGTGGAAGCGTTTGGTACCTACAGTGCAGATGTGATCACAGTCTCCGACGCCATGGATGTCGTTCGCGAAGCCGTATATCAGCCAATGAAGTTCTGGCCTACCTTGGCTAGCGTGTTTGATCAGCTGGATAAGGGGAACGGCTCTGAGCTCGCTGCCGCGAAGCAGGATGGCCGCATTTCGTACTGCCGCTCTCCGACCTGCGTCAAGAATCCGTACTCGGATGACTGCTATGCTCACAACGAGGGATTTCGCGAAGAGTTGAGTGCAGCGATCCTTTGTACCGACGGCCCTGCCGATCAGCTGAAGTGGAAAAGTGAAGACCACTTCGCAAAGTGGCATGCCCTGCGCGGACAGTCTCGAGCGTTGGGAGACTTCTGGGCGGAGATCACTATGTTCTGTGCAAATTGGAATGTCAGGCCCAGGTGGAACTTCACCTACCCAACGACTTCACGAACGACATCGGTGAACACAAGCTTTCCCATCTTATTTGCCAGCACCGTACGAGATCCTGTCACTCCCCTGAGGAACGCGAAGAAGATGCAGACAAGGTTTTCTGGGGCAGGTTTGCTGACGGTTGAGGCAGACGGCCACTGCACAATTGGAGTTCCCAGCCTGTGCGCCGCGAGGACAATCAGTGCGTACTTTCAGAAAGGAGACATTCCCGCAGATGGGTTGGTATGCGCGCCCGACAGTTCTCCCTTTGATAGGAACACGAACACTGGGACATTGGAAAGACATTCGCGGGAGCTGCTTGAGGCTCTTGATCACATTCAAAGACATACAAGGGCCAGTGAGGCGATGCCGTTGGGTATATTGTAAGAAGACGAAAAAAATGAACAGTATTGCATTGGGCTGAGTATAGGTTTGCGGTTGACATTTATTGATACCATACTGTAGAAGTGCTTGCTTGGTTGAAGATGCCGCGAACATGTGATCGCTTTTGCTTTTATGACCTCGTTGAATGTCAATCCGAAGTACGAGTTTGTGGAACCGGAGTATTCAGTGCATGAAACTATATCAGATCCTTCTCAAGTAATGTCGCGATGATTTGTGGGTCGATTTCAAAGATAGAGGGACAATTGATGGACAAGAACCAACAGCCCCCTCTATGACGTCGTTCATAATTGGCCGATCATGTTTCCCACTCTTCCCCGTTCGACTGCACGAACGATTTGGGAGATGCGATGACGGTTCAACAGCAAAAAAAGTTCTTCTTTGGTATCCAAACACTGCCATGGCTCATATAATACCGAATCCGTTCAAACGCCATGAAGGTGCCGCAGGCCAGGAGCCCAAAGGACAACAGCAGGATGCATCGCTCACGACCATCCTCGCCACGCGAGCTCAGCGTGCCGATTTTACGCTGCTTTTACACTCATGCACGGCATCAATGCGCAAGATCATTACCGACACGTTCGACCCACGCTACTCTGGCCTTCCATCAGATGCGCGCTTCGACAATGCCTTGTCGCACGGTAAAGACCTTGATCTTTCCAAGGTGGATGTTGAGGAGCTGGACAAGCAGCGCAAAGCGGCCGAAGATCGCATCAAGGAACTGAGCAAGGAGGAGATGCAGGCGCTAAAAAGGGAGGCCCTATCGTTCTTCGACAAATGGCAGGAGAGTGTACTGGGCAGAGTCGGGCAGGTGTTGAACGCAACAGATGAAAAGAACGAGGCGCAGGCCAGTCCTAAGATGGAGGACGCGCAGCAGGTGGGCGAGAACATGTTGGACGAGAATTTGGAGGCGCCCAAGTCCTCCGACACGAAAATCAGCGAGGGCGACATCAAGACGGACAAGGAGAGAGCAGGCGACCAGCCGTACGACGATGGCGGCGTAGACAAGGCCATCAAGTCCATCTACAGGCCGATAGATACTCCCCTCCTTGAACTAGACATTGAAAAGAGGCGCCTGGTCCTTCATTCGGTCATGCTTCTACTTTTGAGTCTGGAGCACTACAGTGCCCACTCACATGTTTTGCTGCTTTATTTGGCGAGCAGCCTTCAGGTGCCGGTTGCTTGGCTCACTGAAGACGAGGGAAACGTGGCACGCGGTCTTCTCAAGGCGGCAGAAAACATGAATGCCGACAAGGAGACGAAGAAGAAGGCGGAAGAGAACGCGTCAAGTCGGAAGTGGAAGGTCGGGCTGGCCAGTGTGGCTGGAGCCGCAGTCATTGGCATCACAGGCGGGCTTGCCGCACCACTTGTCGCGGCGGGCATTGGGACGGTCATGGGTGGGTTGGGTCTTGCTGAAACGGCGGCGGCCGTATATCTCGGCTCCGTGGCAAGCAGCGCGATGGTCGTCGGCGGCTTGTTCGGCGCCTACGGTGGACGCATGACGGGCAAGATGATGGATGAATACGCAAAGGAAGTCGAGGATTTTGGATTCGTTCCCATTCACAAGTGGTCAAAACCACGAAAGATTGAGAAGGAGTACAGGCGTCTGCGCGTCGCGATTGGTATCTCGGGATGGCTGACGGAGAAGGAGGACGTTGTCAAGCCGTGGCGTGTGCTCTCCCCGAGTATCGAAGGCTTCGCTCTCAAGTACGAGATGGAGTCCCTTCTCAAATTGGGCAACGCCATCACGGGGATCTTGAAAACGCAGGCGTGGACCGTGGCCAAGCATCAGATCATCAAGCGCACCCTTTTCGCCGCGTTGTTGGAAGGCATGTGGCCGCTGGCTCTGCTGAAGGTGTCGCACATCGTGGACAACCCTTTTAGCGTCGCGATGGCGCGCAGCGACAAAGCTGGCAAAGTTCTGGCGGATGCGCTGATTAACCGGGCACAGGGCGAAAGACCCGTCAGCCTGGTCGGTTATTCTTTGGGGGCACGTGTGATATATCGATGTCTGCTCACTCTCGCTGAACGGAGGGCCTTTGGACTTGTAGAAAACGTGGTCCTACTTGGCTGTCCCGCCACGTCCGATTCGATTGAGTTTAGAAAAATGCGTTCGGTGGTATGCGGGAGGCTTGTCAACGTTTATTCGGAGAACGACTACATCTTGGGCTTTCTGTATCGAGCCACAGCTGCCAAGTATGGTGTCGCAGGTCTCAACAAGGCAGAATTCGTCAAGGGCGTGGAAAATGTCGACGTGTCCGACATTGTCAGCGGGCATTTGCGTTACAGATACCTTACAGGCGCCATTTTGAAGCGAATCGGCTTTGAGGACGTCGATCTGGAGGAAGTGGCTCTCGAAGAAGACGAACTTGCCGCCATTGAAGCCATTGAAGAGAAAGAAGCCAAGGAGCATAGGAAGAAGTATGCAGAGGATGGCAAGGATGCGGATAAGGAGGCAGAGGAGGTGGAGAAAGAAGTAGAACATAAAAACAAAGCGAGCATGCTGGACTGGGCAACAGCAAAGTTGAGCCTAGGGAGTGAAAAGGCAATGGCGTATTGGGGAAGTTTGGGCAGTAAGGAAGAGGGCGAAAAGACTGATAAGAAGGAGGGATCAGGAGAGGATACGACGAATGATGCTATGAGAAATGAAAAGCCGCAAGAATAAATATATACGATACATGGTGTTCAAGGCAAGAAAAGGATATGATCACGGCCGTCTAGAATGTTGATAGAGGCTCAAGCTGGAAAGCGAGTGCCTGTCTTGTGAAGTTTACTACACTGTACATCATTCGCAGACACTGCCGAAAAAAAATAAAGAGCCTCAATATACGGGCGATGTGGTGTTCGTAAACACACTAGAAGCCAGTGAAACTATGCCCGCTGCTTATCGTCGTAACCGCTCTGGATAGCTGGCGCAGCTTTTACAACGGAACAAACAATTGAAATCGCCGACGCAAACTCTACAGTGAAGAGGGGAAGAGAAACCGACGCCCAAATGTATACTGAGGCGAGCACCAAGAGTAGCCGCAATCTTTGCGCCACGAATTGTTGAAGGACGAGCCGAAACTGTCGTTGGGCCTGTCCCGCTGCAGAGCCCTATGTGCCAGCATACAGTTTGGATTGCTTGACACTTTTGTCAGCGCATTTGCGCATCAGGACGTAGTTCTAGACGCATAACAGAAAGAATCATTTTGGATGCAACCAGCGCTTTTCGAGGCTCCCGGCGACGCACTTGGCCTCGAGGCAGCAACATGCAAAAAGGGATGCCATCTGGAGACGCGCAAAATTTCGCTTACTCGGCGAACTCGACCGGTTGAGAGATGACAACGGCGGATTACGCGGCGACAACGGTGGTGGAATGGTTTGACGCTTCGCTGAAACGCCGGAGATGCCACGGCAAACGAAGAGCTAATCTGATGATCATCACCAGGCACAAGAGGCACTTGTACGTGCGCCCATCTCGAGTGGTGACTTTGAGGAAAAAACAGTTCAGGTCCACCTTGCCATGGGCACCGGTAAAAGCGTCATCGTCCGGAGACTGAACTGCAAGCACAGCACGAGAATACGCCTAAGGAGACAGAAACTGTCTTCGACCGTAGCCCGGCAATTCCGATCTTCTTTGGACCTTGGCATTACCACTCTCAGCCGGTCGACTGTGGGGGCGCGATACCGCCCATATCAAGCTGGTCGCTAAGTTCCTCAGCCTAGTCGTGGGACGCGTATGCTCAGGTTGGGTGTCTGATCTTGTCCACGCAACTATTACTTTTGCGCGAGGTATCATCCAAACGTCTGCCTGACAGTTCATCTTTTCTTGCGTGCTCAATCCGTTCCGTCGACCTTGATTTTTTTTTTTTTTCTTTTTTTTCGTCTTGATTTTGCTTTCGGTCTGATCTACAATTACTTCGACATGCGAATCTCTCCTTGGGAACTGCTTTTACTGGTCAACGCTGGTAAGCTGGAACCAGCAGGCTCCCCAGGCGCTGGTCGTGGCATTTCAGAGGGAGAGCACCCTTCGTATCGTAATGCCTTTCATATCTTCAATGCTATACATAGTTCTATGCGACAATGGGGCTCATCGCTAAATCACAATGGCATGTCCTTTTTCCCTGCGCTGGTTCCAGCGGGCACGGAGCTGTATCACGGCACCGGCGAGTCAAATCCTATAGAGGGAATGGAATGGCTGGCCTTCGAACCAGAACATGCCCAAAACTTCGCCCGTCGGCGGCCTGGCCGACATCCGGGAGGCGGGCCTGGACGAGGTCCTCCCCCACCTCCACACCGTGCCAGCGAGGAGCAGCGACCGCTTGGTTCGCGGACGGATGACAGACAACCACTGCCTTGGGCTTCGCCTAAACCTGGCCGGCGTGACGACGGCGAATCTGGATTCTTGCATACGTATCTGGCGAAAAGGGACTTGCAACTGTTGTATATTGACGGCATGTCCGCAGGCAAGACCTCCAATGGTACGCTCGACACGCAGGACTACATACTGCTAAACAATACCCTTCCACACCAAGGCATGTGGGAATACGAGCGGGCCCAAGGGATGTGTAACATCTCTCGCGACGAGTGGGGCGGCCGCGTCGACGGGTTTCTGAGAATGGAGGCCGGATTCGAGATCATCTTATGCGATTTCCAACGTGACTTGGAGGTAAAGAGTATCGCAAGGGCGTACGGGGAGTGTAAAAACTGCGACGACGAAAATGAAGGCATGATGGGCGGCGGTCTGAGGTACCTCCGAGCTGTAGCTGACCGATATCACGACATTGGTGGCGAGCGGGTGAAGATCAACTACGAAAAGATGACGACCGTGTACGCGCTTGACGTCGACCTGTTCTCGTCCGGCGAGCGAGGCCCAAGACTCAAAAATGTGTCCGCACATGATCTTGCCATGATCAGGAGACAGGTTGATCGAATGGTCCTGAGCGACCCTAACCCTTTCACACACCGTGGGAGGAACTGGCAAGCCGTCGCCGACATGATCGTCACGCGATTCGCAACTCGGCTCAAGTTTTTGGCGATGCCAGACGTGTCAGGCGATGAGCAAAGGCTGAACAGCGAGCTCAATGCGCTGCTATCGCCGTTCATAGACTATGACAAGCGGTCATTTATGGACGAGACCTCTCGCTGTGCGTCTCATTTCACTCCGTCTCACGGGATCCACTCGTCGCTCGCTGCACATACCGTCTCGTACGTTTCACACTACATCTGCCACAAGCTTGTCTCTACCCAGTACGGCGACGTAGCAAACAGTCTGGTTGCCAAGCAGGACATCATTGCGGACTTGATTGAAACGCTCAACTGGACGACGTGGAAAGAGTGTGGAACGTGCGCGTATGACGAGATCTGTTCCATCCCCATTTGGCCGTTTGGAAGTGAACAAGACTGGATCACTCCAACATGTAGGAACTCAACCTCGATCAAAGAACAAAGAGGATATTGGGGATTCAACAGAGGATTTCCGGGCGGACCACCTCCTGACAAGGACGAAGATTTCAGCCAGCCATTGGCGTGAACTTCGGAGTCTGGCGAATTCGTACTTCTTTTTCATTTCAACACGAGACAGCATGTGCACCATGTACGCTTTCTTCTGAACCAGATTGCACGGCCGACTCTGAATGCAGTGTCGGCAAAAGAGTGTGCAAGCATCACTCATTATGCAGTGCTGGATGTCGATGAATCGTCTGCTCTCGAGCAAGAATACTTTTGACACACTGCGTCACTCATTGGGGGTGCGATGAGAGATAAGATCCATACTGCATGTCGTGCGACTGCCTCGAAGAGATTTACACACACACCAGCCCGGGAATATCAACGCCGGGTTTCGTTCTGGATCAACTGTAGAGCCTCAAGTAATTCAGCCATGAGGGGAAGAAGAAGAAGAGGAGGAAGAAGAGGAGGAAGAAGAGGAAGATAGTGGCAATGATTTGAGAGACGACGTCCATGGCGAGGTATCCCTCTCTGAACTGGAAGGAATAGTGACTGTCTCTGATCATGATAAACCAGCCCAACCATGGAACAATCGGTGCCCAATGTTTTAAATAGACGTCCCAGCGAGTGTCGTAACTATGCATGCGAATAATACATGTCCGTTAGACTGCGGTTGAACAGTGAAGGACTTGTTATAGGGTTCAGATTAAACTAACTGGGGTATTCTTCCTAAGCACAATTTTTTTTGGTCAGTAAATCATGGAGAGAATGCAGAACCTTAGCTTGGGCCATGTTTTGCGTTTGGGTTTCTGTTGATGCGAGTGCTCGGATGGTTTTGGTAATTACGGAAGTGCTCGCGGAATGGCTCGCTCTGCACATTCTATTTTTCAGATACTATTCGCACTAGCTCTACGCAAGTTTTTGCTTGGGGGGTATCACAATAAAATCTAACACGCGTTCGCCTTCCCTTGGTCTTCACCTGAACAGCCTTCTACCACCCATCTTCGCCGCAGTCCTTTCTTTGCCGCTCAAACTCACGCCCATGAAGCCACCGGCTCCACCAACCCTATCCTTCTTTATCCTTCGTAGAGCTTCCCTGAGGTGATCAGGCGTGAGCGGGCCTCTCCATTCCGGCTTCGTCCTCTCCTTCAACGTTGCGTCATTCGGAATGGGGGTTCCATCTGGGAATTTGTCGTCGGCAGCCTGCCATTCCGTCTGCACGCGTCGCGCGGTGTCTATAAGCTCGCCTAGGAAGACTTTTGTGTATGAGGAGATGGTGAGGACGACACTGGATGGCACGGATTGCGAGAGGGTGTGGTTGGCGAGCTTGCGGATGCGCGGGAGGATGGTACGGCCGACATGCAGGAAGTTGGCATACACATGGGCACGCGCGGGGTCGAAGGAAGCTGTGAGTATTCTATGCGTGAAAGCAGTGTCAGTCGCATTGTAATTTTGATGTCACTCTGCCGAGGGCATACCTCAGCGCCTCTGCCTCCTTCTCACGCTCTTCGGCGTCGGCCTCGTCTCCTTGGAGATTATCTTGCACGTCACCATCGTCATCCTCGTCATCCACCTCATCTTCGGGACCGATGCCGTCTACAGCGCTTGCTGACACTGCGCGACTCGTCCCGTTCACTCGTGAACCCGTGCCAATGACGCTGCCACTCTTTCCACGTCTGCCTCGCTTCCCGCCGACACCGCTGATGACACTGGAAGTTCCGACTGCTGCCGAGTCGGCCGACGGTGATCGTGCATCTCGTGGTAGCTCCTCTGGTGGGAACGACGTCTGGCGCAGATGTGATGGCCCTGCAGTGGATGGCTTCCGTCGTTTCGATGAGGACATCTGCGCAGGCAGCGAGGGACGCTTGCGTGATATAGGCGTACCGGTGCCAGGCGGCGATCCTGCAAAAGGGGGAGAGGTGGCCATTTTGTGTGTTCTGATGGACTTGTTCGTCGATGATCAGTGTTCGACTTAAGGGTAGTTGATCACGACGGTCAATCGGTGCGGTCGATTAAATCACGTGAGAATGCGTTTAACTTATCTGCACCGCATCACGCGTAGCACGATAGTGGATAACGCATTGACTTGTTGAGTGAAGGTTTAGGTACTAGGACCTGGTTTTTTATAGCGTTCAGACGCATGTAGCAAGACTAAAGATATTTTTCCTCAAGACACTCCACATAAATTCTGTAGGTCCAAGTTTGGGCTCTGACCTCCAGTCCCTGCGTCGGACGGACAACACATCACCACGTCAAGATTTCTCCTCATTATGGGCAGTTTCTCGTCCCATCTCACAGAGTAGGACCTCCGCTTCTCACAAGAGTGTCCGAATGCTTCACTGAGTTGCTAATTGATCGGTCGATTTAATCCTTCTGCTTGGCGGCACGCGAATGCGCATGGCAAAATATGATGCGTCTTAAAACGTGGGTGTTTCTTGACCCAAGTTTACGGTTGCTTTGACATCACCTAAGCCGGTCTATTCTCGACTTCTGTGCCCAGGCTTTCTGGCCCATCTACTAGAACTCATATATTGCCCTGTAATTCGTGCTGTTGTCGTCGCCGTTGTGCTCATGTCTAGCCTGGCGAATCGTTCAATTCGAGAGCCGCGCTCCCGCCTGGCCGTGGGCGCGAGCAGCAGCAAAAAGCCTTCGGGCAGTTCCTCATTCATGTCATCGTCGCCACTTCGAGCCAGGGGCTCCCATGGCACAGAGACGTTGTGTCTGCCGGACCGCCCAGCCGAAGAACAGCAGCGCATACACAAAGCGTCCATCATGCGCGAGGAGAACGAGCTGCTTATCTGGACCAGTCTCGACCGTAACGAGTCGATTCCCCAGACAAAACTTCACTACGAGCGCGACATGCTGTTCATTGACTCGGATCCCGAAGAATCTCAGGACATGTGCCCCGACGATGACGAATCTGGCGGTAGCGGTAGCGTGGAGTGGGAAGAGTCTCTAGACTGGGACGAGGAAGATCACCAGCGTATGAGGCCAGGAGTGGTGTTTGGCCCCGACGGATGGTGGGATCCCAAGGTCCACAAGAGTGCCCACGACAGACTTGAGCAAGAGAAGGAAATGAAAGCGAGAGAGCGGTTGTGGAGTGAAAGGATCAAGGAAGACGATGGTTCACCCGCCCTGAGCCCCAGAAACAGACGAAAGAGCTCGGGTTTCAGCGGTAGCAGCAGTCCTGGTGGGATGCCGGTTCATAGGCGAGCGTCGGGCGGAAAAAGAGCTTTTGGGATGCTAGGCAGCTCCTAGAGACGGCGTGCGAAGGTCTCGCACAGGGCAGCGGACCGCTCGATCCGGTTGTCATCTGGAATCATCACTGCAAGAAGGCATGTTGTCAAGGCACATGGTCAGGTTGGTGATTGATCGATGCATCCGGCCTTCGTCATGACGGGCCCGAATATTTAGATCTATTTCCTGATTCAATTCTAACGTAGACCATCATTGCAGAAAACCGGCGGCAAAAATCAGTGTAGCTTCAGGGCAGCAGCAGACGCCCTCGCACTCGCCTCCGCCAGCTCCTGCTCGCTGGGCATGTTCACGATAAGAAGATAAGCTACGTTCTCTTGCAGCGCCTTCCTTATGATCCCGCCTTGCCCGCGTTGCTTGACAGGCCTTCCCCTTCGCAGGGCTCGCAGTTCCCGTCTTGCTTGCCGCCTTTGCTGTCTTCCCTCATGAGGGTTCACCGCACCGCCCGTGATGAGCGAGATGATGCTACCGCTGTTGGCCGGATGATTTGGATCCGCAAAGCGAGATTTGAAGTGAACAGGCTGGCCGGCCAGAGCGCTGTTGGGGTTTTCTTTTTGCTGCGGGGGAATTTCGTAAGCTTTATTTTCTTATTTTTTGTGGTCCAGAAATTCACTGTGGTCAAAAACGAGACAAGGGAAAGACGTACATATTTAGCCTGCGCTCGTCTGTCTCCGTAATCTCCCATAAAGCTCTCGAATTTTTCCACTTGCTCTTCTGCTGCTCTGTCTCGCATTTGCTTGCGTCCTCGATGGATGGATACACCAGTGGGGCTACGTCACCGATGTCAAGTTCGCCGGAGTTTGTTCCACTTGTGCTGCGCAGCTTGCTAGCTTTGTCCTTCCACGCTGAGCCGCTTGGCTTGTGATACCTCGCAATGCTAGCTGCAGGATCGAAATCGCCTAGTTCGACTGCCTTTTGAGCATCGGGCTTGTAAGCCACGACGAGAGCGAATAGTCCACGTGGCTTGAACAGCTTTTCGTTCATTTCGTCAAGGAAGGTATTCGCGCGATACCGTCGCTGAACCTCGATCGCTGCTCCAGCACTGACCTGAACAGCGGTGGAGACAATCTGCGTGATCATCTCCGGCACGAAGCCTGCAACGGTCGAAGCTAGAAAGACAACCATCAATCCCTTGGAGGCTTGGCTTGCGAGGTGAAAGTTCTTCAAGAACATGAGAAAGGTGTTTTCATCAATGGCGCAGTCGTTCAAGATTGGCGCGTATGCGCGGACAAAGCCTCTGGATTTGGTTCGCGGCCGACGTTGCGGAATCACTACAGGCACAGGGAGAGCCAACCTTCTTGTTGAGAGTGATGGTGCGATGCGGAGAACTTCTGCAACGAGCTTGCTTCCATCTTCACCGGCTTCTTGGTCCTCGTATGCTGGAGGATCAATCGCCTCAGCTGCCTCGTCCAGTCGCCATTGCTCTTCCAATTCGTCTACCGAGTCGGAGTCGCTGTCGTCCACGGGCTCTGCTTTGCCGGCGTCGATGAGCTGCTGAGCATGTTCTTCGCTAGTCTCGACATATGCTGGTGGCGTCTCATGTGATATGTCCTCGGGGTGTGATTGTCGTGGTGATGACGAGCTTGCCTCAGCAGTGTTGCCACTATTCGAGCCAACCGCGCGAGCCTTGTTCTCCTGGTGTGTAAGGTATGATTCACGCGCGACGCCTATTCCTGCTCCAACGAGCTTGACGACTCTGTTGACTATGGGCATTGCGTTTTTGACAACCAAACAGATTCAATTGTGAAAATTTCTCGACTTTCGGATGTGCTTTTAAAGTTCTGGGAATGTGCTTGCTCATACGGCGTGGGCTGTTATAGTGCTTATTCAACCATGCTGGTGCCTTGACTTTACGTCCGAAACTATCCAAGACTGTCGAGCTCCCTAAGCTCTCCCTGAGACGCCCTGCAGGTCTCTTGGTTGCTTGCGGTTTCGCGACGTGAAAAATAGGAATTGTTGGGGCATTTTGTCCAGGAAACGTCTGCTCAATGCGAAAGTATCCAGAGTGCTCTCGAGATAAAACTCAAATCGCAAAACGATGCTTGAAACCAATCCATCGAGAAATTCTTTGCAAGCCGCTGGGTATGATGTCCATCTGCATGACCCTGTCCTCTGTAAGACGGAAGATAAGTTACGTCCCGGTTCCTCCAAAATTTTGGGGGCTTAGATCAGAATTCAGGCAACAGCTTTCACGCGTTGCGCATTACGGCAAAATGGTGGCCAATTGGGAGGTACAAGAAGGGATATATACCTGGCAGACAACTCAGAGCTGCTTTGGCGAAGTCTTCCTCTTTCCCAGCATTGCATTTGGCTATCGAGCTACCTAACCCCCGAGAAGGCTCTGAAGAGGCCTAAGAGGGGTGAGGATGGTTAAATATAGGCTGCGCTTAATTGATCAATTGCAACCTTTTTCATCAAACATTGAACGTATAACTTGTGCACACACACACAAACACATGCCACAAGCCCTCCCACAATCCTCGAGGCGAAACGATCGACTTGATGGCCTGAGCAGATGGGAGTGGACGCTGGCGGCGGCGCTGGAGAGCAACTGTACTGGCAAGTTCCGCAGAGATGTGCCATTGACGTCAAAGGGACGGAGCCACAGATCTTTGCCTACAACGGGCCGCCCTGTCCGAATTCCCTTTTTTTCTCTTGCGCAGTTCTGTAGTGTTTCTGAATTGTGGTTTTAGGAGCCTCTCAGGTCTGACAAGGCCAGGCCTTCCGCGAGCTCATCAGCGGCTGCGTCGTGAAGAAGTAGAGGCCAATCTTTCGAAGGAAAGGCAATCTTGACCACGAGAATGTGATCGAGGACCTTTCGCTCGCAGTGAAGGGCAGCAGGTGTTTTGGCAGGTCAGAATGCCTCCATGTTCTTGGGGGGCAGAGTGCGCGGCCAGCCAGCCCGAACATGCTCCAAGCACGCCCCGAACGTGGAGAGCAGGTTGACGACGAAAATTCTCCGACTCCTCGCATTTCTATCACACGCCCATCTCGTTTGCGGGCGGCGTTGATGCCCCCTTCGGTAGCTGATCGTGAAATGGCAGGCGAGACAACTCGAGTACATCGCATGGTTACATTGGCCCTTCGACCCAGCAATCGTCCGCCGCCCGACGCGGCCCCGGATCAGAAATCAACGGCGCCCCAGGAACTCCGCGACCAGCCGAAGGCAAGCTCACTTGCCAAGCGGTCGCGTCTTCGTGATTGGACATTTGTCTCGTAAAGAGGTTATTCCCGGATGTTGGACTCTGCATCAGCGCGTGAAGATGCCAACCTGGATTTGGCAGGTCATCGTGTTCCAAGCAGAAAGCTTATCAGACCTTGGCTCGACGCCCCAAGATGCTTGTTTTCCAACCACGTTCAAGTCCCGCCACCTTCGGAGCATTGCACTAGAACGTCGTCCGAACGATCGCGTACTGAAGATGCTTCCTCGGCTCGCGCTAAGATCTGGTTCCGTGTTTTTTTTCTCTCGTTGGCGGACATTACGCGTGGTCTTCGCTCGCCTCAATGAGGACCCAGCTGGATTAGTACTTCTCCAAAGCGTGGCGTTATTTGCCGCGAAGGGCCTTTTTGCGAAGCGAAGGATCGGCAGTTCATCCCGGCCTCGGTGGCACCGCGTCTCTAACCGCTGGAACAAATGAAATCGCTTCTGACATCACCCTGGCCCGTCGCGCGTGCTTCTTCTTGGTGCTGTTCCAGAAATGATCTGCTGGTAATTGGTGGAGAGGGAGATTCGATCCGTCGCCTTCCCGGATTCTGGAAACAACACATGCCACGGCGGCGTTCTTCGATAACGTCCTTGAATGCAACCCTCCTTGCGCTCTACCGTGTGGACGGATTGACTAGCGATGGGTCCTTTGCCTGTGGTGTGGAGATCATTAGACCTTCTATTTAGAGACCGGGCCTGCTCGTGGATCCATACCCCAACTTGTGCAGCTTTTCATTTTGCTTGTGCTTGAGCAGCTCCAAAATACCGATCAACAATGGCGAAAGTAGGAGGCCTTCTCCCGGATGAGAAAGATCCTCGACTGGATGCGGCCAGCGGTCTTGGAGATGGCATGTTTGACGGCGCCATTCGCCCGCAGCACAGGAAGCTGTACGATCCCGATGTATCCTTCGAAGAGTACCACTACTATGCAAAGAGAACTCGGGAGGACCAGAGGCGTACGGCAGAGATCGCGGCGAGGGAAAAGACGAACCTCCTCAAGGTCATCTTCCCGCCAAAAACCAACAAAGTGGATCTCGACGAGAAGATGAGCAACCTGAACACCAGCAGAGCAGAGGAGCGTGCGGCGGTTAGTGACGAAGAGTGGGAAAATGCTTCGAAAGCTCTACGCAACGCGACTGCCATGGCTGTGTTCTATCTGCTCACGACAGACGTGCTTGGGCCATTTGGCTTGCCCTACGCCGTTGCAACCACTGGATGGGGGTACGTGACACACGGGCAGCTACGACGTCGTTCGGGGCTAACAGAATGTAAAGCCCAAGTGTAGCATTATACACGGTCTTCGGTGTCATGGCTGCCATTTCCGGCTCTCTGCTGTGGCTATGTTTCATGGGTGAGTAGGCCCATTTCCTACATGTTTCGAGCTTCATCGCTGAGTGCTTGACTAGGCCTGGATTCGTACCAATTCCCCGTGCGCACCTATGCAGACCTCGCGTTCCGAATCTTCGGTAGCTCGGCACGATATGTCGTCCTTGCATTCCAGGCTCTTCAACTGTTGATGAACGTGTCCATCATCTTGATCAGCAACGGCGAGGCTCTTTCACAGGCTAGCAAGTTCAAGCTGTGCTACGCCATCTGCGTCTTCGTGTGGGCAATAGCTGGCTTTGTCTTCGGCCAGATCAGGACTCTCCAGAAGTTCGGCTTCCTGGCCAACTTCGCCATTTGGATCAATCTGTTGATCATGTTCATCACCATGGGCGTCGCAGCGCACTCGCCTCCACTTTACTCGGCCTACACAGCATCGGCAGGCTACAGCATTAACCCCAACCTCGTCATGCCTAATTCTGCCGGAGTGTACCCACCTGTCCAGCACTCGGCTGGTCTGCCTGATCAGTCCAACTTCGCTGCCTCCATCAACGGGTTGATGAATGCCGTGTACGCATACAGTGGAACTCAGATTTTCATCGACTTCATGGCCGAGATGACGCATCCACGAGACTTTTTGAAGTCAATGTGGGGCTCGCAACTGTTCATTTACATCTGCTACATGTTGTACGGACTATACATGTATGGCTTCCAAGGCCAGTATGTGCAGAACCCATCGTACCTTGGAATTTCTCCGTACAACTGGTCCACTGCCGGTAACGCACTCGCCATGGTTTCTGCTCTAATTGCAGCCGCCCTCTACGGAAACGTCGGCTTAAAGGGTAAGCGAATGAGTGGTTTCTGCTCCAGACACTGTTGCAACTAGCTAAATCATTCGCAGTCATCTACAACAGCATCGGTGTCCAAATATTCAACGCCCCACCGTTGTACACTAAGAGGGGAAAGTGGATTTGGGCTGGTATCGTCCCCATCTACTGGTCCATCGCGTACGTGATTGGTGGAGCCATTCCTGCGTTCTCCGGGTTTGTGGCCCTCGTGTCCGCCGTCTGCGCGATGCAGTTCACATACTCCTTCCCGCCTCTGCTGCACATTGGCTACATGGTTCAGAAGAACGCGATGAAACCAGGCGAGGGTTTCGACCCTGCTACCGGACAAGTGAAACGAAGCGACTCGGGACTGAAGCGCATCGTGCGTGGTTTCTTTGCGAAGCACTGGTACATCAACGTGCTTAATTTGCTGTATCTCCTTGGCGCGCTCGCCTGCGCCGGACTAGGCATGTGGGCGGCTATCAAGAACATGATCTTGATCTACGCCGTGCCGCAGCTGAACGCCTTTGTATGCAAGTCTCCTCTTGATGCATCCGCGTAAAAGGGCAGTGCACATCGCATGGAAAGGTAGATGATCTTAGGGGTCTTGTGTCCTTGGTTCAGCTTTCCCTGCTCCGTCACATAGTTTATCTATAGTGGCCTATTAAAATTAAAAAAAAAAGGAATCTTTATCACTATGCTATGGGCTTCCGTATCCAGCCGCAAGCACGTAGAAATACATGTTACGTTTTTGTCCCTCCGTTAAAAACCGCAGGTTTGTGAAGACTCGAAAGACAGCACGAGTCTTTTGAGTGAGAAGATCGATGAACAACGCTTGAAGGTTCGAAAAACGTCATAACCACAACCTCCCTCCCTCTCCCCCTCTACTCCCCCAAAAAAGGAATTTCCATCGCGAGTGTCTGAATAACAAGCCGATGACACGAGACAAGTCGTCTTTGAGAATCCCCGCAGGCGGCGTCAGAGCGCGGGCTTGCTCAGGCGTTCAATTTCAGCGGAACGCTCTGACGAAACTGGGCTGGCGTATACCAAGCGGGAGTGCGACTGTCGATACATGCCTTCGGCTATACACGATACTTGATGCCACTAAGCATGAGACGGGGCACCGGGTGATTGGGATGGATCGGCTTGAAGAAACAACAGTTCCAGAATGGGCCGTCGTGCTGACGGAGGCGCTGTTGTGCGGACGTCGCGTCTGCGCAAAGGTTTGAACGGCCCCAGCTTGTGATGTCTTTCAGCTGAATTGCAAGTAGACAAGGGGAAAGAAAAAGAGAAACAAAAAAAAAAAAAATAAATAAAGACCGACTAGGCTGAGGTTTCTTGACAGCCTTTTGACGCCTTCGAAATTCTGATTGGCTGCTCAACCAGCAAGCGGGCTAAGTTTTGTTCTACACTTTGACGTGCGGGGCGCATTCACCATCTCGAGATAACAATGCCGCCCGGGCGTAGAGACACCTGCAAAGGAGCCGTGATTCCTTTTTTTTTTCTTTTCGTATTTTTTTTCCCCCCAATATTTTACTTTACTTTGCTTTATTTCTTTCTGCCCTTTGAACAGACAAGGACTCGAACATGACTCAGTGTAAGGACGTCGAGACAATGGAGGCTACTGCCGCCATCAAGTCTCTGATCTCGAGCTTCTTCGACGCGATCAATGCCGCCGACACGCAGGCGCTGCAAGCACTGTTCGTCGAGCAAGCCCACGTGGTCATAGTTCGGCAGGATCCTCCGTTGCCTCCGCCGTCGTGCCTGAACGAGTCCGTCTCCCCAAAGCATCGCTGCGAGGGTAAACCAGGACGCGAGAGTGCACCGCGCGGCGCTGGCGAGGAGACCCTGACGGTCGTGATCCGCACCTCGATCGAGAGGTTCGTAAAGCTGCTCGAAGAAGGAAAGAAGAGGAGAGAAGGCCGTCCTGTGCCCGTGATCGACGAGAAGCCCGACCTGGTCGCCACGGACATCAAGGTCGATGGGTTGTTCGGAGTGGCGTGGAGCCCATTCCAGGTGACTTTTGATGGAGTGTTACACCATTATGGTAAAATCCGTTTTATTTTTATTTTTTTTAATTTTTTTTTTTTGCGCCTATGAACGCATACTTGTTCCGATGCTGACCTACGGCACCAAGGAACTATGGTATTCACAGTCGGAAAGATGACGAGCCGGATAGGGAAGAAGGAGTGGAAAATCGAAGGCCTCACTCAGAACTATCGGCGGACTCCTGGATGGGAGAAATAATCCCATTTGAGCGCATGGCCGCTCCAGGAGACGATTTTTCTTTTGGAATTCCGCCAATACGGCCCCTGATTCATGTCTTTATCTACTTCAAGTTTGCGCTGTGCTCGTTTCATACTGAAGCCCCAGATATCCTTGCGTTGCTGGGTTGTGTTTCCGTCGCTGGACGGAAAAGGAAATAAAAACGAGTGCGCAGCGCACGAGAAAAAAAACTTGTGGCAATGTTCAAATCTCCGTCTTGCTGTGACGTGCTGCTAGGTATACGGAACATACATGGCGCCTGCAAAAAAGACCAAGTGCCCCCATATCTACAATCCTACACGTTCTAGTCATCCATGTCCAATTTAGCATCCGCGAAGAGGAGACGGGATGCGTCTAAATGTCAACCAAGTTCTCGCTTGCTTCGCCTTCGTTGTCTCTAGTGTCCTTGTTCGCCTTTCTCGTCTCCTTCTTCTCTTCCCGCTTTCGCTGATAATAGCTGTCCAACACTTTGGCTGGGATTCTGTTAAGCAGCTCCTTCGGATAAATTCTGAGAAGCTGCCATGCAAGGTCCAAGCTCTCAAATATGGTTCGTTGTTCGTACGCGCCTTGTGTGACGAACGTCTTCTCAAATTTATCTAGGAACTCCAGCGACAACTTGTCCTCTGAGGAAAGAGCCTCCTCGCCAACGACTGCCTTCATGGCAGCGGCGTCTCGACCAATGGCGTATTTAGCATATAGCTGGTTGGAGACATCGCCGTGGTCCTTCCGAGTGCGGCCTTCGCCGATGGCAGACTTCATAAGACGGGAGAGAGACGGAAGGACGTTGATTGGTGGGTATATACCCTTGTTATACAGTCCACGGTCGACAAAAATCTGTCCTTCAGTGATGTAACCTGTCAGATCGGGGATTGGGTGGGTAATGTCTGCGCTGGTGATTAGCAACCCGGAGCAAGGCTAGGTGAGAAAAGAGCGAGGTGTGAGCAGGATGAGTGCGTGAGAGGATGGGGATCGTACCATCGTTGGGCATGGTTAGAATGGGAATCTGGGTGATGGAGCCGTTGCGTCCTTCAACACGACCTGCACGCTCGTAGATGGTGGACAGATCCGTGTACATGTAACCTGGATAACCACGACGACCAGGCACTTCTTCTCGGGCGGCAGAGACCTCACGCAATGCATCGCAGTACGAGGACAGATCTGTCAAAATGACGAGGACATGTTTCTCCAGCTGGTAGGCATAGTATTCGGCCGTGGTGAGGGCAAGACGAGGGGTGATAATACGTTCAATGCTAGGAGGATGGTCAGATGGCGCTAGAGCCAAAAGGAAGACTTGCGTATGTAACTCACGTAGGATCGTTGGCCAAGTTCAGGAACAACGTGACACGCTCCATGCTGCCGTTCTCCTCGAAGTCACGGGTAAAGAATCTGCTGGTTTCCAAGTTTACACCCATAGCACCGAATACAATGGAGAAGTTTTCCTCGTGGCCGTCATGTACATCCTTTGTAGGCTTCGCGACCAGACCAGCCTGTCGGCAAATTTGGGCGGCGATTTCGTTGTGCGGAAGACCAGCGGCAGAGAAAATGGGTATCTTCTGACCACGGGCGATCGAGTTCATCGTGTCAATGGTGGAGATGCCTGTTGCAATCATCTCTTCGGGGTATACCTAGATGGACAGTCTTAGTGCTGCTCTTGCTAGCAAGACATAAGAACGATATGCGTGATTCGTACCCTGGAGTAAGGGTTGATAGGACTGCCATTGATGTCGAGGTAATCCTCTGCCAAAACCTTGGGGCCCTTGTCGATGGCTCGGCCTGAACCGTCGAAGATGCGACCCAACATGTCCTCAGACACACCCAGCTTCAAGCTGTGGCCCGAGAACTCGACCTTGGTCTGCGGAGGCTTGTTAACTGCTGAACTGGGCGGCGCGCTCACGACTCGATGCGACCACGAACCTTCTTCACGTCGATGCCAGACGTGCCTTCGAACACCTTCTCCTAGTCAGCATCCGTCCGAATGTTGCAATTGCGGGTCGATGTACCTGAACGACGGCTCTGTTTCCTGGCGCAAAAATCAGCCGGTTCGCTCTCTGTGCAATGGATCCCGGGCCACCGATACACACCTCTTGCCTCGAGGACCTGACCGGACCTCACGCTGCCGTCGGGCAGAGTCAAAGACACAATCTCATTGTACCTAGGGAATTTGACCTGAGCACCACGTGGTCAGCGAAGTGAGCTTCCACAGCGCCGGACATCTGCGTCTCGTTGCACAGTTGAGCTGGCGAGCAGATGGGGGACGTACATTTTCCAGGATGACGAGCGGGCCATTGACGCCTCCAATGGTGTTGTATCGTATCCTGGGCTTGACGGACATCATCCGTGGATCTGCACCTTCTTGTCCCATGATTGAAGAGGGAACGGTGTCTAGAGGAAGGGCGGAGGGAGCGGACAAGGCTGGCAACGGCGGCAGCGGTGGAGGTGGTAGTAGAAACAGCAGGAGTGGTGGTGGAGGAGGGCTGGGTATGGTGAGGGAAGGCAGCTTTGTCTGCGCCGAGATAGCTTGGATGCTGGAGCTTTGAACCGCGAGATCAGATTGGTCAAGGGCTTGTGCTCGCCGCAGTGGATCCCCCGCCAAACGTGCCGCGTACTGTACAGTATGAGGCTACGTACAGCACAGTACATGCACTAAGGTCTCCCGCGGAGGCGCTCATCCCTGTCAGTCGATGCGAGAGTCTGGCACTGCTGCAGTGAGCTGGTGCACGATAAGACATCGCCTCTGCGGGTTGCAGCCACTGTCTGTGTCGTTGTTGTACTCGGCGATGTGATTGCGGTGCTTGTCTGGGCCTTGCACACTTCGAGGAGGGGAGAGCAGAACGGAACAGATGCTATCCATCGTCATGCAACCTCCTCGAGCAGACCAGACCTTGGGCCTGCCGCTGTTTGGTGCACCTCGATGGCAGTCACCTCCCGCTGGGGCCACTGCTGGAGTGGAAGCAGGAGACTGTTGCTTGTGCGTTGTGCCCGTGGGCCAGGAGCCCGATGATCACCGGCGGCACCCCCCCTAAGTCCCTGTCGCGCAGGCCGGCAAAGTCGCCGCCAGCACTGGCTCTCTCCCTAAATTCTAGGCGGGTTACGGCCTGCATTTTGCGTCCCTTGCGTCCCCCTCTGCGACAGGCTCGGCCAGGCCAATGAGACGAGGGGGCTCGGTATTGTTTTCTTTTTTTTCCCTTTTCTTCTCTTTTTTTCCGCTTTGGCGCGTCGTTGGTTGCTCAAGCATCGCCGCCGCACCTCCTGCTTTCTCGTCCGCGCCGCCCATTGTGCTTGCGCCATTCCGTTGTCGCTCCCGGCCGGTTCGGGCGTTGCAAGCCGCCCACAAAGCTCCGTCCCGCCCACGCCTGCCGGCTCTCCCAAACGCACTCGCCCGGCCACCTCGCGCTGTCTCTCACACTCACCTTCTCTTTCTTTCTCTCTCTATACTCGACGCTCTCATACCCAACGTCGACCCTATCACCCCACCGCTCTCCCCGTCGCCCTCCCTTGCCTCCATCGCCCTCCCTCTCGCGACCGTCCCGTCGCATGCGCGCATTTTCTTGATCCGTCATCGTCCGACGCCCGTCTCCGCCGTCGCCCCTCGCGGCAACGCGCATGCGACAAGCCGTCGCTGTTCACGCCGACTGCACCCTTCTGGTCTCAGTGCCAGGAGTAGCGAGCGCTCTTGTCCGCGCTGCCGGCAGCCTGGTCGCCACGGGCGTTGTTTTTGTTGCTGTTGGTGGTCCTCATCATATAGTGTGAAACCTCTGAGCGCTCGGCACCCTGAGCCCGCCTTTCCCTTCCGCTCGAATGCGACGATCCTCCCTGCATATTCCCACCACGGCGAGTATCACCACCACCATCGCCACCTCGTCCACAACCACATCCACCACCGCTGCAGCCACGGCCCATCCACGCTGCTGCGAGCGCCGGCTTTGATCGCGCCGCCTCTGTCGGTCACCACCTGACTCTTTCCCAATTTTTTGTTTTCGGGTATGTTTCGCTGCTTCCGGCCACCCTTCTGATCGACAATTTGCGCGCCATTGCCCCATTGCACCCCCGTCGCGCGTTGCTGGCGCCGCTTTTCCAGCGCCGCTCTCTTTCCGCCCAGATCATCGCAACATCTACCGCTCCCCATCGTATGCGCGCGCGCATCGCCATCTACTCCTTGCCCGCCATCAAATACTGACTTTGCGCCTGCAGCAGTGCCTCGCCGCCCTGTCGCGCCAACAGCCGTGGCTCGCCTAGCGCACTAGCCCTCCCCGTGCGAGCCAGTCAGCCCGCCCGACCGCACAAGCTGAGGAAGAGATTGATGCGTACTTCGTATCATACAACTTCGCCTGCCCACGCGTTGTCCACTGGCCTCCTCTGTTTCCCGGCTAGCAAGACTGGGAAGAGGAGGACGAGCTCGCGGCTCCTCAGCGGCCCTGCTGAGACCGCGCGCCACACGTCACCGGCAACCACGACGACGACGAGGACGACCAAATCGTTAAAGATAGACGTCGCTCGCGTCATCTCCCTCAACCCAGTCTTATCAAGATGATGACCACGTTTCCTCCGCAAGGAGGCATGCCTCAACATCCGGGCATGCCTCACGGCCAACCGATGCCCGGAGGTGTGCCTCACCCTCAGGCTATGGCTGGACCTATGCAGATGCATCCCGGCGTCTCCGCTCCCCATGGACAGCAGGTCTCGCAGGCGCCCATGATGGGCATGCAGCCTGGGATGGTGCCGGGAGGACCCAGTGCGCATGCCATGTCGCACCTGGCTCCCAACGCTGGCCAGATGATGCAACAACCGGGAATGCCTCCTCAAGGCATGAACCCGCAGTTCATGCACCTCAATCAGCAACAGAGGATGATGGCCCAGCGCCAATGGGTCATGCAGCGACAAGCACAGATGGGTGCCATGCACCAACCAGGACAGCCTGGCCCCTTCAACCCACAGCAGATCGCAGCTTTGCATGCCAACGGCCAGATGGCAAACCTGCCTCCACATTTGCAGCAGCAAATAGCAAATACGCAGATGTTTCATCAGCAATCCGCCATGCAGGAGGCCGCACGTCAGCAACAGATGCAGAACACGCATGCTGCGCAGCAACAGGCACATCATATTGCCATGCAGCACGCGGCCTCGCAGAACAGCAGCCAAGGACATCCAACAACACAACCAGGACAACCAAATCAGCCGCCAATGCGACCTGCCAGCGCGACGGCGGGCACCACGGGTATGGAGGCACGACCTTCTCCTGCTGCCACAGCCGGACCTCAAAGCACTCCGCAGCCTGGAACACAGAATAGCCAAACCCCTAGCCAAACCCCGCAACAGCCACAGACCTCTGGTCCGCAGGCAGCACAGGCGCAAACGTCCTCGAGTCAACCGCAGCCGAACCAGACGCAAACCAGCACGCAGCAGCAGGCAGCTCAGGGTCAGCCGATGAATCCAGGTCAGACTCGGCCAGGCCTGCCGCAGAACATGAATCCCCAACAGATGCATGCTGCGGTGTTACGGCAGCAGGCTGTCGCTGCTGCAGCGCAGGCACAGAGCAGAGCAGCTTCTGGGCAGACGTTGTTAGCAGCCTTCAACTTTGCCAGTAAGCTAGGCGCGTTCAAGGTGAGCCAAAAATGCACCACGGGTGCGCACGTTGTACGAATCGTGATCCAAACTAACACGAGAGCAGGCGGGCCAGCAACAAAACGATTTTTCGTATTGGCAGGCGTTCGTGCAACAGCATTTCACAGACGATGCCATCTTCCGCTTGGTTCTTCCCGATCAATTAAGCGGCGACGGGAAAACTTTCCAGGTGCACGCCGCCGGCTTGGCGCGATACTTCTACACTCAATTTCAGACAGACATTGATCAGGTCCAGCTCGTCCTCGACGGCAGTTTGGAGAAGACCTTGAGCGAAACGCACACCTTGGTCATAGCCGACCGATCGCGTATGCTCTACTGGTTTCGCGACGGGACTCAGCTCGTGTGGAACGGATTTTTCACCATCCTATACAACAACAACAAAATCGAGCACCTTAACTTTGAGACGCACGAGCATGAAACCTATCTTCCCAGGACCAAGCTAGAAGAACTCTGCGTCCAAACAAGCCCAAACCAGAACCGAAGTCCGAAGTTGACCAAGACTAAGCAGCAGAAAGGCCAACAACCTTCTGAGCCTGCCTTCGACATGCGACGGCTACCGTCCACGCAGATCACTGTGTTTGGCATTCACAAGCGTCTGCAAGCGTATCTAGAGGTATGTTTCTGGTGTTGCTCTCCGAAGAGGAAGGCGGAAAGAGCCCAAATGCTGACAAGACACCCCATCCACAGCTTGCCGAAACCATGAATGCCATGGAGCCTCTCATCACTTTCTCACGTGAGCGTCCGCACCTATCTGTTCCCCAGGCTCTGTCTTTGCTCGTCGAATCGTACAATGCGAATCCACCCAACTTGCCAAATTTTCAGCAGCCCAATTCCAGCGGTCAGATTCAAGGCGCATTTCCTCCAGGAGGTGTTCAGGGCTCGCGTCCACCTGGCATGATGCAGTCTCCTGCGCTCTCAAACTCCGGACTCCCGGTGCAGGCGAATGGTGCTACCCCAAGCCCACATCAGAATAACATGGCTCCGCCGATGCAACCGAGTATGAGTCAGACAAGCCATCACAGCGGGAGTAACACAAGCCCCAACGTAGGAGGTGGGAACAAGAGGAGGCGAAGTACTGCTGCAGGTGTCAAGGGCGAAGAGGATGTGAATGGTGGCGCTGCACCCAAAGTCAAACAAAGTCCAAGAATGACTAGTGGGACCAACAACAACAAGAGGATGAAGGGAAGTTAATCGGGAGCTGAGACATCGCAGTCACCTTACTCCTTTCTCCCCCTCTACACACGTCATAGGCTTCATCCTTCTTTTGGATGTGCCTTCCACAATGTCACCCTCCATCGAAACAAAAATGCCCTTGGCAACGAAGTGCTGAATTCGTGATGCACCAGTCGCTGCGCATGTGATTTGACTTTGAGGCTCAACGAGCAGATGCGTTGTTCGCGGAAGCCCTCATCACAACCATTTTATCGCGACACGAAGCAGCAGCAGGCTCCACCTCCCAACAGGCGGGCTACCGAACCATCAACACTTTCAGGACTACCGGACTTGCAATTTTGGATACTAGGTTCAAGCGACGGCGTTGGAGACACGACACAACTTGGGAGCATTATCATTATCGTCATTTGTCATCCTCACATCATCCCGAATTTTTGGTGCAACTACGGAAGCACCGGCGGAAATCTTTCTGTACCATATCTGCATTTTGTTATATCCCTTGTTCGTCGACCGGCGAAGGTTTGGCAATTGGTTCTGATCGCGTGAGTTTCTTGAAATCATGAATACATGCTGTTTGTTCCACGGGTTTTCTGGGTGGTTGCTATCTAATGAAATGGTATTGTGGAATGGCATCGCTGCAGATGACCACTCTTCCTATTTTATATCGAGGGTATTTTTTTTTTGTTATCTTCATATTCCTTTAGTGGTGGGAGAAGAACGAAGACTGGTCATTTACGGGCACACGAGCGTCGTAGAGTGAGATGTCAGTGGCTTGCATCGTGTAGAACGTTGCGTCGTCGCGCCAGGTCTGTCTTGTCCTTGAGGTCAACGTTCGTTCAAGAAACTTTAGCAATACTTTTCAATCCAAGTACTGCCCATATGCTGCCTTGCCAATAAAGACAGGCTTTACCGTTGCGAATCTCACGCGACAACGATTACTACAATGCGCGTAGACAGACGGCCGGGTAAAGTTGCTCTCGGGCTTGATTTCATCCTGTCTGATCTTGACTAGAGCTGTATGACACAAGCAGGACACACCTTGCCTCAGCCCTGATCGTCGCGACTTTTGCTTTCTGATCACCTCGCTAGGCTCAATCGACGTAATTGAAGGCTTAGATGAAGTTTTGAGACACTCACCGGTCAAACTTTGCCCAAGTCACAATTATTCGATGACAGCATTCGTCGAGCTTAGGTGAACGGATGCGGACTTTTGTTCAGAGTTGCTGGATTTTGCTCAGAAGATCGGGATCGTCTCACCACAAGTCGCATCAGGACGGCCTTGTGCTAACACACAGATAGCGTAGATTGCAACACAGCACCGGTTCACAGGTTGGCCGGACATAGGTATATTCTGTTTTCGTCCAAACTACAGGTAACCTGAAGCCGCACTGCTCTTCCACTTCCGCTGGACCGATCATTTTGACACGGATTTCGTATCGTCGTATGCTTCAGGAAAGGTTGTATTTAACGGATAAAGATATTCCGCCACCTTAGGCCTCTGCTAATAAATAGCCGTGATATCTCTGATCTCTCTCTCAGAGCCTGATGGCTGAGCGCCGCTGAGATTTCCAAAAAGGAATTTCCCTTCTTCCAGCCAGAATGGACAGTTTTCGACCGGCGATGTGCGAAAGCTGACGGTAGTACAAGACCGGAAAGTGAAAGGGCGACGGACGGCCAAAAATTTCATCTGGAAAGGATCATATTTGCTCGAAGGAGGTCGGAACTGTTCCGAAGCGGCTTCAATTCTGCATCTTGGTCATGGTTTTGACACATAAAACACTTTTTGAAAAGAGGAAGCAGGTCATTCCAGGTACGTTGACGCAGTCAACGTGCTTGTTTGTTTGTCTACGTGAGCTTCGTTCCAGTTGGAACATCCCAAGACTAGACGCTCGTAATCACAAATCACAATTCTTTTCTCCACAAGAGGAGACCGAAGACCCTATCAACTTCAAAGAGCTCATTTGCGCCCATGAGCTGGCGGATTTTCTTGAAAAGGATCTTCACGATGTCCTCGTCTGTGCCGGCAAGGTCGGGATGCTGCTCTCGCCACCGTACGATGGGGCTGCCAGAGCCATACATGCGCTCTGCTTGTCCGAGGGTAAACTTCGCATGCCCAAGCGAGTTTCCGTGGGCGTCTGAAAAGACCGTTCTTTCAAAAGATGCTTTGTCGTATCCTTCGACGGGGGGGTCAACAGACCACGGAAGCGGTAGATGTGCGTACATGTCTCGCGCGAGGTGGCCGCCCGCTTGGCGATACGGATCTAGCTGAGTGTTGAATTCCTCAACGAGAGCGTTGATCTCTGCAGCGTGAGCTGTTTCGGGTTCTGATCGCATGGGATTAGTCGCGTCTGACGGCTCGCTCCGAGAAGACCTCGTACATACTGAGAACCGGTCGGCCAGGCGCCCATATGGCTATGGTGCCTCCTGGTCGCAGAACCTTGAGAGCAGATGCATAAAACTTCGGCAAGTCAAACCAATGAGCCTGGCTCGAGTTTCAGCAAAGTCAATTCCCCTTTATACAGGGAGCAGCATTCACTTACTGCTGTCGCAACTGTAACCATGTCAACGCTACCTTCTTCGACGCCCGGTGTCTCGTGAAGCTGTTCTGACGGTATGTTCTCAAAGGACAACTTTTCTTTCAACTCTGCCGGGATAAGATCTCGTGCCGTGTTAATCATGCCGGGACTGCCATCAAGACCAATAATTCGGTCAAAGTAAACACAGAGATCTCGGGTTGCATTGCCCGGACCACAGCCTACGTCGAGTGCGAGCTTGAATTGCCCACTCTTGGCTTTATGATATGCCAAGATATGCTCGTATAGCCTTGTCGGGTATTGATGTCCCCGACTGGCATTGTACTCCTTTGCTTGTTCTGCTGTGAAGTTACGAAACGTAGTTTCTTTACCCGAATTCATATTTCTGTTAATGAAAGGATTCTTTTGACAACTGATTGGTTCTGAATCACTCGTGACAATTATAGGAAAAATATCTTGGATCGTTTGAAGCAGGATCACTGAGAGTTCAACAGAAGTGCTTTGCTGTAAGTTAACAGAGAACTCTTAATAAAGAGCGCCTGAGGATTGCAGAAGCGGAACCGGCATGAAATTTTGCAACCGTTTCCGGCCCGGAGGGTTTTTGCTATTTTGAAATTCTCTTTTCAACGCGACAATCTGCGCCAGTTGCATGTTCAACGCCTCTAGTATGTCTTTGAATTTCAGCCCTCCTTATCTCCACAGAGTCGACGTCGCCGCAAAGCTCACCTGCAGAGACAGACATACCATACTCTGTTGAGCGTCATTCCAACGTCGATGATTGACTGATGATAAGACTCTGAACAATGTAATGAAGCAGTCTCGTCCCTTTTGCGTGTTTCCTTGCTGTCCTGTTCTTTGCCTCTCAGGTACGACCGTCTTTTCATCGTCTGTAACCATGCTTGAACCGACCAAGCTAGAGCCTAAAATGCACAAAGTCATTCGATAGATCACAGACTACACCAGTAGCATACCTTAAGCCGACATTTGGATTTACTTTGGTGTTCGCCCATAAATGGAGTCCGGTCTGTGAAGATATGTGTTGCAGTAAAAAGGCGGCTGCTCAAATACTTCCGTCCCTGTATCTTCGCTGTACAGCTGTCAAGATAAAGTCTGATAAAAACATCTGAAAGCAATGCCCTAACAACCAAGGCGTGATCTTCCTTTAAAAAGTGTGTTCTTTGCCTGATTGGTTGTCAAGTTTGGACGAGGATTTCCCTTTGAAGTTCTCCCTATGTTAAGACAAATTAATGCGGAGCTTTAGTGAAAAGGTTGGTGATTCTGTTTAACCTAAGGAAGGATTCATGACATTTATTGCTAAGCTAAGTTACTTACGTTCCTGATCCAACTCCTCCATATCACCAAATTCTTTGCTAGGTGACGTTTGAACGCAAGTACGTATCATTTGCTCACGTGTGATTTTCTTGATGCACGTGCTTGATGTGGAACTTTCCGCTCCTGGTTCTCTTGCACCGTTGAGGCTATGCGAGAGAAGTCATCCTATCTTTGGCCGGAATGACATTATTTGGGTCTGAAATTACTTCCGATGGTTCACGGCTGCTTCTCCGATCAAGCGTTCGAATCTCAGCCACAAACTTGATCATCCGTGGATCTAATCATCGCGAACTAGGATCGCTAGACCCGATAGGAACTAACTTGACGCTTTAGCCTGTTGCAAGCCACGGTCTCCGGCTATTTGAGAACGTCTATGCCGCTATAGTTGCTCAGAGTTAAAGTTTAACTGAAATTCTAAAATAGGTATGCAGGCTCGGAGAGCTGTCTGTGAGTTCTCCATTATTGGAACAATGCCAGGGAGGACGGCTGCCGCTATTGACATTATCCTGCCCAGAGACACGATGTCCGGACACACCCTTTAGCTCTTTGCCTCCGACGCTGTGTAACTTCTGCATCGTCGGAGGCAAAGAGCTAAACTCTGCATGATCTCGGCAGCTGAAACGACTCCTTGATAAGGAACTGTTACAATCGCCGGGTTCGCGATCGTTACTATTGTGAAAATTTTTCAGTCATACACGATCGTTTAGCTGTATCAGACTGCATATCAATCCAAACGTAGCTCATTTGAGCGAGCCAAAAGCAGACGGAATGTCTTCTCATTCGTCAATTCATCACCTAAACCCTTCCTTCTATTTCGCGACCCAGGGCCTTCTTACTGCTGCGACAGTCTTGCTCACAAACAAAAAATCGCCGTCACGACTCATACCTCTTGTGCTAGTGCTGGCTTTGGGTATTTTGGAGCTCAGGACTGCCGCTGACAATGCTGGACCTAATGGTGGAGCGGTTGCGACGTTCGCTTTTCTGTACACCGCTCAGCTGGCCAATCTGTTGTGCGTAACGAGTGTGAGCTTATTGGATTTCACAGCCTTCCAGAGCAATGCACGAAAGCTTTCACCCGGACAGAAAATACGGCTTGTTCTCCACCTAGTTGCTTTCAATTTTCGGGGCATTCGGACGCCGTGGCAAATTAAAAATGTTCCGCCTTTCTCAGACTACTTTCCTGGGAGACTCCCACGAAGTCGTATAACTTTTATGGGCCGGCAGATCTTGATTATGGCCTTCCAGTACCTTATTGCAGACCTAGTTACAGCGAGAATGAGCACGTTGACAGGTCGACAAAGAGATCACTTGTTCGGCCCTGGAACTGAGTTCGCGTATTTCAGCGCTACTCGCCAGCAATGGTATTTCCGCATCGTGTCTTCGATAGTGATACGATGGTGTCTTCAGAGAGCATTCTTGAGCTTTTTTTACAACTTATCATCCATTGCGGGGGTCGCAACTAGTCTGTTCTCGATAGAGGACTTTCCCCCTTTCATGGGAAGTGTGTGGAGTTCGTACACGCTGCGAGGTTACTGGGGGTGAGAAACCAAGCGAGCTCACGTATTGTATTTTGAGACTTACATTAATAGGCAGCACTGGCATCAGACGCTTCGATGGCCTCTGACGTCACTATCCACCTTTATCACAAGGGATATTCTTGATCTTCCGAAACCATCGCTTCTAGAGCGATATACGCACATCTTTCTGGTGTTCAGCATGTCTGGATTTCTTCATGTTTTCATAGACATCGGAGATGGCAAGAGTGAATTCCTCTCGACGATGCTCTACTTTCAGTCCTTTGCACTGGGAATTATGATGGAGGACGGAGTTCAAGCCCTTTGGCGCTGGTATACAGGGCAGCCTTTCATAGAAAACGATGATGCCGTGCATGTCTGGAAGAAAATAGTTGGCTTTATGTGGGTAAACTTCTTTTTCGTAATGGTTGAGCCATGGTACTGTTATCCGGCAGCTCGACTACCACAAAGAGACAGGAAGAATTTACCAGTTGGCGTCTCGAGCTATATCGGAGAAGGCTTCACATATGTTTTAACCTGCGCTTTGGGCTTAATCCTGCTCACTGTCTTTAAGGTCGAGGTATAGGGCAAACGCTAGGCATGCGCGGCTGCTCTTTGAGCACCTGTTATGGAAGACCAGTAGAAGACTTGAATACTGGATAATATATGCTGAGAACAAGCTGAAATAACGAGATTGAACTTGCGATAAATTTGGTCAATAGTATAGCGCAAAGATGCTCATTGTTTTGAAAAGCAACTTCGTTTCGCAGATGCTATAAATGGTACTTTGTCCTATTGGGACGATAAGCAACAGGAATGTGGGTGCGGATGTGAGTAAACACTATATCTTTAGGTAGTAAACGATAAAATCAGTAAAGTATCCTCTATGATCTTTGAAATATCTTGTACACGGAGAGAGCACTGGAGATCCAAACCAGTAGCTGATGTGGGAAATTGACATCGAACTGGATCGACAATGCTCTCATTATTCGTACTCTGTAGCAAAGCTGGCCCAATCTTTATCTTCACGGAGGCGAGCTACAGTGGTTTTGTCTAGCGCTATAAGCAGTTCTACTGGACTATCATCACTCGAAGGCAGGACATTCACCCAACCGTCGTAGATTGGCACATACGGAAACCTCAAGCAGACTGCTTTTCCTAAATCTGAACTCCACTCCAAGTGCAGCAAATCGCCGAATGACCCACTGTTGGTGATCTCCAGGTCCGGCCCTTGAAAGTTATCCATTGCAGGTTCGCTAAGCCGAGTAATTAGTGCGATGAATTGTTTCGGCTCCGCTGATCTACACTTACACCTTTCCAACGTGTGGAGTTGCGTCAATGGCTCCAATGAGACCCCAAATCCTCTCCGACGTCCACCAGTCGATCGAGTCGTTCACTTGGCGAGCTAGTTCATACAAAGGCTTTTCTGACTCCACTTCTGTGGGTGTTGCGGACGTCTTTGCGTGGGCAAGTGCGTTTCCAGGGTAGTCAAGTGGCAAAGGTGGATTCAACCTCCTACAAACGTTGACGACATTCAGCAAGCACGTTGCTCGAACACCCCGACGAGATAGCTGCCGAGCTCGAGTGATGTGGCGCCAAAGAAGAGCGCTGATAACAGCGCTATCCGTCAAAAGGGGGCCGCTTGCGTCGGACTGGACTGCAGCTTGTTTAATCGCTAACAACGATTTTCGTGAAATGGTCCAGTAGGATAGATGTAACTGCTGAAGAAGTTCGAACTTGGGATGACTCGTATCACGAGCTAATGCGGTCTCCAACAGCTCCCGCTGCAACGCAGATCGCCATTCTTGCTTTGTTATGCGATAGCTCGGAAAGTCACTCAACTGCATGCAGCGGCGCATGCTCCCGAAACCAAATGCCTGAATGCGATCGATTTGTGCCAAAGCTCTCGGTGCATGCCGCCCTTCGGACACGGCTCCGACATGCTTTGCCCACGTCTTTCCGAACACGGACATTCCCCTACCATCCATCACTGAGTGATGTGAGTTGAAGACCTGCCATAAAAATTATCAGAATGCTTCGAATGGAGTTGAGAAGACTACTTGCCAGTAGGAGACCACCTGTGATGAAGGTTGCCTGGATAGTCAAAACAGGGCTTCGCTGCCAGTCATGCTTTCTTGGTTCGGGCATTAGCTCAAGGACTGGGAAGTTGAGAGGCGCAAAATGTCGACGCTCAAGATTGTCGAATTCGATTTCCGGCAACTCATGGATGTGTAACCATACGCCAGCATCTTCTCCGGTCTCCAGCTTTATGGTTCCACGCTCCACCTCGTCAGGCACGACATCTGCAGCGATGAATGGAATCTCCTCGATAGTAGCTGCTAACCCATCTCGCAGGTCTTGAATGATCGCATCCCGCGCATCTGGCGCATCAAGGCGAAAGACTAGAATGGGAGGAACAATGAAGCGTCCCTCAACTTGATCAAGAGGAGGCAATTTCGTAAATCCCGGAATTAATGGGATGGTAGGTCGTATGAATTCAGATATCATGATGTATTTCAGAAGAATATATTGTCAACGTGTTATGTCCTTTGGAAATAGAGGATTGGATCAATGATGCTGCAATGCAAGCTCTTCAAATATCTTTCAGACAATCTTTCAAATCGATCGGACTTCAGGTTTACACCAGTTTTGATCGATGGATGTAAAGAAGCCATTGTCGCGATTTTAAAGCCCTTTCAGAAGATGACCTGTCCAGAAATTATACTCAAGTCGCTTGCGCTGAGGTTGCAGATAAGCTTTGTTGCCAGCTGCGTTGAGGTCTGGGCGTATTACTGCAGATGGTCCTTAAATAGGTATAGCTGGCGAATTTCCCTGCGAGAATCGTGCCAAACCCACTCGCGACGTTGATCGTCCTTTCTCGAGCGTTCGATTTGCTTTACTCTCGCTACATTTGGAAAGACAACCGAAGAGCAATGCTTAAATCTGTACCAGATTCGGTCTTGTTCTATCTGAGTTTTCTAATCCCACAGCGGGCTCTGATCACAACATTAGGCATTACCCAGTCTGAAAAGATTTCGATTGATTTGAAATTATTGAACCACGTGGTTCAATAGTTATCATCCATGATATGACGAGTTTGAAAGGACCTCTATTTGGGGCATAGAATCCCAGCTCGCAAAAGATCCCTCGTGACCTTGTCAGTGCTTGGACTTTGCTTTGATCCATGTAAAGCCAGATGAAATAGGCGCTCAATTGGGCTGACCCAGTACCATGTGCTTGCGAACGGTCAAGCGAGGATGCAGATCTAGTCGACTTTAGCAAGTGATACGAGAAGGACATGGCGCCGCGAGATGGCCCGAAGGGCGTTTACTAACAGAAGCAAACGGTGTCTGATCGAGGCCTGTTTTTAGTGAATTATGGAGACAACGTGCCGCAATTGCCTTTGCACTATTGCCTTTCTGGTAACCGGTTGCCTGACGTGGAAGACAAGGCTGCCTTGCCGGGTTCTTCAACAAATCCCGAAGGTAGATAGGATGGTCGCTTGCGTGCAGCGAGCTAGGGTGGAGCCAGAAGTCTGCTGATGTACAAAGGAGAATGCTATATAAAGCCTCTCATGCAAAATAACCGATGGAGTCTTCATTAATTTTACTCGCTGTGTTGATATCCGTCATTTTAAGATACAAAGTACAAGTTCCAGCAGGATTCAACTCCAAGTATGGCGCCTGTAACCACGTCCATGATCGATGGTGATGCCGACGCCATTGCCATCATCGGCATGTCTTGTCGATTCTCAGGCACGGCAACATCTCCTGAATCCCTTTGGCAGATGTTGTCCAGAGGCCTTACAGGCTGGTCTAGTAATGCAGGCAATCGATTCAGAATGGATGCATTTTGGCATCCCCAAGCAGATCTAAGTGGCTCGGTAAGCAGAAAGTTCCTCGCATTTCACCATATTCAATTAACATAAAGTAGTTCAACACTCGTGGCCTTCATCTCCTCAAGCAGGACCCCGCTCTGTTCGACAATGGCTTCTTTGGCATTTCCAACGTTGAGGCTAAGGCCATAGATCCTCAGCACCGAATGATGTTAGAAGTTGCCTATGAAGCGTTCGAGGATGCCGGTATCTCAATGAATAACTTAGCCGGCTCTGACACTGCTGTTTTCTGTGCGATATCTAATCATGATTACGAAAAGATTTTAGGCCGAGATTCCGAAACCTCACCCGGGTAAGCTCCTCGCTCTTGCATAGAAGATTACCGTCTCTGATCTGAATAGTTATCGCTTTACAGGAACAGTATGTGCGGAAAGAGTTTAATAACTTATAGGTTCGACCCTGACTAAGCGATTAGGGACCGTCAATGCTGTCTAATCGTATTTCTTATTTCTTCGATCTTCGCGGACCAAGCATCACGCTTGACACGGCTTGCTCCAGCGGCTTAGTCGCCCTACACGAGGCTTGTAAGACGATTCGCAATGGAGAGGTAACACAGGCGCTTGTAGGAGGTGCAAATCTTATTCTTGATCCAGACCAGACTGCAGTGATGTCATCCATGTCGTAAGGAACACATTTCTCTCCGGCGCATTGGATTTCTTTTGCTGAAACTCGTAGCTTCTTGTCTCCGCATGGACGGTGCTACTCGTTCGATGAGCGAGCAGATGGCTTCGGAAGGGGTGAAGGAGTAGCCGCAGTTATGTTGAAGTCTTTGAAACAGGCTTTGCATGACGGAGATGCCATCAGAGCTGTGATCCGTGCCAGTGGTGTCATACAGGATGGTCGTACACCGGGAATTACGATGCCTTCGTGCGAAGCACAGGCAAGAATGATCAAGAAGGTATACGAAATGGCAGGACTTAACCCTAAAGACACTTGTTACGTGGAAGCACACGGTATGGTGCTTGCTGCGAAATGCCCCTCGGTTTGCTGACATGAACTAGGAACCGGTACAACGCTAGGAGACAAAATCGAGGCTACAGCTTTGAAAGACGTCTTTTGCAATGGCGAACGTGATTCAAAGCTCTTGATCGGGAGCGTTAAGGCAAATATTGGCCATACAGAGAGTGTGGCTGGTCTAGCTGGTGTGATCAAAACCGTACTTGTTCTTGAGAAAGGGGCGATTCCACCTAATCCAACTTTCCAAAAGCCAAATAAAAATTTGCCGCTTTGTGAATGGAATATGGAGGTTAGTTATGATCATGCTCATGAGACTAGTAGCCTGACTCCTCCCTTAGGTCCCAATCAATTTGATTGAGTGGCCGTCTAATTGCGTTCGACGGGCGTCTGTTAATAGCTTCGGATATGGCGGAACCAATGGACATGTTATTCTTGAGGCTGCAGACGAATATGTCAACCGGAATCAGACTACACGTGCATCCCAAGATCGCTCAGAAAGCCAACGGCCAAGGCTCTTTGTTCTCTCGCATGCTCACGAGTCCGGGTTGGGCGAGACTGCTAGACGACTGAAGAGCTTTGTCGACACCATGGAGGAGTCACAATACGCGTTGAGCAGCCTGGCTTTGACTCTCAGTAGACGCTCTCATCATGACTATAAGTGTTCTATAACGGCCACGACCCGACAGGAGCTAGTTGAAGGTCTCGAGAAGCACGCGAGGGGCGAGGATCGCGTGGTTAGCCATGTGAAGCCCGTAAAGCTTTGCTTTGCATTTAGTGGGCAAGGAGCGCAATGGCCTGGTATGGGGCGCGAGCTTCTACGCACTGAGCCAGTATATGCGGCATCCATGAAACGGTCTGAAGACATACTCTTACAGCTCGGTGCGCCGTGGCACCTAATTGACGAAATTTGTAAGCAAGATGATTCCAGGATCAATGAAGCCGAGCTATCCCAGCCAGCTTGCACTGCCGTACAGATCGCATTGGTTGATTTGTTAGCATCTTGGAACGCTGTGCCAGATGGGGTCGTTGGTCACAGTTCGGGCGAGATTGCTGCGGCATATGCTGCTGGAATGATATCTGTTGATGACGCTCTAAAAGTTGCTTATCATCGCGGCCAGAGCGTCTTGAAATTGAAAAAGAAGTACACAAACTTACATGGTGCCATGCTTGCTGCAGGAATTTCCCCAGTCAACGCACAAGAATATGCATCGAAGGTACAAGGCACTGGAAAAGTAGTCCTTGCATGCGAGAATTCTCCTAGCAGTGTTACTTTTTCAGGAGATGAAACAGCTGTATCTGAGATCCAAGACGCTCTCAACGCAAACCAACTCTTCAACAGAAGACTAGTTGTGGACGCTGCTTATCATTCTCATCATATGGAACTCGTCCAGGACGACTACTGGGCGTCCATCAAAGATATACAATGCCATCGGAAGCACCAGGGAATTCAGATGGTTTCATCTGTTGATGGCAAAGAAATCGAACACAAAGAAACAGACGCACGGTACTGGTGCAGGAATCTGACCTCTCCAGTGCGTTTTGTGGATGCCATGACTGGTGTATTGAAGTTGGTGCAAGCAGAAGAATCAAGGAGTCGCGTCGTGGTGGTTGAAGTTGGTCCGCACTCGGCACTCGCTGGACCAATCAAGCAAATCGTAAAAGGAGAGAACCTCAATGGAATTGATTACGTATCCGTCCTCAAACGACCACAGGATTCTAGCAAAACATCGATTGCAACAGCTGGACAGCTTTTCGAGAAAGGTTTCCGCAGACTCAACTTTAATGCTATTAACGACCCTTATGGCACATTACAAAAGCGATTTCTGTCTGACTTACCCACGTACTGTTGGTCGCACAAGACCCCCTTCTGGAGCGAATCTAGAAGGAGTTTGAATCATCGACTTCGACAATTCGCCAGACATGACCTTTTAGGAACCAGCAGTGTTGATAGCATTTCGGAAGAGCCAACATGGAGAAATTACCTCCGCCTTCAAGAGCAGCCATGGCTCTCTGGGCACACAATAGCCGAGTCTATTGTCTTTCCTGCTGCAGGATTTATTTCCATGGCTTTGGAAGCTCTCAAACAGATGTTCATTCGAGCAAACACACCTTGGAAAAACATGCACATAAAATTTCGCCAGCTCCATTTCGGAAGTGCTCTTATTATTCCAGAAGATTCGGCCGTGGAAACGATGATCGCACTGCGACGACACGGGGCAAAGGGTACATGGAAAGAATTTCGCGTTTTCTCTATTTCAAACAATGGAGAATCAACAGAGCATTGTCGAGGATTGATAAGCGCTGAAACTCAGCTCAATAAGCGACGGGACCTTACCGATGAAGAGTCTTTGAAGTTTCTCCGAGATGTTTCTGAGGCCTGTCACATGCCAATCAACCCTACGAAGCTTTATCGCGAGCTCAAAACAATTGGTCTTCATTACAATGGTCTATTTGCAAATCTGAAGCATATCAAGGCTTCTGAGTCAAAATCTCTATGTCGCGTTGTCATTCCGGATGCAAAATCTACCATGCCTAGTCAGTACCAACAGGCTCATTGTATCCACCCATCAACTTTGGACCTTTGCATCCAGTCAGTCTTCCCAATCATGAAAGTCGCCGGCCTTCTTGGGAGTTCTGTTGTCGTGGGTTCAATTGACAGTTTGGAGTTGCACAGTGAGATTCACTCGCGTCCTGGGCAAGAGCTCATTGTAACAACGAAGCTGGAGCAATACGGTCGGTCGAAAGTCACTGCGGATGCCGTTGTGGCAGGATACAATTCAAACACAGCACCTGTGTTTATGAAAGTCAAAGGTCTGGTTTTGGCGAGCTCAGGCGGACCACTCCATCCAGGAATCTCGCATCGCCCGGCAGGCCAATCCCTAACGCACCGTATCGAGTGGTCTGTAGACCCTGTCTTCTCAGAACCAGAAACTATCAGAGAAATATGTTGCCTAAAAGAGAACGAACTTAAATCAGTTGGTTCAAACAAAATTTGTGAGGAATACGCAAAGACTTTGATTCATAACACACTCAGTTCCCTTTGCCCAGAGGATCATGTCAAAATCAAAGGCCACCACAAGGATTTTCTACAATGGATGCAGACAAAAAGCGCGGAATTTGCTATCTCTTCAGTTAGTTCGGATGAGAACCTAGAAGCAAAAGTCAAGCTTGCTGGACCCCACGGTGAAACCTTGGCTCATATCGGCCCGCATCTCGTTGAAGTCTTGCGTGGCGAGGTTGATGGTTTAGACTTGCTTAGGCAGAACGACCACCTATATTCCATGTATAGCTACGACAATTACGACAGAGGTCATCGACAATTGACGAAGTATGTGCAGTTTCTCCAATTCGGCAATCCAAATATGCGCATTCTGGAGATTGGAGCGGGAACGGCAAGTACTACTTTGCCTCTTCTCGAAGCATTGGCTGAGAGAACGGATTGTTCTGGTCGACCTAAGCTCGATCGATATACCTTTACAGACATCTCAACAGGATTTTTTGACAAGGCACGGGACAAACTTGCAAATTTCGATGATGTCGTAGAGTACAAACGACTCGACATTGAACTCTGGCCTGACCAGCAGGGTATCAAGCCGGCATCGTATGACCTTGTAATTGCGACAAATGTTCTGCATGCTACAAAAGATATCCGTCACACGTTGAATAATGTACGAAGTCTACTCAAGCCGGGAGGTCATTTAGCTCTCATGGAGTTTACGTCATTGACACTTTACACTGGTTTAATATTCGGAATGCTTCCAGGATGGTGGCTATCGACTGATGGCCGAAAAGGAGGCCCTTTGCTTACTACAAGTAGCTGGCATGAGAATCTTCAAAGCTGCGGTTTCACGGGAGTTGACTTGGAACTTCGAGATTACGAGGACGAGCAACATGAGATGAGTCTAATGATATCCACCGCCGGCCGGCCATCACAAAATGTAGAACCGCGTTCTACGCGCTTGTCGGTGGATTCAGATTCCACAGGATCAATGGTGCAAGTTGATATGGATCTGTCTAGCCCGGAAGAGGTAGTGACACCAAGTACGGGCATTTCAACCGAAGACGGTGAAGACGTACGTATTGTTCAAATACTGCATCGAGTTGCAGAGCAGCGCATTGCTGAAAGGCTTTCAAAATTACTGGAGAATGCTGGAATTTTAAACAGACTAGTTGATTTGTCTGCACTTCAACCAGATGGTCAATCGGTAATCGTCCTTCTTGAGGTGATCGATCCGTTCCTGGCGACATGTTCTGAGACAGAGTGGGAGAGGATACGGGAGCTTTGCAAGGTTGCGAGTGAAGTTATATGGGTTACAACTGGGGCGACTGTTGAGTGTACTGATCCAATGAGATCTTTGATAACTGGCCTTGCACGCTGCCTACAAACAGAGAACCACGCGATCAAGTTCACAACAGTCGACTTGGAACCTAAGTCCAGCTTGAGGACGACTATGGAATGGGAGGATAGTTCCGCTAGCCATATATTCACCATTTCTCGACGAATACTCAGCTCTCAATACCGCGAGACATCCACCGAATGGGAATTCGCTATTCGGAACCACAACATTCTTGTTCCCAGGCTTGTTGAGGACAAAGAAACGTACAACATGATTAAGGACGGAATTTCCACGTTTCACCCACAAGCACAGAAGGCTCTCACATCAAACAGAGCACTTGGACTCAATATTCAAGTGCCAGGACTCTTGGATACACTATATTGGCAAGATTTTCCGAAACACGCAAGGTGTGTAGGAGCAGACGAGGTTCGTGTCGAGATGAAATTCCTGTCTCTGAATTTCAAGGACATAATGGTTGCAATGGGCCAACTCGAGGGCCATACTGCCCTTCTTCTTGAAGGAAGTGGTCAAGTCATTGAAGTTGGTGCAAACGTGCGCGAGCAGTTTAACATTGGTGACCTGGTTTATGTTTGTGATTTCGACGGCCTTGCAACCATCTCCAATATCCACAAAGCAAACGTACATCGCTTATCAGAAATCACTGAATTGGAAACCGCAGCTGCAACAGGTATCGCCTTTGCCACAGCGCTTTACGGCCTGCAAGAGTGCGGAAGACTTCAGAAAGGCGAGCGATTGCTTATTCATTCAGGAGCAGGTGCTGTTGGACAAGCGGCCATAACGCTTGCTCAAAAGATTTACAAGGCAGGCGAGATTTTCGTCACTGTCGGAAGTGATGATAAGCGCGACTTCATCAATGCGAAGTTTGGCATTCCGTTGGAAAATATCTTTTCGAGCCGTGGGCTTTCGTTCTATAACTCAGTGCTCCGCAGGACGAACGGTGAAGGGGTGGATGTCGTTCTGAACTCACTTGACGGCGAAGCGTTACAAAAAAGCGTAGAACTTCTTTCCCCATTTGGCCGATTCGTGGAAATTGGCAAAAAAGATTTAACGTCTTCGGAGAGTCGACTGGAAATGCGTGCGCTTGAAAAGAATATTGTTTTTGCTTCCGTTGATCTTGCGCTGCTTGGTAAAAGGAACCCAGATAAACTAGGACTGGTGATGCAAGACGTGTTTGACCTCCTTCGCAAGGAGAAAATCACAGCAGTAAGCCCAATCACGATCATGCAGGTATCTCATTTGGAAGATGCATGCAGAATGATGCAGGCTGGCAAGCACATCGGAAAGATATTAATCGACCTCAATAAAGAAGCTTCGATTCAAGTACGTCGTTTTCATCACGAAGATATTGTTCCTGTCTTTAACATATGCGACTAGGTACAACCTTCTAAGCCTTCACCTCCGAAGCTAAGACAAGACAGTTCGTACTTAGTAGTGGGCGGAACTGGCGGTCTTGGGAAAGCAACAATACGACTTCTTGTTGAGCTTGGCGCAAGGAGAATCGTGACCCTGTCACGATCTGGCGCGGAAAGCCTTGCCGTACAAGAGTTGTTAGAAGAGATGTCAGGCCGCGGTATTGAAATAACCATACACAAAGGGAGTGTGACTGATAAATCCACTCTCGAAGCAATCAAGCTTCGTTGTGGCAAGTATCCAGTGCGAGGAGTCGTCCAAGGTGCGATGGTATTACGTGACTCTCGGGTGGAAAATATGACTTACGAAGATTGGCGCATGGCAATTGAGCCTAAAGTCCATGGAACGTGGAATTTGCACGAAGTTTTTGGGCGGTCGCTTGATTTCTTTGTTCTTCTTTCAAGTAGTGGCGGCGTCATCGGGTCTTTCAGCCAGGGCAATTACTGCGCAGGAAACACGTTTCAGGACGCATTCGCTAGATACCGGGCAGGCCTTGGGCTCGCGGGTATGTTCTTACCGCACACGACATGTGACTGGATGCTGATCAATTTAGGTCGATCGATTGACGTTGGGTTTGTCGAAGGAGAAGGATATACGGCAGAGAACGAATCTGCAGCAGAATTTGTGAGACGCCAAGGTCTCACTTCATATAAACTTGAAGAGTACCTCCTTACTGTTGAAGAAGCCATCAAGAATCCTATTGCAAACGAACCAAGTCAAGCGCAGCTCCTTTGCGGCATAAGCAGAGCCGATCCGAAGTCCGACAACCCCGAAACGGCTCTACAACGACCCGACTCTAAGTTCTCTCATATATGGTCCAAGGACAGCCACCGAGAAGAAAGCAACAACGTTTCAACCGGCCACATTGACGTACACGCCATCCTGAGTAATTGCACCGTTGCGGATCAGGCGATCGAGACAACAACGCTCGCAATGAAACAGAAATTGGCGCGATTACTAGCTATCCCTGTTGACGAAATTCGTCAGGATCGATCCATTGCCAGTTATGGGATGGATTCACTTATTGCTGTTGAGCTTCGCAACTGGTTATCTACTTTCCTTGAGGCGCAAGTTCAAATGTTCGAACTGATGAGTTCCATGCCCTTTGCAGAGCTCGCTACGATTGTCGCAAAGAGGTCGCGATTGGTCCCTCCTAACATCTTTTAGCATTGAAACGGAGGATTAGAGCATATCTTTTTTGGGTGTCGAATTTTCAATCCTTTTTCTTGATACTGAGGTTTGTGTCCAACAATTCTCAGTTGTTTCATGCCGTCACTTCATAACAGACATAGCTGAGTGGCAGATTTCAAAGGGTTAGCCTGCCTCAAGAAAACTAAACCCTAGTCTAGGAGCTTCGAAACAGCTTTTGAACGCGGACTTGAGATGGCACTATGGTTTATGAAAGTGATTATAGATTGTAATTGTGATTGTTTAAAAGATCAACCGGAAAAAACTGTCTACGAACCCGAATTTCAGCTTGTCATTGATAACTTCGCTGAATTTTCATCAAAATGCCTTGAATTTCAAGTCGGTTCGCTCAGCTAGCTTATTAGCTGCATTTCCTTTCATGCGCAAGAGAGTGCTTGTTGGGTGGCTCGGGTAAATTTGGAAAGATCCTCCGACTAGGGTAATCACGCTTCCTTATTCTCGCTTACTATTCGTCAATTGCACCAGCCGTGGCAACGTAAAAGGATGTAAACAATTTTCCGAGATCAATTTCGGAGATTGATGAATTCGTGATAATAACTATTCTGCATAAAGAACTTCTTTCCTACCCCTTGTGACTGACCGCTTCTTGGAAACGTTGCGAACGTAGGGCGACCTCACATGGCTGATGAAGCCATCATCCCCGCTTCGGTTTTCGCAAAACTGTTTGCTCCTCCAAAGAGCCAGATATAATGATTCATCAAAGTCATGTACATCTGAAAATCACCAATCTGCAACTTCCCGTCTTTCAAGAGCTAGGAAATCTCGATTGACGCTTTGGGAAAGGGCTTTCCAATCTCTCATTCCAGGCTGGAAGAGAAATTCAATCATTCATGCTTTACTTGCGGTTGAGGCGGCGGTGACCAAAGCCATCAGCGATGCAAAACGCTACCCGGAGGTTTCGAGGGTTGCCGAAGTCCGTCGTGGTCTAGAACTGTGTCGTGAAGAGCAAGATTTCTTGGCCTCACGAACAAAATTCGTTCATAAGGCCTTTGCAAAATATATGGCGATTGATCCTCAGGAAGTTCATCCTGATGATGTCCCTACCATTGCTCTTGGAGGGTCAGGAGGTGGACTGCGTGCAATGATCACCGTGCTTGGGTTTTGCAATGAGTCCAAGAAGGCGAAACTATGGGATACGTTCACGTATGTAGCCGGAACCTCTGGGTCATGTTGGTCACTTGCAGCATACTATACATTCGGTGAAGCAAGCATGAGTAAGGTTATTGAACATTGCAAACATCGCCTTCACCCGCACCATCCGTTCTCGTATCATGCCATTCGGGAATTACTCACCAAAGGAGCGTATGCAACTCTTGGCCCATTGATTCAAAAAAGAAAAAGTGGCTTGAATACTGTGGCTATGGATTTCTACTCGGTACTCACAACTGGTTATCTTTTTTTGCATAAAGACCCTGCGCTGACACCTGGCGGACCGGGTCTTGATACAAAGAAAGAAGTCGCTGGGTACCACTCTGAGTGGTTCAAGTGGTCAAATGCTTTGTTGCAGGACGGAAAGCAACCATTACCAATTCTCACAGCTGTGAGACATGAGAGACCATGGATAACCTCAGGTGTGATGCAAGACTCATGGTTTCAGTGGTTTGAAATGACGCCTTTTGAGGTTGGATGTGACGAGCTCCAAGCTTGGGTCCCAACTTGGGGATTCGGCAGACCATTCTACGGTGGGAAATCTCAAACACAGCTCCCCGAACAGTCATTAGCTTTGCTGCTTGGGTTATGCACTAGCGCACCCGCCGCACACTTGAAGTCGTATGTCGACGTCATCGAGCGCAATTTGTCTTCAGGCTTCTTTGGCAATTTAATACGCGCAATAGCGCGACGCGTGACTACGTTTTGGGGAGAGCAAGGCATGCGCATCTTTCAAATGCATCACCCAATTCACGCATGCAATGAGCATAATTTCCTTTTGTAAGCAATCACTCTACATTATATTTGAATCATGACCTAGACCATCTAACTGCGTATAGTCGCCTTAACGCGAATGACAAAAGTAAAAGCGAAACTGACGCGGATCTATCTATTGCCCAATTTCCAAGATTGCATCTGATAGATGCTGGCGTCGACAACAATTGTCCTACTTATGTTCTTCTACATCCATCTCGCAAAGTCGACGTGATAATCACGGTGGACGCTTCGAGCGATGTCCGCCGCAACTTATTTCAAACAAACATAAACCGAATCGGCAGCCGTCGCAAATTGCAATTTTGCAAGCGCAGTTCGCCAAAAAAGGACGGATCTACAAATGAATCTGGTTGTTTAAAAGATATGTATGCCCAAATCTATGATGGAACAATAATGGAGCACCGCCCAGAAACGGTAGTCGACTTATATGGGAATGTGATCGTAAATCCTCCTGCACCACCGTCAAAGAAAGATTGCACTATGATTTACGTTCCGCTTCTCCCCAATGAGAATGCTGTCAAAGGCTTCGACCCTTTGACGGCTAAGTTTGCCAGATCCTTCAACCTTATATGGACACCGGAACAGGTCGAGTCTCTCACCCAAGTTGCTGCTGCAAACTTTCGAGAAGGGGAAGAGACGATTAAGGCTGTGCTTCTCGAGACATGGTTGAAGAAAAAAGCAATGCGAGAGTCTAGAGGAGATAGTCTGAGTACTACACAGAAAATTAATGAAGCAGTGCGTTAGTGAGCATAGTTGATTTTAGCGCACCACGTAGTATACGTGTATGTTATGGCACTCAGCTATATCAGGTAGTTGTCTTGGAAAAGCCTGCTTTTTTAGCCATCCTCATGCTCAGAGAGTGGCTGCATGATACATACAGGAAATAGCTTGTAATGCATTTTGGACTACAATAAGTTCTTATTAAAAAGAAATAAGGATTTCATCGCGTAATCTTTATTAAATCCTTTAAATCATTTCATTGTCCATAGGACATTTTTGGTAATAGTGATGTAATAATTTCATCATATGAACGGTATGTTTGGTAAATGTTCTTTACATAAAACATCTCTAAAGATACCTATTACTTCGCATATAATTTAATTATTAAAATAAGATTTATCAAAAAAAGCAGTTATAGCAAGTATAATCAAAGCATGTTAGACACTAGTTATAAACAAATATAGAATACTAATAGAGCAAGTTATCAAGTAGCACTAACTATAGATAGTCTGGCTCCTATTTAACTCTGGTTTCCCACACACCGTTTAAAGAGATCTAATCTAAAATGTGAAAGCTTGTACCAAACTATGATGGTTGAGATTATCGATTCATGACTTCATTTATTAAAAATATTTGTATGCTTAAGTTATTTTAACCTCCATTATCGCTTTTCTCCATAAAATCTAGGTTTCAGCATTTTTTACAGATCTCATATAACGAGGTTTCAACATGGCATTTATTGACGAAGAAGAGCATCATATTTATGATCCGTTTATAAGAGATGTGGAGGATTCATCTCCTCTATCTCAGCAGAATAACAGGAATATTCTATCTTCAAAAGCAATTTCATTGAATTTATGGTTTTTGACAACATTAGTTTCCCTTTTCGTACTGGTCTTAGAGCATATGCACCCGCAGATGTGCAAAAACGGGGACAGCTATAAAGATGGATTCGAGACAGAGTTATCAAATGCGAGGACATCAATACGGTTAGAACGACGAAGATTCACAAGTGCTATTCGAGATGATGGGGATGGTTCCCTGTATGCATATTTTGATCCAAATGAAGCGCGTTTTGTGGGTTCACCCAGCCCTGAAATCGATGGTAACTGGCAGAACTTGACCTTCGGTACTTCTCTCGAAACCAATGTTATCTCAGACACTAATTATTATATATAATAGGCAGATATTTTCGCTTCAGCACAGCTGAGCTGAATTGGCTGAATGCCGATAAAGATCAACCAAATCTAAACATCATATCGAAAAATGAAATCGTGCCTGAAGAAGGATTTTACGGAGGCATAGATATGATGCACAGTCTGCATTGTCTAAATGCCCTTCGTATGAAAATATATGCTGAATACGATAAAGGCACAATGCATTTTCCACCAGAAATTGAGAAAATGCATATTGATCATTGCATAGATCAACTGCGACAAGCAATCATGTGCTATGGAGATTTAACACCTGTAACACTAAAGCCTGTCATGTTAAAGACTCAAAATGATGGAATCAGTAGCATAGTGTTACTTGGCCAGACTGAACGGATGCATACATGTCGGCGATGGGAAGATATACGTGATTGGGTCACACAAAAAGGAAGGGAAATGGGATACATACAAGCCTAATAAGATAATTTAGGTCTGTTTCATGTCCTTCAGTGTTCTCCTATTGTTCAGAAACAACCTTATCTTAACCTTTATCTTTGCTACTCAAGTATTGTGTTCTAAATCGAGTCGCGTTTTCTTTTTTTACCCTACTAACCTGTTATAAAGTAACACGCGAGGAATCACGTGAAGTGATTATTTCGCTTATTTTAAATAGAATAAGCGCTTCTACTAATTATCTTAGAGGATTTTTGTGAGGAACTGAGTGGGAACATACGCACGGTACCGTGTTACGAGGTAACACATGAGTAGTCATGTGTGGACTGTTCTGATCATTTTGCTTAAAATGAGCAGAATAAGCATATTAACCAATGGTCAATGGCTAAGGCACTGTTAATTAGTGCAAGTGATTATTTTGCTTATTCTGAGCAGAATAAGTAAGGCAATAAGGATATTGAATTTTAGTCTATAAAAATATCCTGTCTGTAAGGGATTGGTGACAGAAGTGTGAGATAGACAGTTTAATTCAAGAATATCCGCTAGCTCCTGAGAGTCTCTCCTCTGAACAGCCATAAATACATATATGCGAAGTAGTCATGTGTGCCTTAATACCGCACCAGCTATACATCGCTAATGTAAGGGGTGAATGTAAGCGTGATATCAGGATGGGGAGCAATGAGTATGGATTGGTATCAAAACTGACGACTAAGGAGTCAAACTAAGGTGGACACTGTGCGTAGCTTAAATACTGCTTCCCCCTGGAGCACGTGACCCGCGGCCTGAGCGCAGCCGTACTATGCATATGTTCCTACTCTGTTCCTCACAACTCTTCCCCCCCTTCCATAGTCTGGTCCCCAGACTTGCTAAGATTGTGTTCCTCTACTAGTGTAGTATCATGTTGGGTGCGTTCCGTCTGTCACTTCTACCGTTTGTTATTATTATTATATCTCAGTATTATGCCACATATATTATCATATTTATCTCCGTTGCGTAGCAACAATATTATAGTTTTAATGCTTAATAAAGATATAAATTCTTCCATATTCCAAAATTTGTTCTTCCACCATTCATACACACACATATACACACATATACACAAACACACACATATACACACACACACACTTACACACACATATACACACACACACACATATAAAAAAAATGGCATCTTCACAGCGGTCAGCCGTTCGTTCGTTGGGGGCGAGACGGAGTTCGTCAACGCCTCGCTCCTTGGGTGCGGGTTATAGGCGTTCCTCATCTCGTTCCCCGACTCCTCCTTCACCAACACCCACGCCACTATTATCAACTCCTCGGCGCGGTGAGGCAAGTTCTGGATATGGGCGTGCTCCCCGCCCTCACTCCCTGTCTCCTTATTCCCCGACCCCCGTACCGCCACCATTAGTATCCCGGCACGGCAAGGCAAGTTCCAGGCGTCGGCATCGCGGCAACAGTGTCTCGGCGCCGGAGCCTCCCAGTCACCGTCGCCGGGTTGCTTTTGAGGTGACGGGGTCATCATCTCCTTAAGGTAGGGGTGAAACCCTATTTTAACTAGAGGAGGGGAACGAGGCAGAGGTGGACGTTTTTATCTACCTCCAATGCAGTAAGGACGTTGACCTCGTCCTCGAGTGCGATATGCCTGCATTCCAGAAGTATACTGGGTGCTCGCGCTAGTACTATAAATGTGAAGAGGTTCAAGCTCTATAATTATAATTATATTTCTGTTGCTTTATCTCACTATAAACAGGTCCCACCATAATTTGGCCACTGCCTGGCCCGTCTCATTGAGCTCACAAGAGCTCTTAAAGATTATAAGGTGGGTGTTACGTCGATGGTCCGGGTCGACTGGGCAGAGTACGTGCGTATATTCACACGCTACAGAACCGCAGTTGAGGCGTTTATCACCCGCGATAACCATTTGGGCGGTCACCACTGCCCAACCCTGGAGGTGATGTTTCGCGACTTGCTGGGCCAAATACGATAACTGGTTCAGGGCATAAATGCCCTAGCTGGGATTCCGTCTTCACCTATAGGTGTAGTTTTCTACTAGTATATTAGCTCTACTAATTTATTTAGGCTGGTATACTACTGGGTTATTTGGGGGGCGTCCCCCAAATTCCACCCGAGCTCGTCTTCTCCTCCCGCCACCATGGTCGCCGGGCCTTCAGGCCTAATTCCTCTCTTGACCCCACGGCCTCTTCTCGCCAGCGGCGTCATACCGCCGCTTCACCTCCGCCTGCGGCGCCTTTATCAAGCCGGGGTGGGTTTACCCCCTGTCACCGCGAGAGCTCTGTCGTGGAGCTTTCTTCCAATTATTCCGATTAAGGACCTGGTCCTTATATCTTTAATTTATGTAATATATTTAGCATAGTTTCTTTTAATATATGGTATATATTATTCATCTCTTATATTCTATATATGTCTTTTCTTTAACCAGTTATCAAATTCATCACGCTTCTCCTGCGCATTATCTAAGTTTTCCCTTAGCAACTATTAGTTATATTCTGCAGGGTAACCCTTCCACTTAACCAGGTACTATACACTATCCTTGCGCTTCTTCTTGTTAAGGATTTCTTCTATCTCCCATTCTTCCTCATCATCAATGATTTCTGGGAGTGGCAGGTGATCCGCTGTGTTATCACTGCCTATACACTGATAGTACTTTTCCAGTAGAGAGACATAGAATATATTCCAGACTTTCTATAATACTAGTAGCTGTAGTTAATATACTTATATACCGACTGGTTCAAGGACTCTAAATGGTCCAATAAAACATGGTGTAAGTTTCCTACTCTGGTACCTCAGATGTAGATGTTTTATTGATAGTAGGACGAGGTTATTTATTTTAAACGTCATCGGTTCATGCCTGCGGTTATAGTATTTTGCTTGCTCTTGGCTTGCGTTGGTAAGGTGTTCTTTTAGCTTCTTACAGACGTTATGGAGTTGCTTCACTCGCTCTTGCATATCTGGTACTTGTTTTTGATTCTCAATATCATAATAGACCTCTAGGTGGAACCTATATAGTGTAAAGAATAGGGTTGTGCCTATTAATATATTAATACTGTTATTATATATGAATTTAGTAATTGGCAACAGTTTTACCTATGTTTTTAGGTGCTCTCCGCAGTATGCGCGCAGGTATTCCTGAATCATTTGATTTTGATATTCTGTCTGTCCGTCAGTTTACGGATGGAATGCGGTTCCCATATATCTACATATGTATAATGTATAGTATAGTTCTAACCAGAATTCACTCGTGAATTTCGGGTCTCAGTCCGAGACAATACCTTTAGGCAAGCTGAAGCTTCTTATAACCCTATTAAGTAGTATATCAGCAATATTTATGGCTGTATAATCTTTTGTAGTTGGGGTATAGAGTGCCATTTTTATATATCTATTAATGATCACCAAGATAGCATCATATACGCTACCGTCGCGCTTAGATGGCGGGATGCCACTCATGAAATCCATGGTGATCTCTGTCCATAGACGTTCCGGTACAGGTAGCGCCTATAATTCGCCATACAGGCGGTGTCTCTTCACCTTC